AAAAAGAATAGATCAACAGAAGGTTCACGGCGAAGCTTAAGTCGCGCCAACTAGTATTTCATACGCTCCAACAGGCGAATATATGAGGGTCTCTAAACATACATAAACTGTTCATTGTTTCATACGATGCTATAAAATCTGTCTATCAGTTGGTAAAAGCACTTTAGGGGACATTTATAATATCTGTCTCTATCAGAGAGTACAGTTCCCTGGATGGGCTAAATTCCTTGATTGTGCTTAGGTATAATCTTCAAATAGAGGATTTCAGGGCTACTTTTCCGTTTCAAGACATGCCCTTTATTTATTTTTCTCTAACATCAACTCAAGAGATTGTTAATGGATAGAGAGCGGTTTTCCTCGCTTGTTCCCTCCTGGTTATCCTTCTGTTCACTCTTGACAATATCCGACGCTACAGATGCCCTTCTAGCATTCATAGAAGCTCTGGGTGGGATTCTCGGTCTTTTTGGGTAGTCTTCTCTGTTCTGGGGAGAGGAAAAGTGACTCTCAGAGACGTCGCGGGCGATAGGATGCTGTGAGGGTTGCTGGGTACTCGGCCCTTGAAGGTAATATGGTTGGGGGTATTGTGGGGCTTCAGGAGAGGGGCCCGGATGCTGGTAGTATTGCGGCGGGCCCGGATATGAATAAACCATGTGCTGAGGCTGGTACGGGTTGGAGTAATAGGCCTGGCTGGGCGGGTTGTGCTGCGCGTGGTAGTACCCCTCTCTTCCGTAATGGGCCACCTGGGACGGAGGTGGGGGATAGTAAGAGTACATCATGGGAGAGGTGGCGTGGTAGGCCGGCTCCTGCTGCTGGCTGTTCACACCCACGCGAGCCAGTTCGCGGTTTTGGCCAATCGCCAGCGACCCGTCACTTCTACGCTTCAACGGTCGCGTCTGTGAGTCTTGGGAGCGATAGAAATACGTGTCATCCTCCTCCTGTTCAATCTGGCGAGCAATCTTCTTAGGTTGATATTTGTAGTCGGGGTATTTCAAATTGTGAGCTTTTTTCTCCTCCTCTGCGAGCTTGAGCCAGATTTGTTTCTCCTCAAACGGTAAATTACGCCACCGGCGGCCCAATTCTCGGGACACTTCACGGTTAGGGATGATTGAAGAGGAACCAATCAACACCTCCAGCTGTTTCGCTTGTCGAAAGAGAATGAACGCATTCTTGGGACGCGGAATATGTGTTTGAGGCTCTGTCTGGGGGCTCCGTGTGCCCTTGACTCCATCATCCGTTTTTTTGGTAGGCACTATCTGGGAAGGAGGGGGTAGGACAGGTGTGGCTGTGCCCGAACTCCATTGGGGATGATTCAAGGGAGTCCCTGGGACCGAGTCTAGTACTGGTACATCGTCGACTTGTTCTCTAGGGGTATGTGGTTCTGTGCGTTCGTTTCGGGCGTTTAAGGGTACCTGCGACAGATGTGGGTTAAAAGGCATGATTTGGTGCAAAGACCAGCTCTTTAGCATTCTAGGGCACAGGGAAAGATACAGGTGTGAAAGTTAGCAATTTGTGTAAGTTTATAGGAGGGTTCGTCGCAGGGAAGACTGATAACGCGACTTGCAGGGAAGTTAGAACGACTCGCAGGAAAAAACTTAGGAAGACTCGCGAGACGAAGGGAGGTATTAGCAATGGGTGTATAGTAGTAAGAAGCCAAATTAGGCGGTGGAGCAGAAAAAAATTCTGAGTTAAGCTGACAGGAGAAGCTTACGATGGGCTAGGGGTTGAAATAGAGCAGGCGACAAGGCGCTATGCAAAGCAAATGTATGCAACAACCAGCTTTCAGTCAAAGTTGGAGACGGAGGCTTAAAGTAATGTCCACAGGATAGGGATGGGATAATGCAATCTGATCTTCTCTAGTGGGATCGGCGGGGGGGATTATGTATTTATACTAATTTTATTTTTCGCATACGCTTCGTGTGGGTAGTCAATAAGTCGATTTAGCTATGCCATGGGGGAAAGGGCTTGGTGCGTAGAGGCGCTCATGTAGTTCCTCTAAACCAGAATTGCGTCTGGCAACCAGAGATGTAAGCTGACAAAGGTTCTGATGTATCGCTGGGACAATAACCGGGAGGCACCTGATACACCTGAACGAGACGGTAATCCTCTGGAATGCGCCTCAGCCTGTCGTCAAAATACGCATGCATGCTTTAGAATTTGCCCTGGAATGGTCTCCACTCCCTGGTGCCCTACAAAACAGCATAGTGATTATGAGTGACAGATTCTCTCACGTTGTAGATCCAGAATAACTTGCTCTGACAATGACGAGCGACTAACCCATGGGTTCTTGACCCTTGTTCAATACCCTCTTGTTACGTTACCACCATCTGGCCAATCGTCATTACCTTCTGATTACCTCCTATGTTCTTCTCCTGGCTTGCCGCAGTTGCCCTTCCCGGGCTTGTAGGAAGGAGGGGGAATCGATCGCGGACGCGCATTTGCAGCCGCTGTAGGTACGTTTGAGATGAGCTTCATGCACGAATGTGCATGAGTGAAATTGCAAAGCACGCATGTCTTAGACTAGGCGCACCATGAAAAAAGGGGTGAGACGAGATACGTCCCAGTAAACCGGCTCGTCACCACAGTGGGCTTCATCCATCTGGTTTCGACTCTATTCCTCTTTGCATATCGATCCTTACAGCGATTTGATTAAGGTGATTGTAAAGTATAATCAAGCGAACGTCAACTAGAGATTCAGAAGGGAAGCGGGAGCGGGCCGCTGTGGGCCAATGCAACGAAGCCCAGTGATTCATTAGGCGGATACGGTTTGAGTAACATGTTGACGGAGACTGGCTCAGCTATATGTTAACGGGGACTGGTTCAGTACCATTGTCGCACCAAAAGATCCAATCGGCTTTGAGGCGGGAGAGTCGGCTAAACCCGTTACAGTGGTACCCGTTGGTCAACCGTAAAGCTTCCTCTAAATACATACCCGAATAGTGACGTACTTTCTTGGCGAATATATCAATAATATGATAGCGTTGGTTAACAACCCTATGGGAAAAAAACTGCGTTTGTTGTCGCGTGATGGCGATCCTGGTTTGACCCAGGGCGCTGAAGTTGCCTGATGCACACTTGCCTTTACGTCATGCTAAATAACTATGTCAGAACTCCCTGAAGCCCCTAGCTATTATTTCCAGATTCGGACGTTATGGCACAATCGTAAGCGGTTCTAAAGTGGCCGCCATGCTAGCGAAGTATCGCTAGACCTTTCCTCCGACCTGCTGCAGATCCGCGCAGTTTCAGGTGCTGCCTAGCGAGCGTTTCAGATCTCACTTTACTCGGTCCTAGAGTATTCTGGTAGGGAGAGGCCGACTGGAATTTAGTGCTACACATGATGCACTTTACCCGAGTAGCCTAGTCATTATGGGGCCTCCGGGTTTTATACTCGGACGATTAGGGTCTTTGAGAATGTTGGTGCTGATATTGGCGGTCTCTTCAAGCCACAAGCTGTTATACTCTTTAAAACGGACATTTCAGGGACTGTTACATCTTGTGCACCTGCATTAACCACCGTCCAGGGGTGGTACTATTATAGGCAGTATGCACGTATTGAGTCAGTTAGCATCTTCAAAAACAGTATTCCTAGAATCTCTGTCCACTATTACCGTACTCCAATTCGTTTCACATGAATAACTGCGTAGCGGCATGTATGGAAGCCCGTAACAATCAGCGTGATACTTCCTGAGCTAGACTAGTCCAGGTGGCCGTGTGCATCGTATCATACGATTTACGAGCCTAAGTAGTCCTGGTCCCTGTTCAAACTGCCAGTATTATCTTGGCCCGCTACATAATATTGCACATATGCCGATATAGACGCGTTCTTCTACGCGAAGTATAGCTTGGATATGCGTGCACACGCATCAAATTAGGCCTAGAGTGAGAACCTCCTCGCTCTGAGTGCAAACACAAGCATAATCACCAAGACCGATAACCCACCCAATCTCTGTAAAATTTGCCCATTCCGTGTTGTTTAGCCTGAAAACCGAGATTAATATCACGTGAAACACTCCAGAATCCCCCGGCCCGCATAGGTGGTGAAAACTTTGGTTGATAGTTATGAACTCCATGTATGAAGTGATGCACTAATAAGGCCATAAACGCGTGTAGACTATGTTTACTTGTAAATCTATGTCTACAGCTCCTGGTTTTGGTTGTTCCTTCCGTTGTATGGGGTTTAGCGCCTCAGTCTCATCCCCTGGTTCGTGGTAAATACTTGCATAGAAGACTGAAACTTGCAAGAGCTAAATATAGGAGTACCTTGGCCGACGAACGTCATTGCACCAGAAACTCTAAATGCGTGCATACAAGCTCCTAGTTCCAATATTGTTTCTAGTTTTGGTTGCATCTCAAGGATTTGTGCGGGAGTTATCATGACGAAAGATGGCATCATGCATTACGCCTCAGAAGTTTAGTTTGTGCCGTCAAAGGATACCAGGCGTGTACAAATTCATAAAGTTACATGCTGGCGCAAACTCTACTTCGTAGCGAGAATTTATTAAGTTTACGTGGAAGGATGTACTAATATTACCTTCTTAATGGATAGAATCTGGGTTCTACTGGCGTGTATTAAATGCATTTCCTTAGACGGCACAGCTGTGGATATGTTGATGGAATAGCAAATCCAAAACTAGGGAATTGGTTTTTGTCGAAGAATAAAAACTGAGATATTTTGGTTAGAATTCTTTTGAAACACGAGTGTTTAGCTCCAAGCGTATAATGGCGCTGATGTAATCTTTAGAACTTCTAACGTCATTCGATTCTAGATATGAAATCTCCGATAGTTTCGTAAAACGTATAGTAACTTTGTCCCCCTTGGATTGGATAGTATTTTGCAAACTTCTGGGTTGTGAGCTACGCGTCCTGTCTCCATTTTTTATCGTCTTTCTTATTTTAGATTCGTCCACCCATTCGTTATTTCGGGCTAACCTCCAGCTTCAACAGCCGTTTTACCGCCCTTCCATGTGAAGTGCCCCTGAACATATGAATTAGTATATCCTTTGGTTAATGTAGTTTTCTGGGAATATTCAACAAATACACCACGCCTCGCGACAAATTCGCTCCTTATCCTCTTTGGCTCACGCTTTTTTTTTCTTATTCCTTAAATTTTTTCTGGGTTCTTTTTTGTTTCTGAGGCCACACTTCCAAGCCCTAATTCCAAGTTCTTGGCCAAACTCGCCACCAGAGGAACATATCCTATTGGATATAACCAGCTTTGAAATTGCATTTACGGAGATTACTGGGTTCCTTTCCAAAGGGATGTACTGATTCAAGCTTTTTAGGCTCTCGCCTCGGTCGTTTCCGTGGACCATGTATCGATGAAACCACTTTTACTGTTTTCAAATTATATCCATGTCCCCTTCGATAATCATAGCCGATCATTTGCTTATCCCCCACCCATTCTCCTTACTGTGTGCTCCCATTGGATCCTGTTGATAATCACCTCCATTTCTACCGACGTGGGATATTACCCATCATACCAAGCTGTTTCAGTCCCAATTCAAGCTGATGATCTTAAAGAGTCGGGAAATAGTCTATTTCCAGTTAATAGAGACAGGGCTTGAAATTGAGAGGCCCCACATTGAGCTGTTAAACCTTGTATCATAGAATCTGGACGGCCCTGAAAAGTTTTACCATTAGATGAGATTCGGACGGATGAATAAATTCGAATTAAACCCGGTCTGTTTTGCAATAAACACCCCCAGATACTTTTTTTGTATTTTCAGACCTTCCTAAGGACCATGGTTATTTTATTTTTTTCCTTGTAATAGGATGCCTTCGTTCAGACTTTGTACTGTTACACTGCTCATATTGATTACTCTGGGAAACGATCAGAACTATGTTACACAGCTCGGGGGAGCTCTCTTACGTTGAAGATTTTACCGCTAGTGGCATACTTAAGGCTGCCAGTATGGACTGAAACTGTCAACAATGGAGATCCAGCTGATGAACCTTAACTCAGAGGACATGAGTACGAATGAGTTGCCCACGAAACTTAGCCTCGTTGGTGCGATGGGTTCTAAATTGGAGAGAGGAGAATGAGGGGAAATAAAAAGTCGAGTAGAACCCATAGAGCGGTAAAGCATATAGTTTGGCAATTCTCTGCCTATCGTGGTTAGGATGTAGTCATACAATTTCTTTTTTCCCCAAAAGCCAGAATTCGAACAATAAGCATATCAGGTAGAACAATTGTATATATTTTGAAGATAGTTATGACTCACCATACATGCTATATTAAAGGATACGGTTCCAATTCACTCACTCTCTAACTTAATAATACTGATTCACCATTGCGCATTTTCACTATATTCACATATTCACCTTAATACTGTCTTCTCCCGATATTTTCGCGATTTCTAACTTCGCGTTGATTTCGCGAATTTTGTACCTTTCCACGGTTTTGTCAAGCGGCGCAGGTATCGATTTGGCTACGACTCAAAATCAACATCTGGTGGGGCTCTTCCCCGATGCAAAGGTTTGGTTTCTAGGCCTAACCGTCTATCACTTACTTAAGCGGCTTCACAAGATACAGGAACTTCTTGTTGCTTTGCTTCCCCATCACGACGCCTGAGGAGTTAGCTGTCGATCTTCCCCAAAGGACCCTTTTTCCAGCATAATCTAGGACATTCCCAACTTAGTGTATATGCTTCCTTTTCCATGTCCTATCTCATCACATCGACGCTCATCCAGAGCCTTACTTCGACCAGAGTTAAAGTGCGATCCGATGCCCTCAATACGCTTGCCCAGTTGGTGAACGCGGAAACAGCGCACTCGCTCTCCACAAAGGCTCTCAGCCAGCTTGTGGACGCCCTTTTTACGAATATTTCCACCGAAAAGCCACTCTGGCTCAAAGCCCAGACGCTGGCGGCGAGTGCCAATACGCTAGAGGAGCGCATCGCGCGCGCGGCTCAGATCCTCCGCACCTTACTCGAGAGGCACGCGCGAGCGGTGCTGTTCAAGCTGAAACAGATCCTCCAGATTCTCGACCGCACAATGGAGCTCTTCTTTTTTGCAGACGATGCGAATCTCGATTCCCTTGAGTTGAACTTCTCACGCATTCTCCTCGTCATCTTAGGCCAACAGTTTGTCAAAGACCGCTTAACCCCACAACACTGGGGCACGGTGTTTACGTTCCTCACGCGTGCAATCCTCCGTAGTTTGTCCGACGGGGGATTCAATGCCAGCGATCGTGTTGTCAACAACTTATTCGAATGCCTTTCCTTGCTTATCAACGCGGACGATGCGATTTCAACATCCTACGTTGCTTTAACCGTTTCGCCAAACTACGAACAACTCATCGAGACTACCAGACGGTTTTATGAACTCCGACTTTCCCGGAAACCTGAGCCATTGGTCGCCATTACCACTTTCAAAATCATTAACAAATTAATGCTTGTGTTGCAGACGGAAAAGGTCGTTACCGGTCCGTATTTCCGATCGCTAGTCGTCCTAGGAATCAATCTCGTAAATTTAATGGTCGAACACAACAACTTCCACAGTTTTGAAAACTTACGCGCACAGATTATTGTCTTTCTCAACATGAATCCGCTCCAGTTCGTCACTGGCACCGCGCCGCGGCTTCTCGCGCGCGCGCCCTCCAGCATCTACAGTGACGGAGATACAGACGACGATGAGGAAGAAGATACAGACCAGCTCGTATACAGTTGCGGAGCGTTGATCAGTCGATTGATAGAGGCGGAAACTGGCAGCACGTTAAAGGTGGAGGTGTCTCTAGCTCGCAAGGCTGCCCCACACTGGTTTAGCTCAGCCACGATGTATCTTCCCGCGGGAGCGCCAACGGATATGACCCATTCGTGGATGTTGTACCGCGGGACCGTCCACTTGGTAGTATCGTATTTTCGTCTCCGGAATTGTACTGCGTTTTCGCTCGCACGCAGTCAAAGCCCCAAACGGCGCAGGGTTGCGGATGAGGTTCTGGGAACCTTGGCCCTGGCTGCCAGCCCCTTGGAGTTCTTCAAAAACAATTTGCTCAGCTGCAACAATGCGTATCTCCATGATAGGAGCTGTCTGCAACGCACAGCATTGCTTTTGTTGGCCTTCTTCCTCGATGCCCATCACGCACCGTTTGACGCTGAAACAGAGACGGAAAATGACAGTAACGTCTTTGCTACCCTACCGTTGTTGGCCCTCCCCAATAACCTCTTAACGGCCCCTAGGCTCGACGGAGATACAAGCGTACACTCCATTGACTATACCCTAACTCAACGTATCTCGCCTACGGACCTTGCGGAGATTCTCTTGGCGACGTTTGAGAGCAGTGGCCTTGCGTACTTCTCTCTCCTCACGTCGAACGTACTCCTCGCCCACACCATCTCGAACAAGTGTTTGAACCAATTGATGAAGGCAGCAATTCAGCTCATCAAGCATCCAGATACCTGTGTCTTGGCGTGTCTCTGCTTCTGTAACGTGCTCGCACAACCGCACTTCAGCCCCGATAAGTCAATTGTGACGCAGTTGGAGAATGTGGTCGAGCTTGCGGATGTCAACGGCCCGTACTGCGTCGGCAACGAGGCGTTCCACTTCTGGTACCATGTCTATGCTGTGAGCAAGAACCGCAAGTTCCACAGAATTGTACATGCACACATTGCTAACTGGTTGAAGCGCAAGTGGACCCAGATTATTGCGATCCATGGGACCTCTGTGTCATCCCTGGCCGAGCTCAGTGCGCTTGTAGGGCCACACTTTGCGTTGCCCGAGTTTATCGCGTGGTTGTGTGGCGGCGTTACTCCTTCGATAATTGAAACGCGCGAGTTATATGCTGGTGACCTCAACGAGGTCTTTCTTGCGTTTGAAGCGAGAGCTGAGGTAAGAGACTTCATTTTGCAGAAAGATCTGAGTGTGCCAGTGTCTGCCCTGCCGTTCTGCCCTGAACCCATGGCGCACACCTCATCTGATGTGGTGGAAGACTTAATGATGGTGGTTATCGGTACTGGCAATGATTACGCGAACCTTTTTGTGCGGACCGACCATAGCCTGGCGGTCAAGGCTGTGGAATGGTGTATGTTGATTCTCAGGCTCTGCGAGCTTGTAGAGGGGCAGCAGGGGTATGAGCACTACGTCTCCTCTATCCAGTATCAGGTCACCATGTTGCTTGAGCCGTTTAACCGCTTTACTGATGCCACCATTTCGGTAGCTTTGATTGATATCTTGAGAAATCCACGCATCGGAAATGCCATACTGCAAACTCTTTTCAATAACCTCTCATTTCAAAAGATCTACGAAGATGCAAGTACTCTTCAGCTCGCTGTTTCCAGAACCCGAAAAAACACCATTCGCGCCCCAAATTCAGAAAACGAGTGTCTGGGCGAAGAGGGCAGCTTTAATCCCACCGAACCCCCCAAGGTTGAAGACTTCAGCGCCACCACGTTCACAGCCTTACAGTACCGCGAGCCATTATCTGTCAGGATCTTTCAGTTTATGGTGAGGCACCAGACGTTGCAAAAAGGTGATTACCACACGCGGTTTGAGCACTTGCTTGGCCACATGAAGCAGCTCAGTACTTTTGACGCGATCCTCTGCCTTGACGCTTTGGCCGACTACATAACTGAGGTGGGGGTTAAGAACTTGCCCCTTGTGGCCCTTGACCAATTAATCGAGATGATTGGCCTTCGCTTCTTAAACGACAAAATATACGGATTGAGTGAAATCGGGTTGGTAATCCAGTTGAAGTTCATGGCCATTGTAACGCCCGCAGCTCTTTCCGGTAACAGTGTGGATGTGAAGAATGCGTTCACAGAAGTAGGAAAGTGGTGGATCAATAATAAACGACAATTCATTACCGAGGCCTCCTGTCACTACTTTGCAAAGTTGTTAGCAGCCATGATCTGCGAGACAAAAGAGTCATCCCATTCCGTCGGGGAGTATTTTGACGTCTTGTTCCCGCTTTTTGCCTCCTCGTCGAACCAGGTGAAGGTAGCATTAATCGCTGATATCAAGGGTTTTTTGCCACTCTACTCCTACCGCCAGCAACACTACGTTTACACCTCGTTATACCAAGCATTTGACTCCCCCCAGAAAAGTCGGGAAGCAGCGGCCACGTTCTGCATGGTCATGTCGAGATTGTCCACCACGTCTGACCTCATCCTCGTACACTGCATATACAACATTTTGGAATACTCTAGCTTTGAGTACTTCAAGCCATACCTCCCGCCGTGTATCCGAGGGATCTGTCTATTACAAAACATGAACTCACCAAAGACCTTGTTCAAAACGTACCGGTTCGACATTTTGAAGGTATGGTGGAGCTATGGGTTACCTTTCAAACAATTTCCTGCTACCCTTCTTGGCTATGAAGATTTGAACGACTTTGTCATTGAAAACTATAAAGAATTGGTTTCGGTAATGATTGCACACCAGTATCCCGGTTCCAATACCGTTTTAAGCGAAATGTCGACTATCTGCAACTTTCCCGTTGGGGATATGGTATTTGACAGTTTGCCGTACACCGTGGCGTTGGCGTACACCACGGAAGGCCTGCGCGGGGGAGTTTTCGAGACACTAGATAGGTTGGGTCTGAAAAAAAGCTATTTAAAAGATTTACTTATCTTTATTGTCCTTGAAATCATCTGCATGGTGGATTTATCCGACGAGAAAAAGTTGGTACCGGTGATGGACAAGTATCGCGTGTCCGGCCTATTGTCATCCCTTGTGCGAAAGGGCTCTCCTCAGCTCTACAGCTCGGCCCAGGTTTCCATCTCTGTATCCACCACAGTTAACTTGTTGAATGAGATCATCGTGAAGTCTTGCGACTCGAATGACGACTTTTGGACCGTCCCGGTTGCGTTTTTCTTGGTCCGTCGCATTCTTGGCTTGTTGGAGACCTCCAAGAAGAAGAACTCGCAGCTTCTCCAGATTCGGAGACTCAAATTCGTGATGATCTTGGGGGGTATCAAATTCTCCGATCTGAACTTGGTGAATTTGATCATCACCAACTTGTCCCAGTATCTTATGCGGGAAAGCTTGGCGGAGGAAATTACGGATATTTTCATGACCCTCTTCCTGATGAACAACAACACGTCAATCTCCTCCCAGATCTTGCTCACGGTAGCGTCTCAGTTGGTTGAGTGTAAGTTCCAAGAATTAAAAATAGCGCCTAGGTTGAAGGATGTTGTCGAAGGAGCCGTTATGGCGCTCGATAAGGCAGATATAATGACCCCTCTCTTGGCTGCCTGTGTGGATGTCTTGAATGGCTACCGTTTACGGATTGAGATTTCCCATATAGAGGCCTGCTTATGTCTAGATAGGTCTGCAGTGGACTTCACCAACGGAAGGACATTGATACGGGCGATTTCCTCTGTGTTTGGTTACGCCTCGGATTTGGCCTCAAGCAGTCACATTCACCGTGCGCTTCCCCAGGTGGCAAAGGTTCTCTTCGATTTAGACGACACTGTGGATCTCCTTCGTTATTCTGAGCCATTTTTAGTCTGGCGGATCCGGTATATCGGAAAGTTTTACGGTTCCAGCGGCGAGCTAATCCAGAGTCAGAAGATGGAATACAGCCCCCTGTTTGACTTGGAGAATTCTGTTACCAATTCTTTATCGCTCGCCATCATCTTCGAGAAAATGATCTCGGTAGCCCGTGGGGGAGATCTCGAGCTCTTGTCTTGTATCGAAACGGTTGTAGGTGTCGTTCTCTGGAAGCACCACAAGAACAAAAAAGAAATCGATGAGTTGGTTAACTATTCCAAAGTCTTCCAAGCCTTTGAGGCGTACATCTTACCATTGGATTTCCATTTGTGCGTGGTCTTGAACTCTGATCGCGCAAATAATAAGCTCATCTTCCACAACGAAACACTTGCGACATACACCACGATGATTGAGTTCAAGTTCTCTACGTTGCCCTTCGATATCTGGACAAGCAAGCTCTTCTTAGCATTGATCAACGAGCTCTCCAGGTTTACCAGCTTGGCCCCGTTGATTTCCGTGTTTGTAGTAAAGGTTCCGTCATTTTCCAAGTCTGCCTTGGGCTACCTTGTTGCCTTCTACATCCAGTGCACGGGTATCAGTGGCTCCCGAATTATTGCGAGCATGATGGGAAAGTTGCTTGATGTTGGTACCCAACAGCTTTCGAAGGAGTATTGTCGGTTGGTGCTCGATATTGGTTTGATTCTCAGGACTGGCCGTATCAAAGAAAAGTCCTTGGAGCGGTCTAGGAAGCCCTTCACTGCTGCAACCCTTGACATGAACTATCCAAAGTTGTACGATATGGCTATGCGGCTCGGTTTGCCCAAGACGGGGTTACTCTTGTTTGAAGACTTTTACCGCGACTTTTCCACTGGAACCTGGGTGGAGAATGAAAAAATCTTGGGGAGGATCTACGACGCGATTGACGAGAAGGACTTGCGCTACGGGTTACCGATCCAGCCGACGCTTGAATACGCCATCGACACAATAAACTACGACGAAAACACGTGGAACCAGGTCATGGTGAACAACAGTATCTTTGACACCCGCATTGCGCTTGGAGCCTCGGGTGGTGATCGCTCTTCCAACGCCATGATGCGGTCGATGCTGTCGGCAGGCTTCAACGGTATTTCCCGTGTTCTCAGCGAATACTTCCTCGATCAGGGTGAGTCTGAATACGGCGATGAGGCCTACGGGTGGGCCTGGAAGTTGAACCAGTGGGATGTGGTGGTACCTCAAAAGGTGGAGACTGAAAACAAAGCGATCTACAAGACATTGAAAATGATTCACGATTACCCGTCGAGTGCCTTGGCTGCTTGCAGCAAGACGCTTCTTGACCTCTCCATCCACCAATCTCGCTTCTACTCGATGTCCGATCCGCGTTCGTGGCTCCGCACGGTCACCAGCGTGGTGGGTATTGAGAATTGTCTCGGGTATACGAGCGCGGTGATGGAGGATGCCACCAGGGATTACTTGGCAGAATGCACTTGGTACAACTCTGCGCCGATCGGAGACTACGAAAACGTCATTCTCTGTCGCCGTGCTGCGTTTGAGCAGATGGCCGGGTTTGAGAGTCACGGTTTAGGCCGCGAAGAGTGCTGGGTGTCGGTGGTGCACGAGCTCGTGCGGTTCGGAGAGTTCTCTCGGTTGAATAGGAACCTGCAGAAAGCAATGAACAGCACGTTGATGATTGAAAAGATCGTCAAGACAAAATTTGCCACGTCGGGGAACGACACTAGGGAGTTTATGTCTAAGTTGTCTATGTACCAATCGGCCGCGGCTCTCTGGGACCAGAATATCACTAACATCCCGGTGGCTATGTTACAGCACATTCGAGATTCTGGGAAGCCGTTCGCGGCGCTAGACCCTGAACTTCCTCTCAAGGCCGTTTTGGGGTTCTCACCGGCGTATATCAATGCTACACTTGTGGCGTGGACCTCTGAGTCTAAACAGGAAACCCCAGACAGCATTATGGAGACTCTAGTGAGGCCCATCGAGACGATGACGATCGCTGACCCCGCGGAGGAAGCGAAGATATACCATATGTTGGCAAAGTTCTGCCATGCCCAGTTGCGGGACTCCAACCTTGACAAGCGGATTTCCGAAAACGAAAAGTTGGTCGCCGCCAGAGACGAGGAGATTTTGCAGATCCGAGAGCAGGCCAAGGCAGGGCGGTACAGCGCGGAGGAGAAGAAAAACATCCAGCGGTACCACATCAAAATCTGCAACCAGTTAAAGTCATACGAGGACACATTGTCGCAGTTGCGCGTGTCGAAGTCTCTTTTCCTAGACAAGGCGGTGGAGTCATACTTAAAAGCGCTCGCGATTGGCGACGACTACATTGACGAGGATGTCGATCGGTTCTGTGCACTCTGGTTGGAATATTCAGCGACGGAGGGGCTCAGTGAGCGGATCTCGGGGTTGATCTCGAAGGTTCCGACGTACAAGTTCATCACCTGGGCAACCCAGCTCACATCGCGCCTCCTCAAAGATGAGACGGACTTCCAGCTTCTCTTGAAACGGTTGGTATGCGACTTGGCTCTCAACCACCCGTACCATGTGCTCTATCTCTTAAAGTCGCTTCGCTTGCACACCGAGTACAACGAGGAAAAGAATCCAACGGTGCAGTCCCGGGCATTGGCCGCGGACCTGCTCTGGATGCTGTTAGGAGCTGCGAACCCGAAATTTCAGGCCGCCGTCTTGAACCCTATTGATGCCTTCTGTAACAACTGTCTTACCCTTGCTAACCACAAGGCCTCGCGAGCCAAACCCTTGGTTCTAAGCACAATTACCGCCGGCACCTGGTGGCTTGAGAGTCTTCCTGCGATTCCGCCTCCGACGATGCCGTTGGCGGTGTCGAAGGACAAAGATTACAGCAGGCTCCCTTTCTTAGCGCAGATAGCACCTAAGGTGACGGTAGCCTCTTCTGGAATTAGTTTGCCAAAGATTGCGGTCTTCACGCTCTCGAACGGGGAAGAGCACCGGGTGCTCTTAAAGGGAGGCACAGACGATTTGCGGCAAGACGCTATCATGGAACAGGTATTCGAGCAGGTAAACAAGCTCTTTACTAAGGACCGGCTCACACGGTCGCGCCAGTTGCATATTCGCACGTATAAAGTGGTTCCGCTTGGGCCAAAGTCGGGGGTAATTGAGTTTGTAGCCAACTCCATCGCATTGAACGACATTGTGCGACCGTTACACGCGCGCTCGTCTGATCTATTGACATTTGAAAAGGCTCGCGACATGATGCGAGTTTGCCAACAGCAAAAACCCCAGGAACGCCTCAAGGTGTACGAGAAGGTGGAGAGCAAGATCCTGCCTCAGTTACGGCACTTCTTCAACGCCACGTTTCTACTTCCCGATGACTGGTTCAAGAGTCGTATTGTATACACCAAAGGGGTCGCCACCACGTCGATTCTAGGCCACATCTTGGGCTTGGGCGACCGCCACAACAACAACATTTTGCTCGACAAGCACACAGGCGAGCCGATACACATCGACTTGGGTGTAGCGTTTGACCAGGGTAAGCTCTTGCCGGTTCCTGAGACCGTGCCATTCCGCCTAACTCGAGACATTGTTGACGGGTTTGGCGTCACGGGCACTCAGGGTATATTCCGTAAAAACTGTGAATACGTAATGTGGGTGTTGCGGCAGGAAGAGGAGCGGATCTATGGAATCCTAGATGTGTTGCGCTGGGACCCCTTGTACTCGTGGACTATCTCCCCGTTGCGACAGCAGAAGTTGCAGCAGGAGGATGAGAATGACATGACCCACAGCGATATCCTCGCAATGCCAGAGGAAGATGGGTCTGTGGCGGGGAGAGCTGTTGCAGGGGTAAAAGAGAAGCTCTACGGTAATGGCTTAAGCGTGGAAGCTACAGTGCGCGAATTGATCCTGGAGGCTGTTGATCCCAAGAATCTTGCCTTGATCTATTGTGGGTGGTGTCCCTTCTTCTGAGCTCCAGAACGTAAGGTGTATGAACAAGCTTGTTGGTATGGCAAAGTAGCTTGTGATACAGATCATTTTTATGGTAAACACGTTCCGCCTTCTATAATGCACTGGTTAGAAACTTGTGTATTTATAACAATGGGGTATTGATTGCACGCCCGAGAATTTGAGTATACGTATAATTCCTTTGGACTGATAGGCTCGAAAAAGGCACCCTCGGTCAAACAACAAAGTGGCTGGAAGTGAAACCAGTTCACTTCTCGAGATTCGCGATGGGTTCGAACCAGGAAAGTTTGCGTTTACCGCGGCCCTCGCGCAAGTGTTGCCAAAGAACTGGCCTACTGAGATGAGTAAACAGAATGATGCTAGTCTGAGAACAAGGAGAGTACATAACCCATACTAAACACCTCTATTGACATACTACTCATAACACGAAGCTACCCTGGGTAGCGAAATATAAGGTTTCCCAAACCGAAATACGCAAAACAAGGCGTACCTAATGGTATATTATACCGAATTGGAAGCCGTCACGATTGGTTAAAGCAAAAAGTCATGAGACTACCCCTAAATATATGAAACGGACCAGAAACTCTAAAGCATACGATACTCCCTGGATGAAGCCAAACCCATGCAAAGCTGCCCATGAGGCTGTGAACATAGCACGCGCCCAGGACAACAAAAATCTATGCCACAGTCTGCGAGCCTCCTCAGGCAAATGTACCAACTATGAGTCCGCTACAGTGAATAAAAACAAAAGGGATATTATAATCCAGCTCACTTCTCGACTCGCAACTTCTCCAACTTCTCCTTCAAGGTTCCAAAGGCCAGTGCCGATACGCCGTTGTTGCGCAACTTGATTAAATCTTCGCCGTGCTTGCCGGCGGAGAGCTTCCGGCGGGTTCCGGGCGCAGTGACGCTGCTGATGCGCGACAAGCCTTGACCGGAGGACGGCGCGGTCGGCACGACCGAGTAGCGGCGTTCCTGGAACGTGACGCCAACCTGCTTGGTCTTCTTCTGGTGCTCGGGGTCGACCTTGAAAAACCAGTCACGCTTTTCGTCATACTCGTAGTAGTAGTAGTCGGTGCCGTAGGGCTTGCACTCTAAGCAGTACAACGAATGGAGCGGCACGTCCAACAGACCGATGATTGACTTGTGCAAGTTAAGGAAGTACGCCAAGAGCACGCGTGCCACTACGCGGTGCGTCACAATTAACACGTGGTTCTTGGTGCGCTCAATCTCGTTGATCAACGGCTTTACACGGTTAATAACGTCGAGGTACGACTCACCACCCACACCTGGGTATCGGTACGCCAACTTATCCTTGATGCGTGCCTCAAACTCCGCGGGGTACTCGCTCTGGATCTCCTTGTAGGTCATGCCCTCGCACACACCTGCGCCCAACTCATTCAAAATGCGCATTTCCTTGAGGGTGTACGCCTCCTCGTCGAAGTACTGCGTCGTCTCAGCGGAGCGCTGCAACATGCTGCTCCACACGTAAAACTCGGCCGGCTCGGGCGGCTCGGCGGTCGGAAACCTCAACAGGAGCCGCTTGCGGAACTCGTCCAACTGCTGCTTGCGGAACTCGCCGCGCTGGAAGTCCATGAAGCGTGTCAATGCCTGCGCAAAGAGCCGACCGCGTGCGGTTAACGGCGCATCACCACCGATGCGCCCCGACACGTTGTCCTCGCTCTCACCGTGGCGCGTGACCCAAATCTGGCGCTCCGCGAGGTTGAAGTTGAGGAGATAGTAGATTGTCTGCGACGCGAGGAAGCCCGAGATGTTGTACGCCACAATCTTGCGGCCCACGTCAATCATCTTCACGTACATGAACTCCAGGTTGCGCTGTTCCTCCTCGTCATCGATGGCTTCATACGCGCGCTCGTAGTTGGTGAGCCGCCCGCGGAAGTCCTCCAACGCGGTCTCCGGGTCCATGCCACGGTAATCCGGCCCCGAGAGCTTCAAGCGCATGTTGGTCTCAATGATCTTCGCGTCCGTGCACACGCTCTCCAAAAATAACACCTTCAATTGGCCCTGGGAACGCTCTTGGATCTTGCGCAAAAGTTTCGCGCGGCGATTCTTTGTCGTATTTGTCGCGTCAAAGATTCCTACGCAGCCGGGCCCGTCCACGAGATAGTCAAGCAACTGGTCAAGCGTATCCATCGCCCACTTCTCGCGAAGCGCGAAGCTCGCTGCGTTGTCCGGTGAGAAGAACGACGCCGAGTGGGGGGTTTCCTCCTCCTCCACACTCTCCAACCGCGTGTGCTGGTCTGTGAGTGGATGTGTAAATGGCCCCAGCTCCGGCTGCGCCTTGCGCCGTGTGTTCCCTACGTTAAACACACGCGTGTCGTGCTGCAACCAGTTCAAGTACCGCGTGAGCTTGTTGGTCAAGTAAGATTTGCCCCGCGCAGGAAGGCCAACCATGACGATAACCAACTTTGCCAGGAGCACGAGCTCTGGCGGTGACGACAGAGCCGGTTTGGGCTTGCGCTGTTTCGGGAGCGGCTCTGGTGACTGCCGCTGCCGCTGCAACTTGCTGAGGGCGATCGTCAAAGAGGAGCCACCAGGCGACATGGTGGTGAGGGGCGAGGCGTCGGCGATGGCGGTGAGGTTGAGATCGGAGAGGGACTTGATTGGGGGTTGGGTCGAGAGCATAAACGGTGACGTTTCGCCCAGCGAACCCGTCAAGTGCTCTCCAAGCTGCGTGGGCGACGCCACAAAACTCATCACCGGCGTATCCGTCAACGGCCTCTTGTTGAACTCGGGCAATGCGAGGAATGTGTCGTCGTCCAGGTCATCGCCGATTGCATAGTCGTCCTTGTGGAAGACATTGAGGTCGAAGGAAGGCCGTCCAGGCCGAATCAGACGATTGTTGTTGGGTGGAGCAGGAGTAGATTCGGAAGAATGATTGGGAGATATTCCGTCCATATGGGTAGGGTGGATGTGGGTACGTGGTTCGGGGTACGTGGCTATGGGTTGATGGATATGAGCTACACTTGTGTCCAACGCCAGGTTTCGAGAGGTTTGGTAACGAAATTCGCAGATCTAAAGGGGTGTTTGACAGATCTAATACGAGCTTTCCTTGCGATGTCTGGTTTCAGTCGATGGGAAGCGGGTGAGACGACAGTTGTGTGATAGGTTTCACCAGGTTAGTCTTGGCTTTTTATTCGTAGTCGCTGTTGTCTGATAAGAAATCCCAAGTTGATGATTTTAAACAGTTCTTTTGATAGCTCTGGCAGGAATTAGCTTTGGCGATTAGAGATCTCTGTAGTGTGCTTATCCGAGGTGATGGCAAGGTTTGTAGTCTCGGGGCTTTGTCAGCTTTTGGCAGTTTCTAATAGTCTGGTACTAATATGTAGGTAGTGGCAGGAGGTACAGTACGATATTTGATGGCGTGTAGTTAGCTTTGCTTTTACGTTAAGCGCTCAGGTGATGGCAGTCTGACGGTAAGCGTTAAGTGACGGGAGGGGTCCTTTGCGGTGCGGGTTCGCCCGATTTCCTGCACACTGCACACTGCCAAGTTAGGCCCGCGGCTCGGAGTTGTTCCGTAACCAGACCTTTAGCTGGTAACGGCTCATGATAGGCGTCTCATTCTTGATAAAAAAAAAATCAAAGATGTAGCTACAGCTTTAGCTGATAGTGAAATAAGAATATCGCTATAAAGAATACTAACAGCATGACGCGGGTATTTCTGTAGAATGTCTCCAAACCCGACGTCACTCCCGTCCGTTTTAGATCTTTTCGGGTCATTCATAAGCCACATTAGAATGCCTCGAGTACGCTCCGCCGGTATAAGCGGTGTATGACAGGGGGGTTCCTGAATGGTAATGCAATACATCCTAAACGAGCGAAAAAAAAACTACTGTAAGGGGAGGAAAGTAAAGCTTTGTGTGATGTACAAGTGGAGAGACGACGTCGTAAATAAGGAGGGGAAGCGGTACGTGGTCTAGGGGTCACATAAACACCCGGAAGGTTAGCAACGACTTTATTTACCAATACTCAGAAATTATATGTAATCACTATATCGATATTCAAATTAGCATATATATCTTGTGCATTATATTTAAATTGAATAAATTATAAATGTCAAAACCAATGTTCAATGTCAATATCGCATAGAAAAATAATTGTTTGCCGATACATATAAAAATGACGACAACGGCAGGACTCGAACCTGCGCGGGCAGAGCCCAAAAGATTTCTAATCTTTCGCCTTAACCGCTCGGCCACGTTGCCGATAGAACGGGTTTAATAATCTGTGAAAGTAGGGGTTAGATTATATTTTTATAACCTGCTACGACCTTCATACAAATCCACATTGTTGTCCTCGTTTGCGTATTTTTTCAGCTGTTTCGATGCCAGCTCTTACAAGCGGACAGAGGGGTACCACAAATGTGCCCATCTATCCCTTCTTAGGACGGGGGGCATGATCTCTGGTGTCACGATTGGCATCAGGAATGTCTATGTACAGGGAAGGGACATCCGTGACTGGCTCGAAATGTTGGTCTCACGGAATCGGAGACAATGCCATATTCATCAACTCTAAAAATCCTGTTGCTGTTGTACCTGAATAATAAGGTGAATGCCCCATGTGGATCTGCGTGCCCATGCCAAAATGTATTTTCTTTCACAAAATACCACATATTAATGCGGCCATCTTTTTCAACTGGTATCAATAATACGAGTTAGTGATTAGAATACATCCCGATAGCGATCGGGCGATCGCCCCTTTGCGATGTTGGCGTACCTACGGGAAAGCCCAACGTTCTGACACTTAAATTGAACATGAGGTAATCAAGCAATCAAAGCTTGGTATTCTGTCCCATTTGTTTTCCGATGCAGCTTTTTTCAAGTGAGATTTCGGGCATGTGATTATCTAGACGACTAAACCAAGGTAGGAGTGTATGTATATAAGTCGGTGCATGATATTGGACCATGACGATAATATCGGAATAAGACCTGGTCCAGGGGCAGTAAACTTTTGTACTGTAGCGGGCCATAGGGATGGGAAGCGAAAATCTAATATAGTACGATAAGGATTGTCCCACGGAGGGAACGCTCGATATATAATCCCTAAGTCCCTAGTCCAACCCGTAAATGGATTGTTTACCTTTGCTTACATCGTAAACAAAGCAGCTGGGTAATACCCGGAACTATATAACCAGGTCCCCGCACATTCGAACAAAGATTTAATAACACATTAACTCCCAATGAACCCGCCTCTTGCCATATCGCATACCGCTTGCTAAGTTCCCATGGCCAGTCTGAAACAGCCTTACGTCTCTGATTGAGGGCTTGAAGGCGAGTTTAGCTATGTGTTACCTTGTGCAGCGACACGAGGATGTAAGAATTTTTCCGGATAGGGAGATAAGCAACGTATGCATAACCTTAATCTCTACCCCCTACAACTCCTGTATAGCCAGGCGCGCGACCTCCTACGGTAATACAATACGTTATACCTATTTTTAGCGATAGATTAAATACAGCCCTCATGACAGAGAAGTTCCAATCGTTCCCATGGAGAGGTGCGGTCCACCTTTGCTTCCGAATCTATGGGATGAGCGTGTTTTGTGTCCGCGTGTGAAACGCGTTCGCGTGGTCCTGTGTACCAGAAAAAGGCGCAAGTGCCAAAAAAAAATTACCGTATCGGTGTATAATAACAAGGTTCACTAGGGCAACTGTATGGAAATCTGCTAAATATGGTGCATGAGATCACAAACGTACAGGTCCCAGACGGTGCTACTTTTTCGCTGTCTGATCGCGGAGTATGCGTCCACTTTGTTTTGACTGTACCCGATCTGGGACCCCTAATAGTAAATCGCACATAAATACGTCCACCACGATGTAGCTACTTTATCTTGTATGCAGTACAGGTCTCCATCAGCGCAGCACCGACGATCTACCAAGGAAAAGGACGCGTGAGAAAGTTTTTTGAACAGGGCTATACGCATGCGGAGTGGGGCCAGATGCTCCAACATTCCAGCCTAAATTGGCCATGCACCATATTCAGTCGAGGTTCACTTTCGGCAACAAATTATTCATTCACTCGGTACGACGTTTCTAGGCGTTGAGAAGGAAGTTTCAAGTCAAGAGAATTCCAAGCATTTGCATTTCAACCGAGCATTCAAAGAGCACCAGCTTCTTCATCAGCTGTCAGCAAATTTCTGTTTCTAATTGATCATAGCTGGTTCTCAGTTGCATTACACCGAGCCATCCCGCTTCTCAACTTTCATTAGATCATCTTCTTTGCTCCTGTCTTCCAGCTTCATCTGACCCTCTGCTCTTATCATCCCACCCCCGGCTTCTTTCTAGCTCCCGACGTATACCTCCATGCATTTTTTTACGCTTTTGCCCTTCTTTATCATACAAGTTGCAGCCTTGTACCCGTACTCCAATGGGTTCAACAAGATGGCTGTTTCTCCGGGATCCAGTGCCATGTCCGGTAAGGCCATCGCCTCAAGCTCTATCGTCGCCGTGAGCGAAATCCAGACTGCTCCATCGGGCTGGCTAGCCTACTTGCATTCCAGATCCCGGCAGACCCCCCAGTCGGCTTCCAAAGCTGTAGTGACCAACTCGAGCCTCCCAACAGTTCAGTGGAGCGACGGAATGCAGTTGATCTACTCTGACGACTCAGAAATCACGTTCTATGTGAATGTCACGCTCTTTGAGCCTAACTCTAGCGCTACGTTAGACCCGCTCAAGCTCATTCTTGATACTGGGTCTGCTTACATGTGGGTCTACGGTGAAGCTTGCAAGTCCTCTGCCTGCACCACCAATCCGCTCTACGCCGGCAAATCCCTCACGGAATCCACCTTCGAATTGGCGTACGGTAGCGGGACTGCCAAGGGGAACATCACCACTAACACCAGTGTCATTATCAACAATGAAATTCTTTCTAACTTCTCTGTGGGCGTGGCGTCCGAGGTTCCAGCCTTGTTCGACGGCTACCTGATGAGCGGAGTGTTGGGATTGCCTGCCAACTCGTCTAACGGGGCCAACCTTCATAATGTTGTAACCACTTTACAGACCGCAGGTTCCATTTCCAACAACTTGTTCACTATCTCCTTGGGTATGGGTGTTAGCGGAACAGACTCTTCTGCTGATTCCGTCGACGGGCTCTTTGTGATAGGCGAAATCGTCGACGAATTGTACTCCGGGGAGATACACTACGCTCCGGTAGAAGAAAACACGTATGCCTATTGGATGCTCACCATTGACCAGGTCTACGTGGAGTCCTATCCCGTCACATTCAATGCTTCCGTCACTAATGGCTCCTCCACCACCTCCCGCAGGGTCATCGTCGATTCTGGGACCACCGTGCTTGTGCTTCCATCGCAGGACGCGAGCACACTCCATTCCTACTTCCCGAACTCCATCACTGACGGAACCAACTATGCCATTCTCTGCAACACCACGCTCTCCATTGCGTTTGAAATCGCCGGTGCGAACTGGACGTTAACCCCTGCGGACTACTTGGGCGCCGCCTACCCCGCCCTGAGCAGTCACTACGGCTATTGTGTGTCCAACATCCAAGGTGTAGATGGCGTTGTCGCAACCAAATCCTCTGGTGCCGGCTCCACCGACGGAACGATCTCCCAGGCGTGGCTTCTAGGGTCTGTCTTCTTGAAGAAAGTCTTTGCCGTCTTTGACATCGAGGGCCAACGCTTGGGCTTGGCGCAGCCAGTAGCCTCCATTGCTATCGGGAACTCTGTACTACCGTCTGTCACGGCTGTTAACACTGGCTGGTCCACCGTTCTGGGCACTCCTATCCCTGTCACCACGGAATTCCTTACCCATTTCGTCTCCAGCGTTTCCCAGACGACTGTTTTCCATAACAGCACCGTCTCATCGCCAACTGCCAGCTCTACCAGCAGCAGCTTTATCAGTGCCGGCATCCTGTGCTCCTGTAACGTGGCCAAGGTCTTTACCAGAGTGTGTTGTATCTTGGGTCTTGTTGTGGTTGTTTCCTTGGTGTGAGGCCATACAAACATCTTTCGCATAAACCCGGGGTATCTTAACTGCTCTAACAGTAAATATCCTGATTTTTCTCGTCCCTAGAGTATCCCGGTATTTCTCCGCCCAATCAGGGCTGTCGCCCAAAACTTTTCCTGTACTATTATTCTTGATCGCTTATAAGTGATCTGACGCTCCATCCGACTCTGCTCTACTCTACTTTTCTTTCTGGTATTTCTGCCGCTCTTCCTCTTCCTTTCAGTTATTGGATTTATTTTTCATTTTTGGTTTCTCACATATTGATTTGTTCCTTGGTTTTCTAGCATATACGCTCCATACATCCTTCGTTGTTTATGTCTTGTAGGTACAGTTGACAAGTGGATACCAACTTTCAAGATCTACGATTCTTTTCAGTTGAAGACAATGTAATTAGCCCCAAACGACACTGGTATCCATCGATTGAACGCGTGGTGGACAGTCAACGTCGCTTAAGTAACTCACCAAATATGGATAGGAGGTAAATGATACCTAGACAAAGGACTTGTTGGATTCGCGGTAGAACAGTATGACTACGGTTGCCCTAATTCGTGGAGAAAGCTCTACGGCATAAAAAATTGAGAAATCGCAGTGTCATTAGCAACCAATTGCGATGGTATAAGATACCAAATGAATTAGAGGAGCCACCGTCCCCCATTTTAACCTTCTCCTCTCATTTCCCTGCCGAGGCGCACCCGAGGAACCGTATATACCCGAGGGTCTTCCGCGGCAACAATTTTGACATGAATGTACATGCAGGATATTGTTAACAGGAATGGCCCAGTAAGACAAAAACGTATCGGTATTTCTCTGCTGAAATGCCATTCGTTTGCTTATGAACTCGCTTTTGCATCATACTATTACGATGTCCGAGATTGATAACCTAGTTCAACAGTGGTTGGCCATCGATGTGGTATGTCCCTCTTTCCCTGCATCCGGCTCATACTAACGCTCCAGAACCCCGTCACCCGCCAGCAGATCATCAACTTGCACCAACAAAACGACACCGCCCAATTGCGCGCTCTTCTTGCCACACGGATTTCCTTCGGAACCGCCGGTTTGAGAGCCCGTATGGAAGCCGGATTTAGTCGCATGAACGATGTGACCGTCTTGCAGGCGTCGCAGGGGCTCGCGGTGTACGTGCAAGCGCGGACGCCAACCGGGAGCATCGTTGTGGGGCACGACCACAGGCACAACTCCAGGCGCTTTGCTGAGTTGACCGCGGGTGCCTTTCTTCTGCGAGGAATGAAGGTGTACTACTTGGGAAACACCGACACCACGAGTGACCTAGCCTCCATTGTCGCTACACCACTCGTGCCATTTGCTGTGGATCACCATGACGCTTCGTGCGGTGTAATGGTTACCGCAAGTCACAATCCTGCGGCTGACAACGGCTACAAGGTGTACTGGGGCAACGGGTGCCAAATTATCCCTCCGCATGACCACGGCATTTCTGAGTCCATCTTAGACAGCTTACCTGTGGAAGCGGGGTCCTGGGACACCACGGCGTTGTTTGCACGCGGAAAGCAGGACGGCTTGTTGGTTGACTGCCGCGAGGAGATGATTTCCGGCTACATCGCTGCCATCGGTAAAAAGTTGGTGTGCCCTAGCAGCACCGTCACGGACGTCAGGTTCGTGTACACTCCGATGCACGGGGTTGGCTTGCCATTTGTCACCAAGGCTTTCGAGCAGCTTGGCTTCGCCAGCTTTGTTACTGTCAAGGAGCAGGCCCTTCCAAACCCAGAATTCCCCACGGTTGAGTTTCCAAACCCGGAAGAGAAGGGCGCGTTGGCGTTGGCGATGCGTGAGGCTGATTCTCAGAATATCGACTTGGTGATTGCTAACGACCCCGACGCTGACAGATTTTCCGTTGCCGTCAAAAACAACGGTGCGTGGAGACAGCTCACGGGTAACGAGATCGGGTTCCTCTTTGCCGACTACACTATCGAAATCATGAAGGCTCGTGGGACGGACTTGAGCCAGGTCTTCTTACTCAATTCAACTGTTTCGTCTCAGATGATTGGTTCGTTAGCTACGGTTGAGAAGTGTCACTATCAGGACACATTGACCGGGTTTAAGTGGATCGGAAACAAGGCGCTTGACCTTGAAGCTCAGGGGTTTAAGGTGCCGTTCGCCTACGAGGAGGCTATCGGTTTCATGTTCTCGGTCGTGCATGACAAAGATGGAATTTCTGCTGCTGTGGTGTGGTTACAAATGGTGGACGCCTGGAACCAGCAAGGTACGAATGCTGTCGAAAGGTTGGAGCGGGGGTTCGGTAAGTACGGCTTCTTCAAGGAGCACAATGGCTACTATGTAGTACCGGATCTTTCATTGACCAAGACGATCTTTGACTCCGAGATTCGCACTGAGAGTCACCCTAGCCATATTGGCGAGTTCTCGGTGGTATCCTGGCGTGACTTGACAGTGGGCTACGACTCCACAACGGCCGATAACGTGCCCGTGTTGCCCTCCGACCCGTCCTCCCAGATGATCACTGCCACGTTAACCACAAAAAAACAGGACTGCCTAATCAGGCTCACCGCCAGAGGCTCCGGGACCGAGCCAAAGTTGAAGGTTTACATCGAGGGCAAGGCCGATACTGAAGAGAAAGCCGCTCAGTGCTCACGTAAGGTCTGGGAGACGTTAAGAGAGGTGTGGTTCAAGCCGAAAAAGTATGGGCTCAAGGAAGTCGCATAAGAGACAGCCTACAAATGTGAGTTGTCTGTAAAGTGCCCCCGGGACGCAGGTTGCCTATAAGAATGGCATTACTCGTCCTCTGGTTTTTTTCAATGATTATTTCTTCATTCTAGACGGACCAAAAGGCCATAGATGTAGAAATAGAACAAACCACGGTATACCCCTAGATCTGCTGTTTGACGGATTGAGAAGATTCTGTTTTAAACTTTTTCGGGGCCGTTGCTGGGACATGCCGCCAGATTGTCTCCTCCCTGTCTTAGGAGTTCCAACAGTATGAGTCTATTCCCTATGGTTAGCATAGCATATAGGCCTTGACATAACTGCAGTATCATCAATCGTTGATAGATCTACTGCCGTCCCTACCGTAACCATAATTGATCCGAGTCTTTTGATTTGCCGTTCCTACACTTCCACTCCAAAAGCTATGTAATTTGTATATACACCTTTTTGGTATAAGCTATTTGTGATAGTTGTATGTGTTTGTTTCCTCTCATCTACTGAAACCCTATCAAATGAATAGGTTCAGTTATTTGAATATTATAATGGTACTACACGTTTAGTTTTACCCTAGTTTGGGCTGAGTTAGTGTTTGCCAAAATAATGCATCAATCGGCTAGGTGTCAGGATATCACTAAGATCTACCGCGCCCGCCAGAATGCGCTTCCAACAGCCCTCAAAAAAGGCATACTATTCACCCTTATTCACTATGAATAGCTATTTACCGTGTCCGGATAGGGCTCATTTACGAAACTCCCAAATGTTTCAGCCTATTGCCTAAGTTCCCATAAATAATATAACCACCGTTTAATTTTTCCGGTTGCTTCTGCCAGCGCATCTTGACTTCCTGTACAGAGCGTATTCTACACTGGATCGAGGAAAACACGACAGCAGTTGGCGAACCACTACCAGTTATAATTACAGATCACCGCTATACCAGTCCAGAGCATCTAGCGCCATTGCTCCCCACCATGATTGCGGATACGTACGGCAAAAAGTCCGATCTTCCTGTGTATGTGGCCCTCCTCAGCCCTCTCTTCACATAACTAACACCTCTAGCCACCATGGAAAGCTAGCGCCGAAGACACCTTCCAGAGGCGCTTTCCGAAGACTATACCAAATCCTCGGTGCGATAGCCACCATTGCTCTTCTTGTGTTCTACTTCACCCGCAAACAAGATTTGCCAGAGGTTAAAAGCCATGAAGTCTACACCGTTACCGCAGACGGTGTGAGGAAGGGGGGGTTAGATGGAGTCCAGAGTGAAGAAGATTTGGACAAGCTCTACCATTCTACCGTAGAGTTCTACGACTTGAACGACTACCAGGGAACTCACGATGGGAATGCGGATGGCGACGTGGTGTTGTTTTGCATGCCACTCCGCAACGCCGAGGCGATTCTTCCAACCATGTTCAAACACATTATGAACCTCACGTATGCGCACGAGCAGATCGACCTCGCGTTCTTGGTGAGCGACTGCTCGGACGATGATGACACGTTGGGTGCGTTGTTTGACTACACCGTTTCGCTTCAGGCGGGGAAGCTTGGCGAAAAGTTGTATGCTGAGGAAACAGAGGCGAAGAAAAAGAGCGTGAAGGGCTCCAGCGATTTGTATCTCAACTATATGGACCCGGACTATGTGGAGCGGGTCCAGAACGCGTTCCAGCCGCCATTCCACGCGGAGTATTCAAAGCCGTTTAGAAGCGTGCAGATTTTCCACAAGGACTTTGGTCAGCTGATCGGCCAAGGCTTCAGCGACAGACATGATGTGAAGGTGCAGGGCATTCGGCGCAAGTTGATGGGCCGCGCGCGCAACTGGTTGGTTTACAACGCGTTGAAGCCGTACCACTCGTGGGTCTACTGGCGCGACGTGGACATCGAAATGTGCCCGGGAGATGTCATCCAGCACTTGATGAAATTCAACATAGACGTGATTGTGCCCAATGTGTGGCGCCCGCTCCCTGAGTTCTTGGGAAACGAGCAACCGTACGACTTGAACTCGTGGATTGAAAGCGAGCAAGGCTTGGAGTTGGCCAAAACCCTTCAAGAGGATGATGTGATCGTGGAAGGCTACGCCGAGTATCCCACCTGGAGGGCCCATTTGGCATATATCCGCACGAAGGACGGGAATCCCGACGAGTTGATTGCGTTGGACGGGGTGGGCGGTGTTTCCATCTTAGCGAAGGCCCGTGTGTTCCGCCAGGGCGCTATGTTCCCCGCGTTCACATTCGAGAACCACGCCGAGACTGAGGCCTTTGGAAAGTTGGCAAAGCGCATGGGCTTCATCGTTGGTGGGTTGCCTCACTATACCATCTGGCACATCTACGAACCCAGTGAAGATGATCTCCAAGAGATTGCTCGCAAGGAAAGAAAGAGGAGGCACCAGCGGAAGGGAAAACAAAATTAGTATACGAAAGGGGAAATGTGTACTTCAATGAGTGAAATGGAATCTGAGAAAGCGTACGAATTAACTGTGAGTCAGTGTAGTAACGAAGATGTGAGATTTCTCTAGGAACCCAAGGAGATGTGAAAATACAAGCTCAAAAATTACCAGTTTGAAATTTATATGCGCTGGTTTTGTAGAATTGGCAGTGCACTGGTAAGAGTCATTTGCGCTGTTGTTTGCTTGATACAAACGAAAATTAAGCTTGTTCTCTTTTCCAGCCAAGCCAGTACACGGGGGAGGTGGTATCTTGCGGTTTGTCAAATTTATCAGATATATTTATTATGACATCGACCGAAGGGTATAATGTCCATTAAACCCTGAATCAGCGGCTTATATGGAGTAGCCAAGATACCCATTAAAAATGGGAATTGCTGACCTGATACCGTGGGTTTAACTGGAAGTTGAAACTCGCAGCCTAGAAATTAGCTAATATATAGTTTATATTTGTATTATAACATGTTTTAAATCGTAATTGAGTCGTAAAAGCAGCCAGCAGCAGAGTCTCTAAGCGCAAGAATTTGAAGATGTGCAAAAGGTCTAAGATGCTATGCTCTCTTAACACCGTTGGTCCAATTGATAATATCTCTGTAGACCAATGGCCAGCCGAAAAACGCAGCCAACCAAAGGCCAGTAGCACCGGCTATTGGGATACATCTCTTGGTGTGGGCAATGAGTGGGTGGGGGCCCAATCTCTTTGGTAGGCTGTTGGCAGCTTGGTTCTTCAAGGCGAACTTTATAGACGATCTGGCGGCAGATCTGGCAGTGTTGGAACCCAAGGCAATAGACATTGTAAAAATTGAAATTTGTTGCAAAGATTCAGTAAAGATATACGAAAGGATTGATGAATGGGTGGTTCTCGTTTGGAAAGCCCCCACCGTATTTATACTTCACATGTCCCAGCTACCAGTCATGAGTGTAAACCAAGAAACCCTAAAGGTAACAAACTTCCACTTGCTATGTAAAATCACGCCACTAGAAAGCCATATCTTGATCAGCCAATACACGCATATGTCTCACGGTTATACGCGCCAAGCTGTAGCACCCTGCAATCAGCCTTGTCTAGAAAAAAAATGGTGTGATAAATTCCATACAGGCTGCATAATTATCTGAAATGCTGCAGGCCCGGGAAGCTCCGCTGTAAGGTTAGTATGGGAACGAACGGGGTCGTGGAAACTTGCAGGACCCAAAATCACCAGATTTTTTTTGGTGCGGAATTGTCGTAACCGATCGCAGGGCTCTTACCTAAACCTGGCGGTGAGACTGAAAACATGCTGATATGCATGACTGAAGGCGCTTGGTATAGCGGGATTACTTATATTTCTCGCAAACACGGCAGAAGATGCATAAAGCTGACATTGAAAAGTTCATGGCGTCATATGAGTAATTCAGCCGGAGGAGTATAGCGATGATCACCGTGCCGGAAGTCAGACAGTCATCCCGCGGGTAGGCTTTAGACTTTAAACCTGCTTCATTAGTAAGTGCAGAATACCACGACTGTGGTTGGCTGTTTCTTGGAGAGACTCGCAGTTGGACCTGCGTTGGGGCAGGATTTCTTTACATCCCTCAAACGCCGAAGGTTCGCCTAGCCTGAAGTGTTTCGTTATACCCCGATGTATGCTGAAGAATTTGGATACATCAGGCTAAGTTCAGATGAGTGTATTGATTCTATGGGCTATTCTATGGGGAGTTTTCAAATTAATTAGAACTTCCAAGGACCAACCTTAAACCGCTAAAACCACTTCTTCAAAGGGACTCCATTGTTCCAATCTACCAAGTCTCTGTATACGAGTGGCCAGCTGAAAAAACAGAACATAAAGACACCCCAGGCACCGGTAATAGGGACTAGACGCTTGGCATGGACCCAGTAAAAGCTAGGTCCTACCCTCTTTGGGGGAGCCTGGTTGACCGTCTGCTTGATTGTGAATGCTCGACGAGTGTTAATAGAGGAGCTAGAAAACCTTTTTGTTATCGCTGGGGCTTTGAAAATTTTCATGGAATGAGAGATGATGCGAGAGGAGAGAGATGGTAGGTACGACACGGCAGAATGATAATAATCAGATTTGGATAGAGAAACGATTAATTAACTACCGAAAGATGGGACTGCCTCGTATTATATAACTTGAAAGACCACTAATTTTAGCAAATTGTTCGAGTTAATGTATTAACCATACCATTAGGGGGTCCCAAATCCCATATTTACTCTTTTTGAGTAGTTTAGCCCGAGGTGTCAAATCTCACCACTTTTAAGTTTTTTACACCCTTGTTCTTGGTGAGTTATAAGTCTCCCAAAGTGGCCAGATAGAGAGAGACTGTCGCTCAGAAGAGTATTGAGTTTCCACCGGCCGCATCTCTAACGTATACCTTTGCTCGTTTGTAGATTAACCGGGAAATCTGATCCGCATATCCAGGTGTGACATCCGACGTAGCCTTGTTCTCTGGATTTGCCATGGAGCCTATAAGTCATAAGGTGATTATTCAGTCATGCAAAGCATAACAATAGAATACCATAAAAATCACGCCACGACACCAGTGCCGTTCGAGTAAGTAATTAACTGGGGGGACTCAGAACAAGTCCGGTAATGTATGCATATTGCACATGGTGTGACATTACTCAATGCCTAGCATCTTGTGCAAAAGGTAGTACATATATAGAACCTCCAATGGATTGCTGGAGCTCCAGGTGAAATTGAAATATTAATTAAACTTCTGATATTGTACGTGATTGCATCCCGTAGGTAAAAGGCAAAAACTAGAGGTCGTACCCGGGCTCGAACCGGGGTTGGTCGGATCAAAACCGACAGTGATAACCACTACACTATACAACCTTCGTTGAACGGTTTTCTAAATCTCACAAGTTGCCGGATGGTGCAACTCAGATATTATTGTGTGACTGATTGAAGTTTTGCCAAATTATAAGGCAATACTGTTATTTTACCATATTAATCGTATAGTACGAGGTCAATAACCAGTCAAAATCATAGATTGGATTGGCTTCATTTCAGACGTAACCGGCAGATGCTTACTTACTCCTAGGCTACTCTTGGTAACTGTTCGCCGTACAAGGAAACGGGTTTAGCTATATCTGTCCTATGTTCTACAGAGAGCGCATTCTTATATAAGCTTTCTCAACCAGCGTATGAGCTAAACCTAACTCCGGTAGATTGATCATCCACCCTCCTCCCTTAGTCCCTACCAACAGGTACACGATGCGGTGGCCATACGGAGCGTGTACTTAAGTCTCCGCCAGCCCAAAATTTTAAAGGAATTTTTGTTGCCTATTCTTCAGGGGTGGACCTCCGTTAATATTAAAGGCTAGCTCCCCATAGGTGACGCCCACATTGAGCTGCTCAGGAAATCGTGCAAGGAAGGTCATCTGAGCGACAGTAGACATAAAGGTACAAGCTGGAGGTAAATTCATCATGGTCATGTATAATATATAAAAAGATCGTATAAGTCGTAAACTAGAACCAGAGTAATGTAAAAGAAAACCCACCAACGAGAGAAAGGAAACATAAATGTACATATAAACAAGTTCGGCTGGTTGATTGCAATCGCATTCACTGTTCTAAGGGTGCGGTATAACGTAAAGGATGACATCATGGACAGTTTGAGTAGATTTCTACTCAGTTGACAATTACTGGTCGACAGACAAGAGCCCGCTCTATTTGTCATCCACCGTTTCTTCGTCGCTGTGGGTGTCTTCCCATTCCTGAGTCAATTCGGCGTCAGTCTTCATGGCTTGGGCAGAGTTGCTCATTCTTCTAGGGTTATTCATTTTGACCTCGCCGGTAGAGACTAAGTCGTCTAGCTCGCCGCCAACAGTACCCCAGTTACCCTTACCCCAACCTTCCTTCTTAATCTTGTGAGGGTCTTGGTCAATGTGGCCATTGTGGGTGAAATAGTGGGCAGCTGGACGCTTGCTCCACTTGTGGGTGTGAGTCATGACTGAAAGGGGATGTGTAGGTAAGTGGGTGGTACAGTGAGATTAAGTACAGATAGTGAAAAAAAGTGGATAGCTTCTTTTCAGTTAGAAATGTACTTTGAGGTGAGTCAGGGGTGAGAGCGCTTGTAAGTGGGTTTAAGGAAGTTTTTGGTTTGGGTGTTGTATCTGTGGACAGATAAAGGAGAAAGTTTAAACGAAAAGTGAGGGAAGGGGAGAGTGGGTGTATTTATACTGAATCAGGAATAGAAGGCTGGGAAGTCTGTCGAACACAGAGGGGGGTAGTGGGTCGTTCCGGGCCGGTTTGAACCACTCACACGCTCTCAGTGGAAGCTTAGAGAACACTGGTACCTCCCTCATTTCCGCGCGTCCATGTCAAATCGCACAAAATTAGACAGCCGCCCATCATTTCCCTGCGCGGGTGAATCACTTGACCGGCACACAATAAAGTGTGGGCTGTCAAAAAGATTAGTATGGGGGTGGGTGGGGCGATAAGCTGTATGTTTAGCACTGGGACGCCATGTCGACGTCCGATAACGCACAAGCCTTGGCGCTGACGTCAAAATGTTAGAAGCCCTTGTCGAGAGGTGTCATTCATTCTTGCTATATCCGGTACATAGCCCGTTTTGGGTTGGCAACTGTCCCCCTTCTGTATACGCAAATAAAGATCAGTAGGCTGTCAGACGCACACAAAGAGGATCAATCGTGTGATGACGGGACTATGCGTACGGGACGAGCTGATTTCAGGAAAGAGACTCCTGCCTGGTGAGAACAACCACCCAGTGCTGCACACGTTATACTGCCGCTTCCAAGTTCTGAGACAAACAGGGGATCATATGTGCCCGTTACGGATAGCGGTACCTTCTACCAAATTATACCTGGTGAGGGAAAATCTCTGGGGCAATTTCGAAACACCTGGATCTAGAGCTTTCTATGTGGTCACCACAGTTTCTAGATCGGGTAAGTGCAGGATGTTTTGCTTCCCCCCACCTTTCGCACGATGAGGTCACACTATCGTGATCAGTTGCTCAGCCGCCAGGTTCAGACTCAAAAGTGCCTCACAATATTCTCAGTGTCACACCTCATTATGGTCACGACTTTTCCTTACATCTCTGGCGTATTCTGGCCGAGGGAAAAAATAAGCTAGATGTAGATGTATGGCTGGATACAAACAGCACTGGATCCGGTAGCGACATGCCTGAAAAAAATTTGTTGGAATGCGGGGATTACCCTCAACTTAGTTTAGCGTCTTAACAAATTGATCTCGCATAAGGAACTTGCGGATTTCGGTGCCTAACAGCATACAGAGCACCTTATCCCTGAATGGGAGAAGGCTCTTTTAAATCGCTATCCCCCTTCTAAAGAGAATGCTCCAGGACTAGGTTGGTAGGAATCACTATAAACTATCCACGCATAGATAACGTGTGGTACCTCCCACACGGTAAACAATAGTTGGTTCAAGCCTCTTTTGTGGTTGGTGTAATTGCTAAGCCTATAATACCCCTTAAGTATTCCCGATGCAATGCAAAGGGCGTAGGGCTCATGACCTATATTAGCATCGTTACTCTGCATTGCTGCAAAAGCGTATGAAACTCCCGGGCTGTCCATGTAGTGAAATTTACGCAGAAAGAGAAGGGTGACCATTTGTACACCCAGCTATAAACTTTTGTTGTAGTTTCTTTTCTCCAGTAACCTTCCATATCAAATTACCTTTACCCAAACCCAAATATGGTTTAAAGAAGACACCAATACCAGCTTCTATGGCCTCCAATAGTTGAAACTTGACGTTTTCTATGCTCCACTGGTATAAGGAGGCGTTTCCGAGTACATAGATACCCTAAATGCGTATGCGTACATGTAGTATCTAGCTCTCTATGAAGAAAATCGTTACCGGCTTTGGCCTTCGTTCCTCCTGAGGTCATGGACAAACTTAAAATTGCTGTATAAGGTGTTCTACAAATAACGTGTGGGGCAAATTTCAATTCACTTGAGATCACAACCAGCCATTCCAGCGTATAAATACCTTCCGATACCTCCATCTTCAAGATCTACGTTAGCTCTTTCTCCAATTATCCAACCTCTTTTAGCTTGAAGAATTGTTCTCCAACGTAAAGAGTGACCCTTAATACCAGTTCACAGCCATTTTATCCTCTGTCCTAACAATAGCCTAGCCCAAATAACCCTGTAGCCATGAAAAAAAAGGTGAGAAGATCTTCCTCCGCTGGTTCTTTCAACATTAACGAGATTGGCCCTGCGCCAAGACGTCCCTCTCAAATCCCTCCTGTCAGAGAGTTTGATGAGTTGATTTCCTTTGAGCAATATCTCCAGGATGAAACCTGGGATAATGAGTTCGACTTTGTCCATGCCAAGTTGAAGTATTACCCACCATTTATTATGGCTGAGTGTAAGAATGACCCGGAAAAGATTAAGGATACCATGAACAAGAAGTCGCGCAAGTTTATCCGCAACTTGAACCACCACATTGATAAACATCTCTTGAAGGAGATCAACGAGAGGTCTGGTTTAGTCATGAACTTGAAGAAGGTTGATGCCAAGGACTCTTTCGAAAAGTTGGTTTGGTCTTACGTTGATGAGGGTAACCATGGAATTGATGATTCTGTTCCAAGAAAGTTCAAGGTGAGCATGGATGTTACCTGTAACAATGAGAACCCTTGCGTTATTGTTGACTACAAATCCATCCCAATCCCGGTAGATGAAGATGAAAGTGCGATTATGGATTAGAGCTGTGCTCAATTCATTCGAATCAAGTGCGAAATTCCCGGGCTGCGCCCTTCAGAGTTTTCTGTGCTCCTTGCGCTTTCTATGTTTTTTATGTTGATCATGATTATGGCTTTTTTCTTCTGTTTATAGTTTCTGTTTGGCCATAGCTAATTTACCTACGAATTATGTTCATTAAGACCAGTAAGCAACCTTCATGGAATAGAAACAGGTGGGTATGGTCAAGCTTTGTCGATAATATTCGATGTAGTGGAGCGCCCTGTAAAGTCCCTATGGGGTGTCTACCTCAGGGGTATTCGGAACTTACCATAAAGATTCTGAGCTGTACTCTACGCATGTCAAGCTGTCGGTTAAGCGTGGCGTAGTCGGTGGCGCATGAATCCCCTGCAGGTAGAACTGTGGCCATAGCTATCCTGTATTTACACAAATCTGATATTTTACCTATACTAATCGAAATATTTATTTTTCGATAGCCTCTCTAGTGTGGTGATGAAAAAGAATTCATCTATATAATATATATGCTATACGTTTTTATATCGACATTGCAATCATTTGCAATGAATATGCTTTATAGAATGTATAGATCCTGGGGTGTTATATGCCATAAAAGTTTATCGATATTCGGTTCTATGGAGTATTTATATTAACATGGATTATTATATATATTATATTCCAGAATAATTATTATTATACTAATATACACACATTTAACTTTTCAATAAATTAGAAGCAATAATGTTTAGCCTATGACTATATATTTTCACATATAAGATAAAATATGTATACACAGGCTAAAATTCCGACTCCCAATAAAAACAATAGTCCCGCGTGTTAGCCAATTATACCGTAGGACCGGCTTCTTTTAAAGTCTATCTGTTCTAACCTTCGTGATAGTTTGGTCGCTAGGATTTTCATCCGTCGCGCGAGGAATTGGGACCCAGTTCTCCCCTACCGACAAGTTCTTGTTTTACTACACTAACTGGTATCTAATCCAGCGAATCCACGAAAGAGTGTCTGCTTTTCGTCAAAATACTGAGCAATGAGGGCGCAGATGGATATTAAATCCCGCAAACGTCAGCTCGTTCACAGTGCCTGGACTGAGGTTAAAGGTGCAGGATAACACGCTACGCATGAACGGCAGTTATGTAATGTGACTAGTTATTACATTGTCAATGATCGCTATTTCCAATATTCGCCTGGAGGATAGGTGAATGGTTGGGGCCCTAGGCCCAAGAAATCATGACCTCACGGTTAATCCAATATGCGATATATGTAGATTATAACATGCCGTTACACATGCATCCCTTCGGGGAATGATTATCGTAATATTTACAACAGGATAACCTAAATGAAACGAACCACACTCTCAGTGTACTTTTTAGTGGTTCTCTTTTGTGAGATTGGTACATTCATACAGAAATCAGAAGTGGTACACACCCTTTAATATATACAGCTGGAGGGACCAATAAAAGTGCTGCTCATATGGAAGATTACGGCCAAGTATCGGAACTACCGCACCATCTTGCGGAAACTCCAGTATTAGGTTCAGAAGTAGTGCAGGAGGCTTGGAGGCTCAAATCTCCACGCAGATACAGTGGATTCTATGTTAGGCGAAACCCCGGGGCTGATCACGTAAAAGCATTGATATGGCAAGACAATAATCCGATTCCTTCTCACAACCTACTTTACCAGTACATTTTGAATGTACTGTGATTGAGATTTAAGGTAACGAAAGCTATGCTTGGCAACAGTGCCTAAAGATGCTCAACCCTAATTTTTAATACGGAAACGGATCTGCACTCAAAGTAAAAAGTAGAAGGCAAGCTGGATTAGTCTTACTAAGAAGTGCCACTTGAGCGTTTGCCTAATTTGCAAAAGGGGTAGCATGGAGAACAAGATGAACGAGGAGTATAGCGAGAGCTTTTAAATCATACAAGTCTTTTGCATTTCAGTCTATTATTTCGGTAAAACCAGACATGCTTATCAGTACACACTCCCCTCCCTGAACAAGCTTACAAAGTGCCGTACATGGAATAGAATCCACAATAATGATGCCGAACGGGTACACTCGTAAATGGCTATATAGTATACGTGATTAGTGTCAGCGGAGTAGCGGGGTACACGGCTATTCCTTTTACCGCTCATGTAATCCGGTATATTATAAATGCTAATCTTAATTACTGATATACCCGAGAGAGATACTAGGGTGGTATAGTCATTAATATTCTTCGGGTCGTATTTCCGATATCCCGTACCATCCTGCTACTGACAACTCCGGGTATCAAAAGTCTATCCGTAACCGCACCGTTGCGGGGAATCGGAAACTACGCTTGACCGAAGGAACAAAGATATGCCATATTCAGCCATCCGTTAAGACATTAGATAAGCAAAAATAAACCTCACCAAGGCCCAATAAAATTTATGGAAGAGTTTCCTAGTAGAAGATAATGACCCCGACTGGAGTCCTCTCAGAAATTAAAGTAGGTCATCCAGCCCTTCTTTGGGTATGCGCGGATCACCTCTAAACGGGTAGCCCCGCCGAATTGCATGCATACTCCATCCAAACGTTTTGCTATCGTGCATGCAGAGTGCAGCAGAGCTATTTGTCTCGTCTTTATTATGCTGTACTCTGTCACCTTTTACGGTTAGATACCTGTCTGAACTGTAACCGTAGCATGGATCTATAAATTCCACACCGATCCCATTTAAAAATTCGGGCCAAGAGCTGTTCATCGCCACATACTACCTTCCTCCATTTATAGCTACATCTCTTGTATTTGTAACAGAACACGATCATGACCTTTCAGACTGCAGTGCAAACGCTCCACCGGATAAACGATAGTTTTCCAAAACTCTACAACATTTTCCTCGTGGCTCTGGTAACCACCATTGCTGGTATGCTTCAGGGTGGTGACCTTTCTTCTGTCTCTGCCTTCCTTGGACAAGAGCAATATCGAAGTTTCTTCAAGTACCCAAACTCCTTAACCCAAGGTGGGATTACCGCGTCGATGGCTGGTGGGTCTTTCCTTGGATCTCTCATTGCTGGTGGATTTGGTGACAAGGTGGGCCGTCGCTTGACTATCCAAACCGGTGCGCTCTTCTGGATGATCGGAGCTGCCATCCAGTGTTCCGCACAAAATGTGGTTCAATTGATCTTTGGGAGATTAATCGCCGGGGTTGGGATTGGGTTTTCTTCATCCACATCCGCGATGTACTGCGCGGAATGTGCACCAAAGAAAAATAGAGGTTTGGTCACTGGTCTTTACGGCTTATCCATCCTGACGGGTATGATGCTCATGTTCTTTATCGGTTATGGCTGCTCGTTTATTGAAGGCACGGCTTCGTTCAGAACAGCTTGGGGGATCCAAATTATCCCTGGGTTCATGTTGTTCGTGGGTGTGATGTTTTTACCTGAATCCCCAAGATGGCTCGCCAACCACGATCAATGGGAAGAGGCCACTCGGATTGTCGCCCAAATCCATTCCAAGGGTGACTTAAACGACCCTGAGGTTATCATCGAATTAGAAGAGATGCAAGAAATGGTCTACATGGACAAGGAGGGTAAGAACGTCACCTATCTTGACTTGTTCCGCAAAGATTCGATAAACAGAACTTTCGTGGGTATTTCAGGCCAAATCTGGCAACAGTTAGGGGGTATGAACGTCATGATGTATTACATCGTTTACGTGTTTGCCATGTCTGGTCAGACGGGTAACAACAACTTGGTTTCCTCATCCATCCAGTACGTTATCGGCGTAGTCATCACGATTCCGGGGATCTTCTTGTACGATCGTGTCGGGAGACGTACCGTTTTGCTTTGGGGTGCGTTTCTTATGTGTGTTTTTCTTTTCACGGCGTCTGGCTTGTTGGCGGTGTATTCTCATCCGGTGGACCTGGTTGACGGCAACCCAGGTATCAGAATCTCTATCGACCCTGAACATGCTAATGCATCCAAAGCCGTTATTGCTTGCACCTACTTGTTTGTGGCTTCCTTCTCTCCTACTTGGGGCCCTTGTATTTGGGTATATTGCTCCGAGATTTTCCCAACCAGACAAAGAGCAAAGGCCAATGGGCTATGTGCCTCCTTCAACTGGATCTTTAACTTTGCCTTGGCGTTGTTCGTACCAACCGCTTTCAAGAATATTACGTGGAAGACTTACACTCTCTTTGCCACTTTTTGCGCTACAATGTTTATCCAGACCTATTTCATGTTCCCAGAAACCAAAGGCAAGACGTTGGAAGAGATTGAGCAGATGTGGGCCGAAAAGATTCCAGCATGGAGGAGTGCTCTGTATATTCCAGATTTATTGAAGTACAGAACGGAAGTCCCTGATAACAAGACGACTATTGAGCATATCGAAGAGAAAGATCGAATGTCTCAGGACTCGCACAGCGTTGTCCATCAAAGCATTGCCTAGGTGTTAATTCAATTAGATGGAATATCAGGGGTTTGCCGATCCGCTGGATAGAGATTATGACGTAATGAACGAGTTTATTGTAAATTTATTGTTAAACAGCTATAAATCTTTTGATTTTTAATTTGGTAGTTTATAGCTTTTTGCTTTAGTGTGGGAGTTTTTGGGCTATTTGAAGGGAGGGACTAGTGAACCAGACCTAGCATCTAGACTTGCCTATTTGGTTCTTGGCTGAGAAACTTGAAAATGACTGCCTCAAACGTGGGTGCAGATAATCTTTGATACTCAGGACTGCGGACAAACTTGCTATGCGACGTATGTGGTACAAAGTTTTAAGATGCAGGTGCAGTAGTATACCAGGGTCTAGACAAGGCTTTTCATGTGCTATACCTGGAGGCTGAAAAAAAGGGTAAGGGTGTAAACGCTAAAGTCAGAATACAACCGATAGTCGGGAAAGTGGGAGCTGGTAAGAAGGGTTAACGGAAAATACATCAGGACAGCAAGCTTAGCGGATTAAAGCAACGGTGAAGCCTATTTACTCATCAAACAATCGACGCATGTGGAACCTCAGGGTAGCCAACCAAATCGTGGAATGAACATACAGATGGTTTGAGTATGCGAATAGAGGGCTCAAATTGGAACATGCCAAGAACTCAGACCATAGTTAATTGTCTAATGTTATAATTTTGGGCACGTACGAGTGCGTCTAATGCATATCGCGGCAAAATGTAGATTCTCACGTTTTTATTCCGAGAACCTAGCAATTGATACAAATTTAACACTCTACCTAATGGTTTTGGCCTGCAAGGTACCATGTACGATGGCGTATTCGTTCTGAACCATGCATGTTTACCAGCTACACATAACTTGTAATTTGAAACTCCACACTGCATATTGTGAAACCGTAAATCTGTTTAATTCAAAGTCACAAATGAAGAATTTAGGATAGCACTCTGCGTGAGTATATAAGAGGACAGACGTGTGTCTTAAATGTGGGTCGTGAGAAGGATACCATTAAGCAATTACCTTTGACATGCACTTCAACTCTTTCATAAGCTTAACCCTCCTTTGTGGCATTGCCTCTGCTTCTTCCGATTTTTTCAAGCTCAAATTCCAAAATGGCCCTGCTATCAATGTAAACGCCCCAAAACACATTATAATCGAATCTGAATCGTTAATGTACTTAGTTTATTCGCAGAACACGACCGGGAGAATTTTGCAAGACGGAAAATACCAGATCCAAACCGATTCGGGATTGGAGTATGTCACCATCGATGACTCCGGGGACAAAGCCGGTCTTTCACCCGCATTTATCGCGATCATCCTGGGTAACGAGACTGAAGGGTCGAAGGGGTTTTCCATCACCAACGAAGGGTTCTTGTCCTACAACGGGATCAGTCTCTGGGATATTTGCCAAAAGCAGAACGTCGGTCCAAACTTAAATGAATGCACTCCAGCACTGTTAGGGATCAACCTTGTCGCAGGAAATGTGGTGAGTGGTCAACCTATCGGTGCGTATGACCCCCACACATACGATCCCTCAAACAATGATACCTATCCCTTCAACACCACTGAAACATTAAACATTGCTAGAACTGCTGTTGATTCCTTGTTCACCTTGGCTACCTTAGATGAACCTTTAATAATCGGCCAGGTAAAATATCCCACGACGCTCTTGAGCGTCACGCGTGACTAAGCCGGAAAAGGCTCAGTCGCCATGGCATGTAATACATGGATACCAAATTTCTCTTTAATATGCAGTTGTGATGATTCGTCCCGTAGGGTTTAAAGTCCCCTTAATAGTAGTTTAGGCATTGTGCCTAATAATAAATACCTTTTCAACTCCTTAGACCAATACAGAGATTAGGATAAATGTAACCCACCCATGGAAACAGCAAGGTCATCATCCTTGTTATGGGAATAATCCTGCCATGGAACCGAAATCTTTTCCTTTCTCCACCTTTGAAATTCTTTACGCACGACGTCATCTCTGATCGTTTCCACCTTCGAACCAACATATTCCTTTAATTCATATTGCTGATTCCGTGTATATTCCAACCTCCAAGCCTTACCCTCGTCCTTAGGGATAGTAGCAACGATCCATTCCAAAATTGAAACAAAGAACTGAGTCGACTCCTCACATTGTTCGGCTTGAAGAACACTATCAGGCATCTCAGACACCTTGTACAGCTGCATGCGTTTGAGCATCAAGTCTTGAGACCTGAATCCGTAAACAATGGTGGAGGTACCAATGACCATGCTCTGAGACCAAGCACGGAATAACTTATCACTGAAATTGTACTTTGTGTCGCCCGTAACCTTCAACTCCATAAAGTCAGATGTCTTTAATTCAGCCTTGGTGGAAGCCGGGGACTGAATACAGTCGATCTCACCAGAGATAATCAAGTTGATATTCTTAACCTTCCTTTGGACCACGGCAATAAAGCCTTCCCCACCGTGGGCGATGGGGTTATGTTCCTGGGTCTCCTGAATAATACGGGCATTTTCGTATTCGCTCGCAGGCTTTGGAAGTGTGACTCGACTCTCATACTTGTATCCAGCATATATGTACTTCAAGCCTCTGGTATTTAACCGCGCAACTTCTTGGTTTCTGGCCTTGGATGCCGCTGTTTCCTTGATGAATAAATGTTCATCGAAAAACACGATATCCAATTCGAATGAATTGGAGAAACTTTTTAATGACTGGAGAAAAGACTTTAACACTCTTCGAGTGACAATAATATCGGCTTTGACTTTAACACCCAGCTTTTCTTCATGCTCTTTGATAGCGTGCAAGAGAGCGACATGATTGTACTTGGGGCGATGTGTGATGAGGGTTTTTCTCCACTTTTCGTAACCTGGTTTCAACGAGATACCTTTAGTTCCACGTAAGCTACTGGGGCGGTGATAATAGCTGAGAAACTTTTCCTTATCCTCATTGAAGTAGTAGTACCCGTGGTCATCGACAGAGAAGGCTGTGAGGTACTCGGTGCCTTTCAAGTCGCCAGAAGTATAAGCACTGCGAGAGGTGAGTGAAAACGTACCTGATAGCCTTGTTCCTTCCAGGCAATCGGGGGGTGGTGGCATCTCGGGTGAGTTCGAGATGAGTCGAGGTTTGGTGGGATGACTTGAGAGTAAAGATGAAAAATTCTGTGCAGGTCTTTTTGACAGGTCTTGCGTTAACACTCGAAAAGCTCGGGGAGAATTCTCTTATTTAGCAGACCAGTGCAAATTAGGTCTTTAACAATACAAACTATTACCCATCCTTTTGTCAGATTCCCAATCATCCTTCTTCATATTTTGACGTAGCCAGGAGTATTCTTCGAGCAATTCGGATGATCGTGCTTGAGAGTTACTTCTTTTTTCATCGAGCAAAATATTTAAAATGCCTTTAAATTTTATCCACGTGAAGTTATCGTTTGGTTTGGCAGGGTGTTTGAGGTTGAATGGATCTAAAATATTAGCCCCATACATAGATCACTGAAGAATGAAAAACCCGAGGCTACAGATATATTTATCAGTATTATAGGAACTAGGGGAAACTCTATCATTATTACAAGTAGACTGGGTGGCTAGAATACAACCGTACCGTCACTAAAGATACCTTTAAGTCCCTCTGCAAACCAAACTCAGTGAAGACGCTAGAGATCGCACGACTTTCGTCATAGAAAGACGTGGAGCGTTTAGACTCTATTTCTGAATTTCATATTTTTCCAGATATCCCATAATGCCTCTATTTAGTTGGAAGACTGATATGGAAAGCCTTAAGACCCCAAACTTGAAACGCTTAGGCATAAATACGAGCTACATAAATTCATTTGTAAAAGTCATATTGAAGAGAGTCTTGGAAACGGGACGCACAATGACAGCTTGTACGGAGCATTCCATGACGTCAGCCAGTGTGGGATGCATGGTTTCCTTTGACACACATACGTCATATGTTACAACGGGTAGACTACTCAGACAAACTGTTCATAGACGTGCTAAATATAGATCCCCTGATGCATGCGCATGTAATCTAATGTAGGGGTTCTCCAGTACCTGATCATCGTGATATGAAAAGCAGATCGTTGAGCAACCCAGTGTTCCGAAAAAAAAACCCTATATAAGATAGCATGATCTTCAGTTCACAATCAATTATGTCACTATAAATATACTAGCGAAGTCATACCGTTGTTTCCTAAACCCTTCGCACAACTGCAAATCTCTTCAATACCTAAACCTGCAATTATGAAGTTCACATCCATCTTTCCATTTGCTTTGACTTTATCAAACCTTGTCACATCTCTCCCATTAGGTTATGACACATCCAAATCAACATCCTTTAATTTACAGATCCAGAACAGCTCTATTAACGCGTTAAATGGCGAACAGATCACGCGAAGATTCGCCAGCAACCGCCCAGACAGCGAATTGGGATACTTCCCAGGCGAGGAAATCGGATTCAGTGGTTACATTACGGATACCGGGAGATTCGAACTCGAATCCATAACAGGTCCACAGTCAGTGTGTATCGACGATTCCCTTACCTTAGTTCCAAACCATGTTGCTTACATCCGTGAAGGCACCGAAAGCAAGAGCGGGTTTGCCATTCAAGCCGGGGGTCTACTCTCATTTAGAAATTCTACCCTGTGGTTACTCTGCCACAACAATGGGGTTTATGCGTTGGTAACTGGCGAATCCAACTGTGACACCAGCGATATTTACGCAAAGGTAGAACTTGTTGCCCTTAACAATGAAAAGCCCATCTCTGAATACCTTCCCACCACTACCACCCTTGGGCCTGTGCCAACAGCCTGATAGGACATTACTAGTGGAGCCCAAAGGAATAGCTCTGCACATATACGAACCTAATAACTTTAATTCTAATGACCAATCCTTCTGCTAGCTTGTACTGTTTTTTGTAGATGACATTAAATCTCGAATAAAGTACGAACCCTCCCGAGGAATTCTAATATTTATGTAGACTATTGAGGTACTGAACTTAAATTACGCCCAATCCTTATGTAAAATTCTCCCCATTTGTTATACCTATATCCTTGTCCACTATCCTCTGGCAGACGGTATAGAAGAGGCTCCATCAGTCAAATATAACCAGTCGTGCTTGAGAGTGGCATGCATTTTACTGTTGAATTCCACGTGGCTTTTAGAGTTTACCACGTGCGTAGTTTTACCATCCTATGCCCATCTAAGCTTACATTGCACCTTCCAATGTTGGATGAATTAAAATAGGAGTCTACTGTGGCACAGGGCTTTCTCGGCATATGACATGGTTGCATAACATATTCACCTTTCCTCTCAGCCCTAAGTTTTTACACGTGATACGTAGCGTCTCAAGAAAAAAGCGAGCGAGAAAAAGTTGAATGACAAAAACCAGTCACGCAGCACAGACATCCATCATAGGTGAGCGTCTCATGCTCTATATACCGGATAATATTAGAGCTACTGCTCAGTATGTGGAATTGGTGCAGGAAAATTTTCCGTCTTGTTTCCAGCGGTGGTGGGGGTTGCCCTACCTTCCCATAGTAGCTCGCTCTCTCTATACTGCCACACTATTACGTTCCGTGTGGGCAACGACCTTCTCTCACTATGCAGACGAAAAATTTACCCAAATTTCGTGAAAAGTGCTATCTAAAAAATTAGGCCTTTTTTCTTTCTCCTTTCTCTCTTTTGATTCACTAGCTCACATATACAATTAATAATGTCTGGTTCTGGTGCTTCAGGTAACAAATTCCGTATGTCTGTAAGTGACCATCCATTTTCCAACGAACTATCGTGTTTACCCGCCAAAGGGCGTCCATCCGTGAAAGCAGCAAACGAGAGACAAAGAGAATGCGCGATTCAAATGTATCCCATCTATCCCAAACATACTCCCTCGTGATATCCAAAGAGCCAAGAGCCCCTGATTCCACTGCAGAACAGTTATAAACACCAGCAAAGCGCTCCAGATTACTTATTTTGCGGATCCAGTTCCTACTGGTAGCTCGATTCATTCAGCCCCGGCAGGACCGAAATGAAGCTTTCACGACTGTTTAATGTATTCCTAATCCCTCTTACTGCTTACCGAATGGACCCTTTTTCGTGCTTGAACACGAAGTTGCACCGTCAAAGGATTGCTACTAACATACTTTTTAGCTCGGTCTCCCAGTCGGTGCCGTTATCAACTGTGCTGACAACACTGGTGCTCGTAACTTATACATCATTGCCGTCAAGGGCTTCGGTGCTAGATTGAACAGATTGCCAGCTGCCTCTGCTGGTGACATGGTCATGGCCACTGTCAAGAAGGGTAAGCCAGAGTTGAGAAAGAAGGTTATGCCAGCTATCGTCATCAGACAATCCAAGGCTTGGAGAAGAAAGGACGGTGTCTACTTGTACTTCGAAGACAACGCCGGTGTCATTGTCAACCCAAAGGGTGAAATGAAGGGTTCTGCCATCACTGGTCCAGTCGCTAAGGAATGTGCTGACTTGTGGCCACGTATTGCCTCTAACTCTGGTGTCGTTGTTTAAATTAACTTAAAATGAGAATATAATTTACATTTTTGATATAATATTAATGTGTTGATGTATGTGTAGGGGATTGCTTTTGGGTAAGTTCGATGGAAGAATCTAGATAGACAGACTTCATTAATGATGGCCAGACCTTACTGGCACCGGAATAGAACAGTAAGAGAAAGACCATGGACAATACCAGGTACTTTTAATCTTTACATGCCGATCATTGCTGAATCAATATATTAATCGTTAGCTTACAGGAAATAAAGTACACTATATACAAGCCACCAACACGCACAGACTATCAAGACACACGATGCATCACAGAACCTTGATCTAGTCCAAACCAGAAATGAACCCGTATCTACCACCTTTTCTTACCCAACTGCTTTTGAACACAGGCTTGGAATACCTTAAACTCCTTCTCGCACGCGTTGTGACTGATGGTAGCGTAGGTGTTGAGGATACATTGACCGTAGGCGGCACCAAAGGACGCACATGGAGCAGTGGCACCAATTATTCTTTTGGCAGGCCTAATAACAGCAGTTTTGGAAGACATCTATGATATGGGGAGGTACCGAGCAGGTATTCACAAGGCGACGAACATGTCTCTAAAGTAACGCGAAATCTCTTTCTAGTGTAGGTGATTACACTACCTTGCTTGCATGCAGGTCCGCCCCCCGTGGTTATCTGGTCATGATAGAGAACAAATATTACCATATCGGGGGACCGCGGGATGCCGTCATCCTTATCGATTTGTTTTGCCCTCAAAAAAATATACGCCACTATTTAGCGCCCCCATAACTCGCTACTCCACAATTACCCAGACACCCACCTCTATCAATATACTACAGCTTATCAACATTAGCAAGTATCCAATTAAGTAAGTACCATCTCATAGCCAATGTCGTTAAAGTTCGCTTGGACTTCCGAACCTGTTTGTGCTTGCTGTCAAAATTGATATACACGCCCAGGAGTGCCATCAGGTAATTGGGCACTAGGGGGGGTGACCACTTGAGGATAACCAAGCTCCGACAGCGTCTATTCACTGCTAACAGCTACTAACAAATAGCCCTGAACATAATCATGAGATCACAATTCAAGGACGAACACCCATTCGAAAAGAGAAAGGCCGAGGCGATGAGAATCCGCTCCAAATTTACGGATAGGATCCCGGTAATATGCGAGAAGGTAGAGAAGTCAGATATCATGGAGATTGATAAGAGAAAGTACTTGGTTCCCGCTGACTTGACCGTCGGGCAATTTGTGTACGTGATCAGAAAGAGAATCAAGTTACCTTCGGAAAAGGCCATCTTTATCTTTATCAATGACATCTTGCCTCCCACTGCTGCATTGATGAGCAATATCTATGATGAGCACAAAGATGATGACGGGTTCTTGTACGTGCTCTACTCGGGCGAAAACACTTTTGGTGAGAGCGGGTTCGAGGAGATCGCCGAGTAAAGTTGACTGGGTGGTCTTTTCTCTTATTTTTGCGTACGATCGTACAACTACCATAAATTAATTAGTTGCAATAAAGGATACTTGTAGGATAACGAGGAAAGTTAGAGCGGTTGTACTGGGCTTACAACAAAAAGGGTACCAGGTGTTGGCTTTTATTTGTACCAGGCGCTGATCAGAACCGTTTGGCGAAAAGGGAAAGGGAACACCAGTCATAAACTGAAATCTCGCTTTCAAGGACATGTTATTCTTGCGTTAATATGCATCCAGGGGAACAGAATGTCAGTAATCCGTGTACGTATCGATGGGGCTTTGATAAAAGGACTTCCAACAAAAGTTACAACATAACATCATTCAGGAAATGGACTGTGATACCCCCTTTTCGGTTCGTATTGGATTGAATAGGTAAACGAGCCATCTTGAGAGCCGGTTTCCTTTACGCGTATTCTACACAGTCCTCAGTCACAAATACATGCCATAATACTACATCTAGATGATATACCATGTGTGACGCGCTTAGGAGAGGATGAAGAATATCCCTCGATAACTTCTCACGCCAATTCCTGCCGGGCCTGGACTCTCAGTCTGTGTTGCAAACTACAAAGATTGTCAATTCTGATTACGTTTCAAGGATTGATGACTATATACAAATTTACCTATCAATCCGGTATGTTTACTTCCCAAGCAACCTCTTAAAGCTTTCCTCAAACAACCCTGAGTCAATTTTGCCCTGGCTCAAACGCATAGCTTGGCCAATCATCCACTTTACCGAGTTCTTCTTCTTCTTTTCCTGGTAGTCAGCCACAACCTTGGGGTTTTCGGCGATTATCTCGGCACAGATCTCAGCGATCGCATTGGCCACTTCCGGGGTTATTTCCGAAACCTTGCCCAAGTCGTACTCCTCAACCAAAGCCACCAACGAGGTAGTTTCACCCACGTGGGATACCATGTGTGCAAGCAACAACTTACCAGAAGCTTTGGAGATTTCGTCACCATGAACCATAGAAACCAACTCGGAAAACCGAGCCACAGGCACCACCTGCTCTAGCGCATGGGATACCCCCTCCTCTTCCAACTTGTGCAAATGGCCCAAAAAGTCATGGAAAAACCAGTTGGTCGCGAGCTTTCCCGGCAATCCACACCCAACAACACCCTCAAAAAACGCCATGTAGTACGCCAAATATGCACTATTGTTTATCAAGACCTGGGCGTCCTTCAAGCGCAAGCCGAAGGGCTTGGCGGTCAACTTTGCGATGATGTCATCGGGAAATTCCGGAAAACCGGCCCGGATCTGCTCCACGATGTCTTGCTGGAGCCTCACCGGTGGTAATTCTGGATCTGGCATGTATCTGTAGTCGATCGCGGACTCCTTGGACCGCAAGCGGTAAGTGGTGCTCCCATTCCAGCCTCTGGTTTCGTTCCCCGAGGTCAATCTTTCAGTGTTGGTGCTCTGTAACAACCGCACCTGCCTTGTATACTCGTATCTGATCGCATTGGTGACAGCCGAGGTTGTGGACAAGTTCTTCATCTCGATACGCGAACCGTCATTCACTGAGATGTTTACATCCACACGCATCGCTCCCGATTCGAGCTCACCTGTGGAGATACCCAAGTGGCGAACCAACGTCTGGTATTTCCGGATGAAAGCCCTCACCTCGTCAACGTTGCGGAAATCCGGCTGAGTGACCACCTCTATCAACGGCACGTTTGCGCGGTTAAGGTCCACCTTGGATGTCTGGTTATGATCTACGTAGCTCGACTTTCCGGTATCCTGTTCGATCTGGATCTGGTCTATATGGATGATCTTTTCTGATTTGACCCCATCATGGGGGAGCAATGTGATGGACCCACCTTTAGCCAAGGGGTTGTAGTGTTGCGTGATCTGGTACCCGTGGGGCTGGTCTCCATAGAAGTAGTGCTTTCTGTCAAACGTCGACTCCAAATTTACCGTACTGTTGAGCGCCGTCGCCGCCTTGAGTGCAAAAAGCAACGCTTCCGGGTTAAGCCGTGGCTGCGCTCCCGGTAGCGCGCAGTCGAAGAAGCTCGTGCGTGTGTTGGGTTCCGCGTTGAACGTGTGGGAGGAGAGCGAAAAGAGCTTGTGTTTTGTGTCGAGTTGGGTGTGTATCTCAAGCCCACATTTGAGCGTGTAATTGTCCAAGAGCTCAAAGCAGCGTACAGGGGTGGTGGAGAAGGCCCGGCGAAGCATCGTGATGGGTGTATCGATGGAGTAGTTGGCAGGTCCACCGGAGATTTTTTTGTAGAAGCATAAATGCGGTAATTGCACGTTTGGAGGAAAGTAGATGAGAATAGATTTTTATTTAAAACTGGGGATAATAAATATTGTTGTATATTGGATATTGGTGAAGTATCGGTAAACTAGGATTTTTCTATCTTAAGACTTAGAGTTCGAGGTATAGTTGCGGCTAATACATCTTGGCAAGGGCCTTCCGTTATTAAGAATTGGTATGATATTTCTTCAAGACTGGGAACACTAGCATGTTAGAAAAAGATATAGCTTTCCTTGAAGTTTGAAGTGTACGGATTAATCTATTAATAGTTGAGGAAAGTTGAGATCCCCGGACCTTCAATAGGTGTAGACTTAATTTTCAGAGACCAAGTGGAGAATCTATCGGTATAAGGCTTTCTCCATAACGTTGAGCACGCACATTCTCAGGTGAAGCTTTCAAGTCTTTCTACACCTCTAGTCAATTCTCTAACATTAGAATTAATCCTATCATACACTATTTCTCCATGAAATTGAACAAACCGCCCATGTCTACGTAGCGGCGCCCGCAGTCGCTCAAGTACTTTTGAACAACCCCGCGACAGACTCCAAAGAACACGGCATTGTGCACGGCCAGCGCCTCGACCAGCGCGTGGCTAAGAGCTTCCGGGCCTTCAAACGGCTTCAACAGCCCCTTCTTCGCCTTTTCGATGTCAAAGATCGAGTCGAGGTAGAGCAACTGGTTGTACAACGCCTTGTCACTGTAGCGGTAGCGCATGATGCCTTTGCAGCCATGCGCGGTGCCAGACAACCCGATACATCTCTTCCCATAGACGGAGATCTGGCGCGTTGCGATCCCGCACGCACTGTCGTCGCACACCAACCAGCCTGCGTAGTAGCGCGAGATGTGCGCACGAATGATGCGTTCCAACTGCGCGGTAACGCGCAAGGTCGGCAACACGGCCGCGCACGCCGCACACTTGATCCCGTGAAAGCTCACAACGTAGTCGCGTGACGCGACAATACCGCCGAACGCAAAGCGTGCACCGCATGCGCAGCGCAACGGTAAGAAAGCCGCATCGCGGAAGCGCTCCGCATCGGAAACGGTCGACTCCAACGGCGCAAGCGCGTCGACACCGGCGTGGGCGCGCGCCCGCATCTCGTAGCGGCGTGCATCCAAACCCAACGACGTGGCGATCCGCGTCATATCCACACCTTCAATCTTCCCCATCAACCGCTCCACCGGTGACAAGATCTGCTTTTCGAGATAGTATGCTGGATCTGGAGTGTAGCTCGAGTCGCGTGCCAACACTTCGGTCAACGCACGCGCACGCTCCGCAGGGCTCGCCGCCGCGTCACCCGCGGTAATAACAAACGTGATGACCGTCCCTGCCTTCACTACCTTGCCTTGTTCACGCAATCGCAATGCCACCTGCACTGCAGGCATGTTTTTTCCGCCGGGGTAATCACCAGGATCCTTGGACAATTTGGTGTTGATCTTGAATTTGTCTGCGCGCACGCGGCCCCCCTTTACGTCTGCCGCGACGGTCTCGAGGTACGCGTAGATCTCGCGGAGTGAGTCTTCGGTATCCGCTTCTGACAAGAGTTTCTCCAAAATGTATGTAGAAACCTCCTTGGAAAGCTGACAGTACTCTCTTCTTTTCATATCAAGCCCTTTGACTTCGAGTGACGTTTTTTCCACGCCGTTCACCATCGCCACGTTCACCGCCGCGTACTTTTTCTTGGCGTGGAGCAACAAGCGCTTGTAAATATTATCAATATCAATCTCCAAGAGGCGATAGCGCTCATTAACTGCGGTTTTCAATTCATTACCAATGACCATGGCAGCCGCGAAGTTGTCGCACCCAGTGTCAATCATAACCGAATCGGTGTCACCGTACACCACCCGCAAATTGAGGCTCTCCACCAACTGGCGTGTATCCATCAAGATCTCACGGCCCTTGTTGGTGACCAACATCGCTAACGGCTTCGCATAGAACCGTGAATTGACGTACCCTAAGCACCCGTACATCGAGTTCGCAGTCAACTTCAACGCCTGTTGCTTGATATCGTACTGCGCACGTTCGATCGGGGTTACGCGCGCGTCCGCCATCAACTTTTTTACCTCACGACGGCGGTTAACAAGCGTAAGAAGCAATCGTGGCAATACACCCGGCGCGGCGTCGCGCGCAGGCACTGCCGGCAAAATGTCCTCATCCCCACTCCCATGCCCCCTCTCCACGGTCGTAAAGCAAATATTAAACTCCTGGATAATCGACGGATACAACGAATTAAAGTCCATGACCAAAATATGGTTCTTGTGCAAGCCCTTCTCCGGCTCGAACACCAACCCACCCTGGTACTTTGGCTTCTTGTTGGATGTCACCGTTGCGGCGTCTTCTTCAGGTATCTCCGGTTTCACCGCCTGGTTGCGCGCGAAGCTGTTCGATTTATCGGGCACGACGTAACCCTCGCGCGCGAACTCATGGAGCAAAATGTACTCGTTACGCCCCGCACGCGTACCGCCAAGCGTGTGTGCCCACGCGTTCCCCGCGAGATTCGTCAACTGCTTGGAAAGCGACAAGATTTGCATCGCAAACGCAATGTCCGCGGCGATGCGTGCGACGCTCGCGTTCTCACGGAGTGCCATCAAGAGCATGCTGCTGTCGTCTGCGTACTGCGGATTGTTGTAGTTGATCTCCAACGGCGCAAACTTCTTGTCGCACACCACAGAATACATCTCCTGAAGGTCCCACGACTGACATTTCATCGTCAACGACTGCCCCATCTCGTTGGCAATGTCGCACAAGAGCCGTCCCTGGAAGATCTCACGGAGCTGCATACTCAGCCCGCTGTTTAGGCGCCCATGGAAACGTTCCGGCCACAGCTTGCGGTTACGACGCCCAAACGCGGACCATGTCACCACCTTGAGGTCATACATTCGGTGCACCAACACGTCAAGCGAGATATTCTCCAAGCGGTGGCCGATAAAAACGTCCGGGTCGGCTTGTTTGATTAAGCCGCATAAGCAGTTGAGGAGAGTTTTCTCGTTGTTGAAAGTGCGCACGGAAAAGTCTTGCTTGGAACTGAGGGTTGTGAGTCCTGGCGGAAGCGTCGCCCCGACGGGACGCACAAGCGTCACGACCCCTTGCGCGTGCGCGTTCGCATCGATCGGCGCATCAGGTGCGATATCGCGGAACGTCGCGAGCGACACGCTTGTGACTTCCTGGCGGTTGGTCTGCGCATTCATCACCGTCTGCACCGAAATCGACGTGCATGTAAGTCGTGGCGTCGCGAGCGTCTTATCATCGCATACCGAGACATTTGCAGCGCCGTCCACGAGTACCTCGACACGGCAATGCGAGGTGTTCTGGATCGTAGAAAAGTCACCGTTGCTGAACTGCAACCAGCACGGGCCCATCACATTCTTCTGCACCACAAATGCCTCAAAGATGCTGGTGCTCCCTCCGAATACGTGCTGGAACGTATCGCCCTCGAGATCCCCGGGCAATGTCACACCGCGCGCACGCGGTGTCTGATACGGAAGGAGTATCTTGAGATACTCGGCCTCTGCGGGGATTCCCGGAAGTTCGAACGCGTACTTCATCGTTTGCGGTTTCGCGCGCACGTTTTGTAAGCCGAACTTCTGGATTAACAACGGCACAATCTCCTCATGCACGTCCATAGCGCTGACTGGCGCGTCATCCGACCGTCGGTGCTCACGCGGAAGAAAGTAGAGTTCGCGGTTCATCCCCGTGAGCTGCACGACCCCGGACACCATCTCGCCTGTCAGGGTGAGGATCTTTCCGAACAACAAGAGCGAGTTGTCAACCTCCGCGTAGTCGAGCCAGTACATGCGGAACGCGCCGTCTATCGCAATTGCTGCCTCGTCGAGCTTGTCGGTGGGCTGCGCGGGCGACGTGAACTGCTCGGTTGCGGGCACGTACGCGGACTTTTTTGGCGTTTCCTTGACAGCGGATACGTTGGCGTCGCGCTTGACCTTTACGGCCGTCGGACGCCGTTTCACAACGACTTCCTCGTCGGAGGACTCTTCTTTGATTAGCAGGGTATTTTCCTTAATTAGCAGGGTATTTTCGCGGCCGGGCTGGCGTGTCGGTGATGAGTTCATGTCAAATGAAGAGTCAGCTTCTGGCTTCATATCGATTTCCACATCCGACTTTATGTCTTCCGGTTTTGTTGGAAGGTCAATGTCGCCAAATACATCCACCTCCGTCTTGACGCTGCCGAAGCGAGGCATCGCGGGCTTCGCGCTAAAAACATCCCGTGGTGCTCGCGCGGCAAATGGCGCGCGCGCACGCTTCGCAACAGGCGACCCCGCGAACAAGTCGTCCAAGATGTCGTCCACCTTTGCATCAAGCTTCTTGGGTGCTGCAGCCTCCATTGTGGGCTTGAAAAAGTGGCTGATTTGCGCCGACTTTTTCACCTTGCGTTTCTTCGCCGGCTTCGCAGAGTCCGACTCGTGCTCGCTGTCAGAGTCGTACTTGGGTCTGGTGCGTGCGTCCCATTCGTCCGCCCCCGTATCAACATAGCCCTGACCGTCATCCTCCACGATAAAATCATCCTTTAAAAGTTCGTCGCGCTTGTGCTTGCGGTATGTGTCCTCGTCCACCTCGTCGTAGATGTTGGCATCCTCGACGTCCGAGTCAGGCTCCGCCATACGGCTAGTGCCCGCGGCACGCGCCGCTCTGAATGCCGAAAACTTGTCGCTCTTGGATCCCATTGTATTTTGTGGTTGTATTATAGCTGGATGACAATGGATAAGAGTGGGAAAAAAGGAATAGCGAAGTAGCGAAAAGTAGAGAGGAAAAACTTACGCGTTCTAACGCGTCACATAAAATCCAGCGGGTGTTTCGCGTCGCGTTCAGTGCAGGAGGGAGATCGTGTCGAAATGCTCCTATGGAATTTATAATTCGTACGTGTATTGATGTATTATTGGAGTTAAAAAAAATATTAAATAGGATAAAATAAGAATTTTTGGACTATCATAAAAAAAAAAATTTGGATGGTTTAGACCTGATCTTGGAGTTTGGGACGAGAATAGACTTTGAATAAGCTCCCACTACTCTGGCTTTTTTTTCGATGAACAGCAAGCTGAATTCAGGTTTGAAAACCTCTACTGGTAAAAGGGCATGGCATATGTTATAACTCTCCACGCGTATTTATATTCACGATGCGTTCGGAGTTGATGCATATGCTCCATGGTATAAAAACTCTGCTAATAGATAATTTACCGCACTTATTTTTGGCTCTACGTGTGGCACAATTTTGGTCAGGGGACTCCCAATTCTTTTCGTCTACGGAATTAGCGTCCGCTTATAATGTATTATAAATCCCAACCAAATACACACGGCGTTGGCCTTTCCCTTTAGGGTATCATACACACCCTGGGGAAACCAAGTCGGTATAGTACTGTGAGATCTGGGATTTTCTGATTTTCCCCAAGAACGGTTCGGCCTCGCTCTTTTTTCTCTCGTGGGATTCAAAGTACTCTATAAAATCGTCTACATCCACTTCGTCGCAGCGCTCTGCCCGGAAGCTTTCTTGCTCCAAATTGGTGTTTACCCTTGCCTTGAGAATGGATTTGATAGTGGAGTAGTCCATTTCACCCGCCTCTCCTTCCACCTCTACCAGAGGAGTAATATTCTCCTCAGTCTCGTTAGTCCTGGACATGCGCGAACTGAGACGTTTAATACGTTTTATAGAATTAGAACGGGAGGGCGAGGCTAAACCGTCGTAAGATTTCCTACTCCCACGTTTCCGTTTGAGCGATCCCTCTGCTACTGTTTCGGAGTTAATTGTTGAGGTGGACATGGATTTGGGCCGCTTACTGCACTTTCCATTACCGTCATAGAGTAGAAGCTGGGCGAACTTTTCAAACTTGATCTTAGAGTACTCCGGAGATTCTGGGTTAGGACCTAATTCATGCAAAGTATCCTCCTCTGGGTCCACATTGTAGAACCTCGGGTCCTTAAAATTAAGCGGAGCGTCGCAGGTATTACTGGAGATGAAGCTTTCATTCATCAAATCCTCTTCCTGGATCGTACCGGTGGCTAAATTCTCCACTATACACGAAATATCGTCTTTCTTATCGCGGAAGATGGGTACAAAGATAGACACGGGAGAGAGACTCCCATCGGGGGACGTAGTGGAAAATGTATCCTTATGTGAGAAGGAATTGATTCGGTTAAACGCGATACGCATCTTGGAAAATACCCGATCAGACCTCGAAGCTCTTCCAGAGGGTAAACAGTCTGATTCGTGGTCGCCAGAATAAAGTGCTATTTCGGCGTCAAAATCAAGGTAGGGTTCGAGGGGAGTCAAAGGCATTTCAATGGTCATTTCATCTCCGTCGTCTTCGAATAAATCCGTCATATTGACAAAGGCCGCAACCAGTTGTTTACTCAGCTGAGTTATTAGGCTATGTCTTGCTTTCTTCATCCGGTCGATTTCGAGCAAGGCGGAGTTCGGTGAAGTTAGCGAAATCTCTGGGATACAAAGCCTTTCCGTTCCAAGGGGGGGTAATCTACCACTTAGCTGTCGGTTGTAATAACCAGTACCTGATTTATATCCGTGGTCGACAGCTCCTCCGTCGAGCATGATGCTATAAACATCATTCGGCCGTAACGACAATCCTTGGTCAGTAAAGTCAGTTTTGTACTTTTGATAGCATGTTAAGGATTCCTCAGGGATATTTTCCACCTCAGAAATGGTTGGGGAGTTGAAGCTTGAGAAAGGCCCTTCGATATCGTTTTCCTGAGTGGAGCTGCGACTATGAAACGGCCAAACGGAGTTTGAGCGAGCGAGAAACGAGTGTTTCCCTTTAGGACCTCTTCCCAAATGTGCATTGGCATTTTCAGAAGCTAGAATTGATTCACATTCTGGTTTTGCATCATTCCCAGTACTTTTAGAATGAAAGTGATTGCGGAGCTTGAGGCGGAGTTTACCAGAAAGCGGGTTTCCGGACAGTTTAAGGGATTTGTTCTTGAGGGTGCTTTGTTTGTTGAGGACATTCTGATTCAAAGTGAGAATCGAACTGGGAAGGGTAGCTACGGAAGCCATGCTGAACGAACAGGTATGGCTGGGAAATAGCAAAAGTTGGACACTGTAAGCGAATTTCGTCAATGTTTCAAGAAGGACTTAGTCCGTGAAGCAATTGCACTTTCTGATATATAGACATAGATTGAGAGAAATTGACCGGGTAAGTATCGCAGGATCCGAGTTGTGACTAGCACAAAACGGTGCTTGTGGTGAGAATGTGCATATGCGGCTGGGATAGAACCTATCTGTCCATGCATTGTCTAAACCAGAGAAATTTATCAAGATATCATCAAATGCAAGGGCTATAGGGAGCACTATGTAAACTGAAAAGGTTTAATAAATGATATACCCCTTCAGAGCACGGTATATATATATATTGGCATGTAAAGATGCACTCCAGGCACGTTAGAGTCGAATAGACCGCTAGCTTACCTCTTGCCGTTGTACAGCTCTTAGTTTCGATAAATCGGAGTTGTATTATACATGTTTATGACAATCAGTCTAATTGGGACAAACCAGTTTTTATTTTTTTTATCTGAAATATAGGCAAATGGCCGAAATAATAGACAACACGATTTGGACTGATTTCTAGTTAGTGCTCCATACTCCCTATACTGTCTTTATGAATAGGCGGAGTACTGCGTGAACCGCCTCAATGGCGCTACCTAGCCACAAGGTGGCTCATGACATATCCAGAGAAACATGCCGTTAAAAAGTAAAAGTCCGTGTCAACTGGTTCACGAAACAGAAGCATCCGGCAATTCTAGCCATACAGAAACAATCTATTCAGTAAGCCTAAGAAATTTATAAGAAACTAAATTTAGTGCCGTATCAATCGTAGGTGACTCATTCCTGCCTTATCGCCAGATATACAGTAAAGATCAATCGGTTCTTCGGGCCTCGCCCTTATGCCCCACCTCCGTGACAGATATGCCGCGACGCCGCGCACCTGTACAGAAAATTTGAGTTGACGCTCAGTGAAGAAAACACGTAGATAGCACGAACGGACATTAACATTTTGCTCCTTCTCCTCCAGTTATACATAAAATGCTTGACATTCTCCAGTTTATCGAAGAAAAGGGCGGCAACCCAGAGTTGATCCGCAAATCCCAGAGAGCCAGAGGCGACTCCGTGGAGTTGGTCGACGAGATCATCGCCGACTACAAGGACTGGGTCAAGATCCGTTTCGACTTGGATGTCCTCAACAAGGAGCAGAACAAGATCCAGAAGGAAATCGGGTTGAAGATGAAGAACAAAGAAGACGCTACTGAATTGTTGGCCCAAAAGGAAACTTTTGTCCAGCAGAAAAAGGAATTGACCTTGAAGGAAGAAGAGGCCGACAAGAAGGTCCGTGCCAAGGTCAACCTCGTCGGTAACATCGTCCACCCATCGGTAGTTGTCTCCAACGATGAAAAGGACAATGCTTTGGTCAAACTTTGGAAGCCAGACACCTATGAACACGTTGCGAAGGTTGCTGCTTTCACCGGTAAGAACGCCGCTCTTTCCCACCACGAAGTTTTGTTGAGACTCGACGGGTACGACCCGGAACGTGGTGTTAAGATTGTCGGCCACAGAGGCTATTTCTTGAGAAACTACGGTGTATTCTTGAACCAGGCGTTGATCAACTACGGGTTGTCCTTCTTAACCAAGGCCGGTTACTGCCCATTGCAAGCCCCAGTCATGATGAACAAGGAGGTCATGGCCCAAACCGCCCAGTTGTCCCAGTTCGACGAAGAATTGTACAAGGTCATCGATGGTGATGACGAAAAGTATTTGATTGCCACCTCTGAGCAGCCAATCTCCGCCTACCACTCCGGCGAATGGTTCGAGTCTCCAGCCGAGCAGTTACCGGTCAGATACGCTGGTTACTCCTCTTGTTTCCGTAGAGAGGCCGGCTCTCACGGTAAGGATGCCTGGGGTATCTTCCGTGTCCACGCGTTCGAGAAGATCGAGCAGTTCGTTTTGGCTGAACCAGAAAAGTCCTGGGACGAGTTTGACCGCATGATCAACCTTTCCGAGGAGTTCTACCAATCCTTGGGCCTTCCATACCGTGTAGTTGGGATTGTCTCCGGTGAGTTGAACAACGCTGCTGCCAAGAAGTACGATTTGGAAGCCTGGTTCCCATTCCAGGAGGAGTACAAGGAGTTAGTTTCCTGCTCCAACTGTACCGACTACCAGTCCAGAAACTTGGAGATCAGATGCGGGATCAAGAAGATGAACGAAAAGAATAAGGCCTACGTCCACTGCTTGAATTCTACCTTGTGCGCCACTGAGAGAGCCTTGTGTTGCATTTTGGAGAACTACCAGACCGAAGAAGGTTTGGTCATCCCTGAAGTTTTGAGAAAGTACATCCCAGGTGAGCCAGAATTCATTCCGTTCATCAAGGACTTGCCAAAGAACTCCACCTCCCAGAAGGCCAAGAAATAAGTTTCCATATATTAATGCACAATTATCATAAGCTGGTATCGTGAGTTTGTAGGAGCGTATAAACGTATGGTGGCTTGATATTTCAATGAGATAAGCGTGACTCGACCTCAGGTTATGTTATGTGCTGGGCCCTCGGGCTGAGTAACTTTACCGGGGCTACGATAGGGGCGAACTACCGGCCTATGTGGGAGTCGTAAGCTGTCTTCATTGCCTCAGCCTCCTATCTGTATCTAGCCTCGGCTGCCAACTAAAGATACGTCCAGTCTACTCAATCATTCGGTGGCATGAGTGTAACAACAAGAACTAGGACGTGAGGGAGAGATCTCGACAAGTATTAGCTTTGACTTTTGCAAACATGAGAATAAATTATATTAGGACTGGCAAACTTTAGCCGTCTAGTCCCAGGTGAATCTCGCATATGTGTCCCTCCAATATTGACATGACCTTTATCCAATTTCTAGAGACAAGAAAGTATACGAGAGTGGTTGGCAGTCAAGAAGTTTCAGATAAAGTCGTCGTCAAAAAATTTGTTTGAGTTTACAGAAAACCCCACCACTTGCACCGACGCACAATAGGTACCGACGACTAGGGAATGACTAATGTCACGCAAACTCTAATTCACAAGAGAATGTTCTGGTTAATCACGTTTAGAAGAGAATGCTCCGGGTTCATCACGTTTAGAAGAGAGCTGATGAGGCCAAAGTAAAAACGCCGTCCCAGTATACGAGTAATATATCCGTGGCAGTTACACGTTTGAACGGTGAGTAATGTAATAATGGCAATTGCCGTAACGCCAATTATTTTCCGATTGCTCGGTTTTACAGAATCATGACTAAACCCTCTTGGCTCAGTGTAGGACTAATTAAAGTCACCAGACTAGCCACCCGGTCTCTCCGGCAGGGCAGGAGCTCTCTTCGAAGCGTTCGCGATTTTCCCCGATTAGGCCTATAATCATTTTTAGCGGAAACGTTGCTGAGTACGCAAGTTCAGCAGGAACCTCCGGAAAAGTCAAAATCTGACCCAATGGAGCGAACAAATTCGGCGGTAGTCACGGTAACAGACACGGGTTTGCAATTCGCCTGCACCAATATGGTGTCAGTGATACCACTCTGTAAGAAGTCTGCGTCCACTTCATGAAAACTCCATAATATCTAGGGTACCAGCTGCCTAGAAGATTAATTATAACACAAAATATCTCAGATATCCTTGTACCCCTTGCTGACGAAAAAGAAACTTGTGCAGGAAAAAAAGAAAGGTTCGGCCTGCAGGCAAACCCACGCTCTCCCAATTTATTCTGGCGTGGGAATTTTCCCTCACCATAAACACAGCTGGCTGCGCGTCTGTCTGCCCATAGTTAGCTGAATTATAGCGTCACACTACAAACAGATTATAAATCGCCCACTTTCCTCTTTTCTCTTGTTGCTTCAGACTCTCAGTATCTCCAGGTTATCTTCGTCGCAATAACTCCACACAATGTTCTCCTACGTCACCAGATTGTATTCCGCTTACTACATGCACTTGCCGCTCTACATGTTGACCAAAAATGAGTGCATGTTTTTGCAATCGTTTGTTGCTTTGTTAGCGACCGTTGTGGTTTATATCTCGTACTCCTACGTCCCAGGCTGCGCCCAGTCTTTGGTCAAGGCCGTTCAAACCGTCATCTAAGGACAATGCTCCTACCCGTCATTGGGCAGCCATGTACATTACCCCTTCATTTCTCCCCCTGCTCTTTAATATCTCTATGTTCTTTTTCCTGGTATTGGCTTTTTTTCCGTCCCTCTATTCGCTTTGCTTTGAACCCGCTTAATGATCATTTCTCTTCTTGGCGGAGCACGTTCCACGACTTGTCATTCGTTGTGTAACGGGTATCCGCTTTCACGATTTAATATATCTAATGTTTATTTCCTGTAATTTGGGCTACTCTCAGAGTGCATCAGTGAAGAAACCTAGTGCGAATAAATGGGGGGTATCGGCGGAAAACACTGCCTGGGTACTATGAAATGGGAAGTGTTGGATAACAGTTGAGAATGTTGGAGTGCAGGTATTGGGCTTATTCTTGGTTCGCCAGCAGAAGTAAGGGTTCTCTGGATATTTCTCTAAGACAGTATTGTGGGACAAAGATGGTGTTTTTGACTCTCACACCGGAAAGACCACGAGTTTCATGTAACGTCCAGAGATGCCGACTGCCCCGACCTAATTCAGAAATCGAGTTAGGCCACAGGGTCCAAGACTAAATTTCAAACCGGAGAAGTGATACCGTTTGCGAGCCCCAGATTGCTTAGCCGGTACAGGTAATCGTGATTATATCTGGATTCTTTATCCATGTTTGAAAGTTCACTTTATAGCCTCAGGAATACTGTGAGCCTAGAAGAACTAAAACAGGGTCATTGCAACAATGCTATATACCTGTTAGGGACCTCTCATCTCTTTGAAATTAGGTGGTCTCACAAAATGTATCCGAGTTCCGACCAGAGCCCACCATACGTACCTAAACTAAGCCCACGTCTAATCATCTACCCATAGCTCGTATATTTCTGGGTACTACTTGTAGTTCATACATCGTAATAACGTACCCCCCCCCGAGGGAAATTTATAAATAGCTTCTACGCTTAGCAGTATAGGCCACTCAGGCTATCACTCTTACGATTTACCTACACCCGGGCACGCTCGCCCCTATTAACACGGCCCCATTCGGTAGCCTGAATTAAGAATATACAAAGCTATCTAGAGCCCTACGTAATTGAATATACAAGGTTTCAACGCCTTGTTCGCTAATGCACACAAACCCTAGAGGCTCTTCTCCACCACACTGGCCTTCAACAACTCAGCCTCACACTCACCGTACAAGTCGGCACAGGTGCCCCTGATAGAGTTTCCAATGACATAGTTTTCGAATCTGGACGGCTCATATGGCAATTTGAACTGGCCAGATTTCTCCCAGTTGGTGTCGGCGCCCTTGGCTTCCTGCTGCTTGACCCACTGCTTGATTTTGGTGGTCTCGCGGGTTTGGTTTCTTTGGAAGTAGTTGAAATTGTTGAGGTCGTGGTTGAGATCATCGATCTGGTCCAATAAGTGATCGAAGGCGTTGCCGATCGACTCGTGCTTGTTGTTCAACACGAGGTTCGCAGACGCGGCCACAGTTGCGAGATGCGCCGGTGCGCGCGCCGCACTCAAGCTCGCCAACGAGTTACTGTGGACCGCCACTGGCACCTCAACCAACAAGTTGTCGTAGTTCAATTTGTTCTCCTGCAAGTTTTTGGTGACGAATCTCTCTTCTTGGTTGGAGTACAACTTAAGGAATGACTCGTTCAAGCGGTACGCCTTGAGGTTCAAGTCGTTACCCGTGTTGAACTGGTTGTTGACAAGCAACAAGGTGCTGCTGTTCTTGACCGTCTGGTGGTACAAAGAGTCCACCAACTGGGTTGTGAGGAAGCGTCCCGCGGTCTTAGTGGTGAGGTACCAGCCCAAGAATTCCACACCGTCTTCAGCGCGCTTGAAAGCTTCGGCGTGGTCGCTGGTGAAGCGCACATTCGACTTTAACTTGGTGAAGTTGTCATAGTTCTCGTGCTGGGCGGAGTTTGGGAACGCAAACGCCTTCGAGATGTGCAAAACATCGGCGTCAGTGTCGGTGAACCCATATACCGGACCGTTTCCGGCGGTCGGGTTCGCGATCTTGAAGATCACAGAGGCGTCTAACTGCACAGCAGCGGTGCTTGGCTTCTGAATGGCGGTTTTAGTGGACATTGTTGTGTGGGGCGAGTTGATTCAGATTGCTGGCGCCTAAGTCTCGGTTTTCATATAGGCAAATTTCGCAGAATTTTTCGCGCCGTGTAAACGCCAGCACTAAGTGTGATCCATGCAGGTTATCAGAAATATTTGATGGCGACTGTTTTATAGTTATCTTAGCAGTTGAAGATATTATGTCGGGAAAGTAAGTACTTTTGGTTATTACGGGGTCGAGGGGCTCTATGGAGTGTGCTTATTAGCGGTTAGTTACCAGATCAAGCTTGATGGTTGTGGTATGAGATTAGATTGCAAGTGAGGCTTGAGTTTGTGCTTCATTTGCCACTTTTAACGAGAGGTTGAAGCTTCAGTTGGGGCTTAGATGTCTAGGATGAAGGTTAGATGTGCAGGCAAAGTTTAGATGTTGTGGAGATGCCCAAGTGCTGCGATTATGTTCCGATGGGCAGATGTTGAGGCGATGGCCCGATATCACGAATGAAGCCCGTCGCTTCAGACAGCGCTACATTTGATAGCTATTGGATCCCGACAAGACCAATAGGGTGATTTATGGATAGAAACAGAGATGCGGGTGGATATTTTTTGGTGCTTCCGGAGCTTATCGTGGCTCCACAAACAACACCGTTGACCCAGGCATCATTCCCTATCAACCAGTGCATGATCCAAAGCTTACCAAATTATGCTGGCTGACAAGAGCTTATACCAAGCACCACTATCGCCGAATAACTGGCCTTCCAAGCCTCATCCTACTGGTACTTAATACCACTGATCATACAGCGACAAACCATGATATTTCTATAACCCTTTTTATGAGCCCCCCCCGAAAATACCCCTTTTTCTAGCAAATACTAACATCGTAGTTCTGAGATTCCTGCGCTTTGTGACGCATGTTTAGGGCCTAACCCTTACGTCAAGATGATGAGACAAGCCAGCGGTGCTGAGTGTAAGGTGTGCACGCGTCCCTTCACCGTTTTTCGCTGGACCGCGGACAAATCCGGGGCCAATGGCGGGCGTGCGCGCAAGACCCTTATTTGCATGACCTGCGCGCGTGCGAAGAACTGCTGCCAGCTGTGTATGTTGGACCTCACCTATGGGATATCTCTCCAGATCAGAGACACTGCCTTAGCGATGGCTGGCGTCGCCAACGAACACGGGGACTTGCCGTCCTCCACCCACACTGAGACCCGGGCCATCATCGCAGACAAGCAGCAAGAGAGATTCCAGACCCAAGACAAGAAGCTCCTCGAGCCAGCATACACAGACCAGGCAAAAGACCTTTTGCGGCAGCTAGCGTCCAAAATAAGTGCCAAGAACGCGGCCATTACCAGCGTGCACAAGGTCTCTAAGCCGGCGACAGCTGTGGATGTGCCTAAGCTCGTCCAGAAGTTGCCGTTTCAGGTTCCGTTGGTTCCAGCGCAGCCCGGGACGTCTTTCTTCATCTACGGGATCGAAGATCGCTTATCGCAGCACTTGATCCAGGATTTCTTTGAGGAGAAGTTTGGAAAACTTGCCTCGATACTCGTGGTGCACAATGCCAAGTGTGGCTATATCAACTTCAAGACTCGTGCCAGCGCTGAGCAATGTGCAAATTCGGACCTCATCAAGAAACCGAGAGCTGACGGTCCGGGGCTCTTTGTATTGCAGAACGTCCCATTGCGAATCACTTGGGGTAGGGTCAGAGATTTAGGGACGTCCAACGCCGAGCACGCAAAGTTGGGCATGGTGGTGACGAAGGTTATGAAACAGCTCGCGGTGAAGGACAGAGGACAGGCTGAGAGAGAAGCCAAGGCACCGGCTCTGGAGGGGAAGGTGAAAAGGATGGCGGTACCGCCTCCACCAGGAAGTAAGACAGTGTACAAGACTACCAGTGCCAACTACGAGGTGTGACCCATGAGAGTTCCAACGCATGTGCTGATCTAGGAGGGTTTACTCCTGCATTTGTAATAGGTCAACATACGAGATCGCGATGGGTACACAGAGGTTTCCGAGTTAGCGCCGGTGCGGTCAAACTCTGTTACCAAGCTCATGAAAAATAACCTGAATGTGTACTTAGCTATAGAACTAAATCTTGGATATATTCGCTCAGGGATGCAATCACGCAGCTATGAAATTCCAGATACAAGGAGTTCGATACGACAGAGCAATATGACATTACTCAACCAGCCATCCTGCCCTCTGTAGTCGAAGACGAATAGCAAAGAAAAGGAATATAAATTAAAACAGATATTACAGAGCCATCGTGACCCAAAACCTGTATTATCCTTACTTTGTTGTATGTGTAGGAATTGCATATAGAGCCTCTAACATATGGTCCTCAAATGCGCGCATAATTTCTCATAATCGAATCCTCGTTCTCAATTTTACGTGTATATCTACACCCGTTACTATATACAATCTATTATCTATCCTAATCGGTTCTGGTGACGCCCCGCTTGTTCTCCTGAACGTCCCCAATGACAACCTCACTAGTGCTGATCAAACTGGCAACACCGGCGGCCTCGGTCAATCCGCATTTGACACTCTTGAGAGAATCCACAACACCCATGGCAAACATATCTCCATACTGCTCGTCTGCGACATTGAAGCCGTAGGCCCAGTCATCGCTCTCTCTTACCTTAGAGACAATGTACTCGGCATCCAAAGCGGCGTTGGCCAAGATGTAACGCGCAGGGAGCTGGATCGCGGTCTGGACAATGCTTACACCAGCCTTCTCATTAAACGTGAGCTCTCGGGATTCTAAAAGCGATTCCAAATGCACCAGGGCTTTGACAAGGGCTACACCCCCGCCGGGTAAGATCCCATGCTCGATAGCGGACTGGGTCGCGTTCAACGCATCATCCAAACGGTCTTTTTTCTCCCCAACCTCTAATTGAGAGGTCCCACCAACCTTGATGACTGCGATCCCGGTTGTGAGCTTGGCTAAACGCTGCTGATACTGCTTTCTGTCGTGCTCACCTAACGTGACGTCTTGCAACTTTTCGCGAAGATGCTGCACACGTGCGGCAACATTTTCGCTAAGTTTATCGGTTTCGCGAACACCAGATGCGCCATGGGTGATGATGGTGTTGTCCGCTGAGACACTTACGGATGCGGCGGTGCCGTAGAATTTCTTGGTAGCACTACTCGGCTTGACGTCCAGCTCTATGGAAAAGACCTCACCGCCCAAAATGGTGGTCAAATCACGCAACGATTCGGCACGGTGGTCGCCGAAACCCGGTGACTTTACCGCAATGACATCTACCTCGCCTTTGAGGCGGTTCATGACACAGGCTGCGAGCGCATCGCCCTCCAACAGGTTCGCAATTACCAACAACGGGCGTGATTGTCTCTTTGCGTAGGCTAGCGATGGCAAGATATCCTGCGCATTGGACAACTCACAGTCCGCAAACACCACCACGGCGTTGGACAATGTGATCTTTCCGGATTTTTTGTCCGGTTTCACAAACTGTGGCATGAAGCCGCGGTTGAACTCGTAGCCAGACGAAAGATGCAAACTGTCTTCGACCAACTTGCCCTTCTCAATCGTCACTAAGCCGTCTTTCCCGACTTTTTCAAGGGCTTGGGCAATCAAGGAGCCGAGATGCTTGTCACCGTTGGCCGAAATTGTCGCCACATCGCGGATTTCTTGGATCGTTTGGACCTTCCGCGCCCGCATCTGGAGAAACTCCACCACGTGGCTCGTGGCGCGCTGAACACCGCGACGTAATTCACCGGGGTTCGCACCAGATGACACATGCTTGATACTCTCCTTCAATATTCCGTACGCGAGCACTGTCGCAGTTGTGGTTCCATCGCCACTCACCATATTTGCCTTGTTAGCCACGTCCTTGAGGAGCACAGCGCCCATATTTTCAAATCGGTTGCCGAGAACCACCTCCTTGGCTACGGAGACACCATCTTTGGTGATCACTGGGAACCCGTATCGCCGCTCAATAAGCACGTTGCGCCCCTTGGGCCCCAAGGTGCACGCCACTGCCTTTGTAAGCACCGATGCGCCAGCAAGAAGCAACTGGCGCGCGCTGCTAGCGAAGACGATTTCCTTGTGGACCGTCTGGAGCGATCTAATGTGGATGAGGTTTTCCGCTAAGGGTCTGACTGTGCGGGATCTAAGTCGCAACATAATGCAACGAATAGCGGTTGAGAGATGTTTTACAGGTGTAAACTTTTTCTAAGGTTCGTAAAAAGCGTGCGGCGGTTTCAGGATGGAAAAACGGCCGATCTGCGGGGGGCTCTCACTATAGGGTATTTCACGTCAATATATTGATTATTTGGCAACTAGGTTTTGCAATTAAATGATGCAAGTTAGGGTAGATAGATCATATGGAAAGGAAAGATTCCTAGGAAGTTTCAGTTTGGGTGAGTCTCAATTTATGACTGGCCATTGACCTGAAGTCTAACCTTACAACAAAGTTCCATCAAGATTGCTGTTATGCCTTTTACACCTAATATGATTAGGACTTAAATGGGTGAGGTCTCCTTTTTTTTAGTATTATTTTACTCATATTTTTGCCTTGGTAACCAAAAGTGGTTTTAATATGAGTTTCAAAATCGAGAGACATCGATATCTGTCATGGTAGAAACACTCTAGTATTTAACAATTGCCTATATCAGATTGAATATGTTAAAAACCAAGTTGAGTATCGGCAATAATTCGATAGGTATTTGCAGAAATTGTCATCCGACCCGAGGTTGAGAGGTGTCTGTGGTATCTAGTATACTTTAAATGCAATATGGGTGCATAGTTAAAGCTTTGATTGTGACAAGTAGGGTCATTATTGACCCAGAAGGTAGCTTGATCCATATATTTGTCCCTAAGGGTGACCAGCATCCCCCTGTTTTCTGAAAGGAGTGCATCTCAACATTAGTTTAGTATAAAATCATTTATGGGTCTGTATACCGAGGAAAATCGCATGTTATATGGTAAGAGAAAGGCTGAATAAGACGCCAGATTTTGTTATAACTAACTACATCCCACATAAACCGTGCCATACAATAGTAAATATATTCAAACAGACGCTCCAGGCGTTTTGATGGGAAGTAAGAGAATAAACCCTGTTTTAGAGCTTGCGTGTATAAAAATCTCGCTCCTGGCGAAGCGCTTCAACTTGTAAAGGTTTAACGCTCAGCTGGAGAAAAGACCACCCAAAAGGTTTTGAAGAAGACTGAGGAGGCTGCTGGTGATGTTGGTACCGGTTGAAGACTGGGTAATCAAATCCACAAGAAGTCCGACCGTGCTGACAATGGCAGCGAGAGGACTTCCACTGGCGTTACCAATGGTCAAAATGTTGGTAAGAGCACTCAAGATACCTTGAACGGTGGTGAGCAACGCGGCAGTGACCTTCGATGGGTTGGCGACACTAGCAAAGAGAGAAATCAATAGGGAGACAATCTGAGAGAAGGCCCCTTTGATAGCTGGCTCGGCGACAGAAATGGCGGTGGCAATTGTAAGGGCAGCTGAGGCTGGGGATGGGTCGGTAAGAGCACTGGTAGCAGCTGCGATGACATTATCCAAAGCGCTGTGGATAATAGCCTCTTGTGCAAGAATGGAGGTTGCAAAAGGACCAGAACCGTCAGCAATAATGACACTGATGATAGAGCTGATAGCACTCTCCTGATCTTGGACAACAGAGATAACAGACAGTACCACATTAGGGACTGCTGCAGTTGGGTGGGCAGCCAAAGAAGAGACAAATGCCGCAAGAGTAGAATACGCCTCTTCCACTTCGGACACCACAGAGGCTTGGAGGGAGGCGAGAGGAACAGTGACAGAAGTAGTGGTGGCCACAGCGGTGGTCTTAGGGCAGAAGATGAAACATGGGAGAGCAGCGGCTGGATCAGCGATTGGAGCAGCAACAACAGAGGAGGCGGCAGCCAAGGTAGCGAGGATAGAAGTGAACTTCATTTTGTATGGTCGGTAGTCGATAGTTTCTATTACATTTTTTACTCAGAATACCTCCGGATTAGAGCGGTATTTATATTATTTTGAACTTTGCCAGCCGGTGTGGATGGTATCTGTTATCCCAAGGTTACATTGGATTAAAACCGGTAAGGCCAGATAACAGGGATTATTTGATCTATGCACCATACGTATTCTCCGCTATTTCATTGTCTCTTGTATTCATAATCAAGACCTAAAAGCTCTTAATGTAATTAACGTCGAGAGAACTTAGTAACGTTAAGATCTGCAAGCTTGGTTGTTCTTGATGCCTATGGCTCTATTCTGATCCCTGTAACTCGACGCACGACGCACGCGAATCTAGTATTAAGATCTACCCTGGCCGTTGATGCTCCAGCTACACTATCTTAGCTGACTAAACTAGATTGCTTTCATTGTTAACAAGTATACTAGGACCACGTTCTAAACCATACCATTATATGTGCTACACTTTAATGTCGAGAAACCATCCTGAGGTCAAATGGTCGCGGTTAAGCCCCTTAGAAAAGGGTTTGCCATAAGGCTTAATATATGAGACTGCAAGGAATGGAGTAAGCTGAGGAAAGTTTCGAAAACGCACTCGGGGTAAGGCTGCTGTGACTACTTTCTATTCCCTGACCTAAGACGCTAGTTTGTTTGCTCACTTCCCTGTACTCGCACATCTTATCAGCGGGTCTAGGCCGGCTCTCTTGTCCAACTTAATCCGAAGATAAGGGTAAACTAGATCACTATCGGGGATAAGCAAGCACCAGATTTCTCAAGCCCCGTAGTGTGTTGCGAACATAACCAAAGTCTCTTAACGGTATGGCGAAGCCCAGTAGGCTTTAGAGTAAATGGTGTTATATGCGTAAAATGCTATATAGCTCTGCGGAACTTAGCTGATGCGAGCTACCGTGCATGCGTCTGCTACATATGCATGAACATGAAGACCGGTTGGACGACATGCATATGCGTGACATAGCACTTATTTGTCCCTCTCTACCCCACTAAATAGTAATAACGCAACGGCATAGCAATTTTGGTAGGACAAAACTACTAATGGGATCTAATTAGGACTATTTACTCTTTCTGTACCGTATGATCACTAGTCAAAGAGGCTGCCATCCGCTTCTATTGCTCTTATCGTGGCATATCTGGGGGGCCTTGTTGGACCATGTTCCAAACCCTTCAGGGTGATTTACACAGTCGGCTAGTATTGCTGCACGTGTCATAAAGTAAACGCAGATTTCTTAAAACGATAATCAATGCTACTAGGTTTATCCCGAGCCCACGTTGAGCTTGAGGTGGATGACCGCAGATCTGACGAATTATGAAATTATCACTGGGATAAAAACTTTGAAATTGTTCTAGCGATATGGATCGGCTTTACATATCTAGCTTCAATGGACCGCTGACATCATCAGCTTCTATAAATTCAAACTTAAACTGCCCTTTTGCACCTGTGTCAGTTTTTAACATGATTGGGGAAACGATCCCGCAGTTCTTCTAGGCCCTCGCCGTGGTATTTCGCTGTGTAGATATGCGGATACTTTGATCGTAAATCCGCGTAGAGAGCAAGAATCATAGTTTTATTTATACCATGGGATTGGCCCAGAACGGATGTCCATCCATTACGTGATATTAGTAAGAAATTACCGGGGTTATTACGCCGTCAAAGTACGACTCGTATAGCTAAACCTTTGGCACGCATACACTATCGTGGAATGTGTGGTGTATCTAGTAGGTAATGGATATCATCAGTTGAGAATTTTCATAAATAAAACTTACAAACAAGGATTTGAGGTTCTCATATTTCGAGGAATGTAAGATACTAAAATGTGGTGGAAACTATCAAACCTTTCCTGGGACTGTTCTGCTGTTAAACGGTATGCTGCTTTAAAGTACTCAAGAGTAGACTTTTGGTTGAAAATCTATAGGATTCATTTTGCAGTCATAGATACTAGCCCTTAAGGCTTGAAAAACGTGTAAATTTATGGAATTAACCAAACCCAGAAACAATAACTAGGCCCCAAGGGGTACAAAAATTGAGATAATCAAAGAAGTCGCACAAAATGACGCCATGAATCGAGTGGAAATTAGGTAAAGAGAGTCGGTAAAACTGATTAAAGTGAAAAATAAAATTAGAGTCGAAGTTTGGAGTGGAAATGAAAAGTCAATAGTCAACCTCGATCGTGCTAGCTTTCGCGTGTCACATTAAATCATTAATATTTGCCGGCATTTCATTGATCTTTGACGAATAATAATTCTCAATATCACGCAAGGTATGGGCATCGTCATTCGTGACAAAGTTGATCGCTACTCCCTTTCTGCCAAATCTCCCGGATCTCCCGATTCGATGAATGTAGTTCTCCTTGTCGTTTGGCAAGTCATAGTTGATGACGAGCGACACCTGCTGAACATCGATCCCGCGGGCCCACACATCAGTGGAGATTAATACTCTCGAGTTCCCCAAACGGAAGTCGTTCATGATTGAGTCTCGTTCGTCCTGTTTCATATCACCGTGCATCGCGACAACAGTAAAGTTCGACTGCTTCATTTTCTCATTGAGCCAGTCAACCTTTTTCTTGGTGTTGCAGAAGATGACCGCCTGGGTGATGGTCAATGAGTCGTACAAGTCGCACAACGTGTCGAACTTCCATTCCTCTTTCTCCACCTGCACCTGGAACTGTTTGATACCCTCCAAAGAAATCTCGTCTCGCTTGACAAGAATTCGGACGGGGTCGCTCATAAATTTATTGGTCATTTCCAAGACCTCGCGTGTCAACGTGGCACTGACAACCACAACTTGCGTCGCTGGGGGCAAGAATCGATAAATGTCATAGATCTGCGCCTGGAAGCCTTTAGTCAAAAGCTCATCAGCTTCGTCCAAAATGAGCATCTTGATGTTCTTTACCGACAAATTCCCCTTCGCAATCATGTCCTTGACACGCCCAGGCGTTCCACTGACAATGTGCTGCCCACGCTGCAAAACTTTGACATCTTCCCCCACGTGGGTGCCTCCGATACAGGCGTGGGTACGGATGTTCATGTGATCTCCCAAGGCCTTGACCACGTTTTGGATCTGCACTGCCAACTCTCGCGTGGGCGATAACACGAGCGCCTGGGTCTCCTTGTTTTTTGTGTCGATCACCTCCAACATCCCAATGGTGAAGGTGGCGGTCTTACCGGTCCCCGACTGGGCTTGTGCGATGGTGTCACGACCCGAAATGATCTGCATAATGGCACGCGATTGGATGGCAGACGGCGCTTCGAACCCATAGCCGTAGATGCCTCGGAGTAGGTCCTCTTTCAAGTCCATCTCTTCGAACGTGGCCACCACCTTGACCTTTTTGGAGGTGGAAAACTGTAATTCAGCATCAGATTCTCTGTCTAGTTGGTCCATCGTGATCGATTGCTATAGGTTTGTTATAGATTCGTTAAGGTGAGATAGGGTCGCGTGGATATATGATACCCCATGTGTTAGGCATGCATGAAATTTTTCACCCATCGAGCGGCGCGGGGGGCGTATACCTATTGGAGATTAAGAACATCATGTAAGACACGACCATGAAGTAGGGGTTAAATTAAAGGTAGTGTGGATGATACACTAGTAGAAGGATAAGGCTCGGAGAAGGGAAAAGATGTTAGGTTGGCCGTTTATTCAAGTGGATGAATTACCGACGTAATAGTTTGCATAGGTATGGGAGAGCAAGATAGAGAAAGGAGGCTAAAGTGAACGGAACACAGGGCAAGTAAAACGAGATATAGTGAGGATGAATACAGAAGACTTGTCGAAGAAAAGGGATATACCGATTGTATATTTCATCGTAAGGGGTCTATTTCCGCTGCTTAGGGTTTGATGGCCGTTACGTTTACATCACTTCGGAGAATACTGAATGGGTACTAAAGGTAATTGATAATCCAACTAACCCCCAGAGCATTATAAGGAATCAAATAAGGGACAGCTGGCTTCTTTGGGGGCCGCTGGACCCTTTGTCTGCTGTGTCTATATGGTCATACCATGACCAGATTTTACTGGCCATCGATGGAGATAACAGGTACGGCACAGCTTATTAAAGCAGAATATGTTGTAGGCTAAACGAGAAAGAAAAGAAAGGTAATTATTAAACAGCATAGTAAGATAATGATTCCTTTTTATATTTCAAATTAAATAATCCCACCTCGTGAACGTTTTAACCCATGCTTGAAGACTCCTTCTCTTTCTCACGTGACTTCATACGCCGGTCAAATTTCTATTATATTTTTTGGCGTACAAAAAGTGTCAAGCGGTTAGACACCAAGGGGCAACAGTGGTTGATTTCTCCCTTTCCGCCTGCCTAAGTATGTCTGAAGCCAAACCTATTGTCATCTTGATCGGTGGTGGCCACTGTTCTGGAAAAGTAAGTACCGAAAAAGCATAAACACCGTTTGGTAACTAACCCCACAGAAAACCTGCGCTAGCGACATTGCCGACTGCCTCATCAGACATTCTCCTGAAAAGCTTGATGTTCAGATCATCGATATGAAGGTATATCTCATGTCCAAATCTGCCGTCCAAACCTCCAATAATTATATTGCTCTTCCGTCGCGCTACGATTTTGGGACCTTGTTGAAGGACCTCGCGCACAACGACCACGCACCAGATGTTGTGCTCGTGCACGGCTTGTACGCGCTATACAACAAGGAGCTCCGAGACTTTTCCTCAATGAAGATATTTGTGGATAGTGACCCAGACACCCGCCTAACCCGCTGGATCAGGCGTGACGTGCTCCAAGGCGCAGCTCCGTTGGAGGACACTTTGACACAGTATCTCAACTTTGCTCGCCCGGAGATGAATGAGTTCATTTTTCCAACCAAGGAGTCTGCTGATGTGGTGTTGCCGCGCGGCCCCGAGGAGATTGGAATCCGTTTGATCGTCGATGGGGTGGAGCCATTATTGAAGAAGAAGCATAATGTGATCGGAATCACCCGTGAAGACCTAATAGCCCCTCCACTGCCTGGCATCAACTCTTTGGGTGTAAGTGGGTTTAGAACCATCGACTTCAAGGGTGAGGACTTTGACGGTCAGAAGGAGAGATTTTACGGACTCAACTAGGTTCCTAGGCTCTGGAAAGGAGTTTTATATAGAGCGCTTCGCATAAACCACGTTCAATTAAAGACGATATTGTGTTAAGTGTGGTGCCATCATATAGTAAGGATTGATACCATATATACAGGGGTTGATTTTTCCTCTCTATCATATATACGTTGTACAGCCAACCAGTATACTACTAGTTAAGTAGATGTTTTGCTTATTGGGCTAGGATGTACCATATGGAGGCGGTACTAAAACTTTGATATAACATGTTATAGCTAGCCAAGTACGATATTTACAACTACACTGGAACGGATGATGTGACTTACCGCCAAATATTCCCGGTATCCGAATTTTATTTTTTCCTAGTTAAACCTCACTTGCACTAGGAGATGCCATACATGGAGGCTTTATTCGATTATATCAATACAACATCCGTTAGATATGACGTATCGAAGACCCCCACACAAGCACTAGGCACGCTTTCATAATTGTCCACCCCTGCAATCATCACTGAATGAGATCAGAAGTAGTCATATGAACATCACGAGTCCTCGACATTTGCCATGTTATCATCGCTGAACGAGATCCAGGAAGCGTCCGTTATAAGATCATCGCTCTTACAACCCCACACCTACTCTGAGTTATCTTTAGCGAGTTTTGGAAACTCGTATACATCACTCGCAGTGATCTCAGGAAGTTCTTCATGAGATATCTTTGACTATTCTACCAGCAAACCTTGCGCTGTATACCTTACATAGTTAATTTTGGTTGAAACATTCCTCACTAGATAGCGTACAATTGGCACTGTGTATCCATAAGCCCTTAATATCGGTTATTTCCTTTGATAGTGATATTTTCTTCTTTGACTATACACTGTTTACTTTTCTATGACGGATGACACTCGGTTCTCTATGGGACTTGTGCCTTCTGTCATGAGGAGGGATTAAGTGTCAGTAATGTGCCAAACGGTATCCCAGGAGAACCCAGAACGCTGCACCGGAAATCTCGGAGATAGAACAATAAGTGATGATCCAATCGGCTTGCACAATTGTTGGAGCAGATAAGTGCGGGGGTTTGCGTTATTAAAAAGCTTAACATGTATTAACCCAAAGCTTGGCTAACGCAAACTCAGAGCTTGACATGTGTCTGAAACAATTAAGACAAACCTGCCATGTTGGTAACTAGGAAGGCTGCAATCCACTCCATCTTTGCTGTTTACGCACTCATTATCAATATCTCTGTACTGATGAAGCACAATTCGCCTTACGACATAGTATAACCGAGCCTTATTTCTGTATACAAACTATTTCCTAGTCCTCCTAACATACCCGCCATGCAATATATATAATCAGGATTTGCGCCGATGAAACTCTCTGAGCCTACGATTAATCTTAGCATGTCTAGTACATATATGCCGTTATACAAACCCATCCAGATATCCCACAAAAGCTTTCAGCCCATCAATATAGGTGTAGGAACTCCATTTAATAACGTAATAACGCTTGGAAATAGTATTAGACTCCCTGCTAGTCAATATTGCGGAAAATAAACTGGCATGGTCCTCATGCTAATATGAAGATGCTACGTGTACCCTCGTCCCATCTGCCCAGTAAACACCCAACGCCGGTATCTCGATTGCAACGTTGGAACCAGCTGAACTGTCAACTAAACTTGCTGACAAAATCATAGCCGTGTTGAGCAATGTTACACTATGCCACCCGTGAAGGTCAGACAACTGCTGTAGCTAATACACAGTGCTACCTAATATCTGGTTAGCTCGTATAGGGTGAGCCGGACCCGATATGACATTGAACGAGGTCCCCAAGATAGGACCAGAGTCATTGAGAACAACCTTGTGTTTGATTGGAGAGACTGTCGCACCAATAAGGGCTATAATTCCCACTGAAACAGTGGTAATGCTGACGATAACTGCGTCAATACACCCTAATTGCATCTGCCTGGCAGCACCTCATTGCGGGATCACCGCTAGGGTTGCCAAATTTATCGCAAAACATAACCCAACGGCTCCTAATGCCATGGGCCAGGTTCATATATCTCACTTGTCAAATACAGTCGGAATATACGCTTCTGGTGTTGTAGTTGGTACGGAAAGCGAGGCGTCACTTAAAACGTCACCACTACCAAAAGCTTCTAAAGAAAGAGAAGTGTCATTGCCATTACTAAGAATACTGCAAAAATTAGTAGCTTGACTCGGCCTCTTTCCGTGTACCTTCCAACGTAATACTGATTTGCTTGTTTGCTATCAGGATTAGAACCCTCGTTTGTGTTATATACCTCTGCTAGGTCTTCGGGCTGGCCGGGAAGTTGGTTTGATTGCTGAAAAATATTGGCTATATTATTAAAAGAATGTTTTCCTTTCCACCAATAACTATTTAGGAGGCTTCCACTTAAATTGAAAACGTGCTCGTTTTAATTTTATGGATATTCTAGCTCATGGGAACATTTCGTCTTTTAGTTTGAGTTTGCACATGCTAAGCTTTAAGTGGGTAACTGCTAAGCTTCGAATTGGTACATAATAAGCTTTTTAATAGCGCACATCCCCTCAGTTACCTGCCTCAACAGTTGTGCAGGCTGATTGGATCGCCACTTATTGTTCTATCTCCGAGACTTCAGGCGTGACTGACGCTGCGCATCACTGACGTTAAGCGTGTTGCTGTCACATAGTAGGAGTTGATACCTTATATGGGATGTCGATCCCGTCTTTTTTTATTCTATACATTGCATAACCAACCAGTATAAAAATACTTAAGTAGGTATCCTACCCGTCAGATGAGATATATACCACACATATTGAGTGATCAAATTTGAATAAATACTAGAGAAATTGGAGGTACATAATATCAGATACGACAAACGTGTGGTATTTCAAACAATGATAGCCTACTTAGGCTAATTTTGACACCCTTCTAAATAAACATCAAAGAGAGTAGGCAGAGTACTTTTTTATTAGCTAAAGTGGACCAGGTGGCCAGGCAAGTGTGACTAAGGATATCGTACAGAGGCTACATGACCCAATAGAGGGATAAAATACGCACGAGGAATTAAAAAAAGGACTATGCCCTCTACTCATAATGTTTTATCAGCGTAGAATTGGTGAGAAACTGAAGTCTAGTACACGGCTAGACCTATGGCATAAAAGAGACTCTAATCCCCCCTTAGGATGATGCACATCGAAGGAGCCAAGGAGATATGTGATCAGTAACTCTAGTATCTAAATATTTTGCCAGCCTATGGCAAGGGTGATCGTTTAATTCCTGCCAGTTTGTGTGTCAAAAAGCTCAAACGTCTCGAGACGTTTGTGACACCCCCATCTTAATTTCTCTTTTAAATAAATGGAATATAAAGAAATCCACTATAATGTATCCGAATTGAGGTCCTACCGAAACCTCCAGATATGTCCACAATTATGCTATATATATATCTCTAGTTTCAGACCTATGAATCCATACTCTTGAAAAAAACTCCAACTTTATCAATATTTCTGCATTTTAATAGAATTTTCAAGACTTAATCTATTTACTTTTCAAAGAAACCCCTGGCTGACGATACCGTTAACTTCTACACATAGCCAGATGTATAACTTATCGAAAAACAATTCCTTCAAGCCTTAATATTCCAAATTCAAGTTCTAAGCGCCTCCTGACTTAATATATACCCTTTGAGGCAGCTTGCACATCTATAATAAAGCACTTATTCGCATTCAAACTTTGAGAGTAATAAAATTCATGTTCAGGAAGAAACCCAGTTTAATTGACAAACTATAATTATTTAAGCCACTTCAATCACTACAAGCTTTGCACGACAAATGTGTTACTTTTTAAATCTCGCCTCGGCCGCTCTCGCACGCTGCTCGCGCATCAACTTCATTTTCTGCTCCTCCGACAAGTCACTCATGTTCTGAACCTGCGTCAAGACGCCAACCGACCGGCCCTGGCCCAACATGTGCTTGCGCTTCATCTCACGAGCCTCGCGCTCGCGCTCTTCCTCGCTCACCTCTCTTGCCTTCGCCATGGCTTCTGCTTTGAGCCGTTTCTCTTCCTGCTGCACGGCTTCCGCAGCCTGCTCAAACTCCTCGCGCGACTTTGCAGCACCCACATGAGCACGGCTCCAGTCAGCATAGTCCTCTCCCAAGACGTGTCGCGCGGTCTGGAATGCGCGTCTGGAATCCCCCGCGGCCACGTCCCACGCGGTCTTGCCAAACACGTTGGCAACCGTAGGATCTGCCTTTAAGGTCGTCAAAAGCGCCTGCACCACGTGGGGCTGGCCCGCCGCGGAAGCATAATGGAGGACCGTAGGCGTAAGAACATTCTCCAGCCCCGGTTCTAGGACAAAGTCCAGGGAAAGCCCATGTTTCCGGAAGTATGCCACAAGCGGCGGCACTCGCGACTTTTTGACAAGCAGACAGATCTCGACAGTGTGGACCTCTTCTGGGGTCAATTCCTTCATCTCTTTCTGTTTGCTCTGTCTGGACTGCGCAAGAATTGCCTCCTGACGTTTCGCACGTTCCTGAGCGGCAGCGTCGCTCTTGGGCATGTCGGTGAGCGCCAATGTTGTGAGTTGGACCCATGCCTTACGCAACTCTGAAGTGGTGGCGCGTTTGGTGGTGAAGGGAAAGTTGCGCACCCGCGGGTCCAGCACCTTTAACACCGCACCCTCGTAGCCTATCAAAACACTGCGATTATACTGGCCGGTGGAGCGCACGTATATGTTGTCGCACTGGTCCAAGTGGCTCTTCCAGGACTGGAGAAGCTCACGGACCTCGGTCATTAACAAGACCTCCATCTGACGTCTGATGGTGGATCCCGCAGAACTGGCCTTACCTCTGCTGCCATCGCTTGCGCTCTGCGACCCACCCTGTTTCTTACGCACGGTGTAGCGGTGAAATGTCTTGTGGGCAATGACGTCCACCAGCTGGTCTACCAACGACATCTGTGCCGTGGCGGTATTCCCCTTGGTGGATTTGCGCTGGTGCGAGATGATTGCACCCGCAAAATGGCCCCCGCCGATCATGATCAACGCGGACTTTCCCGGTTGCTGCTTCCACTGGAGCATGGATTCGAGTGGGTTTTCCATCTGCTGTGGCAGGAAGCATACCTTATAGACCCCAAAGCACTTTTCTTGCACCAAAGGTGACTTGAAGAACACAAACGGCGATTTTGTGTTGGTGAAGGATATTGGGCCCGCAGGCTCCTCCGCTGCCGATGTCTCCATAATAGCATCGAGTCTGTCATCATCGGAGCCTTCGCTACCGGAGATGGATTCCTCCAAGGTTTCGAGCAAACCTGCAAACTCCAGCTCCTGCACTGGCGGCAAACCGTTGACCTTGCGTTTGAGGTTAAAGCGGTGGAGGTCTGTGCGGTAGTGTTCCTTCTTGTCTGTGAGGTCGAGGCCTTCAAACGACACAAGACAGGTCGTGCATGTATTCAGAGAAGCATTGGCTTCTACTTCCATCGCAGCAAGCGACGTAGAAAGCGCGTCCTCCGTCAATTGCGGCGTCTCGACCTCCGTCGTGCTGAAGTCGAAGTACATGAGAGACATTGACTGGAGGATCTCCGTTGGGAGATTGTACACACAGAGATCCTCTGTTTTGTACTTGAATTGGGGCAGGGACATCAAGGTTAAAATCTTTGTGGCGTTCAGGAAAGAAGGAGTCGAATGGAGAGCGAAAGGGAAGAAGAAATGGTGATGGAGTGAAGTTTCGGCGGCAAACCGTCCTGCATGGAATATGCAGGACACAGGGCAAGAGGAGGGTGGCAAAAATCCATTGAAGGGACCACAGAATATAATTGACGGTGTTTTATCAGGAAGATTCCGTTTTGTTTTCCGTAAACGTAAGTGAAAGACTGCTAGTGCTTTACAATAGCGGTGTGTGCGGTCTAAGCGGTACACTTTGGAGTGACAAGAAGGATGCATTTAATCAGGGTGAATTAGAACGTCAGAAGTGAAAAAAAAGTAATGAGCAAGAAAGGGAATAAAAAGGAAAAAGAATAGTTAGATGGACATTCGCAGAGGTTTGTATTTTTTTATGGAGGAATATTAAAAGAGGGAGGAATGAATAAAATGCTACCGGAGTAGGAAATGTTTGGGGTGTAAATAAAAAGCTTTTTTGTTGTCTGAAGACGGTATTAGTATGTGGCTACTCCGATTATCAGTATGTTGGATTCGTACCGGTGTAGCTTAGCAGGATGGTAAAGTGTTTTCAGTTGGGCCATGAAATACACAAAACATCAGGCATTGTGCAAGCTGGGTCGGGTTTAATGGCCCTATAAGAGGGCCGATCATTTGTCGTTTGATTCCAGGGTGAAAGTTTACAAAATAATTTATTGCAAACACTGGCTACGATAACCTAAAGAAAGGTGTAATTTTACAAGGTCCGGGTTAGAACTGGGGTTAGTGCTTTTTGATGGTCTACGCATACTAGTGTGCAGCTATAGATTAGAATTGTTACAAAATCTATCATTTTACGTTTGCGAGATATTAAATGACTTGGCTACTTGTAACCCCTCAATAATTAGCTCGAAGCTAAGTTTGTATAGTGATGGCGTCATATAACCCACGACTCGGAGTCTACCAACCTGAATCAACTTCAATATAAATTATTATTATTATTAATCTGATCGTAAAATATACAAGACACTAGTACTGGTTGGCCATCTACTGGCTCACCATCAACGGTTAAACATCACTGACCAGTAATTTATAGGCTACACCTCAGCTGACTAGTTGTTTACTGAGCCCCCACTCTGTGGCATTCCTCCAAGAACCAACGGACCTGCTCTGGGTCCATCATTGGCTGGGTGCCGTGACCCAAGTTGATAATGTAATTCTTCTTCCCACCGTTAAACCCCTTAATCATCTGCTCTACCTTGGCGGTGATGGCTTCCTTGGTACCGTAGATGACACCGGGGTCCATGTTTCCCTGTAAGGCGACGCGGCCGTTGGCGGTCTTGACAGCCTCCGCCGGACAGTGCAACCAGTCAAGCGAGACACAGTCGTAGCCGGCATCGCAGAGCTTGTCCAAGGCGTACCAGGAGCCTTTAGCGAACACGGTCACCGGGATCTTCTCGGTGATACCAAGCTCCGCCAACTTGGCTGGTAATTTGGCAGAGATCTGCTTGAGATAGTACAAACAGAACTCGTCAAACTCCACCGGGCCCAACTCACCACCGTTGGACTCGAAAACCTGCAACATCTGGGCACCCGCAGCGACCTGGTGCGCCAAGAAGTCGATCGCAACATCCGTAATACGCTGCAACAATTCGTGGGACTCCTTAGGGTATCTGTACAACCATTCCTTGGCGTATCTAAACATCTTGGAGCCAGAGCCCTCGGTCATGTAGGCTAGCAAGGTCCATGGGGCACCACAGAAACCTAAAAGCGGAACGCGGCCGTTCAACTTCTTTCTGGTCAAGGTGATGGCGGTGAACGCCCAGTCCAACTCCTTGGTGATGTCCACTGTGGTGCGCAACTTCTTCAAGTCTTCTGGCGAGCGTAAAGGATGTGGAAAAGACGGGCCTTTACCGTCAATCATCAAAACCTCCATCCCCAAGGCCTGTGGAATGACAAGAATGTCACTGAAGATAATGGCGGCGTCGATGAGGCCGTCGAAGTGGTCGATCGGCTGGATGGTAATCTCGGACGCAATTTCAGCGTCACGACAGGTCTCGAAGAAGTCACGGCCATCCTTGACAACGTGGTATTCTGGAAGGTAACGACCAGCTTGTCTCTAAGAGAAGGGGGTTAGTATAGTAAGGAAGATCTCATCTAGTGGCAGTACGTACCATAATCCACATTGGTGGTCTTTCGACGGTCTCGCCTCTGGCGGCTCTGAGGATCAAATCGTTCTTCAATGGGGCAAATCCGGTAGCCATTTTGACGTCTAAGGTATAGAACTAGTGGGAGTAAAAGTGGACTGTTTCTTGACCACTGTCTTTTAAGAGGTACATGTCGAAAGTGGGCTTTTTCAGTCCGGGCTCGAAACCGTTGGAAAACAGGGGAGAGCCAGCTAGGGCATGCTGTGGAGATTGTGATACCGCTGTGTCCCCATTCATCGCCACTAGTATGAAGTTTCTCTGCTTTGCGTTATTTTCGATCTTGTATTGGAATATTAGTAATAGTTTGAACTTTGGTAGGGCCATGTGTACGTGCTTCGATCTGACGGTGGTTTAGTATGCAGAATAGGACAATTATATCTGTTATGTGCCAGTAGAAGGAACCAAAATAATAATGACTCTGGTAACCAGGATGAGCTGATGCGAAAAGATTTTAAGATTTATATTGGTTTTAGCGATTTATGGATTCACCAATTAGCCTATAAGAGTTGCCTGTGTGCCTAGACATCCTTTTATAAGGAGTAAATTACAATGGGGCTATATCTTGAAGTGATTGCATCTATTCACAAGCCTGGGAAGTTATTCCTTGTATCTTGGACAGAGCATTCTTGGAAGATAAGTGGCTCATAGAAAGCTAATGACATATATTGGTTTAGTGTCCGTTTCAATAGATATTAGCAGTCGAGACTGTTGCAAACTTGACATCCTTATTATCACCATACCGTGGGCTTGGTATGGAAGTGTAACGGTTATATCCGATTTCTAAAACCCCAACCTTATGCTTTGGATTATAGTACTAGAATAACAATAGCTTAAACCAAATCTGCAGGGTGCAACTTTAGTCTGTGTCAAGTAGGAAGCTGACACCACGTCTGACTTTGCTGAATATGCTGTTCACCCTAAGTTTCAACCACCAAACTATTTGACCATATCTACATTTTTGTTGGTTTAAATCAGTAGTATAAAAGCTCTGCCCTCAAACTGTTTTTTTCTTTCTCGTTCTTAGCATCTGAAATGGATCAGCACTCCCATTTAACCTTCTGCCCCGAATTTTTCTCATAGCAACAATCTTATCGCCGAGATCTCACAGTAAAGCATTCGCTTACTGAGTTATTTATACCCCTTAGTCTGCATCAGCGTTAATTACAAATACATATATATATTAAAACCTTTCCTTGCCAAAGCGGTTACTTACCCTCCCCTTACTTATATCGCTTTTGTACGACAAATGGAAGTGCTCAGCCCTTTATCCTACTACCACAGGTCCAGTTGCACACCCCACATAACCCCCCCCGTGGCCACCCTGCACTAACCGGACCACAATACAGCAAATTTCCTGCAGCAAGTAATCTCGAGGCAAGTAACTTTTTGCTCAACGGCTAATTTTAGACCCGCTGTGCTCTCAATCACAATTAAAACATCTCTCCCACTTAAACCCGGTCTTATCCTCATTAATATACACATGTCTGTGCTGTCAAGTCCTAGATTAGAACCCCAGGGCTCCCCCGAACCAAGGATTAAGGCCCCTTCCCCCGCCTCCAAGTTTCTGCTTGCCTCTACCGTGAGCTCCCTCTTCCGGTACCGCAAAACGTCTCTTACATTAGCAATCGTACTCACTTATGTTATTTCCTTTGTGGTTGTCTCTTATACCACCAATGTTGCCCAGGTCGCGCTTCCAGACGATGCCGCCGATATTATCCTCCTCCAGCAGTCCTGGCTTCACTTGCAAAAAATCTCTGCCTCCCCGCACCCCTACTCCTCGCTCGCTAACGACGAGGTCCATGCTTACATCTTGGCCCAGGTAAAACTACTCCTGGTCAATTCCTACACGGAGTATGCCGACGACAAGGATAACAAGATCTTATTCAACCAAAGAAACGTGTTTAACAGCGCGGATAAGGAAAATCGGGTTATCTACTACGAAAGCAACAACGTGCTTGCGCGGGTTAATGGGACAGACCCTACGTTGCCGGCACTTTTGATCTCTGCCCACTTCGACTCGGTGCCCTCCGCCTACGGAACCACCGACGACGGGATGGGCATCGCCTCCATGCTCGCGCTTCTCGAGCACTTCAGTTTAGCCTCGACTCCACAACCCCTCCGCACAGTTGTGTTCAACTTCAACAACAACGAGGAGTTTGGCTTGCTTGGTGCCACAGCCTTTTTCAACCACCACTACTCCGAGAACGTGGCCTACTTTATCAACTTGGAGGGCACGGGTGCTGGCGGCAAGGCCATCTTATTTCGTGCCACAGACTACGGGGTATCCAGCTATTACTCCGCTGTTCGCTCACCGTTTGGATCATCCATCTTCCAGCAGGGCTTCTCCAACGGCTTGGTGCACTCTGAAACCGACTACAAGGTGTATAAGGAACATGGCCTCCGTGGGGTGGACATCGCCTTTTACAAGCCAAGATCCATCTACCATACCGCCGGTGACTCGATTCAGGGCAGTGACAAGCATTCGTTGTGGCACATGCTCAGTACAGCTAAGGATTACGTCGAGGAGGTGGTTGGCCAGGCCGAAGTCAACGACAACTTGGATACTCCCGTGTTCTTTGATCTTTTGGGCAAAGTTTTTGTCACCCTTCCAGCCTCCGCCTTGAGCACCTTGAACGTCATCGCACTCACGGTTGTCCCACTCTTAGTCTTGCTCCTCTTACTGGTGGTACTTAAGAGAGGTACTTGGTCGGTTTCCGTCACCGACACCATTTGGTTCCCTCTTTCCATTGGCGCCTCGGTTTTCATCACCCATGCAGCTACTCAGTCCTTCTTTGGGTCCAATCCGTTGGTTGTCTCCGCAGACTACGTCACCCCTGTGGCTGTGGCCTCGGCGATTTTTTTACTATCTAACTACGCCGCGTTATCGCTCCTCACCTACGCCCTTCCAGTACACAATGAAAAGTTGGTGTATATTCTTGAGCTCACCTTTGTTTTGTGGGTGGTGTTGCTCAAGTCTGTCGTGGAGGCTAACGGTGATAAAGCTGCTCATTCCGGGGAATACGCTTACACGGCGGTATTTCTCTGTTTCTCTGGCGCTGCGATCATTGGCCTTGTTGGGTTGAGCATAAAGCGGACCCAGAACTACGAGCCTGAAGCCGAGAACGGTGAGACTGTGCCTTTGTTGGAAGAAGAAACCATTGTGTACAGTGATGAACCTCCAACCTTAAAGCACGATGTTAAGAATACCGTCTCGTCCCTCAGATATCTCACCTACGACTGGTCCTTACAGTTTCTCGTACTCGCCCCTGTTTCTTTAGTGGTGTATAGTTGCGGCGATTTAGTTTTCCAGGGATTGCATCAAACTTCTCAGGAAAGTGCTTTGGCTACGACTATGCTCCACAAGTTCACGGTGCTCATTGCGGTGGCCTGGAGTTTGCCGTTTCTCCCATTTGTTGTCAAATTTAACCGTTATCTCGTGTATTTCTTGGTTTTGACAGCGCTATTTGGGAGCTTCAGCATTTTACATGAGCCACCCTTCTCCAAGGACTCTCCTTTGAAGTTGCGCTTCTTGCAAGCGGTGGATAAACGTGGAGCCACTGTGGAGGTGTACGGCCGTGAAGGGTTTGTGAGAGCGGTGGTGGAGGATTTGCCATCAGTCAAGGAGTCTGGCCAGAATGTTACCTGTGTTGCTGCAAGAGACGGCTCTGAAACCTGTTACTACGAGGGCCCCGGGCCAAAAGCCCACTCCGTCGATGTGGAAATTCTTAAGAACGGTAGTGAGATTGTCGCTCCGTTTGAGCCATTAAGCGGAGAGGTCAAGCTCCACGCTTTGCAGAACAGAAACTGTGTGATCAGGTTCAACACCACTGGTTATCCTGAGGCGGGTGTGGTTTCTCCTGTAAAGTCTATTACTATCTACCAAGATAAAAACTCGACAGCTAGCCCGAAGACCGATTTGAAGTGGGATGGTGGGCACGTGGACAAGCTGGGCAACTACGTGTACCGTGATATGAACGGGATTGACCAGTTGCTGCTCCACAAGCTCAGCTGGGACCAGTGGTACCACTTGGGGGTCCAGTGGATTCCAAACTTCAGAGATGATTACGCTATGCAGACAACCACGGCGTTGGGGGTCTCGGTTCAGTGCTACTACGGCGAAGCGGACGCAGAATCCGTACCAGCCTACACCGAGTTGGTGCAGTACTCGCCAAAACTGGTGTCTATCGCAAACATGGCCAGTGGCTTGGTCGTGGTTAACCAGTACTTTGAGTTCTGAGGGCGTTTGGACTGTATTATATTTATTAAGTAATTGTTTCAATGAGTGTAGTGGTGCCAAATGCGCCTGTTATAGGTAGGAGGCACGGTGTGTCGATTTATTGCGAAGATCAAGATTTGATATGTGTGGAACTTGATGAATGGATGAGATATCCGACATACCCGTACTCTTCAACTATAATAAAAGAGCTAGGTCAGTTTTCTGATGAGTTTAGTATAGGTAATGCTCATCCCATTTAGTAATCTCCTCTATACCATCCCTTGTATTTAGCAGGCAATAGTAAACTGCATTGAACATGTGCTGCCAGAGCCAATGGTAGCAACACTGGTCATGTACTTACTCGATTCTAGCTGCGAATTGTACGCTTCCAAACTCTACACAAAGACCCATAGTACTTGCCAGCGTGTTCCATAGTATCCCATGCTTGGAGAGGATAGTCATTTTTCTACATACGTCTGGCGATGTGGGTAAGCGCTCCCGGAGATGCCGTTACCATACACTTTTTTTTTGGGTCTGCCATAGAATTATTTACCTTAAACTTTCTACTTTCCCAAATATGTTTGGAATCAGAAGCAAATGACATGTTAACTCTTGCTTCCCATTGCGTGACTAGTTCTGTGCCTTTTCAGGTCATGACCTGTCCTGTCACGCTCAGTTATCGCTATCTGCCGGAGTGCCGGGCTCAGCACGTGATAGAAATATTTTACTGTGCGTCTGCAGCTGATTTTTATTTTCATTTTTACTATACATCTTTTATCTGCTCTCTATCAGCAAACCTAATTCTCACGCTATAGCCCCTTCTATTTTTCTGCGGTTTAAAACACTTCAAATTATTCGTTTTTTTTTACACCTATAGCATATTCATGTCGATGCACACTCCGTTGCGGTTCAAATCGGCCACCAGCTTGTTGTCACAAGAGTCCAAGTACGAAGCGGTGCCCACGGTTTCCAGCATCACAAGCGTCATCTACAGTAACGGCTCCACCGCCACCATCACGGAAGCGTCCATCCAGCTGAAGCTGGCCCTGCAGACACTGTTGGTGTCGCTGCTGTCACTGGCATCCGTCTCCTCTGTGCCCCAAATAATAGAGCGGACACACACGGACGACCACCCTGAACCCGAGTTGCTAGCCTCCTCGGTGGGCAAAGAGATCAATGGCCGGTTAGTTCCGTCTTCTTCGGCCATTTCTTTGCTCTCGCTTAACCTTAGTCACACGCTTGAGCTGGAGCTGGAGCTGGAGGCGTTGCTCGCCGACGACGATGTGTTTGTGTTGGGGCCCGTTTCGCCGCAGCTGCTCACACGAAGTGTGTTGTGTGTTTCGCCTCTGAATTTTAAGAACTTTTCCGAAAATAAAGCCTTTTTTCTCGAGCCTGACTTTCTCGGCACGCCCCCCAACCCCAGACCCGCGCAGCCACGAGCTAACTCTGCCACGAGCATCTCTCGCTGGAGCACCCGTGTGAACCTGAACGTCCAGCAACAGAGAAATCCCTTGACTGGGTGTGGATCCTCAAATCTCAACCCTATCTCAAGTTCTATCACAAACTACCCCCCAAATAACAGTACAAATATCGCCAGTATTAAAGATAAAGCACGGGTATTGCCTACGCGAGCGCAGTCTCCGAAATCCCAGCTTTTTGCCTCTCCTGACAAAGCGGCAACGTTTCCTATCTACATCAAGTCGGGCCCCAAAGCAAATACAACACATACACATGTTCACCTTGGAAGTGTACCAGACTCGCCCAATTTGGATCCCATCTCCGTTGGCGGCTCTCCTTCAAAGTTCTGGTTGAATCCCCCAATGCCCATAGCTCATACATCCCCCGAGATCATCCAGAGGCAAGCCGCTTCGCCTCCACTCTACGTCATGGCGCAATTATCACCACAGCAGCCGTCGTTGCTTCTGGTCCGCGGGATCTTGCCCGCAGCTATCTCTATTCCGATCAACGGGGATGAGAGCCCGAACCTTATGCCGGTAAACACGCCGTCTGAAGCCCCACCGATGACGCCGTTGCAGCTCAGTACTATGGATATGAGTTTAGACAGTGTGTGGGAACTAGAAAGAGAAAATGGCGAGCGAGACGAATCAGATTATGACAGTAGTTACTACGATGGCGGTGCTGACGATGGGCCCGCAGTGGAATTATAGCTAGAAGAGTGTTTGGTTAGAGGTGCCTATTTCAATCGATTTCCATGGCTGTATTATTAGGTACCAACAAGCAAATGAGCCTTTTTTTTCCCCCGCTCTATATCCACGGGGCTTGGGCTGAGTCGTTAGCATACTGATTTTTTTTTTGGAAATTCTTCTCCTGGTGTTGAAACACCTTTGTTGATCAATCGTCCTTGAGTCATAATTCAGACTTTCAGGTATAACTAGTTAATAAAGTTATCCAATCTGCTTTGTCACAGCATTTATGAAGTTTGAAGGGTTGTGTAGTAAGCGTGTAGCTGTCATGTGGTAGGGATCAATACTCTATATAAGGTGGTCGATCCCTCCCTCTATCCTATATACATTATATAGGCAACCAGTATTACTATAAGTAGATATTCTACTCCCGGGGTAGAGATATACCATAGATTGTGTAGTATACTAAATGTCACCTCTGTGTGGTTTCCAGTCCGCTATTCAGGATCCGGGGATATATTTTTGGTTGCTACCAATTCATCATCATTTATTGTTCAAAAAAGTCATCCATTTTCAGATACTATACCACATGATATCCTAAACAACCTTTTGAATGCGCCGGACATATGTACAAATCGGATGTTCACGCCTCGTGGTGGACGGTGCCGGACATTTGTCGGCTGATTCTGAGGGCTTTTTTCCGGCGGTTATATCTGTTGCTGTATCTGCCGCTTTCCCTCCAGATTTCCCTCCAAATTTCTACTCCTTCCTTCAACAGACACCAATCCAATGTCCCAATTACCACAACCTACCGGTGCCGCAATCACAGAAAGCGCCGTCCCTATTCGTGAGAGAATGGAGGCTCTCGTCCGCCGCAAGCAAAAACAGATCTGCGACGGTATCGAGGCGTTGGAAACCTCTGAAAAGACCTTCGGTGCAGACTCTTGGCAAAGGGGCAACGATGGTGGTGGTGGTACCTCGTGCATCTTGCAAAACGGTGACGTGTTTGAGAAAGCCGGTGTGAACATCTCTGTGGTGTACGGCGCCTTGCCCCCACAAGCCATCGCCCGTATGAAGGTGGATCACAAAAACTTGAAGGCATCAACCGAAGACGGTTCTGTCAAGTTTTTTGCCTGTGGCTTATCACTTGTGATCCACCCGCACAACCCGCACGCGCCAACCACGCACGCCAACTATCGCTACTTCGAGACTTGGAACGAAGACGGGACTCCCCAGGCATGGTGGTTTGGCGGTGGTGCAGACTTGACTCCAAGTTACTTGTATGATGAGGATGCCGTTTTGTTTCACACCAAACACAAGGAAGCCTTGGACAAGTACGACACCACCTTGTATCCACGGTACAAGAAGTGGTGCGACGAGTACTTCTATATCAAGCACAGAGAGGAAACCAGAGGTGTAGGTGGGATCTTCTTCGATGACTTCGACTCCAAACCGGCGGATGAGATTCTCACCATCATCGACACCTGCATCGACGCGTTCTTGCCGTCTTACGTGCCGACTTTGCACAAGAGAATCAACATGCTCTTTACCGAGCAAGAGAAGCAGTGGCAGCAGGTCAGAAGAGGCCGCTACGTTGAATTCAACTTGGTGTTAGATAGAGGCACCCAGTTCGGCTTGATGACGCCAGGCTCCCGCATCGAGTCCATCTTGATGAGTTTGCCTATGACCGCCGGTTGGTTGTATGACCACCATCCAGAAGAGGGCTCTAGAGAGGCCAGATTAGTTGAGGTTTTGAAGAGTCCGGTTGAGTGGTGTTAATAATTGGTTATATGAATAGATAAACGAATAAACGGTATATGTTAGAGCTCATAAATCCATAATATAGACAAGGTTTGGAACTGGGGGGAAGATAAGATATTATAAAAATATCCGTGTCAAGTGTTTAGGCATATACTAATGCCATATAGTCAAAGGCTGGTATACCAATAGTAGTCTTTTTTATGGTATTCCGTTTAGACCTACTAGCAAAGCTATGCTGCAATAGATGGCTGAGGTCCGTCTCACTGCATGAAACCAAATCGGGTAACTCTGCAGCCCTAAGGGAAAAAGTATAAACGCTCCGGGTAACTAGCAAAACTTTTACTGCTGCCGCTGAAAAATATGCCTGGTTGGGCATTTAGAGGAAACTTATTTAAAGGAGAGGATATCCCACTTTCTACTCCTACTTCTCTTAGCATCTTAGTGCAAAAAGTACAAGCTTTCTAATGCTCAACCACCGAGTATATTAAAGGGTATGTTTATTCCTATTCAGTCGGGTATCGTCTCCTGCTATGTGCCATTTTCATTTGTCAATTTTTAGAAACGTTTCCGATGATGAGTAAAATACAACCATTGAATTTCTTCAACTGAACAACCCATGTGGATTAAAACATTTTACAGAGCTTTTTAACCCTGAGAAATTTTCCTAAAATTGGTACAATTGATTTGGAAACACGCGACAGCAGAAGGTCTGATAGCCCTACCTATTTACCTTGAGCACATGAACTAACATGGTATAGATATCTGATTGAATCTTCAAACGTTTGCTCTTTATATCCTGGTTAATACATTATCTGCTTCAGCTCTTGTAATCTGTATGTCTCGTAATGGCTAGCACCAAATCTAGTGATATCTCACTAGCGCCGAAGGGTTGAATCTCTGAAACTTAATTGTAATATGATTATTCAACTAGTACGTGTTGGAATTCATGATCAGATACCTATATATATATATCATATGCATATATATCGATTAAATATATCAGTGGATATATACATATATTACATCATATTTACATTTATGTGATATGTCTTAGTAAACCGTTATTATATTGTGACCTCCATATTTATGGTTACAGTTTATGTAGTGTATCTATACCTAGTTGGTAGGATATATACTAATGAAATAGCAGTCTTTACCGTGTGAACATAACACACTTAAACGCAGCATGTTAATCACACGGTGCCGTCTTGATACTTTCAGGAGTTCAACATCAGAAACACTGACATCAATTGCCTTTGTTGTAAATATGTCCAAGGCGATGCTTGTTTGCACAAGCTGATTCACAATAACGTTTACTCTCTCAGTGCTGCCATTAGTTTGAGGGTGGTTGGCAGTCGAAGCCTTCAGTTGTTATCTCAACATGAGTTGCAAATGCCTCGAAAGCTGATTCGTTATAAGTATGGTGATACTCCGTTAAACTCTCCATAGACCACATTCTTTCTTTTAGCAATATTCCAGAGAGTTGGTTTCTAGGATAGAACCGCGAATACCATGACAGCTATAACCAAGGCGGCAGACTGGTAGATATCGCCAGAATTACTAGCAAACATTGTTCCTAGATGTTTATATACGCCTCAAAGATGGCACTGACGGAATTAGAAGCCGCTAGAAACTGAATTATATAGGCGTTAAACGTCTGACCACCCCACTTGAACCCCACTGCTAAAACCAGACTCTCCGCTAGTGCACACGTAGCTCGGGAAATTATCGTCAGTGTTTCCAGCAAACCATTTCCCCCAGAGGTTAATAAATATGTCAGATACAGCACTAACAATAGTAGCAGCCGCAAAATACCAAACGAAATAGGTGCTAACGGGCTGACCACCCCGCCTGGCCGCCGTTGTCGTCACCAGAAACTCCGTTTGTGCACACGTAGACCGAGAAATATAAAACACTTCAGGCAAGACCAGCCTGTAAAAAGGAAATTTTAATACGAAAGGACATGTCTGATATCTGAAAGTTCTCAAGTTTTGTGTTTGTGGAAAGTAGAAAAAACAGCAAGATAGAGCCGGCAAAGGAGAAAAGGGGTTGACAGAAATGGCGTGCGGAGTCCTGGTTGCCTAGTCAGCGTCTTAATGTCCCTACGGAGATAGGACGACGACTCTAATTTCTTGGATGCTCCACATCTGGGTTATCACGGGCAAGGCTTCCGTTCTGTCAATATGCAAAACGGGTGTGTTTCATCATGGCCTCAGAGGATCTCTTGAAACGGCGTTGCACATTGTTCACCGAGTGGTCCGTCTATGACCAAGTGTTCCACTTCCGATCTTTTCTATGAGATATATTGGAGCTACTTGGGTAGTCATCAATGGCGTGCTTTGTACCTCTTGATATTGGAGGTGTAATCCAACTAAATTCATCCGTCAAAATCAAGTGTGGCGCTAGCGTTTCAGGGTACCCTTCTCTAACTCAGATTCTCAAGAAACTGGCTTTCTGGCCGAGTTGGTCTAAGGCGCCAGGGTAAGGTCCTGGTCTCTCCGGAGGCACGAGTTCGAATCTCGTGGAAGTCATTATCTTTTTGCAGGTAGCTCTTAATTTTTCTTACGCGTTTTTTGGTCACGCTTATCAGATATTCGATAATCCTTGTAAGTTTCCATCACCAAACTTATATCCCTAACTGGCCGCAACATCAACCATGTCCCAAACGAAAGACCTAGAGATAACCGCTTCTCCTTACTTTGTCCTCGTGCAAGACCACGAGCTGCATTTACCCCACACCAGACTGACTACACATATCCCTACGATCAGAACCATATACCCCGATGAGGTGAGATATGTGTTTGAAGATGACGATGTGGAGCCCAGTTGGGAATCTGAAATGGACACCGGTGATAGAGCAGCTGAAGCCGACGAAGATACAATAATCCTCATAGACGTGGATAAGACAGGGAACATCCACCAGGTCAAGTCCTTGAACCCTCGCTGGCAGGTATTTGACTATCAGAGTGACCATACGAGTAGTAACAGCCATGAACTTACCCATTCTACACCACCATCACCCAGGAAAACACATTACAGGCGAGTCATCATAGATGGCTGTGTATCGGGATTTACCAACGAGAGTGATGCCGATCCGGGGTATAAAACCTTAGATGAACTCAATGACCTCATAAATCTCTTCAACGATAGAAGTGCCAAGTTGAAAATGATGCTAAAACAATAGCTTTTTCTGCGACAAAGAATCATTGGTCCGCCAGGGGCGGTTAGAATCGGAAACCTTCGGAGTCTTGTCGGGTACTTATACTAGACACGTGCCGTGATTCAGGATTCAATACTATGAGAGAATGGAAAAACGATTTCCAAGCTTTGTGCATCCATCACCGATGGGGATGATGTCCAGCACCAGAATATGCGTTAATAGAGTAGTATTCAATTAAAACTGCAACATTGTGGCATAAAGGTGAAGGGCAATGCATGCCAATTAAAATAGCATTTTTTTGGTGAACTGTCTAGGTTAATCATACACTTCCACTGCGATGTAAGGGTATAGCAAATGTGCTATTATATCGTGCATGTACACGAAACACGTCTTACAGGGGAGTAAATCTTGGGAAAGTCTCCCTACATCCAAAGACTTGTCTCATTGGATATTGCACCAATCTCATATTCTCTAACATCAATATTTATCTTTGAGTTGCCCAGATCCAAACAGAAACAGATAATCCAGCGTGTTTGTGGACATTTGCAAACGCTAAATCATTCGGCGTTGCCTTAGTAACCATGCACCCTGTAGGAGGGATCTGAAGGGCTGACACGAGACCTGAGGGCAATTCCGTGGGAGGTGATTCCACGTTTAACTGAAATCTCAAAACGTCTATACTGGGTGTAACGGATGATTCCACCGGCTTAAAATGCTTCCACATGCGCAGTACACTCATTCTTGAATAAGACGGTCCTGGATACGACGTCTGTCACGTAGAGACAAGCAATTCGATCGGACGGATGTTTACAAGCGAGAATACGAAAAAGACTTTTCTCATTAGCTTAACGGGTCAAGATAGTCTGTCTGTCAAATATATCGCTGAACCAGACACTAAATCAGATCTCCTTGGGTGAGTGTCTGTAGTCTTTGTAGTTCAGACGACGCGAGTGGCTAAATGCATAATATAAAGCCACCGTAAGTCCACATTCATAATTTAACTCGAGCACATTCGGCGTAGAGGGTGGGTCGCAAGTAAACCGCTTCTTTGCTAGTCTTTTAATACGGATGGTTTGAAATTTTGCCATCTTTTGCACGCTAAATATTTGAAATTCGAGAGGTTTGAAACGATCGCATCAAACGCCTCAGACCGTCACATGAAACAAGGGCTGTGCCATACGCCAAATTGCCTGCAAGAAGTCAAATTTCATGCATATTAACAATCTCAATGTGTTCCAGAAACAATAAGATCCCATGCGCTTGACCAGGATTCTGATCAGACGGGAAAACGCCCTCATGCTACCGTCGCCGTACGGTCCAGCTCAGAGTATTATATCTAAATGACTGACGTCAAGTAGTGCATCAGTGATATTGCCCCGTTTGGCCTCCTGAAGCGCGTCGCACGCGTTTTGGGGACGGGAAAATTTTACTTCCCTCTGCATGCGTTGTTGCTAACTTCGATACTTACACCTTGCAGCAAGCCAGGTGATCTCACTGCAATTTACAGCCGCGATGGGGATTAAAAACAAGGGAAAGCTTGCCCCAGATGAATGGTTAGTCTGTTGTCACGATCTAAAGGTTTATCTAAACCTAGGGCAATAGTTTGACCTAGTCTACATATCTGAGCCTGCTCGGTCCAATAAGATACGCCAGATTATCGCTTAGAACCTGTGTGAGTATTTTCACGCGTCGGCCATCCTTGTGCGACATTGGGATCTTTAGATTGACTCAAGATAGTCATCCTTGTTTTACACCACTATTAGTCGGCAAGTAGAAGGGATGGCTACGTCACGATGTTATTTTGCAACAGATCGCTAGTCCGGTGGTTTGGTATCACTACGGTTTGAATGGTAATTATACCGTGCGGTCTCTCAGTATTCTAGAATCACAGTTCAACCTTCCAACCTTTCCTCTCGAATTTCCATATTCCCTCACCCAGGAGCCTCAGCTGGCGATGTTCCACATCAGATGAAAGAAAGATCCGAGCCATAGTTACAGGGACATTAGCGCCTCAATCCTGTGCGATCGACTATGCATCCAGAGCAAGGATGCATGCACTGCGGCGGGAGCCGCTCTCCAGATCTTTGTTTGAATGGCGATCTTCCGCAGTTTCGCCCTATTGACACCTGCACTCAGCACCTACCACAATAAAAGCAAACTGGTGGTCCTAACTGAACCCGCTTTTTTTTTTCCACTCAACAGAACAATGGTGCTCATTTCAGAACCAATACTCGGCTCCTTTCAGCATATTACCACCAATATTCAGGATAACATCCCTCGCAAATCCAGTAATCGGCTCCACTCAGTCTATATTCCCGCTGGTATGGGCGATCCATTAACAACAATGCTTGCTGACATCGAGACGCAAGAGGAGTCCGACTTCCAACATGAATTGGACGACTATTCAAGGGCATATCTGAAGTTATTGGAACCCCACGAGGTTGCCACAGCTTATACACCCACCGGTACATTGTACGATGACGTTGAATCAGCCTACAGCGACATCTTCTCCATCAAACAGTCGTCCATCGCCTCTCCCATTTCGATGACAGACTCAAACAACGAAATTAGTATTGCCACCTCTGTGAGCTTGAATATAAAGAAATCGCCGAAGGTGAAGGACTTCCGAGTCGACTCCAAATGGGCCAGTTTGTACTCCAGTTTAGGGAGAAAGGCCTTGTCTAATAAGTTTCAGGAATATTTGAACGAGGAAATATCCGAGAACACCGGTGAGTCCATGGGCAAGGAAAGTCTTCAGGTATCTATTTCCTTGGCTGGGAGGTCGGTGCTCGTTGGAGTGGAGGAGCAAACAAATGATACCAGTCTGTCCATGAAGTCGTGCGGGCGAGTGGTTGTAAAGGGTGTGGTTTATGATTTCAACATGTCCTCTGAGGAGCTTTTTGATTAGCTCCTCATCTTAGACTGGCTTTTATTGGTATGGTGTTCACATCTCTTCATTCTTCTGTTCTTGGTTGTGGTCAACCGGTTTTTCTCCCTGTTTTTTTTTTTTTTTTTTTTTTTTTTTCATCTCTCAGAATCTAGGTCTTCAAATGCATTTATTCCTTGTGTATTAACGGCATTTACACATCGTATATTATTGGCATCCTTCGGTTTGCTCAGTATCTCATTACCCTTTTCTTATTTATATAGTGTATAAAGTATTCAACAGTACTATTTTCTAAACAGTTAAAGGTATCTACCATTATCTACTTGTAGCATACCCTGTACTAGATATTCCCTATGGATTCCATGATGCAAATTATACGCCTTGTAAATCCTGAAAGAGTTAATCTATAGTTAACCCGAGTTTGATTCCCGGTATCAGAGCTGAGTTTTTACCAAGGCATCTTTTTGGAACTTTCGAGGTCGTAAGTTGTGACTTCAAAAGTTAGTTAACCCTAGAGTTGAAGTTTAGAGTAGTTTTCCCCTTAAGCACCAGGTATAAAAACTTAAGAGCCTTAGTTGTATTCAGAACTTTCGGGGCATAGATAACTAAAGATGGAAATCAGGGTTGCGATGTATCTAGATCCGAAGCTAGGCAATAGCACCCCTTTGTTGACTTTAACGGCCCTAGGATATTTCCTGACGCAGGCGTCCAGATCAACCATTGATGCGTATCTGGATTAATCACGGATATTAATGGTATACTCATAGTTTATTTTCTTCGAGTGGAAAATGTGAAGTACACAAGTATGTACAAGTCTAGTGTTTTACCAGTAAACGTGGCTAGACCAGATACTTCATAGCGGTAAACACGTAAGAGTGAGGATTGTAGATGCATAACAAGAACGTAAGGATAATAGCTACTTATATAGCACGGAATAGATGGTTCTGGATAGGGGTCGTCCATTACGTAGTGATAACGAAGGGATACCAGTGATAATAATTCGATGTAAAAGTGGGACAACCTGCATGGTGGGCTGAATCTTTAGTGAATCAAAATATTTCATAAAAAAGAAACGACTTTTACACGAAGCAACCCTAGAATTGAAATTTTAGTCTCTCAAACCCTCCATATAGGTTTAAGAATGGAGCATATGAAATACTTGTCCTAAAAGACTGCGCCCATAGAATGAAAAATAAATGCGACTTCTGTGGATCGAACACAGGACCTTTAGATCTTCAGTCTAACGCTCTCCCGACTGAGCTAAAGTCGCTCCGGGATGATGACTCAAATCATATCAATAGCTAAACCAAATAATGAATTTTCTATTAGTTACCTCCAGTTATTACCAGCCTAGAACAGAAATTCCTCCGATAAATCCTTGAAAATGATAACTCTTAGTAATTTGCTGTTGGATAATTTTGGCGTCTATGGCGATGAGCTTAGTCCTTCGTATTTCACCCTTTTACTTTTGCAAGCGTCGCCCAAACTGGCAAACACGGTCGCTACAGTTTCCGAACGGAGGTTCGCTCCTTCAGTCGGACGGCCGCACATGCGTACCCGGAAATCATTTATAACTAGCTGTACGAAAATGCACATGTGACTTTAATCAGACCGCTTGTATCATGGATGGTATTACTGTTTATTTGTATTCGGAGAAAAGGATGTAGCACGATGGCCCGCAGGCCATACCGTTCCTTCTACGAACTAATAAAGCCTACGGTATTCTTCTTTGAGTTCCCGCTTTTGTATCGGTGAGCTGAGCCCCTTAGAGACAACTGCGGTGGATAAATAGACACTATGGGGTGTAAACGACTGGCAATTCTCGGCCAGCGGAGTCCATGATTCGGCTAGGTCCAGCAGAAGCTGCGTTTTATCTACATTGTAGTAGAACTGTGTGACATAATCTGTTGCATATCCGCACAGAGTATGCAAAAACCCTTCCCTCTTGTCCTGCCGGAACCACAGCTTGGCCATCTTTAAAGCGCCTAGCCTTCCGAACTACAGATGGTTGTGTTTATACACGAAATCACAATGGTTGCGCTGAATACAGGAAGCTAGTTTATGTGAGTGTCGCAGTTGTTACCTGATATGCAGTCTAACGCACAGCAAACTTGGCCGCATCGAAGACGGAGTTTAGAACCTTAGAGTGTTTAAGCGCTGTAAGCACTTTCAAATGTTTGCCATAGGGTCTTTAAAGTGCGGTAAAGGGTCTTACCAAAGATATTTAAAGAGTGGGGCCAATCTTTGTTAGGATTGTTCAAGTACCCTATAAAGTCGATGATAAAGAGTCATCACGTGCTTAATGCATAATCTTAAACAGCTCGTATGTGTCTTAGAGTTTTGAAAAGCAACCTGTTGCAGCGCAATCTCACCACGAATCAGTAGTGTCCAGATCGGCCTTTATTGATATAGTCTCCTATTCTTCTCCAAATCACGGTGCTGAGAATCTGTTTCCGGTTTTGTCTGAGTCGCCCCGTTTGACGGAAATCCGGAGCGAAACCAAGGCGACTGTTACTTGGCAGTGTTCTAAACCGGTCCGCGTAGCTCCCAAACCTAATCGCGCGCTATGTATGCACCATGACAATAGCATGCTACAGTATGCCGGAATATACGGCTGAGCAGACCGTGGCTGCACGGTTGGCTTTGCGTAGAGAACCGTAATTTCGTTTGCTTGGCGCATGACATGCGATCGACCCCCACGCGAGGAAATGCAGACTACACGGGCCGAGCCCACACAGGGATCAGTTGCCGCGAAGCCCCCCGTAAACAAAAGGAGTTTTTACCGTAAAAGTAAAGAAAAGACCAAACTTTAATGCCCTATCTTGACTGCACTAACAGGGGATGCTGGTTCATCTAGAAGAGCAGGTGATGCCTGGAGAGGCGCATGTATGCCCCGGTGTACCGATATGTGGACGGCACGATAGGAGTTAGGATAATCTGAATTGCAGGTATATAGTTAAGCCACAAGAATGGCGATCTCAGCAGTGTATGAACCGAGTAGAATATGCCTGAAGAGGATCAACCAATTTACAGGTAGTTGGATGGTACGGGGAAGAGAAACTTAGCTGGCAGCGGCAAAAAGTGACTAGAGAAATTCCTCAACAATCGTTACACTAATATTGGACCTAATCTCGGTACCGTACCAGAAAACCCGAGCTGGTTGAAATTATGGATTGCATAGGGAATGAGTTCTTAAATGACAGAGCTGAAGTCCCCGCATATCGGAGGTTCTTAGAATTCGCCCGCCATGGCTTCCGAGCCTGGGAACCTATACGAACACGGGCTATTTTCTATGCCTAGGGAATATTCGTAGCTCGCGAGCTCACAACCATACCTAAGCTCGTATTCCTGTACCCCCCGGGCTAAACACCCTTTCGGTTACTAGGACCTATTATATCAAACCCGCGCTGTCATTGCACGATAGCCTGGCGGCTATATGGGAGGCGATTCGCAACACTAATATCTTGGCAAGTACAATTCTGGCCAAGATCGGGCCCAATACCTGTTAATCTCACCTGTTGAAGACTATATAACCCCCGTAATAAGGCTTGAGAGAATAGCCTAAGGCGTCGTGTACTTTAAGCCAAGGCTATTAATGCAGATAGCTGATCCCTCCCCCTTTCAACGCTGAGGGACAGACGGAGAGTGTGGCCGTGCGTGTGTTGCTACCGTGAGCGGCTCCGAGCTATCAAATAACTTCTCCAATGCCTATTTAAGGCCTTGTGTAGCCATTTTGAGTTAGCGATAACGCGTACAATTGACGCAGCTGCAGGCGGACGTAGCTTGATCTCCATTTACGTGCGTCCTGTACGCTATAGGGCCTGCATTACGTATGCAATACAACCTAATGCTTCCTGCAAAAGAAGCTTACTGGCCGTAACAAGGGCGTCAGTGCCTGGACTCCAGGCCATACTATTCTTAATCTAGTGGGGGCCAGCCCTACCTGGACACGTAGCAATCGTAACATACGTCTGGGTCACATTAGATCGACTGAGGGAATAATGCACGGGCTCCGGGATGCTAGCTTGATAGACATGTGCTCATAAGGTTGGGCCGGAGGCGATGCGGACCCAAGGCTACACTTGCACTTTCCGACCACCACAAACATACTTCCATAATCCATACAAACTGGCGGTCGTCGAAATTTTCACTCAATAGCCTTGAAAGCTGCTCGAGGCATGGGACTTTCACCTTTGGGGTTAGCCTAAACTGCTGGAGGTACGAACCCGCAAAAGTCCGGCGCTGCCCCATACAGAGGTGTTCCATTTATGGCAAAGGTAAACGGAAGGACAATCTACCAAGAGCGATGTTCGATGCACATTCACTATATAAAGAGGCTCGTGTTTCAGTTCCGGCCTGATCTCGTGATTGTTCCGCTTGCTGGCAGATTCATGACATGGGATTAAAGGCTGCGCTAACTGTAGAACTGTCCTGCATGGGCAATAACATTCCACGGCACGTTTATCTGCACGGCGATCATTACATGCCGAGACTGCATTACATCAGGTGTGGCACCTCAGTCTAACGAGGGCCAAAGCTCGACGCAAGTCACCCAGGGGGAAGTTAGGCCCCAGGCTTGTCGCGTAGCTGTTTCTATATCCAGAGGTCCTTGGACTTGCCCACATGACTATTGGAGTGAACAAATACTAGGGGGCCTATGGGGCTAGATGGCGGATTTATAGGAAGGTTTATGAGGTTAGGCGGTTGGCAAAGCTGGATGACCGACTCCTGAGATGACTGACGAGGCTGGGGCGCAGCCCGCTTAACTTATGACTGCGGTTGGCGGATATCCGCCGAGCGGGAATAGGTGCTAGCCTCATGCATGCGTTAGCCTGACCTGCAGCATGCACTGCAACGCACATGCACAGTCCATAGTTTGGAAGAACGCTGCAAAGACCGCAGATACGTATAACAACACGAAACTAAAGCCGGATCGAAACATGATCGAAATGAAATTCCTTCAACCTGACGCCGACACCGTGCCGCTGGCTTTTGCGCCACTTGCGCACCCTCAAACTTCTTCTTCTTCTTCATGCAAGCTCTCTCTTTCATCATTACACTTCTTCAGTCTATCAACGCATCCAGAAGAGACTAACCAGAACTTAACGGCAAACAGCATAGTAAAACGCATTACAAAACTCCAACAAAACGCAAGCAGTCGCCACCAACCATCGCACCCTATCTTGAAAGAACTCACGCTGGATATTAATTATCCACATATTACAGACAGTCAAGCCCAAGCTTGATCTCCCGCAGGTATTTAGGTTACTTCCCACTCCAGGCACCTCTGGCCCATCTACACGACATCACTTCGCTCTACCATGTCTAAAAGATCAAGTGACTCTCCCCCATCCAAAAAGTACAAGCGTCACGCGCATACACCGTCAGGCTCCGGCGCGGTGCAGTCGCCATTTGCGCTTGTTACCACCGACACATGGCTCGGCTGCGGCCGCTGTGCGCAGCTCTTCGGGCTCACACCGCTCGCAATAACGTCCTTTGAGGCGGTGCTCACGCACGACCCTGCCAACATGGAGGGTCTCACGGGACTCGCAGCGGCGCTCCGTGCACACGACATCGACCTCAACCAGACTCTTGGCACGCAAAAGGCTATCGACATGCTCACACGCGCGCTCTCCACGCATGCGCGTGCGCTTGGCACACTGTTTGAGGTCTTCAAGGAGCTTGCGGAGTGCCACTTGCTTATCGGACTCTCTGACCAGTCGCAGGTGTATCTCCACAAAGCGCTCGAGCTTCGTCCAGAAGATTCATCGCTCTGGTTGTTATCTGGCCAGCTGCTTATCCGTCTGGGCCAGCCAGCGAAGGCAACAGAGTCGTTTAAGAACGCGCTCTTTAAGCTTCCACACCAGAAGCTCTCGCCAGAAGAGGTTGACATTGCGCGTAGTGCGCACGCGGAGCTTGCAGCCATCGCAGCTGCCGAGGGCAACATCGATATGGCGACGCAGGAGCTCATGGCCACGTTACACCTTCCACCACTTCCGCCGACGCGCAGCGACGAGCACGCCGCGCTCTGGTGCGCATTACTGACCGCGCGCGAGCGTGCGGACGACATCGGCGGCGCTATTTCGGCCTGTGAGAACGGCTACCGTGCAATCGGCCTGGATCACCCGCGTCTTCTTGTTACAAATGCCCACCTTCTCTTGCTTGCCTCTGCTCCGCAGTTCTACAACCCAGCCCTGGCAATTGTACTTTTGGAGAAGGTTATCGCTCAGGAGAAGGCCGCACCTGGCGGGCTCAACGAGGGTGAGGGCGACTTCCTCCCGTGGTACCTTCTCGGCAAGGCCTATACATTGGCGGACCAGCCAACAAAGGCGTACGAGGTTTATCAGGTGGCTATCACGCGTGCGTCGTCGTCGCCACTTCCGTGGTTGGCGGTTGGCCTGTTGTACCTCCAGCTTGCGCAGCTCAGCGACGCGTTTGAGGCGTACTCACAAGCCGCGAAGCTTCAGACGGATGATAACTCGCTCGCCATTGCTCCCGCTTGGGAGGGGTTGTCGTGTGTGTATGAGCGATGTGATAACCAGTTTGTGGACGCGGCGGATGCATGTCTCCGTGCAGCGTCTTGCTACCGCGCGTCGGGCAATACGCGCGCGGCGGCCGAGGTTGAAGCGCGTGCACGCGAATTGTCGCTTGCCGCGCGTAAAGAGGGTCCTCCGCCAGCATTGCGCAATCCGTCCGAATTGCCTACCGCGTTACTCCGTGACTTGGTCAACGTTTCGCCGAGCGTCCGAATCGAAACCGTCAAGCATCAGCGTGAGTTGCACGCCAGAAACCAGCAGCAAGCACAAGCACAGGCGCAGGTGCAACAGCAGGCGCAGGCCAGACGTGGGGTCCAGTACCCGGCGCAGGCTGCGCGCCCGGTCGTTTTGCCACCTGTGGCTCCGGCTAACGGAATCACTACTCCCCAGGTTCGTCCCGCCCAGCAATGGTCGCCGAACGCGTCCATGGCGCACCCACACCAGCCGCAGCCGCCAATGGGGCCGACCCCAGGAGCATATTACTACGGGCCAGGTCAGTCGCTGCAACACATGATGTCGCCGCACCAGCACCCACCAGGACCGATGCCCCGGGGGCCGCCAGAAGGGTATCCACCGGGACAGCACTTTGTGCCGGTGGGACAGTCCTATCCACCACCACAATGGAGGTAGCGAACGATGCTCGTGAGCTTTTTGGCAAGCCATTCTATTTTGGCTTGGGGTTGCCTTCTAAGGCTTTCATTGTTGAAGCATTGGTGACGTGTTGTTTACAACTCATTTGCAATGTTCTCTTGGAGTTATGCAAGTTTTGTCCATTTTTGTATAACTATAATAATGAAGTTATGGAATTGAAACTGTAGATTTAATTAAACAGGGTGTTAGAGTATTGCAACGGTTTCTATCCCTTTGTCGATGCTTTTGGTGAGTTGGTTTCTGAAGGATTTTTGGACGTATATAAGTTGTGTATTGGCCCTGTGTATGTGTTCTCCTTGTTTGCTTAACGGTACATGTACACATTATTCTGTGGATTTGATTTTAGCAGAGATTCCAATCATATCAGCCAACTGCAACTCATATATATATATACGTTCGTTGAAACCTGAGTCGTCATCGATGAGTACCAATGTTTTGTCTTGTTTTTCGTAAATTTGTGGAAGGATTTTCCTTGAAATTCTGCTCCCAAGTTAATGCACCCACCTGGCCGCTTACCCCTAAGCTATAGCGCCGAATTAGGTCAGGAATTGTCCCACCCCTACATGTTACAAATTTTTTAAATCTTGATAGGATATTGAGATCTCTCCAGCGGGGAGGCAAATCTGTGAAGGGGAGGGATCATCCAATTGGGACTCGAGAAGCAGATGGATACGTGACCTTTATTCTCAGAGTTGGAAAGATAAATAAATACCGGCACTATTTTCAGGAAACCTAACAATACTTTCTGGACATCTCCTAACTGTCTAATGTAGTTACACCTCAGCTGTTTGGGTCTGGCTTAAGGTCGCAGGTCCACGACTAGACGAGTTTAGCTCGAGGCCTAGAAAGTTCCAAGGAAACACTCCCGTTTCAAATTATTATAGATGGAGTGAGAATTACCGAGGTATCTCTCGAGCTTCGAGATACCGTTTACGAACACTCGAGTGCCTCTACCACTTAGCATCCTCTACTTCTCCTCGCCTGAGATGCTTGACGATACTGACTAAATTTACAACACTAATATCTTCAGTGCCTGGGCATGACTAAGATGGCTCTATACATAACAATCGGAACACTGAGGACTTTCAAACTCCTGAATCTCACTATTGTTCTATATACGAGCCTGTCAAACAACGTCACCAGAGTCTGGAAATATACGGGGAAAGAGCTTGAAGGATTGTTACAGGTAGACAATTGGAAAGTGCTTGAGAGTGACTGCTGTGTACGTCATAGGTCCCCTCTACCTTATTAGAGATTTTTTTCTCCTCAAACCTTACATCACAAATCGTATCTTACCTGTTTCTGTCTCAAAGAGAGCTAAGGCAAGACGCGGCTCGCAACATGTCCACGTCCCAAAATATCCCCGGAACTGCGAAAAGAATGACTATGCTCAGAGTGATGCTAACATATACATGTGTACGTTCGCTAACGACTAACTGTGTTGCAATACATAGTTCTCCCATGTCGAATAGATAGGTTACGCACATTTATCATGTGCATCCCCTTGTGGATAGAGAGTTCACACGGTAAGGAGTTTAGCCTAGCCATGACTGTCAGTAGAGACTTCACAAGACGTGCTGCGGTAGAGTCTACACGAACACCAGAGCGCAAGCAATAGCTGAGGTGGAACCAGTAGTGATAGTTGCTCCTCGTTTGTGTTTCATTTCTGTTGCAATTTGTTGGGGGTATAAGGTTCGCGCCTCTGAATCGCGCCCACGCATGCAGAGCGGTCAAAACTGTCAATCCGAAATTATAATTACGAGCATGCACATAATTCAAGGTTCACCTCCAGCAGTGCATGTGCAGAGGAAGTAACGCACAATCAAATCAAATTAGCGTGAGTCGCAGATCATCCCCCCCCCACGCATCCTCGCTCGAGGCTTTCTTACAAGAGAACTTCGCAGTACTGTAAGAAACAAAAGGCCGAAACAACGGAAAGACTGTATACCGTTTATTTACTTTCGAGGAAAGCTGCGCTCCAGGCCACCTATTGTCTACGACGGCATGTAGCTGCGACATACATGTGCGTAAGATTCTTCTGTACAGATTAAAGTTTTTGTGCGTACAATTGTACAAGAGGACCGTCGGAATATGCAGCCCTGCTATTCTTAGAATTGCGTCATGATGGCATGATGTAGGGTTTTCTCTATTGAGTCTGCATGGGGTTAAGCTAGCATTGTACTGAATCGGTGCCGGATACTAAAACTTTACCGCTCCTGCAGCGGAATGTTGCGATCGCCCCTTAACTTAAGATGGCGAAGCAACCGAGGCAGAAATATAGTTTCTTAACCTAAAATGGAACGAGACAAAGCATTCTAAGTTTTAGCGCAATTATCACAGCCGTATGGCTAACAGCTCAACACCAAGCTGGGCTAGTTCTAAGAGCGGTCTTGCCAAACAGTGATACAAAGTCACATAGGAATAACAAGAGTAGAGAAGCTCGACATTAAAAGCTACGGAAAAAAACGCCAAGAGTTCCGGAGACTGGTTTGAAATTATTTTGGAAACAATAGAATCTACTGCATACACAATAAGGCCGATATACAACTATGGGCTGAACACAAGACATGACCTGCCTTGAAACACATAACCGACTAAAGTGCTCTCTCTGACCTGTCCAATAGATAGCCAATTGGATGTTTACTCATACTTATATGTATAGATTTATCCCACCTATACATCTACATCATACTAACCCACTTATAACGGGGAGGGTTTGCCCGTGGGTTTGCACAGAATGGGGCCGATAATTGAGAGCCAGTCGTCTATATAGAAAAAGAGTTATGTTACTGAAGATTGTACGTCAAGTGCAAGGCCTCTAGTTGGAGCACATTAGTTTCTGCTGCAATGAGCTTTACTATGCTCAATATACACAAACCGATATAAACTCCTTGTTTCAGCGGTCAGGTCGAACCAGTGAAGGTTGAATATGTACGAAAAATGAATCAGACAGATAAGTGTTTTAGTTGGGAAACACGACAACAGATGGGTGGATAGAAAGTGAGTCATATATACTTATACTTTATAAGCCGTATTCACGGCTATAGATCTGGATATAACATAAAAACGAACAGAAAATAAGATTTTTACTTTAAATGCAATCATAAAGCTAAACATTGAAACTCCGAAAATTAACCAAAGGCCCAAGACCAAGAGGGAACAACAGAGAAGCATAAACAAAACAAGAGATCGTAACTAACTACGGAGTTGATGGATTTTAAGCAAACATACTCAAAGGCTAGCAAGAGGAGTCAAATGCTTTCAAAAACGCGTGTAAGCCAATCTAGAGACTAGTAGAAAAATGTTGTTGATATCTCGTCCACAGGGGTAATGCTGGATTAGGAAAGTAACACAGATCCTTTTCCCTTTGTTTACGGGATAAGGATAGTCTAGGCCCTGCTTACTTCGTTCTCGAGATTAAGCAGTTGGGTACTCACGAAGATCCATCGTCACTGTCTTTGACGAATTTTCGTTCTGCTCTCTGTAGATCCCCACCAACGCGTCACTCCGTTCAAATAACGAGTTCTTTAACGAAATCACAATGAATTGGAAATTTGGCCCGGCGTTTGTGCTAATGTAGTTTGCGATTTTGTTCACATTCGAGTTGTCCAACGCTGCATCAACCTCGTCCAACACAAAGAACGGTGACGGATGGTACGAATGCACCGCAAACAAGAGCGCGAGTGCTGCGATAGTCTTTTCCCCGCCGGAGAGCAACTCCATGTCGCGGAAGCGCTTCATCGGTGGCATCGCGTGGTATTTGACGCCGGCGTTGTATGGCTCATCCTCGTCCTCCAACGTGAGGAACGCAGACCCACCGAGCGGCGACGACGCGGACTTGGTCAACTCCTTGTAGATGGAATCAATTTTCCCCGAGATGTGCACAAACGCTTCCATGAACGCGGCGTAACGCAGCTCCTTGACGCTATTGAAGGCCGCAGTGGCCTCAACTTCTGCTGCACGTGCAAGCACAAACGCTTGTTCAAGCTCCAGCAACTTGTGCTCCACATCCGTAAGCCGGTCGTTGGCCTTGGAGTTCGGTGTCATCAGCTCCAACTCTTGCGCGAGGAGCGCGAGCTTCTCTGTAAATTCAGCCTCGATGCCTGCGCGGCTGTGTGCACGCAAGCGCTCCGACAAGAGCGTGTAGTCGATCTCCACCGCATATGCGGCTACAACCAAGGTGCTCGCGTCCTCGCCGATCGCTACTTGCGCGAGGTCCCCGCGGAGGAGCGGAAGCTCCACATTTTCGATCTTGCAGTTCTTCAAGTGATTTACCCGCTCCACGTCCTGCTTTAACAAGTCTTCATTCAACTTGCGGAGTTGTGACTCGAGCTTGTGGAACTCTGCCTTGTACTCCATCACGCGCGCTTCCACCGATTTACTAAACCGAAGCTTTCCCGCGAGATCTTCAGCCACCGCGGTAGTTTCCTCGTGGTTCACCTCAATTTCGCTCTCAAGGAGATCAATCTCACTCTGCAAAGCCTCCTGGGCAGCCAACAGCTCCTTAAAAGACTCATCCAAGCCCTCTTTGTCGCGGCCCAAACGTACCAAACGGGCCTCCGTCTCCTGATGTCTCTCCCTTTCAAACATCAACTTGTTTTCAAGAACTGCGGTCTGCTTCACAAACACGGCCCTTTCCTTCGCTCGGGCTCTGAAGTAGTTGCCGTGGGTCAACTCGTACTCACGGATGGTCCGGAACCCGTGTTTCCGGCAAAACTCTCCAAAAATCTCGGTCTGTAAGGTTTCGATCTTCGATTCAACGCTCACAGTCTTCTTGTCCAAAGCCTTGAGACTGCTAGCAACAGCTTTCTCCTCCGTTGCGTGCTCCTTTGCGGTCGTTTCTTGGTAAGAAATCTCTGCGTCGCGGTCCTGTACCGCACGTTCGAGCTCTGCACGTGTCGCACGCAACACTGGCAACTGGTTCAGCAAGTCGCTGATATCGTCGCGGACTTGCTTCTCTACCACCTCGCTCGGCTTGGACGTCTGCAACGTCGCCAACGCTGTCTGTAACTCCTCCTTTCTCGCGCCCAATTCTGCGGCCTCGTTTTTATTCCAGCGGCGTTCCAGCTTGGTGCGCCCGCCGGTCATCAACCCGGCCTTGTGGATGAGCGAACCGTCGAGGGTCACTACCTTGACGTCGATGTTGCGCTCCCACTTGACGTAACGTGCAACCTCCATTGTACTGCACACAATCGCGTCGGACACCGCGTATTGCACCGCCCGCTCAAACGGCGCGTCGTACTCGATTACGTCCAACGCCGGCGTCGCGTCTGCGTGGAGCGCGCGCAAGCTGGGATGTGGAGCGCGCGCCTCCACACGGTCTAATGGGATAAAAGACGCAACCCCTGCGCGCTGCTCCTTTAGGTACTCGATGCACTTGGTGGCCGTCGAGAGCGTGTCCACGACGACGGCGTCAAAGTTCTTACCCAAGAGCGTTGCCACGGCTACCTCGTACTTCTTTTGCTTGGGCTGGCACAAGTCATGCACTAATCCCTTGACGCCTGGGAAGAGCCGGCGTAACGACGCCACGTTCTCGCGAAGCTTCTTTTCGCGCGCAGACTCGCGTGCGTCTGCGTTCAACTCGTCGAGTGCCACAAGCACCTCACGGAGTTGCGTGCCCAAGTCGTATTCCTGCTTTGTGAGTCGGTCGCGCGCTTCCACCAACTGCTGGAGACTCAGCTTCTTACTTTCCAACAATTCCATTGTCTCGTTGCACCGCGCCGTCGCATCGTCGCACTTCGCAGAGGTCTGCGTGCGTGCATGTGCCAACTCTGCGATACGCGCCGTCGTGAGTGCCTTCTGTTTCTGGAGTGCTGCGAGCTGCGCTGCAAGGTTCTCGCGCTCGTCCGCAAGTAAGTTGATCGTGTCTTCGTGTTGCGAGCCCTCAGCCGTCGACAACAATCGCTCTTTCAACTGTTCGTACTCTTCCTGGCCCTCGCCTGACAACACGGTGGTCACCCCCGCCGCCTCGAACTGTTTCAATGCACGTTGCACCGTCTTAAGTTGCGCCTCATAGCCCGTAATGGTCTTGGTCTGTGCGCGCACATCGGCCAGGAGTGCTGCGATGCGCCGCTGATAGTCGCGGATTTTCTTTGTGAGGGCATCCTTCGCGACGCCTACAGGGATCAACGCACGGCGCTTTTCCTCGAGCTGCAACCGCGTCTTCGCCCCCTGCTTCTTTTGCTTTTCAGCCAGAACCGCACGCTTTGCATACTCAGTGGTTAACACACGGAGCACGCTCTCTTCCTTGTCGAGCTTCGCGCGGAGCGCGCTGAGCGCGTTTTGACCCTCCGCGATGTCCGCGGCCAAGCGGTGGTGCTGTTGTTCGTTGTGATACGCCTTGTGCACGTTCATGAGCGTGACAAGGTTGGCACGGTCTGCGAGCTTGGCTTTAAAGGAGGCACCCTCGACTGCCTGTTCGCGGTATTGCTTGAGTTCAGAGTTTAGTGCGCGCTTGCGCGCAAAGAGTGTCGAGGATGTCTCACGAGCACGTTCCTGCGCTTCGCGGCGCGTATCATACTGAGACACATCTTCCACCGAGCCGCTCACGGTCTCAAGCAAGTTGGTGAGGTCGCGTGCGGACTGGCTTGCTATCTGCTCCACGTCCCCCTGGAACACAAGGAAGTTGCGTGCCTTGATTAAGATATTCTCTTCCTTCAACAAGTTAGCATAGACCGCTGACGAGACGCTTTCACCATTAACCGTATAAGCGCTGTTTCTTTGCGTGATTGTACGCTTGAGCTTTAGTACCTCGCCGTTTGCCTTTTCGTAGATGGCCATCACGTACGCGGACTTGGGAACTTTGTCGTCCAGTTCGTCGTTCATAACCCTTCCACGGTAGATCATGTCTTTCACATTGGCTGACCGCAAATTTTGGCTGCGCACCCCCAATACAAACGAGATGGCGTCCATCATGTTGGATTTCCCGGCCCCATTGGGGCCAATGATGGAGGTGAAATAGGAGGTCCCGAAGCCGACCTTGGTGGTTCCGCGGTACGATTTGAAGTTATGGAGTTCTAATCCAACAAGTCTGCCCATGGTGTGTGTGTATGTGGAGAGAAGAAAGGATGGCAAAGGAAGTATTTTGTGGGCGCGTAAATAGCGAAACGCAACGCGAACCTTTTGCAGACGCGTCGCGGATGATTTTTTTGCGCGCGGCCAGCGAATTACGCGCATACGTTGTAAACAGAGTGCGAAACCCATACTAGCAATATTTAGAAGGATCATAAAAATAGGTTTTGGTCAGTCAACTGAGAATTATTGTCAAATCGTTAGTTTCTTGATCATTTTCAGCCATTGTTGTATCTGAGATCACCTATTTAAATCCAAACTCCCACGTAACACTTTTAATAATATAGAAACTGCCGAAGATATTCCTTAGATATTTAGACCGAGTAAATGCATTATTTTAAATTATCCCGTCGTGATTTGATACCGCTGTATCGACAATAATACCTTTTCTACCCTTGGCGTATCACGGTACCCGGCACCCCATATTCCTCAGAGAAACTTGAACACTTCCCTCTACGCGATTATGTCAGTGTTTCTGGCCATGCTAAACAGTCAATATGAAGTTTCTGAACCAGGGATTTCTTGAAGTTACCGCCTTTCGTATCATAGAACGAATGTGTGATAAAAGACACCTGTTAGATGGAAACCTATCTCCGAGGTATTCTTCCCTCATTCAATGACCACTCTTTTAGGATCCCAAGGCGATCCGACTAACCAAAACAACTCAATACTACGTTCAGTTAATGAATCTGCTTATCATATCCGAGATAGCCACTCTGTCTTTTATTCGCAACTTATGCTCACGTGACCACAATTTTTACGCGATTTTGGTGTCGTAGTTGACGCGTAAACTTTTGCCTTTCAACAAAACGATGTCTCATGCAAGTCGCCACCTTTCCACGCTTAAACCGCCCCAAACATTATTATGCCATCTAAACCGAGGCCAAAAGTCACTCCGCAGACGGTAAGTGCCACATTTACCACTTAAGAGTCATGCTAACACCCCTAGGGTAGCATGTTTGACGGTATAGTCCGGGAGATGCCGGGCATACGCATTGACCGCTTTACAGACGAAGTGCCGTTACACTTTTCCAGAGAAATGCGAATACTTCATCAGCAAACCGACCTCTATTTGCTATCATATTGCCATACGGACCGTTTGGTAGGCCTCGAGCGGAAGGACTTGACAGGAACACCCATTTACTGCTCAGAGGTGACTAAGAAGCTCGTGGCGCTAGATCCTAACTTCAAACACATTGTGCACCGCTTAAAACCACAGCCGCTCAATGTACCCGTGTGGGTGGAGATACGTGGATCTACGGTCAAAATTGTGCTTGTACCGAGTTACCACTGTCATGGATCCACAATGTTTGTGCTTGAAGGTGTGACAGGTCCCCTCAGGGGTGTATCGGTACTCTATTCGGGGAATATCCGAGCGGAAAGCTGGTGGTGTCAGTCTTTGGCCAAAAACTCGCACTTGTTTCCGTATACAGTCTCGTCCCGTGCCAAAACGTTTGATACCATCTACTTAGATACCACGTTCGGCTGCCGCGCAGGGCCGTTCATCACAATGCCCCTGAACCACCAGGGACTTCAGTTGCTTCTCCTGATGTTGTTGGCATATCCACTAGATGATCCAGATATTGAGTTCTCCTTCAGCAACTGGAAAGATTTGGGGTTTGAGGAATGTTGGTGCACGATTATTTCGGCTCTCAACACAAATCTCCACGTGTCGAGTCCTGAGATGCGCAAACGGCTTGGGGTTTTGTGTCGGACATCTCGCCAGGATCTTCTTGGTTATGGGGAAACGCTATACCAGTCGATGACACTGCATGATTCAAGGGCGCTTCAGAATTGCGATCATTTCCCGGGAACTACCATGGAGCCGTTCAAAGCGCGGTTCCACATCTGTAACGAGCTGGGAGACTGGTGCAGCCAACCACCGCCGGCATTTCAGGTCCAAATCAAACCTGTGACCAACTCCTCGTTGTTCGAGCTTACGCAGTGCTTTCCTCTTCGAATGGCAGACGCTAGCCCCCATGTGAAGTTGGTGAAGACAACGAAACGAGGAAACAGAATTTACGAACACAATGGTATGATATATCTACTAAAACAGGATACTGAAGAATTGCTTCCCAGCGATATAACGTTCTTTTTCTCCCGACATTCGTCCTACATGGAGTGCCGAGAGTTTGTGGGCCTTTTCCGTTCCCGTGAGGTGTTTCCTTGTGCGGAGTCGGAAACCACGTGGAATTGTGGGCTCCAGATGGACCGGATATTTGGAGATCTCTACATCAACGAGTCTCTGGCGTATGACGACGAAATGTGCAGAAGGTACTCTCAGGCGATTCCTCACGGGCCCGTGGAAACAGTTGACCTCTGGAACCTCGAAAGCTTGGCCCTGAAGCTCCCAGAAGAGGTCAGGGCAGTACAATACATCGTAGACGAAACCAATTCTGTCAGCCTCGAAAACTGCACTCAGAATACGAACTTGGATCGGAAGAATGGCTACCATCCCCATCAGGTTTTCCAGGAGCGACACCACCCGGAGGTTCAGAAGTTTTTGAAGCACACCCAGAGCTACTTCAGAGCTACGCGGCCGAGGAAATTTGGCGGTAGGGAAGAAATTGGGAACTTGGCCGACAATGTAATCCAAAAAGAGAATTCGTGCAACTCTGGAGCGGTGGATATCATACCACATCACCAGCTAAAGTTTTTTGACAAACTTTCTGTTACGCATGGGGTTACGGGTGGTGAGATGCTGCCAATTGTAATTTCCAGTCTGAATGTTGAACTACTGTCTGAGAACTCGTTTCAGCCAGAAATTACCCCTATGAATGAGGCCGCATCGCGTCGAAGATTTGTGCAAAGAATCGCGAATAGCAGCTTGAATCTGCACGACTTGATCGTTTTACGGTCATCCACGATGATCACTGAAATAGCAAAAAGCACGGGAACTACTTCTCCGCCATTCTCTATCAAAGACATCAGGGACAGAACCGTCTCGTCAGACGGCAAGAGAAAGCTCAGGCCCGCCAAAAAGCCTCTAGGGGAGTTCAGAATGGCGTACGTTCATCGTGAAGTAGACATTCAAAGCTTTATTTCCCCCGGGGAATACTCGCACCATGACCGGATGAAGCTTAGCCAAGGGATAAACTGCCTTGAGCCATCGGAGAACGACAGTGAAATGGAGAAGCTCCGCTACTTTGGTCGTGTAGCGTATAATGGGCTTTGGAAAAAGGTAAAGCTTCAGTGTACGCGTCAGAGATGAAAGTGTAGAGGAAGTGATCTGCTAGTTAAATTCGAGGGAATTAACCTCATAATAACCGAGGTTCGATTGTCTTGCTGTATTTACCATATCTCATACTGCCAAAGTTTAATATCCAACTTTTGAGCTTTACAAGTGACTCTTTGCCTATAAGAACGCTCGATTATTTGAATATACCCAAGAAATCCGCGTCCTGTTTCCTGACTATTAGTAATATACATATTTATTCTAATATACACGAAAATGCCGATTCCAGGTCCCTTACTGGCTTTCTTAGCCGACCGGAAGGCTTGATATACCACGATATTTCTTGAACCCCCATCCTGGTGTTGCTTCTTCGAAGTACCTTATTTAGTTCTCTCTCCACTGGTGGCCACACTTGACACATTTGTAGAAGGTAGTCATCGGCTCATCAGCGGACCTGATCTGCAACTGGAAGAAGTAGGCCTTGTCACCACCACAGGTATCCACCGGACACTGAGCCGCAGTTTGGTCAACGTTATCCCACGCACCGGCCCCACCCAAAACGTCGTCCACCTGCTTCCGCGGCAACACCTTGCGGTCATACATTTCCAAGCCGTTGATTGGAAACTCATATGGACACGACGCGCAGTAGAGCTTGTTCATCCCATCCTCCTTGGAGATGAGGAGCATATTGGAGCAGTAGGGACAGAATGAAAGCATGCTGTAGGACCTTTGGGTATTCAGATATGCTGAAATGTGTTCCGGATCAGAAATCGTCCTCATTAAGGCTGGTGAAAAAAACACAAGTCCTGCATGTAGTCGAATGTGACAGGATAGTATATTGTGCTAAATTACAAAACACATAAGGGGGTTTCAATGGATTTTTCTTTGCTTGTTTTAGAGAAATAGGAAGTGACATGAGAAATGAGAGAGTAATTTTCCTGAGTGGTGAATATTTTCATATATACCTGAGAGGCTGAACAAGAGAGTCAATAATATAGACAGAGGGGAATATAACGTGTTAGATAGTACCTAAAACAACAAATAAGAGCTTTGTGAAACCTAATTAGTGAGATTACCATGTCTTTTACGAAAAAATAAAGAGTTTATTAATGTTTTTTGACGCCTACAAGCCACTAACCAAATAATTTTGGCTTATAGTAGTTGAAGCCAGATAGAATGAGAGTGAGGTGTGTTAATTACATATTATATCCTGCATATACCAGCCTATCAAACTTTTGGGCGGCTTTGATTTATACCTGAGATGATATATTCCAACCATACACGTATCGAGCAAGCACTCTCTTCCTCATGACGCTGCCTATTAGAACACGAGCACAGACACAGACACTGGCTCTGCCTGATTCTCCATCTAAGAAGGCGTTTGCCAAATTGCAAAGCCTTTTGGCTCTCACGTCGCCGTCAAAAGCTCGAGCAGCAGCTTCTTCCAACGACCGAGCTTCGCCGTCAATCTCTCCGAATCGAAACCCGTTTTCAAACCAGCAACTCTCGCCATCAAAACCGAACCTATATGCAATAGATGTTTTATCGCCACCGAAACCACGCTTGGCGCCACCCCCAGGTAAAGATCACGGGACGCCCCTAAGAAAACAGCTGTCTCCCTTTAGCCACGCTTCTCCCTCTAAAGATGTTCATTTATCCCCAGCTAAAGAGCGTGCGGCGCGCTGGCTCTTATCCCCATCCAAGGACCGGGTCTTTGATTCGTCCCCGGTGAGGACGCCGCGCCGAGCTGACCCGTCGCTCGATATACGGTCCGATACTGATCTCGACCGCAGCGCCAGAAAACGTGCCTTTAAGGCCCTTTTCACCAAGCTAACAGAAGAAGATAGTGAGAGCGAAGAGGAAATCGAGAAAATCATTGCCGCATCCCGAGACTACAGTGATTCCGATTCTGATTACCAGGATACATCGGAAATTATCTCAACCAAAAACCAGAGCCCCACACCCAAGAAGCGTCGTACAAATTTGCATCACCTTCTCTCCAAAGAAGAGGACTCTGAGTTTATGAGCGAACTTAACACTCCCTTTGTGCCTACGGTGGCACCGCTGGAAGACGATGAATCGCGGAAGTTTGACGACCGTGCATTGTTTCTTGACGGTTCCGAGGGCTACTTTGAGCAGAGCAAAATGCGCAACAAGAAAACGTCGGGTAATACGCTCCTGATGCTCCCATCCGCGGCGGATATCGACTACCAGGATTTCAACCAACTTGTGAAGCTCAATCGGATGCTCTACTTTCGCGAACGACGCAACTTGGCCCGTCACTACCGGGCTAGTTACACCCAGTGGATGTTTGAACTCTCGCAGGGCTTCAATCTTATGTTCTACGGCGTCGGATCGAAGCGCGAGCTTGTCATGGAGTTTGTGGAGGCGCATTTTGACCTTCCGGTGCTTGTGGTGAACGGTTACAACCCCAACACTAGTTTTAAGGAGGTGATAACCCAAATCGGGGGACTCTTTCACCAGAAACTCCCAAAGTTACCGCGGGATATTTTTCTGATGGTTACTCAAACTCTCAATAAACAGACTCCTCAGCTCTTGTTGGTGGTTCACAACCTTGACGGTGAGGCTTTACGAGACGACAAGACACAATCGTTCCTTTCACAGCTCTGTGCGCTTCCTGGGATCAGTGTTATTCTGACTATCGACCATATAAATGCTCCGGTAATATGGGACGCGGCGAAGCTCTCTCTGTTCAACTTCATCTGGCACGACCTCACGACGTTTGAAAACTACACGGTGGAAACAAGCTTCAGAGATGCCTTATCGGTGGGCAAATCAAGCAAGTTCTTGGGATCCACTGGAGCCTCGTACGTGTTGTCATCGCTCACCGACAACGCGCGCAAGTTGTATGCGATTCTCCTCCGCTACCAATTGCGCGCAATGTCTGATGATTTCCGGTTGGCCAAGGTAAATGACCACAAAAAGTTATCCAAGAGCAGTTTCAAGGGCAAGGCCAAGCACAGCATCGAATTCAAGCAGTTGTTGCAACTTTGTCGCGAGGACTTTGTGGCCAGCAACGAGTTGAATTTCCGCACTATGTTGGTGGAGTTTGTCGAGCACAAAATGTTACGGCTAGTGAAGGACAAGAACGGGGTAGAGATTGTCTATATTCCGTTTAATTACGAGGAGATGTCACGGTTGATTGAGAAATAGGGTACATCTCACGGTTAAGAGAAATTATCCTTCAAGGGTTAAATTGGAGATTGGGGGGGGGGCAGTGGATAATCAAAGACTTGTATTTCAATCGATTACCAAAAGAGATATTTCGGTATGTAGACGGATACTAAACGATTCGAGTAGATTTAGTGTTTTAAGATTGGTATATTCTACATGTATTGCAATTTTCTCCGTCTGAGGTCCATCGTCCACGAAATGGTAATAGGATATATATTTACGTGAGTAACACGCCCCAGGGCAGAACTGTTCACCAACTTTGATTGAGATTATCAATGGTCAAGAACTACTCCTATTATAGCGTTGAGTATGCTTTCTTCAGGCCTCTTATTTCCCAAATACAGACTCAATAGGCTCGTAAATATGGAATTGTGCATTTTGTAGTTTTTGTGCCTCCCCGCCTCAATTGCTATCTCGGCTCTCCAAAAACGCATCAGTACTAATTTTCGCGAATCAGGGTTCTATTTTCGCCGATAGCCAAAACCCTGAGCCGCTTCGCGAACCAGGTCCGCGAAACCCAGACTTTCTGCGATATCCCCTGAGAAATCGGCGCAGCGGCGTTTACTAAAATCTACCCATACATCTCCTTTGATCCAACCCCTCGTCATTGACCATCGAACTCTATTGATCCAACTTCATACCATAGATCTACTCCATCACAATGGTCAACTTCCCGAGACTAACACCCGGAACGCAGCTCCAGGTGGGCTCGCACGAGGTAACCATCGTCCAGTACCTCTCTGAGGGCGGCTTCGCCCACATCTACTCGGTGACAACGCGTGCGACGGCACGACCGGATGCGGACCCCGTTGTTGCGTGCCTTAAGCGTGTGGTAGTTCCTGACAGACAGGGCTTGGACCAGCTCCGTGTGGAGGTGGATGTGATGAAGAAGCTCGCGGGCAGCGACAAAATTGTCCAGTACTTTGATTCTCACGCTCAACGCCTCGCAGGCGGTCCCGAATATGAGGTACTTCTCCTCATGGAGCTCTGTCCGAACGGTTCGCTCCTTGACTACATGAACACGAAGCTCAAGACGAAACTTACAGAGCCTGAGATCTTAAAGATCATGTTCGACGTGACACTCGGCGCGCGCGAGATGCACAAGTTGCGTTTGATCCACCGCGACATCAAGATCGAGAATGTGTTGATCAATTCAGCAAACACCTTCAAGCTCTGTGATTTTGGCTCCACCTCCGGAGTGATAGAGCCGCCAGTGACTCCGGAACAGTTCCAGCGCTTGCAAGGCGATTTGGTGCAGCATACAACGCCACAGTACCGCTCACCCGAGATGGTTGATTTGCGCCGCGGTGCGCCAATTGACGAGAAGAGCGACATCTGGGCTCTCGGCGTATTTTTGTATAAGCTTTGCTACTACACAACTCCGTTTGAGAGCGTGGGTGAGATTGCCATTTTACACGCAGCATACCTGTTTCCACTGAAGCCTGTCTACTCCAACGACTTGAAGAATCTCGTGGTGATTATGCTCCAGGAGGACCCGCAACTCAGACCAAACGTCAATCAGATCTTATACATCTTGTTGAAAATGTCGGGGAACACTTCGTATAGGTTTAACGACTTCTATGGGCTTGGGGAGTACGATTTTGTTAGGCTCCAAGAGTACCAGCAGAGAAAACAAGAGGTGATGAGACAGAGCCAGAGACTGAACCAGAGCCTAGAGCAGTACCCGGAGCAACAAAATCAAGAGCAGGAGATCTACCAGCAAGGGCAAAGCCTCAAGCTGAGCACTCAACTAGTACAGGACCAAGCCCTGACCCCTCAAAAACAGGCCATGCCTTCCCAGAAACAGGCTCAGGACTACCCTAGTAGCCCTCTTGAGGTAAGAAGCCCTTCCGAGGTGAAAAACTCCTCGCAGCTTTCCTCTGCCGACCCTACCTCTGCCCACACTACCAGGCCAAACTCCACAGCGTTTCTGGACGAAGACTCTGAGGCTATGAGCTTAGAGGACATTGAGGCCCGCTTTCCGTCATTGGAAAAGATCCAGTCCAAACACCACTCCATTTCGCCCCGCCCCGCCAGTATGTACATCCAGGGAATCTCTGTGCAAACAAGCACTTCTTCAGAAGAGCTCAAGGCCGAAACTGTGTTACAACAGCGGATAGCAAGCTATGGAGGCATCTCACGGTCGCCGTCCATGACTCGTAACCCAGAAAAGAGCCACTTTTTGAGCAAAGAAGACGCATGGGAGCGTGGACGTGATGTCAGTGTAAATCCTGAGGCAGACAGGCTTGTGGAGTCCATCTTTGGCGGTGAAAAGGAGGAAACCCTGGCAATGCCTATGGCGGCCGACAGAGGAAATGCTCAAGAGGCTATCCCTGTTGAAAGTAATTGGGGAAAGACGAAAGAGCAAGTAAGCAACCCGAAAAATGGAGATGTTCTTAAGCTGGAGTCTGGCCACTCGAGGAAAACGGAAATCTCAGACGCTTCCTGGAGAGCCAACTCCCTGTTCAGCGAAGAGACTCAAAACCAATCGAATACACGCACCGCTTCCGATGCCCTCAAGCGCAAATCATTCAATCCGTTCCCGGCCACTGAAGTCTACGTGCCCCCTGTACCAATTCCTGGGTTCAAGCAGCCGCCTTTACCAATGGAGGCCAGTTCCCCCCGGGTGCTTCCGAGTATGAGCTCTGAAAATCCGTGGGGTAACCAGTTTTCTGCGCCCGGTGCTGGCTACATGGTCCCGGTGTCGCGAATCCCATCAATTCCCAGGGATCTCATTGACTTTGAAGACGCCAAGCCAGTAATCACCGTGTCTGAGGCGGTACCGCTGGGTGCGACACTCATCAAGCCGGATCTTCCGCCGAGACAGCAGCTGAAACACCTTTTGGACTTTGATCTCGTAGAATTGGAGGAGCTCTCTTTCCAGGATAACGAAGACCCAAACAAGCTCCAGCGGATTCGCCTGATGAACCTCCAGGAGGAGGTAGTGGACTTTTCGTCGGAGGACAGTGCGAACGAGCTAAAGGTGCCGCACGGTGGTGAACGCAAAGGCCGCTATTCCTTTAAGTCGAAGAAGCAACTTAGAAGTGGTTCGAACCACCGCACGAGCTCCACCTCGCGCACCCACAGAAACAGCGTCCCAGAAGATGATGACGATGCGCGGAGCGTTAGTAGCTGGTTCCAGGGCGACGAACAGGTTACAGCAGAGCTTGAAACTGGGTTAACGGAGGCGCTCAGCCGGAAGACGTCCGGAGTGGCTAAAAATCTCAGCTAGAGATTCCAAAACGTGCCAGAGACCATTCAGCCTTACATAGTAGATTTACTCTGGTAATATACATTAATTTTAGTCCGTAAAAGCGCGGGAGAGACGAGCTTGGAAGGTTTCAGATAATCGTTCTAACTGACCATTCATATTGAGATCGACGTCAAGACATTCGAGCGTCTGTCTTTGAAGCGAGGACGAAGAGAGTAAAGAATCCAACAATTTAACGTCAAAGCTGACCTGAACTTAAGGTACACAGGTAGCTAAGGGTTTGTAACAAACTGGTGGTCCCAAACCGAGTATTACATACCGGTGAAAACAAAACGGTGAATAGGGAGCTGCTATCAAAATCTAGGCTCATGTTTGTTGAAGCGACTGACGATAGCGTACTAACTGGGTTCTAATGTTAACCGGAAAACGGGCATGTCATATAGTTACTGAGTACGTTGAGATTGTTCAAATTTGCGGTAATGCTAATGTTAAAATACGTGACTGATTGATAGTGTAGTCTGAGATTTATGCCGCGTTGTCGTAAAATAACTGACGTACAATCCAAATGAGTCCCAGATTACCTACAGAGACACCGTCGCAAATGTTATTGAGGCTTATATCGTTGGATGCCAAAAATCCAAACCACGCAAGGTTGGACGTTTCAGGTTGTAGTGCATGGACGAGCCGGAAAAACGTCACATTGGGCTAGTATATTCCTCCTCTACCGTTTCTTTTGAGACAATGAACAAGAATAGCCTAGTTTTGACAACCATGGTACAAATATTGGCTTAAACTTTTGAGGTTTCAGAAATTCGTCACACTTAAACGAATGCTTTTTAGAGCGAGGTGTAGGACCCAACTTAGCACTTCAGAAAAGGATATTAGCCCTGATTGCGGCCGATCTATCCTTGCTAATGAGAGCACAGCTTCTCCACCATGGTTCACAAAGTAGAATCCAACTGTATTGCTAAACTTACAAGGCCCGATATATATTCAATACATCGTGTTTGGTGTACTTGAATGCGAAGATGCCTCTGGTTTACGACCTCCAGGTCTTAAACCTTACTGCAGCTATTTTTCCGCGTTACGCGTCGCGTTTTACGCGCCGAAAGCGAGCAAAACAAAACGCAAAAACAAAGTGCAAAGCGAAACCGATGCAAGCTACAAAATTTCTTCACCTTAATCCTCATATATCTCCTTAAAACTCTACAATGTACAAGGGCAAGGTGAACGCTCCGTTTAAGCCTCCTAGAATGCGCCCAGCGCTGGCTGAAGGGCAACCCGACAACGTGGCACCGCCACCGAAAAAGACGCCAGTTACTGCTCTACCAGTAGCCAGAAGGACGCCAGTTACAGCCCCATTAACTGGAAAAACGCCAGCACCAATCCAAACAACTCCTGCTTCGATCAAACGAGTCCAGAGGTCGCCGCCACCGGAGCCCGTTTCTGACGGCTCTGACTCCAAACGAGTCTACTTTGCGCTCTGGCGCAAACCGACGTCTAAAAAGCACAAGACGTGGGACGGGGACGCGGTCGTCATCCACAACCTCACTGCCGGAACTTTGGTCGTGAAAGGGGACAACGGTGGCACATACAAGCAATTGACACGGTCAAGCAACACGGCAAAATTCACGGGTGAAGCCGGGGTGGTCTTCTCTGTGGGCGGCTACGAGTGCGAAATTGAACACCAGATCACCGATTCCGCAGAATTGGCCAAGTTTGATGCTACCCTTGATCCAATAGATATAAAACCACCTAAAGTGAAAGTGGAGACGAGAGTGCCTAAAAGTATCCAAGTGACCCAGTTCAAACCTGTGATCAAAGCGAAACCCAAGACGGGTGCAAGAACACCGCTACACGATCCTCTGGCCCCAGGTGCCCTAGTGATGCCCCTAGGGCCTGACCATCTGACGGAAGTGATTGTGGACCCGATTCTTTCCCAACACCTCCGTGAGCACCAGCGAGAGGGGGTGCGGTTTCTCTATGAATGTGTAATGGGGATTCGTGAGTTTGGGGGTACCGGTGCGCTCCTTGCGGACGAAATGGGGCTTGGAAAAACCCTTATGACTATCGCCTTGGTGTGGACGTTGGTCAAACAGTCACCACTAGAGCTGCCCACTCCTGTTGCCAGAAAGGTGCTCATCGCCTGCCCTGTCACGTTGATTGGCAACTGGGAACGCGAGTTCAGGAAGTGGTTGGGGCTCCACCGTATCGGTGTGCTCGCCATCAAGAACTCCAAGGTTCCACACAAAGATAGGTCTGATATCGTCAGCTTCAGTAAGACAAAGGTGTACCAGGTGCTCGTGATGGGGTATGAGAAGATCCTGACAATGCAGGAGGAGTTATCCAAGACCACGTTTGACCTCATCGTGTGTGACGAGGGTCATCGCTTGAAGAACGGTGCGAACAAGTCCCTAGCCGTGTTGAACAGTTTGAACACGGAGCGCAAGGTGGTATTGAGTGGGACACCGATCCAGAATGACTTGACCGAGTTTTTCCAAATTATCAACTTCATCAACCCTGGGGTCTTGGGAACCTTTGCGCAGTTCCAGCGCGAGTATATCCGCCCCATCCAGCGTGGCCGTGAGGTGAACTGTATCGAGGTGGTGCGGGAAAAGGGCGAGGACAAGGCACGGGAGTTTATCGAATTGACCAATGCCTTTACCCTCAGACGCACAAACAGTGTGATTGCCAACTATCTTCCGCCGCGAACCGACTTGTTGTTCTTCTGTCCGCCGACCGAGTTGCAGGTAAAATTGTTCCGGATCATGGTCGGCTCCAACGCGTACACCAAGGCGCTTCGCAGCGCCGCGGTGCAGGATTCTCTCACGTTGATCAACGTCTTCCGCAAAATCTGTTCTTCCCCCTCATTGCTCACCGATGACAAGCTCTTCAGCTCGATGATGGATCCAGACGACGCTGCTGACCAGATGTTGCTCAGCAAGATCAAGACGAAAAAGACAAGCGGAAAGCTCAAGACGTTGGTCCATTTACTTTTTGCCATTCAGAAACAGTCCAACGCCTCCGAGAAGGTTGTATTGGTGTCAAACTACACTCTGACGTTGGACATGCTTCAAGAGATCTTGTTATCGATCAACATGTCTTACACCCGACTTGACGGATCTACCCCGCCGCGACTCCGCGACAGCATTGTCAATAGCTTTAACCGGTCATCTGTGGCCAACAGCTTTGTGTTCTTGCTTTCAGCCAAAGCCGGCGGTGTGGGCCTAAACTTGATTGGCGCGTCGCGCTTGATTCTCTTCGACAATGATTGGAACCCGGCGGTAGATCTCCAGGCGATGGCGCGCGTGCATAGAGATGGCCAGAGGAAGCCTGTGTTCATCTACCGTCTCTTCACCACGGGGTGTTTGGACGAGAAGATCTTGCAGCGCCAATTGATGAAGAGTAACTTGAGCGACAAGTTTTTAGACGACAAACTTGGTGCTACCGATGATCTTTTTGACATGTTTGATCTCAAAGACTTGTTTAGTTTGGGGTTGGAAACTACCTGTGGGACCCACGACTTGATGGAATGTCCGTGCGAGGGGCTAGGTGAGGAAATTGAGCCGGAGGATAGTGAAGAGGTGAAAGAGAATGATGAGGAAGTAAAAGGCGAGAAAGAGAGCGAGAGTAATCAGGGGTTTGTGACCGCTTTAGACTATCAGAAAGCGTCGCAGGACTCGTCCCAGAAGAAGAGAACAATCCAAGGGGCCTTGGTGGGGTATCGTCACATTGATCCTGTCAAGATGGGAATGGAAATTGACTGTCGTGATGAGGCGACGGAGGATTTCCTCAAAGGGGTAGTAGTTCGCAAGGAAAAGTCACCTATCAGCTATATGTTTGTGAAGACTAGTGCTCCTGGTTTAGCGGGTTAGATGTGCGTGATGGTTTTCATGAATGGTGTGGATGAATTTATTGGACTCGGAAATCGTTTATGTGAGCACTGTACGGTGTAGTATATTTATGAGCCTTGTACTTGAAAGGTAGCCACTCAGGATAGTTGAAAGTTTCAAAGCCTTACTTAATACTAGTATTTATGAGTAGTGGTGGCCCACTGAAACCATAGAACGGTTGAAATGAACCATAAGGATATTTTCTGTTGGAAGATTGCCATATAATAGATGTAAATTAATTACAGATTAAATTGGATCAAGTCCAACATAGTTATAGATGGTTAGAGTACACATCTGCCGTTATGCTAATCTGGCGTTATGGCTATAGCTTGGAACAATAGCGAAAACCCGAACCTCCTCTAAAATTTTTCCAGAAAAGATACCTATCGTTTTGCTTAATTTACCCGTTTTAACGATAGTTCCTCGGGGAATACTTCATGCACAATGCCATTGTAATAGTCCTCGCCATGACACATGGGTGTGCGCGCCTGAAAAGCTCGTGCATTTTTCACTACGGGCCAAAAACCTCGTACCAATCTTCTCTCCACAATAGACATCGTTCGAAATGGTTACCAAACTTACATTTAAGGGCGACAAGCCAAAGAAGAGAAAGAGAACGGAAGAGTCTGCCTCTTCCAAGAAAGCTAAACCTGTCCCTGAGTTTGACAGATCGCTCGTGGAACAAGGCTGGACCACGGCCACCACGGTGTCTGACATCACCGGGCCGATCATTATCACCAGATACGATGAAGGCGTCGAAGGTGCCCCCTATTCCATCGCTTCCAACAAAGGAAAGCTCTTTTTCTCTTCAGAACTTGATATTTTGCCCCACGACCAGTGTGTAAACTTTCCCCCAGACGAGGTGGCTGCCCCGTACTTGGTGCCTATCCACCTCTCCGAGCCGCGGGACACCACCCAAGTTTTTACAGTCACTCAGATCCGCTCTCTAGACACTGGTAAAAAGAACCAGCTGGCAACGGCGAATGAAATTAGCGTTACGTTTAGATCCGCAGAGGGAAAGTATCTTTCGCTTTCCCAGCAAAACACCTTGGATGCTCTAGCGGAGGCTGTGGGGCCCGGTGAAACGTTCACATTGACCAAGAAGTTCAAATCAGGGAGAGGGGTCTGGTGGGCATTGCTGGTTAACAACGCCTTCAAAGTGTGCACCTTACCTGCCGCTGACGATGGACACATGCTCAAGTGTATTAAGGACAAGGACGGAGTGCTTGATGATGAAAATCACTACGTAATAAGAGTGCAGACCAAGAACTCAGTCAGGGGTAAACAGATCATGGCCGAAATTGAGAACAACGACACAAAGGAAGACAGGCTTCTCGATACCGTGAGGGAAGCGATTGTATTGCTCGACAAGGAAAACATTATGGTGACAAATGCCGTTTTCAAGCAACTCATGGCGGCAGCCCAGGAAGGGCGATTAAATGAGGCTATCATCGACGTCAAAACAAAGGGAAAGCATGACTCTAGATGCTAGCATGTGTGACTCCACTGAAAACCAATATGTGATGATGAGGTAGGCAGGTGGATGACACTTTAACAGATTAATTAACTGGCCCTAACTATTGCAATATCTCTCTGCTTCGACTGGCCAAATTCTTCTATGAAGTAGAAACATTAATTAAAGTGGGAATGACCTGAAATCGGCTTTCTTAACTTTCAAAGCCCGGTTTGAAGTCTTTAAGTGACATGCTTAGAACTTGACCCGAACCCGGGGTAATTGATGAAGAAAATCTTACAGCGTCAGCTCAATGTTCAAAATATACATTAACAGAAAAAAAAAAATATGCAGAAAATGTAAATAAATCTATGAATGTATGCTTATGACTTCGGACGTCTCGATCGGATACCAGCGGTCAACGCTTTCAACTCTAGTAAGTTTTTTGAGAGACCCAGGCTTTTCGGTCTAATAGGGTCGCTGGATTTCTCTGGAGCACCGGTGCACAATAAGGAAGAATCCCCATGAGGCAAAAAGGACTGGTCCGAGTAGCTTAAATCCACTTTGGGAGCTGTGAACGAATTGAACGAGTGGTAACCCCGGGTCTTTGATGAATTCGCAGAGAAACCGCTGGAGCGCATAGGAATCGCCGGGCTATAGCCAGACATATGGCGCTCTAAATGAGCTAGCTTCGCTTTTTTCTTTCTGTCCTCGGCTTGCTTCGCTCGTTCGATATCTTCCTTCTCGGAAAGGGCATCGCGACACGCCTGGAGCTCCGCTGGTGAGGCCATCTTCGACCTCTCTGGTCTGCTCTCTTGCTCAATTGGCACAGGCTCGCACTTCTCTCCCAAGGTTTTGAAGCAGTTTTGGAGTCTCTCGTTCACATCCGCGCCGCTAACACTGGCTTCATCGACAGTGTTATCAGCCATAGACATGTCGCAGATTGACACAAGGGAAACCTTGTCAGCCTTCAACCGGCTCAAAACCTCGGTAGTGGGCCGGCGGGAGTTAGTGGCATCCCAATAGAGAACGAGTAAGTGCACTCTAAAGCGAGATTGAGTGATGTTTTGTTGCACCACAGCTAACCTTTCGGCATCGGCTTCGAGCACATCTAGTAACAACTCTTTGGATCGGGTGCTGGAAATGCCACAGTCAAAGACAACAAAAACAGCATTAGAATAGTCTTTCTTGGTAGAGATTTCAAGTTTGAGCTTCCCATTCTGGACCGTTCGAACAAAGTTGTGAGACTCTAAAACCATTCCCAACTTGGTGGCCAACCACCTCGATGATGATGAGCTCCAGTCTTTAGCATCAACAATCCCAGTCACACACCTCTGTTCTAGCGCAATGTCAAGTGTGAAGTTGTTACTGGCAGGGCGAATAAAGAGGGTCACCAAATCCAACGGTTTCCATAACTCGTCGATGCGAGTCTTTTCCCTGCGCGCAAGAATGACGTTCAGTATGGCAGAGAAAGAGCCATTAGCGACTGAGATATTGCCAGTAGAGGCGTTAGGATTGGTCTTACGTCTGCGCTTCGCCGTAGACGGTGCCCCGAACTTCATCGCACAGATTACCTCTTCGCGTCTCTTCTGCTTAGCCACGCTCTTGGCCAAGCAACGTGCACCCTGTTGTTTCAACAACTTGGAGATTTTGGTCTTCGCATGTTGATCCCGGAAGCTCTCAGCTTGTGATTCGAGTACCGAAATGTAGATGAATTCATCCATAAAGGCCCGGAAGAGTTCTTCACTCAAGTTCGATACCAAACGCTCCTTTTTTCGCATCTGGAGCTCCTCCGCCACCACAGTCTTAACAATAGCTCTTGTTTGGGTCTGAATACCATTGAGTAATAACTGGTCAATGAGCTTGTTTGCCGCTTCGGTGAACTTGGGCAAGCTTACAAGCTTTGGTGTAGTCTTAGGTAAGGAAGGGGCAGATTTGGGCTGTTTAGAAACAGATGCCAACGGAGAGGAGGTGGTGAAGCTGGTGGCTGGGGTTTCAGGGCCCTTCACTGAAGTCTCGGCCGGTGTCTGTTTACCCAAACTGAGTGGAGCAGGGGGGGGGGTAGTACCTAGCTTGCCAAACAGGGAAGGAGAAGGGGTGTTCGTTGCAACTTGTAGCTTTGGGGCTGTTGGCCCAGTGGATTTGGTAAAGGAAAAAGTAGGCGCTGTGCTTGAACTTTGGGCAGTGGATGCATACGCTGGCTGAGGTGGACCGGACAAGACATTGATCTCTGTAGGGTGTGTTGAAGTAACGGGTGCGTTCAGCGAAGCAGTCAGGGTTTGAGTAAATGCTAATGAAGTGGTTGCCCTTGGTGTCTGGCTGAATGACAAGGCACCAAGGAATGAGAAACCAGGAACCGGGTTCGAAGGGGCTTGTGAGAAACCACCCAGAGCGGCTGGAATAGAAAAGGCATCGGAAGCCTGCAAAAGTACCGACGGAAGCGCCAGTGAAGTCTGATTGGAGGAGAAGGCGGTAGAATCCGGCGTTTGGGAAAACACAGGAGCCTGAGAGGTATTGGAGGTGGCCTGAAAGCCACTAGCCTGAAGGCCATTGGAAGGAGTTTGACTACTTATACCTCTTTCACTCTTCTTCATATACTCCCCTAGATGTAAGTCATCATTGGACAATCCAGAGTTGATGAACCCGACCAAGCTGCTTCCATATCCGACCTTCTCATTCACCAGACGACACCACGCTTGGGTCTGTTTGGGCTTGTCTTTGAACGATTTGAGCTTGAACCCCACAAGTTCCACACCACCATTGGTCCCGATTTCCCAGTGATCGCAAAACTTCACGACCTCATCAATATCGTTAAACCCAAGCATCGCGACAAAACGCTCCGCGGGATACGCCTTGCCCTTGGAATGGTAGCTGCGAGCCATAGCTTTAGTGGCATAAAACCTGATCTCGTTCACATGAGTCTCGAGCAAGCAGGCAACCAAAAACGGCGTGGTAGGGTCTGCGAGCAACCGGAAGAACTCATGAAAGAGGTTAGCTGCACCGGGCGTGTTGGTAACCCCTCTCTCTGCCAAGTTGTTTTGTGCCATAACCAGCCGGAACTTGAGGGCCCGTTGGACCACAGGGTTTTGACAGATGTCTCGCGGCAATGATTGGAGCTCGCGCTCCCAGCTGGGGTCACGGAAGTGACTAAGAAGCGTATACGCGCGAAATTCTGCTTCATTGGGACACGAACCGCCACGCTGACGCACGTCATCGTAGATTTCCATCAACGTGCGGAGCGCCTTGTTCATCTGTTCGAGTTCCTGTTGCTGGGAATAGTCGTTCTCCGACTGGGTCATCATGTGGAGACATACCAAGTGGATGCGAACGATGCGCTCATTGCAGTCGATAGCCTCGGGCCCGTAGTAGTTCTGGTAGGTGAAGTCCTGGCGGATGGAACGCGTGCGGTCCCAGATGAACGAATGGGCTTCGGGGAGCGCGTGGATGAAGTTCTGGATCAAGTAATCAAGCGTGCTGACCAAGATGTGTGGCGGTCTCACGTCCGAAGGAAGCGGTGGAGGCTGGCCCGCTGCGGGTCTGGAGAACGCCTTGATAGCACGGTCGCGTGAGATTCTTCCCGTCTGGGGGTCACGCTCTGCTTTCTTCACGTTATTTTCCAACGCGCGTCGCACCCGCTCGTATGTCGGACACATGTCAAGACAGGTACCCCTGAAAACGATCGCATTTCCTAATACCATTGGCGCGTCTTCCGCGTGCACCAAGCCACGTCGTTCCATCTCTTTGCGCTCAATGTCACGGAGTTTCTGGAAATCCTCGTACAAGCCCTGGAGGTCTGTAATGCGGTCGTGCTCAAGCTGTGCAAACTTCTGCTGGTTTGCAGCGTCCCAGTCGTCGCGTATAAATGTAATCGGCACCAATTGGCGCGACTCTTCGAGAAGGTACTTCGGCAATGCGCGTGGCGCGTGTGGGACACCCGAAAACCCGGACAGCTGCGCAAAAAGCGGCCCAAGAGCCGTATCTAGTTCCTGGCTGATCTCAATTTTACGTGAGGGGTCCGTCGCAACTACTTGGGACGCCTCAAAGGCTCTGGGGGGAGGGGGGGAGGGCGCGGCGGCTCCGCTCTGGAATGTGTTGTTCTGGGTAAAGTTAGACCGGTTCTTCCTGTTTCCGTTTCCATTGCCCCCATTATGGTTGCCCTGGTTTCGTCCCTTGTTGCGGAAACTGAAACCGGAACTCATGCTGGTTGTAAAGATTGATGGTGGATGGGCAAGTTGTGACTTGTTGACATCTTTTTCAGTGGCTATCAGAGGTTTTCATCTCAGATATTGTTATGCGCACGACCACACAAGAAGTGCGAGATCTAGTTCATGAAATTTAGGTACCATCCGAAGGTAGTCGAAAGCACAGACAACAGGAGGATTGACTGTGTATGAGAAAGATACTGTAAAGACTGTTTCAGTTTTGCTTCTTAAAATTACGTTTTTTCTAGTAACTTTACCACTGTGGGAGCCGCCTTCTGGGCTCTCACGTTTTGTTTGATCTGCATGGCCATGCATCTGTAGCATGTAGGTGCGACGATTTCGAGGCAAGCAGGAAATAAGAACCGGATCAGGGTACGTTTGACTTTTTTCGAAAGTCTTTCGAACATTGAGCGTTTGCATTTGGGACTATCAGGAGGGTGTCGGTCCAGTTTCTCCACGGAGAATCGACAGCTTGCCCGTGATGCTCTTTCGCCGTGCCTTCAATTTCCAGGCCCGGAAGTCATTTCACAGTATGAACATGCCGGTGTTCAAACATATAAATGTTCTTGAAAGAGCGGTGGCCTAATAAAAATTACTAATTTTTACAAATTTTGCAGTTAGAAGCTTACTCTGCAAATTTCGGAACTCCGGCAGGCTTCTAGAATGCCGTACAAGCCCCATGTAGATCGACAGAGAATGCTACCAGAGAGGACTGTAAATTACAAGGCATTACCTTCAGAAAATTTCACAAGAATTGCGGAAGAGTCGGCAAGAAGGATGGAAGTACCGGAATATGGTGCATACCCTGGTTATATTATCCCTCATGGCTATATCGAGGTGCAGTGAAAAACATGGGGTTAGCTCCCTGGTTATAGGAAACAATAGAATAAATAGCGTACAGTGGCGAGTCGCATGGAAGGGGATGTCCCCCTGTCGAGGCGTATTGGAAGGCAGGGATTTGATACCAGAAGATAATTAGTTTTGCGGTCTACAGCGAAAACACTGTATTGTCCCACGTGTTTATAGTTCCGTATTTGACAACGTTGGAAAAGCCCATATTAGCCTCCAAGGATTATCTATTCCCCCACATTCCACCTACTTCCGCTCCTAAAACATTGACTATCAGCCCAGAAATTTCTTATTAAAAAGGGGTCAAGGTTGAAATGTTTCTAGTTCACTTGTATTAGTTATGATCCTTACTCTTCACGGATTCACCGTCATAAAGTATCTGTATTGTTACACTGATGGGGGAGGGGTATTACAGAGGCGGGCTTAGATGAATCACATGGTTGTTTCCTTAATTACATGAAAATTGCGATAGGCAGGAAAGAGAAGTTTAAACTCTATGTATAGAGGCAAGATATTATAGGTCAACTAGATTTGGATCTGTAGTATCGATTCATATTGTTAGAACGCCGTTTTAGTTTCTATTACATTGATAAGTTTATAGTTCACGAGATCTGCGGTCATCCGCCTCAGGCTAAACATGGGTCCAGGGCGAACGTTGCTGCATTAAATACCGTTTTAAGAAAACTGCATTCATAGTATATAGCAACACTAATCGACAATGTAAATCACCTTGAAGGGTTTGGAATGAACACGGTCCTACAAGACCTCATAAGTACACCACTATAGGAACAATGGAAGCGGATGGCAGCTTCTTTGATTGGTCACTACATAATACAGAAGGAGTAAATTGCCCGAATTAGAGCTCATTAGTAGTTTATTCCTAACAGAATTGTTATACAAATGCGCTATAAGTAGACTGGATTAGTAGGGTTGAAAGGAACAAATAAGTGCTATATCACATATGCGTCCAGACCAACCGGTTTTCATTTTCATGCATATGCAGCGGTAGACACATGCATAGAAACTTGCGTCGGCGAAATTTTTCGACGCAAAGAACGGCATTTTGCGAATAAAGCAACATTCGCACCAAAGCCTGCTGGGCCTCACTATGTCATCTATAGACTTTTGTTCCGTTTGCATCACATTTGGGGTTTAAGGAATCCGACATCGTTTTTTTATATCTCTGATGAAGAGTCAAATTACCCCACTTTTTGAGTTATGCTAGACAAGGACCAGCCTAGGCCAGTCACTGAGGCGTGCAAGTATGAGGCGGTAAGTAAGTGAATTAGCGTTTCGGCTCAGGGAATAAAATGAGAGCCATAGCTGCATGACTACGGATTTATTCTCGAAACTCTTCTCGGCTCGCTCCACTTCCCTGCAGTCCCCTATACCAGACCTTGTGATGTCCATTTTTTTTTTCAGAGTATGACCGCGACCACTGAAACTCAGAGGTAAACTCTCAATATTATAAGGTAGAACATGTAATGATATGGCTTGGGATGTGATCCTGATGCATTTGTTAATAAAGAAAGCGACTCAATTTAGCCAGCTCAGAGTGGGGGTGGACATCAGAGGCCAGGGGTAGTAGACTTTAGCCCCAGATTTGCATGCGTCAGGCATTAGGTTACAGGGATTAGGGTATAACCAAATGCATCTAGAATAATTAAGCTTGCAGATCTCAACGTTATTGGGTACGAGTATGTTCAGCGTTAATTCCATTGAGGGATTTTATGCTTCAATAAAGGGTACGAGAGACAATGGTCTATCAAGTATGTTCTGCGTATTGATTAAATAATCCCTGTATTCGAGGCTTACCTGTTTTAGCCCGTTATAACCTTGGGGTACCAGACAGAACCCATACCGGCTGGTAGAGTTCAAAATATTATAAATACAGCTCTAATCTGGAGGTAATCAAGAAGAAAAATATTAAAACCATCAACCACCAATCCAACAAAATGAAGTTCACCTCTGTCCTCGCCACCTTGGCCGCTGCCTCCTCTGTTATTGCCGCCCCAGCTGCTGCTCTTCCATGCCTTATCTTCTGCCCAACCACCACTACTTCCGGTGTTGCTGTTCCTCTCGCTTCCATTCAAGTCGCTTTGGTGTCTGATGTGGAAGAGGGTTTCAATAACATTGCTGGGTACGTCTCCTCTTTGGTTGCCAACCCAACTGCTGAAGTCGCTAATGTGATCGAGTCTGTTGTCGCTGTTGTCAAGGCTCAGGAGAGTGCTTTCAGCTCCCTCGTCAACGTTATCGTCGCTGACTTTTCTGGTCCTCTCCCAAGCGCCATCGTTGCCCAGGAGGCTGTCATTGAAGGTGCTTACAATGGTATCGTCGCCGCTGCTACCGGCGCTCTCAGCGCTAAGACCCCAGCCGAAGCTGGTGCCGTGATCTCCACTGCTCTTTCTAACGCCGAGGGTACTATTGCTACTGCTCTCACCCAGATTGTCTCTCCATTGATTTCTCTCCTTGCTGGTGTCACCAACCCATCCAAGGTCTCTCCTGCGTTGCTTACCGCCGTCAATGGTATTTTCGGTGCTTTCACTAGCATCTTCTCCCTTGGTAACACTAACAGCAGCCCAATTACCTCCATTGTTAACACTGTTGGGTCCATCGTGTCTTCGTTTGCCCTGAACGCAGCCGGTGGGAACATCATTAGCAACCTCCTCACTCTGCTTAACAAGTTTTTGAGTAGCATTTAAGCTAGCTGCCAGACCTTTAAAAGTTAAAGCGCTACGCCAAGATCAAGAGTTTTTTACATACACACTCTAAGGCATGGTTTTTAATCTGCCACATCTCATTAAACCCCCGGGCATCTATTTCAATATATGATTTTATATCACAGTTCATGTAGGATGTAGCCAATAGTAAGAAAACTGAGTGTTTTAGCCTTTCTCTTTCACCATGTCTAACATGTGATTTCCTTTCAGTTCAAAGGTGAGTTTATACCGGTGAATGTTGAAGCATTTTCCTTCCTGATAACTGGGAGACGTCGGTTTACCCTTAAGAATCAGATATATGGATCAAGGTACCTGTCGGACTGAAAGCGACTTTGCTCCTCACAATCGAAGCTTTAATTATACCCACCTGGCCGAAAACAGAGTTGTATATATTTCTAAGTTTTCATCCTATAGATATGTCATCATCCTAACAAAGCAGAATAGAAGCTTATATTAAACCTGTGATGGGTACAGATTAGCAGTATGGATTGGTGTTTACTTCGATCTAGTCTGCACACTTCATACACCCATCAATCAACAAGACATCGCCCTCGGCGACTCTGAATACCACCACCCTTCCGTATCTCAAATGATCCTCTTCCCAAGCGCTCAAGGACAACACTTCGGTACCCAACCTGGTAACTTCAGGGCCATATCCAAACTTGATTTCTTCAAAATCGCCAAATTTCGTCACCAACCGATAGGCGACGTTTCCGGTAAGGTCACCAGTCACTGCAAACAGCTCTTTAAACAGTGGCTCAGACACTGGAACCAGGAACTTGTTTGTTGTGAACGAAGCGCGCGGTCTGAATTTGGCCGGTGTTTTGGTGACGGCACCGCGGATTACAGTCGTCACTTCATTGTAATAATAACATGTCCCCTCTTCATCTCTTCCCTCAAACCCATCCGTGAGCTGGACCGAATCATTGTTCTCCAAGTTTTCGATCGCAACAGGAAATTGCGTGGTCTGCAATTCCAAGCTAGTAGTCTCTGCCACAACGAGAGGCTTGGCTACACGCAAGTAGTGCTCCCAGGACAAAATCTCACCTTGCATATTCTGTAATCTGGACAACAAGTCAAAGAGCAAGGATCGCTTCTGCATCGCCATGAGCATTCCGTAGGTGTGCAACGGGGTCAGAATCTCTCCGCCAGTGCACGCCTTGGTGTATTCTTCCACACTGGCGTGTGAAACTAGAAACGGGAACGTGATCGACTCGATCTCTGGGTGATCCATCGTGGGCTGTGTATCACCCGCAACAGCACCAGTTACTGGGCACACTAACCGTTCAGAGTTTTTCTTCATCCGAGAGGCAGGGCAGCCAGCAGGAGGAAGAGAGCCGAAAGGTATTTCAGTGCGTTCGACTGGGCAGCCAGGAGTGACGCTGGAGACAGGACGATCTTCAGTGGATGATATATGGCTTATAGGGCATCCGGTTTGTTGGTGAGTCATGGTATCTTCAAACTCTTCGACGGGTTTGTCCTGAATGGCGGGCTTGCCGCTGACCGGGCAAATGGCGTCTTTTGGGAGATTCTTCTTTCTGCTGAATGGACAGCCGGGGGCATCGTCAACGGCTGGCATTACGGTACGGATAGTTGTGCCACTTCAGTTGAAATGAGTCAATGGAGTTGTGGTTTTATCCATGAGTAGCCGGTCTTAGTAATCAAGCGTTAGCTAGGTCTCGGCCCAGCGGCGGAATTTTCGTGGGGAAGCAGGTAAGCACGGGGTGCAGGATAACTGAGGAAGTACCGGAGCTACGATATTTTGGGATAGCTTAAGAATTGTGTAACTGTTTCGTCAGAGTCATCAAGGGTTTAAAATTTACTGTTATTGAATTATACTGCAAATTCAGCAACCGTGTACAATCCGCATACCCCCTGCTCACCGCTCAAGAAGTTTGATATTCGTGTGGTGGAACACTAGACTCCAAGATTTGTGGTCTCTAGAGGTTAAATGCCAGTCCTCTACCGCATCCGACTTGTTTGTAGTACCAATGCGCATTTGTATCGGAACTGAATGGACACAAGTAGTTCTATGGTTTCAAAGAGGGATAAAGAGTGCATAATTAAGCGTCCCTGACGCGTTTCATCCTTTTCCCGGCAATGACGACCCTAGATCTACCTTTTCCCGTTACCAAGCATTGGCCAGCTGGTGCTATCATGAATATATCCTTACTCTACCTATGGCGAGTGTTCGAGGCCATAGCCAAATCGTTTATATATTTTTGAGTAAAATCGTATAATCAATTCATCCTGTAGTGCAACCATAATTTGGCCTATAACGCGTCTCATTATACTTGAAAAAGTTATACCTGGCGCTTTATATTAGATGTACTAACTGTCCACCAGACACGATTGTCAACCCACCCATTAATATTCCCTTTCCAACGTTCCAGCCAGTGTAAATCTATTATAAGCAGAATCTATTACTGATAGTTACCCGATATTTTATTTCACAACATATCCATATGTTAAATCATCAAATTCGTATACCCAGCCCCTCGTGCTATTACTCTTGGCGTGCGCGTACCGCAAAATCTTCTCTATATCACCACAACCAACCCAACCATCAACACACAAACCACACTCTCATATCATTATTCATGTCAGTGGCAGCTCCGCAAACTTACGGCGGCGACGAAGTCGCTGCGATCGTGCTTGATCCCGGCTCCCACACAACGCGTGCGGGCTATGCCGGACTCGACACGCCGTCCATCATCATCCCTTCCACAGTGGCCTCTGATGGTCGCGCACGCTACTTTGGCGACGCAGTGTACTATCCACGTGCGGACTGCGAAGTCACGAGCCTCTACCGCGACTCGGTGGTTCAAGACTGGGACGCAGTTACTAGCCAGTGGGAACACATTTTCCGCAGCATGCACGTGGCAGACTTCCAGGAGCACCCCTTGATGGTAACAGAGCCGGTCTGGAACGACAAAGCCAACCGGCTTAAGACCATGGAGGTGGCGTTAGAGCACTTTGGCTTTGCGGGGACCTACCTTGTGAAGACACCGTCTGCTGTGTCGTTTGCGCACGGGCGTCCCTCGTGTTTGGTTGTCGACATTGGTGCCGACACCACCAGCGTCACGGCCGTTGTTGACGGTTTGTCGTTGGTGAAAAGCACAATGCGCACCCATTACGCGGGCGGGTTTATTTCCGCACAGGTACGCGGCTGGTTTCCCGATACGACGCCGCAATTCCGCGTCGCATCGAAAACGCCCACCAGCGGCGACGCCGCACCCATCTGGACCCCCAGACTGTTTGATTTTCCCATCACCCAGAGCTTTGACGCGTATCAGACGGAGAAAATCATCGAAGAGGCCAAGGAGACGTGTTTACAGACTCGTTCGCTCGGTAAGGAGGAAGTGCCAGTGTACGACGCGCGCGCGTTCGAGCTTCCCAACGGGCACTCTGTAACGCTCGACGCCGCGCGCTACAAGGCAGTTGATGCGATTTTTACCCCGGCAGATTATTTGACCGATGGATTTGTGCTTGAGACCGGTGAGCCCGAGTTGAAGGGCAACGATTACAAGCCGTTGAAGCGCAAGCGGAAAGAGGAAGACACGCCACAGCCAGAGGAGACGCCGCAGCCGCGTGACGTGAGCGTTCGCGGGTTGTCGGACTTGGTTTCCGCAGCCTTGTCGCTTATTGATATCGATATCCGCTCGCAGTTGGCGCATAATATTGTGGTGACGGGTGCGTCGTCGCTTATTCCCGGGCTCACCGAGCGTTTACACAACGATCTCGTAGTGCAGCATCCGGGGTTGAAGGTTCGCTTGCACTGCGCGGGGAATGTGATGGAGCGGAAGTATCTGTCATGGATTGGGGGGAACGTGTTGGCGAGTTTGGGCACGTTCCACCAGATGTGGGTTTCGAAGCGGGAGTGGGAGGAAGAGGGCGAGCGGTTGTTAGCGCATAGATTTAGATAGTCTGTGGAAGCTGCTTCTATGAATACTAGGCATTTTCATGAAGGCATTCATGAGCGAAGGCATTTGTGGAGTTGTTTAAATTGAATAAATATCCAATGGGATCTCTTAATTGATTGTGGAGGTTTAGATTGGAGCAGATGTACAACCTGCAATAAATATGATTAGAGATTTATGGAGGTATTTCCAACTGCACCGGTCGAGAAATGGACAGTAGCATAGCTCCGAAGATGCGTAAATTATTCAACCTTTGGTTACCTATATAACATGGACCTGTTAGTCTATGCACCACCAACTGTTACACTGTACTTATGTGGAATGGGTTATTTCCTTTAGGCCATCTTACCCGCGCATGCAGTATGCGTGGTAGGTGAAAAAAATAACATGCATACAGAAGAGGAACCCACTCTCACGCAAACTCGGACATACAAACTAGGCTTCCTACTGATGAGCCTATCAGACCTACCAGGATGCACTCTCGTTCTCCAGAACATCCCAGTGAACTCTCTCTTTGGAATTAACTTTCTGTTCTTCACCAATACCGAGACGTCCCAGCTCCGCGGGATCAAGAACATCCCCGTAGGCACCTGCTTTTTCCACCTCTCGCTTGACGGTGGTAACTCCATTCGCCATGGGTTTGTCTTTGACTCATCGGATATCAAAAACAAAATCTTGATGCTCACATGGGACAGCGAGGCAGAAACGTTGGTTCCCAACGGCCGAGACTTTGACGCACAGGTCAACCAAATCTGGCTGTCATACCCCTTCATGATCAACTACGAGCAAGCCTCAGAAGGCAAACCTGTGGATAAGGCCCTTACGTCCTATATAGACCAACAGGTGCTTTCGAGACTCTTGCCCACGGGCAAGCACGGCCACCCTATGAGTAGTCTCTTCGCGTCCAAGCAAGAGAACCGAGTGCTATCGGAAGCCCTCATTCAGTCGGCAAGAGATAGGGTGTTGAAGAGACTTCGTCGGACAGATGGTGCTATAGAAGTAGATGTGGAGTTGGAAATTGGAAAAGACCCGATTATCCGGTCTCTCACCAAGGAAACGGCCCATGAGTTAGACATGTGTGTGATTGACTTCAAAGCCGTGAGGCCACATGCCACCCCAGCTCAGATAACCCTGGACGCAATGGACAAGTCGTGGTACCTCACTGAGTGTTTGGTGAATCAGCACTACGGTGGAAACTACAAGTACTTTCTCGGGGAGTTCCAGGTGTGCTTTAACCTCATGGTGTTATACTCCAACTATTGTGCCTACTTGCAATGGCTAAACATTCTCAAAGTAATGGCAATATCCGGGACGCTTGTCTCTGATGCCAAGGGCTCCATGCCGATGTTGGTTGTGGAGTTTTTAGAGATTTTGAGGGCTCAGTTGCTGGTTTTGCCAGTCGGTTACCTTGTGAAAGACAATGGTATGGCTACCCTGGAGTCGTTGATCAACTACGCTGAGTTTGTAAAAATTTTTAAGGAGTTGTATCGAAATGTTGTCGACGGTGGAAACTACACGTTTCTTGAGCTGATCCAGCGGATTAAGGGCATGTTGGTTGCCAAGTTTGGCGCCCGAGAGCTCGATTCGGTGTCGCTGGATCTGGATGACGAAGATGGGCCAGTGGTGGTGGAAATGTAATCGATATTCGGCACAGATTGTTGGTTTCAAGTGTCAAGGTCCGTAACCATTCCAAAGCTCAACTCTGGCACCTGTAAAGGCAGGGATGAAAATCCGAAGAAATAGCTTACTTTACTAGCCAGGTTCCAGTGAATAGAGGAAAGGGTGGTCAGGAGAGTAATATGGCCGGAAGATCATTCATCGTGCGCCCTCGTACCTGTTTTGAGCTAACCTCTTGTACCTCAATTCTACGTGACTCGAGTTGTTCATTTACAATGCATACGTGGCAGATATGCTATAGTTGAGATATGCATATTGGGCTTGTTTGGAGGCACCCCTTCTTCTACTCCTCCACGTTTTAGAAATTATGCGATTGATTTTTTTTGCTGTACGTTCGCACTGTCATAGGCTGGCAGTTAATTATGAGTTTCCATAGTTTTAGCTGTATGGCTGTTAATAGGAAGTAGGAAATGGAGACTTTGACATAACTTTATCTTGGCTATTTTAATGCGAGGAATTCTCGAGCTTTGTGGCCACTTCATCGTACGGCCCCTATTGCACTCGTCTTAACAAACTACCTGTCAAAGTGCCTAAGCCATCAATTATTACCGGTCAGTGGCATGTTATTCACCGCTGCTTTCGGTGAGTCACATACGCGAGATATGAATGGTTTAAGCAAATATAGAGATAGGGCACTAAATATACCTCAATCTTCTGATGCCACCTCCAAGTTTTCCCTGCGGGAAGCTCGCAGATTTCCAAAGATTATCCGTTGTTTCAGGCGGATGGCATTTAAATATTGCATTATTTTAAATAATCTAATGAGTCAACCGTGCCGCACAATTCTGTGGCTATTCCGGGGGGTTACCGGTCACATCCGAACGGACAATCTCACCTCTCCGTTTTGTTCAAGGGTGAAATCTACAATTATCTGAAGAATTATAACATTGACCGAATTCCTTAACTATGAGATCAACACCAAAAGGCCTGTCAATCGTATCCATTCACAGTGGATACTAATCTGTGGGCATGTCGTACGGCATGCACGTTCCCTCTAAGGAGGTCGCAAACTGGTAGGTTCTAATATCGAGAGCTTGGACTATTTAAGGTTTCCCACTTTGGTAATACCACTTCTTTCCGTCTGAGTCACACTAAAGTAGGAGTTGCCACTGGCACCTGCCTGGTGGTTGGGCAGTGACCGACAAACCGTACATGGCCAAATCCGTCCACACCTTAGAATCTTTCCCAATGCGGAAATAACATCTGACTCACGCTTACAATTCTTATTCGTATGCACCCAAATTTTTCACGGGCGACATTTCGACGTCTACCATATAATGCACGCCCAATACGCTTCTTCCTCCTAAGATATATTTCCCTACACACCATGGCTGAAGAAAATAAGTCCTTTTCCTTCCCAAAGGAAGAAGAAAAGGTTTTGTCGCGCTGGAACGAAATTGACGCTTTCCAGCATTCCATGAAACTCACCGAAGGCTTGCCAGAATTCTCCTTCTACGATGGCCCGCCATTTGCCACTGGGATCCCGCACTATGGGCACCTTTTGTCCTCCACTATCAAGGATATTGTTCCTAGATATGCCACCATGACCGGGCACCATGTCGAGCGCCGTTTCGGCTGGGACACCCACGGCTTACCTGTTGAGTACGAGATTGACAAGAAACTCGGGATCACCGGTAAGGAGGACGTCATGAAGATGGGGATCGCCAAGTACAACGAAGAGTGCCGTGCCATTGTCATGAGATACGCCGACGAATGGAGACAGATCATCGGGAGATTGGGGAGATGGATCGATTTCGACAACGATTACAAGTCCCTTTACCCGTCCTTTATGGAGTCTACATGGTGGGTGTTCAAGGAGTTGTACAAACTGGACAATGTCTACAGAGGCTTAAGAGTTATGCCGTACTCCACCGGCTGCACCACCCCATTGTCCAATTTCGAGGCCCAGGAAAACTACAAGGACGTATCTGATCCAGCCGTCACTGTTGCGTTCTCATTAGTCAGCGACCCAAACACCAAGTTGGTTGCCTGGACCACCACCCCGTGGACGTTACCATCCAACTTGGCGCTCTGTGTGAACGAATCATTCGAGTACGTCAAGATTTACGACGAAAAGGCCGAATGCCACTACATTTTACTTGAGTCCTTGATCAAGACCTTGTACAAGAAACCAGCCGCCGAAAAGTACAAGATTGTCGAGAAGATCATGGGTAAGGACTTGGTTGGCTTAAAGTATGAGCCTTTGTTTCCATACTTCACCGACACGTTCAACGAGTTCGGCTTCAGAGTCATCTCTGCCGACTACGTGTCCGCCGACTCCGGTACCGGTATCGTCCACCAGGCCCCAGCCTTTGGTGAGGAGGATTTCACTGCCTGTACCGCACACGGTGTCATCTCTGAGACGAGACAGCCACCTAGTCCTATCGATGACAACGGTAGGTTTACCAAGGAAGTCACCGAATGGAAGGGTGTCTACGTCAAGGATGCCGATTCCAAGATCATCAGAGCTTTGACTGAGCAAGGCAAGATCGTTTTGGCCACCCAAATCAGACATAGTTACCCATTCTGCTGGAGATCCGACACCCCGTTGATCTACAGAACCGTGCCTTGCTGGTTTGTCAGAGTCAAGAATATTGTCCCACAAATGATAGAGAACGTCGAAAGAACTAACTGGGTTCCTTCCGCCATCAAGGAAAAGCGTTTCTCTAATTGGATCGCCAATGCCCGTGACTGGAACGTCTCCAGAAACAGATACTGGGGTTGCCCTATGCCATTGTGGGTTTCCGATGACTTCGAGGAAGTCGTCTGTGTCGGCTCTATTCAGGAATTGAGAGACTTGAGCGGCGACCAAACCATCGAGGACATCCACAGAGAAAAGATCGACCATCTCACCATCCCATCCAAGATGGGCAAGGGTAACTTGAAGAGAATTGAGGAGGTTTTTGACTGTTGGTTTGAGTCTGGCTCCATGCCGTACGCCTCCAAGCACTACCCATTCGAAAACCCGGAGAAGTTCCAAAACGGCTTCCCGGCCAATTTCATCTCAGAGGGTTTGGATCAGACCCGAGGCTGGTTCTACACCTTGACCGTGTTAGGGACTCACTTGTTCAACACCGCTCCGTACAAGAATGTCATTGTCAATGGTATGGTGCTTGCTTCTGATGGTAAGAAAATGTCCAAGAGATTGAAGAACTACCCAGATACAGCCGTTGTGTTGGATAGATACGGTGCTGACGCGCTCAGATTGTACATGATCAATTCCCCGGTCTTGAGAGCCGAGACCTTGAAGTTCAAGGAGGAGGGTGTCAAGGAGGTTGTCTCCAAGGTCTTATTGCCATGGTGGAACTCCTACAAGTTCTTAGAGGGCCAGGTCTGTCTCTTGAAGAAGTTGGAGAACATTGACTTCCAGTACAACCCCAAGTTGGTGTCTGAGAACGTCATGGACAAGTGGTTGTTGGCCTCTACCCAATCCTTGATTCAGTTCATCCACCAGGAAATGAAGGCCTATAGGTTATACACCGTTGTGCCAAAGTTGTTGTCTTTGATCGACGACTTGACTAACTGGTACATCAGATTCAACAGAAGAAGATTGAAGGGTGAAAACGGTATCGAGGATGCCACCAAGGCTTTGAACACTTTGACTGACGCCCTTTTCACTCTTGTGAGAGCCATGGCTCCGTTCACTCCTTTCTTGGCAGACACCATCTACCAGAAGTTGCAACCATTGTTCAAGACAGAGGACTTGGAAGCGTTTGCTGTCAACCCAGCCAAGGCCAAGGACATCAGATCTGTTCACTTCTTGCAGTACCCAACTGTCAGAGAGGAGTTGTTCGACCCTAAGATCGAACTCGCTGTTGGCAGAATGCAAAAGGTTATTGAATTGGGGAGAATCATCAGAGAAAAGAAGACCATCTCGTTGAAGACCCCATTGAAGTCTATGGTCATTTTACACGCGGATGAAGCGTACTTGAAGGATGTTGCTTCTTTGCAGTCTTATATTGTCGAGGAGTTGAACGTCAGAGAATTGATTCTTACCTCTGACGAGGCAAAGTATGGTGTTGAATACACCGCTGTTGCCGACTGGCCAGTGTTGGGTAAGAAGTTGAAGAAGGAAGTCATGAAGGTCAAGGCTGCCTTGCCACTTTTGACCTCTGCCGAAGTCCAAGACTATGCTGCCACCGGTAAGGTTACCGTCGCCGGAATCGAATTGGAAGCTGGTGACTTGAACGTCTTGAGAGGATTGCCGGCCGAGAAGGCTGCCGAAGGCCAGGAAGTCAGAACCGACCAAGACGTCTTGGTCATCTTAGACATCAATGTCTATGACGAGTTGAAGACCGAGGGTTTGGCCAGAGAAATTGTCAACCGTATCCAGAGATTGAGAAAGAAGGGTGGTTTGGAAGCCACCGATGATGTTAGAGTCCAGTACGAGTTGGTCAAGGACACTTTGTGTCTTGAGAGTATCATCCAGCAACATGCTGAGCTCTTGTCCAAGACCTGTAGACGGGACTTGGAAAAGTATTCTGATGTTGACGCCGCCGACATCATTGTTGATGACGAAGAGGCCTCCATCAACGACACTATCTTTAAATTAAGATTGGTCAGGTTGTAAGCTTGTTTATTTTTATTCTCTTAGAGTATTTTACATAAATAATATTGACATTTTAAAAATGAGCAGATCAAGATCCAACATTTGTAAAATTCATGTATGTAACGTAACCTTTGTTAATTTATGGTTGTTGTGGATGGAAACGAGTGAGAAATCTAAGTCGTATATGTCAAAGGTGCTGGAAGTATTATGCAGAAAGACCACTTTTTTTTTCTTGTAGGCAAATCCAAGGAGGGAATGAACCAGTCTCCCGTTTGGCCTTTGTGGAGGTATTATACTATGAGCTTTTTGCTATAACTTCAAGGTTAAATATTAATTTCTATCTAACATTTAATGGTTTAAACTTCCCATCTGTGAGGCTTAAACCGGAGGGACCAGATAAAAAATCTACGGATCTGGCGCCCGACCATTATTTTCAACGGCTGTTAAATGGCAAGATTCTCTCTCAAGACTCAGTTAATAACCATCTGAACCTAAATCAGTCTATGGGGAGGTTATAGCGTTATCGCTATCTAAATTTCGGGCCGGCAAGGTTCATCTCCGCTCTTATCTCCCGATCTGCCGGTCTCATTTCGCTCTAAAAGCTATCTCTGATCTCGCTTCCCATATTTTGCGATCGGTAAATATCTCCCATTCTGGACCGCATCTCTCGGTATTATACCTCCGAAGATGGGGGTTAGCCTGTATGCAAGCCCCCACGTCATAGCAACTGTCAGCTCGGCCATTGGATCCGCCTACTGCGCATTTCACTCACACTTACATGTGTGTGAATACACCTTCCGTTGGACGAAACGCGCTACCGTTGCTCTCTATAGTAGTGGGAAACGGTGGCGGCGCGTTCGAATGACCGCAAGCACCGGATATTTTGTCAATACAGGCCAGTTTATTTGCAGCGTGTGTGAAAAGTGGCTCACCGCGTGGGTGTACGAGTGTGAGGGACCAGAGTCAGCGAAGAGTTTAGCCGGTGTGTGCTGCAATTGTAGGAATACCAATTTAGTATCGGTGGTGCTTTAATGACGCAACGCTAACCAGACGCATCGAACCCAACACAGACCCAGGAGAGCCTGTGCAGGTCTAGCGCTATACCCTGGTCTGTAAAATAAAACCCCATCTGGGACAGTCAACTCTAATGATTCCAACCGAAAAGAATCGGTTCCAGTTCATTAAGCAGACTTATATACCAATAGTTAATGTAAAGTTTAGAGTTCGAGACTAATGTATGACCACGGCGTTCTCCACGCAGAAGATCTCCGAAAGAGAAAATGCCGTGAGCTGCTAAAAGAAAAGTTTTTCCCCACAATCTCCGTCCAGGGAATCTACAAACTTGGACTCTGTTCTTGTTCCTCCATGTTTATCAACGTTATTCTCACGGCGATAGCTGCTATAGTCACTTCGGAATATAGTCATGGGGTGTAAAATTCACGTCATGTGCTTGCTGAGCCTTAAACCTCAAAGGCTATAGCCTCCGCGGAATTATCCAAAAACCACGCGTATACTCGCCAGGCAAGCCTAAAAAGACTAGTAGATTCGATCAAAACAAGCGATCGGTATTATTACCGTTTGACCGTGATACCATCTGAGCCGTAGGTTCCATCCTTTTGGTATTTCCGAGTCAGAAAAACCCTGAGCGAACCAGCAGTATGGCGAGCGTTTTCCCCACCCGGCGTTATGACGCATCCTTGTCCATGCAACGCACCACCACAGCGTGTCACGTTACGCATAATAAACCCCGGGATAATCCTCAAGGACTTTTGTAACCAATCCAGGTCATTTTCACCTACATATCAACCCTTTGTGGCTAAACCGCTTTGCTGATAAAATTTTCGAATCTCAGCCACTCCTACATCATCGAAGAGCACCAATCGAGATAGCTCTCGGAGAACTCCTGCAGCGCGTCCTGCATGCGGAAATCATTTCGCACGATCGGGGTCGGAGCCGTGGAGAAAAAAAAATAATCTGCGGCGTGGCACATTGCATCGATATAAATATGGCGGCTTCCCCGCATGAAAGCATTTTCTTTCACCTCTACACCTCACCTACTTCCACTACTCCGTGTACACTTACATTTCACCCTATGCTTATCACAAGAACATCCCTCGCAAACGCCGTGGCCAACGGCCAGAGGCTCTACGCCAGCTTTAAGCCTGCGCCCAAGCTCAATGAGTTGGACTTAAACCCGAACGTCATTGCCGCCGAGTACGCCGTCAGAGGTCCAATTCCAGCGCGTGCTGAGGAGTTGCGTGCTATCTTACAGACTAATCCGTCTTCGTTGCCGTTCAGTACCATCATCAACGCCAACATCGGGAATCCCCAACAGTTGGACCAACAGCCTCTCACATGGTACCGCCAGGTGCTCTCGTTGCTCCAAAATCCGATGTTGTTAAAGGCCAAGCACATTTCCGACGTGTACCCTCAGGATGTGGTCAACCGTGCTGAAGATCTCCTCTCCTCCATCGGCTCTGTCGGCGCCTACTCTGGTTCCCAGGGTGTCCAGTTGCTCAGAGAGTCTGTCGCGGATTTTATTTTCCGTCGTGATGGCCACGAGGCCTCGGCCGACGATATTTTCCTCACGGGTGGTGCATCTGCCGCCGTGACTTATCTCTTGACTGCTATCTGCTCCGGCCCAGATTCCGGTGTCTTGATTCCTATTCCCCAGTACCCGCTCTACACCGCTACTTTGGCTTTGAACAACGCCACTCCGTTGCCATACTACTTGGAAGAGTCCAAGGGCTGGTCCACCAACCCAGACGAGATCAGAGAGGTCATTGTGTCTGCTATTTCTCGGGGCATCAAGCCTAAGGCGCTCGTCGTGATCAATCCAGGTAACCCAACCGGTGCCATCTTGTCCTACGATAACATTGCTGACATCATCACGGTTGCGGCCGAGTACGGTGTTATGGTTATTGCCGATGAGGTTTACCAAGAGAATGTTTTCCGTGGCGAGTTCGTCTCCATGCGTCGTGTTTTCAAAGACTTGCAAGCGGCTGAGCCGGAGTTGTACGCCAACGTGCTGTTGGCCTCATTGCACTCTACCTCCAAGGGATTTTCTGGTGAATGTGGTCAGAGAGGTGGCTACATGGAGTTAGTCAACTTTTCCGAACCCCTCAAAGCTGCCATCACCAAGTTAACCTCGATCAACTTGTGTCCTACCGTAACTGGCCAGGCACTTATCGAGTTGATGATCAATCCACCTCGTGACGCTGATGGTGAGTCCACCAAGGTATACAACCAGGAGCGTGATGCCATCATGGTGCAATTAAAGAGCCGTTCCCAAGCGTTGTACGACGCTTTCTGTAAGATGGAAGGCGTTGAGTGTCAGCTTCCAGAAGGTGCTATGTACTTGTTCCCAAAGATTACCATCCCACAAAAGGCTCAAGACAAGGCTAAAGAGTTGAACGTTGCTCCCGACGCGTTCTACTGCGCACAGTTGTTGGAACACACCGGTATCTGTACCGTTCCGGGCAGTGGGTTCGGCCAGGTTGAGGGTACCTTCCACGTCCGGACCACATTCTTGGTGCCAGGCACTGAATGGGTCCAGTTGTGGGAGAACTTCCACAAGCAGTTCATGGACGAGTTCCGAGGGTGAATCACCAGTTTGTAAGAAGAAAAATTGCTTATGGACTTTTTTGTCGGTATGGTGGTGTGTATATTAAATAAGATTTTAATATGAATTTTCTTGTAGCTTGGTTTGCATCTTAAATTTCTGCAGGGCCATTGGTGATATGGGCCACTGGTTCTTTGTTACAGATCAATGGGACTGAGACTGGAGCTTAATTCTCATAGCTTATATCATTATAGTACACAGATAATGCTGGACGGCCAACTGGTATGTATTAATGATTCTGGGACGGCGCAGGCTACGATGCCGAAGTGGATCGCTTAGGTCTATGTTTCAACGCTATCCAAAATGGAAAAGGCCACTTTTTAATGATTTCTCCTTCGGACTGTCTCTATACACGTATATTGTACATAAAGAAAAAAACAAGATCCAGATCATAGACACTGCGCGGTCCGAATACAGTAAGGAAATAATCATATTGGAGGAACGTTTCTCACTGGTTCTGCTTTCGCAGGATTGTTTTGTTAGGGGTATATCTCGTTAGACAACAAGCTCTGCTGCCTGTCATTTGGCCGGTCTTGTCACATTACGCATTCAGCAGAGAGTGCTATCCGCTACTTTAGGGCCATCTACATTCCCCATTCAATAGGTATATCAGTTTAAAGCCATATGTACATCAGTAAGGCCAGTATGCCTGTTTAAACAGACTTTGCATTTTTCGACAATGGCTTGAACTATCAGAATTAAACAGCCTTTGCCCGTAAGCCCACCCAGCTTCATTTGGTTCTAGTCGTTCTTTGGAACAGCCCCCACAAACCACCGCCCATCGTCCCAAGACACGGCACACAACGCGATCCAGGTCGGAAGCCAGCCAACAACTACGACAAGCCACGTCCAGCATCCCATGTCGTTCCACGCCGTGTCAAATAACGCCGTGACGAACGCACTCGTAGATTTGCCATCGTAGACACCACCAAGCCAGCAGACTACACCTATCACGGTAAACGGCGAGGCGGCGATTAAGGCAGTGGCATTAATATACGGCTGGAACTTGTGAATGGTGTGGACGGCAAACGGCGGAATTGGTCTGACCGCGGTGAACGGTAAGCAGCAGAGGCCGACGGTGAAGGCGAGCGAAAAGTGCACTACGAGCAACGGAGTCAAGATCACTGCGATGTAGAAGACCGCACAGGTCGTGAACATGAACGCCATAGACTGGCTCTTGAAGACGGAGATACGGAACACCCCCGGGAGGAGCACTGGGAGTAGCGGAACCACGGCAAAGGCAACAAGGAGCACATTATAGATCACGATGTACGGCACATGGAGCCAATGGTTGAGTTTATCAAGATTGCTAAACAATGTAAACGTAGCGGTAACAATGCCGATAAAGATGGCCACGGAGCTCCATAAGTACAGGGTTAGCACATCCAAGGCAATCCCACACGTCACTACGATACCCGCGGCCGCAATGGCAAAGGCAGCGCCGATGGCCACAGCCGACGGAAGATAAGTCCCGATGGAAACAAAGTTTCTGGGAGCCACGAGCAAATAGAAAAAGAACGACTGGTGGAACTTCTCCAACAAGTTGTTAACCGAGCGGAAAGTTGATTCGACAATACGGCCGAAAGTAGTAATGTCGCCACCCCCGGTACCCGGCACCGCACGCAAAGTGATAGCCTGGACGTTCCAGCCACTGAACGCCTCACAGCCCTTGTTGGTGTTGATACCCGCAAGCACCAAGCGGGCAATTCCAGAGAACAAGTTCTTCAAGCGGGAGACGTACGTGTTGCTTTGTAAATCCGTAAACAGGGTGTTCTGGATCGATACCTTACTCCCCTCGTGCTCAGCGATGTGGATGGCGGTATTAACCAAGTCCAAGTTGGGCAATTGGCCATTGAAACCCTCGTAAAAGATCTCCGTGTGCTGAAAGTAGTCCATGACACCCGGATACTCCAACACCAACGCCGCCTCCATGGACCCCGCAGTTTTGTCTAGTTTTGTGTGGTACGCCTCGACCCAGGACCGGAGCGACACTCCGCTATTATCTGCTGGGAACACCACAATGATATTCTTCGACCAGATGGACATCCGTGTGACGAAGCGTGCGAGCCCGAGCGTGAGTGCGACCCCACCAACATTAAACTCATCCGCAGATGTGATCCACGGCGCCACAACCACCATTGCCTCGGTGTCATCCCCGCGCGGTGCGTGCCAGATCGCGTACAAGTTCTCCAGCCCGTTCTTTGCCACATCCAGGAAGTCGTGGGTTGCGGTCTTGTACCCCAAATCCGTCATCCACTGCTCCACCACGCCGTTACGTTCCGCGGTAGAGAGCCCCTCCAACCGCGACACTTCCTCACGATACCCGCGGACCACGTTCCAATCGGTTTCGCGGAAGTATGCGTAAGCTTGTGCTGGCATCAAGGCGTTTTCCGAGAAGTACGTCCGGCGGTACTGTCCGTCCAAGGGAAGTGTGAAGAGGAGGAGCACCCCGCAAAACGCGGTTAGCACCGACACCAAGGGCGCCGCGCGGAGGATCTTTTTATGGACTCCCAGCTTAACGAGCTTCTTAACCAAGTCGATGATCAACGCCATGTTTGTGGTGAGTGGGAAAAGAAGGTATTGGCGTCTCCGCACATCTGTTTTGGAGGTCGAAGGCGTAGGTGTTATGATCGGGTCGTGCATTAACTTGGGCAGGACACGTCTTTTTTTGTTTACTAGGTGAGATCGGAGGTTCACGAGAAGCACGTCAATGTTCTGCCATATAACCAGTTGTCGTGTCTAAGTAATGACGTAAGGTTTATTCAGAAAGGGGGAAGTGGTGACTTATTCTAGGAGTCATAATATTTTATTTTATTTTATTTTTACCAAGGAGTTATAAGATGGACAGGGTGTATAGGTATAGATCGTTTGTAATCGTAATATCAACAGATTGGTGAGATTAAGGCCATCATTGCCCGCTGTTATGGTCCATTAGCTGGGCTCACATGTTGGTTCCACGCCTGCCTTTACTTTTTTTCTACCGTGAAATCTACTGGTACGACTGATCACCTAATACCAAGACAGTACGGATGTGCTGCTTATCTAGATTATTGTAACGACCAAGGAACTATCGGGATATAGACAGTGTAAGAGAGTGCATGTTTGGCTTCAATAGATTGGTGGGCGCTAAAACTGCATGTCGACATTCTCTTTATGGCTACGGACGAGTAACACCCAAATTGATATTATCACAGCGTGATCGCGAGCTGAATGCGTGGTATCTTGAAAAATCAACGTCTACTCTGTGTATGCAATACGCCATTGCGCTAGTCTAACCGTATACAAGCATACAAGTAATGGACCAGTCACTCTTTCTGAACGAGCGCAAATACAAACCGACCACTGATTTATAGGCCCCTAGTCTGGTCTGACTCCTTGTTAAGGGAACAGAAACATGACGGAAGCCATAAGGCGGCTCAGCCAACAAGTTCCCAAAGTAGAACCTTTGATCCCGAGTTTATCTAGATTAGGTGGCAGGAGATTGATTAGTCGCACAGTATTACAACACACAATTCTGATTTCTTTAGATTATTACAATTATTTGTAATACATTTTGGCGGTTGCAATATAATGGCTTCATCTATATTACGTCAATGTGCCAAAGATATCATAGCTAGATGCTATTAATCTACCCACACTGACATGACTAGCCCAACAAATATCCTAAACTGTAATCAGATCTCGAACTTATCTGGGCCAACCATCCGGGCCCGAATCATCCACTATACAGCATTGAATGGTCTCAATTCTGAGTACTACCCTTGCCTAGTTTAGTAATATTACTGAACCATTGGCCCAGATGACGTTTCATTAACGTATGTGTCTGGGTGACAGTCCCCGAGTAACATACCAGTATAAATAGCACATCCTCTATGGCGTTGTCTCTCTGACGCGCCATACGTATAATTCTGTATACACCTTCCACCTCCACTACAGGGAATTTTGCAATCGAGTAACGTAGATCATAAAATTAGTGCACTGTATGGTATTCCTTTTGTAAACCCCCTAATCCTCTTCATATTCTTGGATATAACATGTTATTTATGGCCCCAAACACGCCGTCCGGAAGGGCAATGCGCGTTGAGAAATCAGGGGGGACGGTTGCGTCAAAAGAAACGTGCGAGCTGAAGCCCAACGCGTCATGCGCGACTATCTAAATCCCACGGAATACTATCCTCCAAAGTTTTACTCAAACCAAAACAACAACAACTCGCGCGTGCAGGCACGCCGAACTTTTAGCGAAATAGCAAAACAAGCACCCACTACGAACCTCCACAGCCACATCCTGACACCCAAGTAATAGCATTGATCTGCGTCATTGCTGGACCTAACGGACTTCTTATCTAGGAAGTCATTGCAACACTTTATCACATCATCTGTCTGGCTATTGATCAATACTTTGCTGGAGTCAATTCTTCACCAATCACACCCCGTCATTAATTGTATCCCTTGTACGTCACAACATCTAATCCCGACGTTCGGTTCCTTGTACATCTAATCCCTTGCCCCTTATTTACATTCCATCCTTCTCCCATCATTGTTATGATTACCCGCCAGCGTCGCCACGAGAGCGACGACACGCCCAAAAAAAGCCCCGGAAACTCGCCGCAGGCGTGCACGCTCTCCAAGTCGAATTCGATTAAGCTCGATTACTATACAAATAATCAGATCTCACGATCGTTTAACTCATTGATTCTTAACGACGACGAGCCCGACGATACACCGCCGCGTGCGTTCAAACCCAAGAAGTTGTTCAACTTCTCGCACGACCTCGACGAGTACGACCACCTCCACGACTTTAGCATGACCGATAACGACTCCGACGACGAGCCCGTGCAAAGGTCCATCCGCCGCAGCAGCAAGTTCTTGGACTTGTCGCTCGACAAAGAAAACATGATTGACGAGTCGACCCCGCACAAGCCCTTTGAGGCCCATACGCCGCACCATACGTTCAAGCGGCCACACGGACTCGTCAGCCAGTCACCGTCTCCTTCGCACCTCCGGGCCAGCCCCGACTCTTGCATTAAGTCGCCGTCGCACTTCTCCGCACGGCTGAAGTTGAGCCGCAACTTGAACCACCGGCTCTTGGAAAAGAGCCCCGCGCGGCTTCGCGTATCGCCAAGCCACTTCAAAGCATCCCCAGGCCTCAAAACTTCTCCAAGCTTCAAAGCATCCCCGAGTCGCTGCAAGGTCTCACCCCACATCCTCTCGCCCAGCCGTAACATCACAAACATAGTTAGGGCCTCTCCGAAAACCGCTTCGCCATCTTTCGCCAAGGTCAAGATGCGCAAGATGCTGGTACCTCCAAACGTGACGTCTACGCCACTCTACAAGACACGGAGCCCATTCCGGCTCGGCTCACCGTCGCGGAGCTCAGTCAAAACCGCCGCCTTCTCCCTCGACGACGATCTGTTCGCCAACACATCTTTGCCTGATCGCTTTGTCGCACCGAGCTACCAGTTTGCGCGTCCACTACACTCTGCTTTTGTCTCTACAGGATTACTTAAGAAGAACGGGGTCGTCGCAGTGGTGGAAAAAGCTGTGGTGAAGCCGATGCCCGATACCCCATGCAAGCCGGGGCACCCGACCGCTGCCACCTCCTTGAACGTAGAGGAACTTGTGTCCAGCAGCTTGCAGAACTGCATTTCACAATTCACGGAGGAGTTCAACGACGACCACAGCTCTATCTTTGTCTCTGGGGGTGGAACTCCGTCCGTGAGCACCCGCAAAAAGAAGCACAAGGCGAACTCACAGCTGGATGCGTTTGGACCCCAGACCCCGACCAAGTTCTCGGTGAAAAAGTCGACGAGCGCGCCGGCATACTATCGCGAGCTATCGAACACCCCGAGCGACCCACGCAGTGCGACACGTGAGTCTCACAATGATTCACGCAACGTATCCGAGTTTCACAACGGGGAGTTCTCGCGCGCGGAGTTTGACCAGACAGGGAACACTACCGCAGATGTGTCCTTTGTTAACCCTAAGCTCTTGTTGACCGTGAATGTACCAAGCACACCGTTGCTTCGGTCACTCGGGCCGCGGACGCCGGTGGAACGCACGTTTGTGTCGAAAGCGAGTCTTGGCCATGCAAACAGCAGCACCGATTCATTCGAGCGCGAGCGCGCGGCATTTATCAATGAGTTCGGGCATCATGATGCAATACTGGCGCAGGAGGTGGACGACACGCACTTGATCGAAAAGTTCGGGGCGCGCAATTTGAAGATGTTGGGGATTGGCGAGTTTTCGCAGGTGTACGAGATCAACTTCCACAACGCGCGGTATGCAATCAAGCGGTCTAAGAAGCGGTTGGTGGGTAGGGGCGAGCGCGGGCGCTTCCTCAAGGAAATCGAGATCTTGCGCACGCTTACAGGGCTCACGGACGACGTGCAGATGGAGGACGAAGAGGGTAAGGAGTACGTGATTCGCTATATTGAGTCTTGGAACTTTGACAGCCACTTCTACCTCATGACCGAGTACTGCGAGAACGGCACTTTGTTTGATTTTTTGCAGGAGAATGTGAATGGGAAGTTGGACGAGTTCCGCATCTGGAAGATCGTGATTGAGGTGCTTACGGGCTTGAACTATATCCACCAGAACCACTTTCTCCACTTGGACATCAAGCCATCAAACATCTTTGTCACGTTTGAAGGGTCGTTGAAAATTGGTGACTTTGGGATGTCCACTGATAACCCGGTGCCTGCGGGATTTGACTTGGAAGGTGACCGCAATTACATCGCGCCCGAGTTGCTCAACGACAAGAAGTACACCCCGTTGGCGGACATCTTTTCGCTTGGATTAATCGTGATCGAGGCCGCCGCCAATATCATCTTGCCCGATAACGGGACCCCGTGGCGCAAGTTGCGCTCAGGCGACCTCTCAGATGCAGGAAAGCTATCCTCCGACAACATCCACGAGTTCTTGAGCCATAACACATTGTACAAGTGCACCAGCGCGAGTAACCCCGGACCTATTTTCTCCAACCCCGGCCCTATTTTCTCCAACCCCGAGACGGCCACGGACATTTCCTCCGTATCGACCACACCATCATCACTTTTCCCCATTGAGGAGGTCAAAAGCGGAGAGATTTCGCCACCGGCCGTTCCTAAGTGGGCACCTGAATTTCTCATCAACAACTCCATGAAGTTAGACCGGTTAGTCCGGTTGATGGTCAGCCCAAATCCTTACGACAGACCAACCGCGAAAACTATTTTGAGCACCCCGGAGTGTTTGCTCGTGGAGAGGCGGCGCAAGTCCGGAGCGTTGATCTACGAGGGCGAGTTCGGACCGAACCCGCACAACAAGTAGATGCTATTATTAAAGGTTTTTGTTTTCTGTGAATATTTATGAATGTTTTAATTTTCCTTTTCCCACTCCGGTTTCGGATTTTTATATAATGGCGGTACTGGTTTAGGACTGAAGATGTAGGTCGGAGGGCCCTTCTTGCGGGGAATAGTTAGGCTGTGGGTGCGAAGTCTGCGGTTGGGCAGATATCACTTGTGGCCAGCATTTTAATAGCGGTGATTTAATTAATTGCCGTCAATATTTTGATATGGCTAATTTTGAGTTAAGCTAACTGTTGAACATGATTTGATTAATTGTGAAGACAGCTAGGGGAGATGAAGTCTGATTAAAGCTAATAGTGAGAACCATCTATATCCTTTTCAAAGCCGTCTATTATGCCGATAACATTGTGAATTTCTGAGAGCTGGGTACACGGGTTGCTAAAGAGAAACGATGGGTGTGCCGTAGAGCATTTCTCTCTGTTTTTGTGTAACACTCATCCGTCATTCATGTAGAGTAAATATATTGACCTTAGTTCTGAGATTTCATATCCTTACAACAACTGGCTTATGGATGCATTTGAACATCAATGGTTTGCGGATAATGAAATGTTGGATGAGATGTAAGGGTGTCTGGATTAAATGAATAACAAAAAAAAAAATCAAAATGTATAAATCTACTTAAATATTGGTATTGAATCGAGTGTGTATGGAATATATTCTTATATAAATGGTAATAAATGGCCGATGAAATTGAATAATTAGTGGGGTGAAGCTAGTGAAGTACCATCCCAGTGCCTTTGTGGCTACTTCTGAGGCACTAAGCACTACACCCGTTACATCAAGGTTGTAACAAGTACTAAAAACGATAACGTTGCTTATATAATAAAATACCATAACACTATTCTAACTCCTTGCCCTTTAAATCCCCCGAATTTTTAATAATCTTACTGATATTGCAACACTCTTTTTCCCTTGTTCGTTCGTGCGTCGCACAGCGGATTATCGCGAACGCATATAACGCACCATTTGAATTCGCTTGTCACTTACCCCTATGCTCCATTTCCATTAGCCACCAATGCAAGACCTGGAGAACAAGACGGAGCCGAAGGCAGCAGCCGAAATCCCCGAAGACGTTCCCAAAAAGGTTACCGAAGGCAAGAACTTTGCAGACATCCAGACGGCAATCAAAATCAAAAAGCTGATCATCGAGAGCAACCTCCCCATCGCGGCGCCTCCACAGGCGAAGGCATCGACATCCATTCCCAAAGCGCTGATCTTTATGAACCAGCCCCATCGTGTGCTGATGTCCACGGATGATAAGGATGGTGACACAACGGTGGACAGCGTGAGCGACGCGGTGGACCTCGCGGCAGGCGCGCGAGTGGTAACAAGCGGCGCGCGGATCGCGAGTGTCGCACCGAGTTTAGCGAATACACCGCTACTCGGCATGGAGGACGTGTCATCGCTCAAGGTGCAGAAAGGGAAGGCAAATATTCGCACGGACTTTTTCGCGGCGCGACTCGCAAGCGCGGTCGACGACGTCGAGACCTCCGACAGCGATGAAACGTTTGTGTACGAGAATAGCTCGTTTCCGAGTGCCGAGCCGAAGCTGGAACGACCAGATGATATCAACCGCAATGTCAGTGGTATCGGGACGGTGGACGGGTCGGACGAGGACGAGTACGAGCGCGACGACACGAGTGTCACGTCCGCGCGCCATTCGTCGCGCGACCTGGTACACATAACTTCATCGCGCGACCTGGTCGCGATGACTCCGATACATGAGCCCGAGCCCGTCAGCACGGTGATTCTCCGCAAGATGAGTGGGGCAAATATCCGGCCCGTAAAGCATGATCCGAGTCGTGCCGTGAAGCTGCATGACCCGAGTCGGGCGAGTGAGGCGAAGCCGAGCCACGGCGATGCCAACAGCATTGTCGACCGCCGTTCCGTATACAGTAACATGCACCGAGCCGGATCCATTCACCTGATTCTCCAAATGACTGAACCGGAGCTCCAACGGGGGTTGGCGTTCCGGCTGACCGGAGAGGTAGATGTCCGACCGGAAAAACTGGATGAGCCTGTCAAGGCAAAGCCCGAGAGAGAGTTTGATACACTACAAGATTATTACGAGTCCTCCAGTGGGTCATCAGAGGAAATCCCACGCTACACGTATCCCACCACCGACACGCGCAAGGAGCGCAAGAAGCGCTACGTACAACCGACACAGCTACGCACAACCACCTCAAAGGTGTTTGACCGCAAAGGCTCGCAGCCGCGTCGTTACAGCATCATTCCCGATAACGTCGATATTGAAGACTTTGAGGACGAACTCATCTACTACGACAGCTACAAGAACCGCACAAAGGCGAACGAGACCACGCAGTTACTCAGCGGCCACCGCAGACAAAACGACTACCAGCCACGAATGGCAAAACATACAAAGATATATCCGGAGTACAACGGTACACAGGAACACTACACACGCGTATCGCCGCACGAGGCGCAGTCCCCGCAATCGCGCCACTCGCGCGGGCTCCACTTTGCTCTCCCGCGCGTTAAGTCTGGCGATATGCCGTTTGGGTACGCGGAGGAGGAACGTCTCAACAACCTCAAATCCATGATCTACACAGTGGTCGGGATCTTTCTCCTCCTCTCGATCGGCTTCATCAGCGGCTTCCTTTTGGCCACGCTGAAGGACTTGCAGCACGTGCACATATTCGATATTTCACACGTGGTGGTCAGCCAAGACGAGTTAGTGTTCAACATGTGGATTGAAGCCTTCAACCCGGGCTTTTTGAGTATAGATGTGAGCGAGGCTACCTTGGATATCTTTGCCAAGTCTGAGTATGTGGACGATAAGAGGAACGGTGTGGAGACGATTTTGCTAGGCTCGATTGATGAGTTACTGTCATCCTTGAGCTTTTCCGGGGGCTTCTTTAACCGGCGGGCCGTACAGGGCCTCGCGGAGGTTAAGTTGTTGAACCCGGGACAAAATGTGACATCAGCGGAGGAAATAAGGGAGGGAGAATTGTGGAGGGAAGAAGGAGGGACCAAATGGAGCCGCGTAGCGAAGCATCCGTTTGACTTGATCGTCAGCGGCGTGTTGAAATACAAGTTACCATTGTCATCTGGAGCCTTGCGCTCTGTGGTGGTGAATAAGGTGACCAGGTTTGACCCAGCGGATATGTTAACGCAATAGTGCTTGAATTTATGCAGTATGAGAGTTGTTCACCTACTGGTAGCTGTTGACGTTATGAAGCTATAATGAAGTACTCATATTATGTGTGTTTGTGCATAAGTACATATATATCGCTACCTGAACGATTAATTCTAATATTAAAGGTAAAATCTTGTCCTGTCAGATTTAATCTACATTGCAAATTAAGTTTTATTAATTATATTTGATACAACTAACATATATATGCATCTTTTTAAAACTAGTTATACTTTAAACATAACTTGTTTGATACAAGTACCTCTCGTATCGGAGTACCTCTATGTATATGGGGCAAGCTATTAATTATGTACTCACTGATATCTAAATATATGTATATGTTACGTATTTTTGGCACTACCAATTCCCAATGTTACCTCCTTACTCACATACCAGTACTTGTATTGATAGAGGGTCACATCGCTCGAATTCCGTTAAATACCAACACAGCTCTGCATGCTTAAGCACAGCCACGTCCAGATCTCTGCCCCAATCACGAATACTATCCGTCTTAATCAATACATAAGATCCGCTTTCCATGCCAGCACAACGGGTGGAATTTCTTTTTAGTTTATATGCACCGCCTGCAGGAGACATGTTAACGTACCATCTAAAGATCTCCCTGTGTTAATAAACCCACTATAACGCTCCAGAGACTGTAATACTCAGGGCCCTGAACATGAAAAGGGAGAAAAAAAGAAAAGATCAACCTCTATTTTAAACCTATCGAACCCCTCCATTCCTCTCAACCTAGCTTATATTCTCCAAGTGGCAGAGTGTCACTGGTTCTTTGGAGACGCGCCGCACTTCCACGTGACTGCCATCTTATGAAAAAATTTTTGCTTTAAATTTTTCACTAGCGATATGATAAATACACATCCGCTCTACTTATTTTCCTTCTCTATCTACTACACACAAGATGGACCAGCAATACCTTTCCTCCTTGGAAGAGACTTTGAAGCTCATCACGGTGCCAGATTCTGCGGTCATTAAGGCCGCATCCGCCAAGCTCTCTTCGGAGTTCTACAATAACGACTTGGCGCTTCCAACGATGGTGCACATTTTGCAGAACCACCAGGACGCGCAGATCCGCCAGTTGGCGGCGGTAGAGGCCCGTAAATTGGTTATCTCCAAGTGGGCCACCGCTAATGCCGGTATGAAGACGCAGATTCGCGACTCCATTTTGAAGTCCACCTTTGTCGAGCCAAAGAAGCTCGTTCGCCACCAGTCCGCCAGAGTGGTCGCCACCATTGCCGACATTGATGTGCCAGAGAACCAATGGCCATTATTGATGGAGGGCTTAGTCGGTGCTGCTACCTCTGAGGACGTCCAGTCCAAAGAAATGGGTCTCTACATTCTCCTCACCTTGTTGGAGACCTCTGGTGCCATCTTGATCGAGCACGTGAACGTGTTTTTGGGTCTTTTCTCACAAACCTTGGTCGACCCATCGTCCAAGGACGCCCGTGTGACCTCCCTTCTCGCGCTCGACGTCATTGCGTCCTTTGCGGATGAGATGGATGAGATTCCAGCCTCCATGTCGGCCACCTTCAAGACCGCCATTCCACACATGGTCAACGTGTTGAAGGACGTTGTCTCTCAGGATGATTCTGACTCTGCCAAGCAAATTTTCAACGTGTTCAACAACCTTCTTTTGGCCGATTCCAAGATTGTTGGCGACTCGCTTGTTATGTTGGTGCAGTTCATGTTGGAGATTTCTCTCAACACCCAAGTTGACGTAGACTACCGTGTCATGGCGTTGCAGTTCTTGATCTCTTGTGTTGGCTACAGAAAGGGGAAGTTGTCCTCTAAGAAGCTTGGCCCGGAGTTGATGCTCGCTGCCTTGAAGATCGCCTCTGAGGAGATCGACGTGGACGAGGAATTGAACACGGAGGACCAGGAGAATGAAAACGAAGAATCGGATCCTGTTACCTTGGCTTTGAGATTCATGGCCAACTTGGCTACCGAATTACCGGTTTCCCAGACCATCACCCCATTGTTTGAAAATCTTAATGCTTTCCTTTCCTCCTCCAATCAGTTTGAGAAGAGAGCAGCGCTCTTGGCACTTGGGGTCACCTCCTCTGGTGCCCCAGACTACTACTCCACACAATTGCCCAAACTTATCCCAGTCATTGTTTCCGGTTTGAAGGACAATTCCTTGGTAGTTCGTGTTGCTGCCTTGAGATGTCTCGGGCAAATGACCTCCGAGTTACAGGATGTTATCGCTGAATACCATGCCGAGCTTTTGCCATTGATTATCGCCATCATTGACTCAGCCACCAATGTCAACGTTTACAAGTCCGCCACCTATGCCTTGGACGCGTTGATCGAGTTTATGAACCATGAAGTCATGGGCCAGTACATGGAGCCGTTGATGAACAAGTTATTCCACATGTTGCAATCCGCCCAGTCAGCCACCCTCAAGTCTGCAATTGTCTCTGCTATCGGCTCTACCGCCTACGCATCCGGGAAGATCTTCACCCCGTACTTTGCGCAGTCCATCCAGTTCCTTGAACCATTCATCGCCAACGCGGGAAACACTGAGGGTTTGTCTGAGCCCGAGATTGAGTTGCGCGCCTGTACGTTCGAGAACATTTCCACCATGGCACGCGCTGTAGGCTCAGAACCGTTCGCGCCATACGCGACGCCGCTCCTCGAAGCCGCTCATCTCTCCGTTAACTCCTCCAACTCGCGTATCAGAGAGTCTGGGTTTGCCTTCATCCACAACATGGCCAAGGTCTATGGCAAGGAGTTTGCGCCGTTCCTCGAGTCCATCATTCCAAAGATCTTTGAGTGTCTTCAGCAGGATGAGTTCCAGTTCAACCCAGAGGATTTGGAGAATGAGGAGCTCGACGAAGCTGACTTGGCTGAAAAGTTCACTGTCCACACCGGTATCACCATTGAGAAGGAGATCGCCTCCATTGCGTTGTCTGAGTTGGCCATGGGCTGTGGCAACGACTTTGGCACCTACGTCGAGCCGTCCTTGACCATCCTTATGGACCAGGTCGAGAACTCCTACGGGATGCGCGAGGCCGCCTTAAATGCCTGCTGGAAGATTGTTGACGCGATGCTCGCGGCCAACACCACCCCAAAGAGCTTCCCAATTGGTGCTCCACAGGGCTCTTACGTCTCTGAGTCGCTTTTGGCCATTATCAAACCGGTTAGAGCACTCTCCATGGCCACCTTGGACGCGGAATTCGAGATCGGCATGGTCGCGACCATCCTTGACAACATTACCGATTTGCTCAAGAAGTATGGTGCGATCATTGTTACCGATAACGGCGACTCCGAAGAGTTGCAACAATTGTGCGAATGCCTCATGATGCTCTTGAAGAAGGAGCACCCATGCCAGGTTGAGGACGAAGACATGCCGGAAGACGAAGAAGACGCCTCTGAAACCGAAGCCATGATGGTTGAAACCGCCTTGGAGGTCTTGGTTTCCTTCTCAAAAACCCTTGGAAACGACTTCAACCAGATCTTCCCACCGTTCAAGGAGATTATCTTTGCCCAGGTGACCGCCTCTACCAAGAACTTGCGTGTCTCCGCTTGCGGTGCCTTGGCTGACATTGCCGCTGGCTTGAAGGACTACAACCAGGACGTTGAGGCCATGATGAACGCGTTTGTTGACAGATTGACCCACGATAAGTCTATTGATGTCAAGGGTAACGCTTCTTACGGTGTCGGCCTCATCATCGAGAGCACCTCTCAGGATGTTTCCGCTGCCTATCCGCACATCCTCCAGTTGCTTTCCAAATTGTTGTCCAAGGCCGACAAGAAGGCCGACTCGGATAACGAGGAAACCAGAGATGTGGTTAACAGAGCATTCGCTAATGCGTCTGGCTGTGTGGCCAGAATGGCGCTCAAGCACCAGGCCGCCGTCCCTTTGACTCACATCTTGCCTGCGTTGTTCTCCCACCTCCCATTGGAGACCGCATTCGAGGAAAACTCTCCAATCTTCAGACTCATCATGAGCTTATACGAGCAGAACTCCCTGGACATTACTCCGTTCACCCCACAGGTCGTTGCGCTCTTCGCTGAGGTCTTTAAGAAGGAGAACGCCAGAATCAAGTTGGTCAGCGAGGCCACCTTGGGCAGAGAGGAGGGCGTAGAGAGACTCAACCAGTTCGCCTCTCCAGAGGAGAAGGTCAAAGTCATCGAGTTGTTGAAGTACTTGGACGGCAAGTTTGCCGGCGTTGTTTCCCAGAACGAGACCCTCAAGGCTGTCATCTAAGCTTTGTATAGTAATTAACTGTTGCCTGTATATTTAGCAGTGATGCCTATGTGATGAGGCGAGCTCTGCGTTTTTGATACCATAATCTATTTAATGTTTAATATGTGTAGAAAGTAGGAGACAAGGTGACTGAATTCAAGCAGAATCAAGTCTTTGGTGGGGGATAACTGAGGTAGAATGCATTGAGAAAAGCTTGGGAAATTAACATGACGGGTTGATGGGGGTAGAATTGGATGGGAATACATTAATTTGGTCGAAGAGTATGCTTTCCAGTTGGAGCGACACATACCAACTTTACCCTAGATATCTTTATTGTATATGAAAACTAGCTTTACGTCTACTTTTAACAATAATACATATCAGTGGCAGTGAAAGTCCCATTTTGGCAATTCTGTTACTTTTTGGAGGGTGCTAGAGCATATGGCACGATGGGTGGACCTCACGATATACATGTCAAGCTCAAACTCCGCTAGGTCTCACCTGAACACTATCATTTGTATATATCTCTTTGATTCCAAATTCAGGTCTAAACACAATTTATGTCGGGTATACCACCTCAGAGTCGTCTTTGAGTTTGCATTACTTCCGGCCCTCTTTCCCCTGAAGGGCTGCCAAATTCCGCCGTAGTTTCGCATAAATGCAAGCATGTGTGAACATGTGCAAACATATTCACGATAACAACAGCAAAATTTACTATAACCCTTTCCAAGACTTGCTATCAAGGTATTTCCAGGAAGAAGGCACAGCATCGGGCCCTTTTTATCGTTCGATACCAAATTCATACACCGTTTTATCTTTCTTTCTCCCGTAATCAAGGCCAACCCTGAAGACTCCGAAGTTGCCACTTTTCTTATGCACATTCGGAGGCTGAGGCTCTACCCCAGAGTTTGTGCCAGACTCACGCTGTAGGGGGATAAACTAACGAGACTTACACTATAAATAATCACCTAAATGTATACCCCAAACCATTGTATACTTTCAATATTTTTTTATATTTCAATATTGTCATCAGCTCCGTTACAAGTCTCGCCGTCACCGTTCTTGGTGCAATCGGGAACTTCGTTCCGGGCAGCCGGCCTACCAGGGCTCACAACATACACCCCCTCCATCAATTCCGGAAAAAAGAGGGGTTGCCCTATCTGATAAAGACACCCAATTGCTCTCCACGCTTGACAATAATACTATTTAACAGCAAACATAGCAATGTCCGAAGAACACACGCAGTACGCATCGACAATTCTTGTCTCGAAGCTGCCGGTGGAGACGAGTCAGTACATCGGCCTCCGCTTTCAGGCCAACAACTTGTTCAACGACGAGCTTATGAGGTTACTTAGTGATTTAAAGACCACGGAGGACCGCTACGCGAGTGACTTGCAGAAGTTGCTCAGTCGCGGCTCGGGTATCAGCACCGCTGCGCGTGCGCGCTTGGGCGTCGCGGATGACATGGACGTGGTTGGGCAGGTGGCACCGCTCTGGAACTCAGTTTTGGCTACGCTCGGAGCGAAGGTCGAGACTGCGGAGCACTTTTCCGCGACGTTACACCGCGATGTGCTCCATGAATTGAACAACTTTTCACACCGCGACGCACGCCACAAGGAGACGGGAAAGTTGGTCAACACGCTTGCGACCATGGCCACGCGTCTCGAGCAGCCGCGAGGGGAGCATGGCACAAAGGACGAGCGCGACTGGTCCTCCAAGGCTCCGTACATCTTGGAAAGCTTCGAGAACTACGACCTCATCCGCTTGAGCGTGTTGCGTGACGTGTTCTTGAAGATGCAGACCACGTGGGGCGACCAGCTGGGCGCCATCATCAAGGCTAGCGAAAAGTCCACCGAGTTGTTGTTGAACTTCGATCCCCACGACGAAATCGTGCGCTTCAGCGAGTTGGCTATCAGTACATCGCTTTCCGCCAGAGCTCCAATGGCGTCCCCTACGGCCAACAGCTTTGGTGGTCGCGTTGCGTCGACATCTAGCATTGCCACCACCGGAAGCCCCAACAATCCGAGCCAGTTGATGAACGGTTTCACCGGTGCGCCCCAGAAGTCCCAGAACAGGCTCAAATCCAAGGTCGGCTCTATTTTTAGCAGAAAGAAGAAGGACAAGAAGGGCAGCGCGTTGCAGGAGGTACCGGAGACTGCCCGTGAGCGAAGCGACCCTGTTCCAGCTCTTAGTCGTACCCTGTCCGTCGCTTCCACCAGAAGACATCAGTCAAGGGAACAGAGCAGCCAGAGAGAGTCAACAAGGGAGAACAGGGACCAGGGCTTCAGAGAGCAATCCTTGAAGGACCAGAGAGAACCGAACAGAGAGCAAGCTTTGAGGGAACCGGAGCTGCGCCAGAGCTTTGGCAAGGCGTCTTCGGAGAGAGGGAGCTTTGCGCCGTTGCAGCCTACGATTAAGATGGTGAACGACCAGAAAGCACTTCCAAACCCGGTACCTGCGCAGCCGCAGCCGACGATTCTCCCTGTGGAGGATTCGCAACTGTTCGAGGTCAAGCGCTCCAGTATTGCCCAAGCGCCGGCCCCACCGCCAGCTAGAAAGAACACTATCAAGCTGGATGGCAGCCATGTCTCTGGAGATCGTAACGTGGACCATAGTGTGGACCGTAGTGTCGTTGGTGAGACAAATGACTTGCGTGACATTTCAGCGAGCGAAGAAGACACCTCGGTTGGGGAATTGCCCTCCCGGATCAACCTCCAGAAACGTAAGGAGATCCATTCCACGCTCTTCCACGACCTCCCGGCCGCCAATCCAACTAACCGCGATTCTGTCATGATTTCGAGACCACCGTCAATCTCTACGTCCGGGCTTGTCTCCCAGAACACCGGCTCCACTTTGCTCAGCAAGCCGGCGATGTTCTTGCACAGCACCTTGGACATTGAGGGGTTGAGCGCGAGCGTCGCAGAGGTTGTTAACGCATCCTTTAAGGAGGGCGTTCAGGTGAAGGCCCAGACTATTGGCGAGATTGCCTTCTGTTACAAGGGTGAGATACTTCCGCAGTCGCTCAGGTTGCAGTTTGACAACTTTGCGGGGTTGGGCCAGACCTTAGTCAACCCACAGCTCTTGCACCAGGTTTCCGACCACGAGTTCTTGATAGACCCGGCGCTGATCCACCTGCGCAGTCTTGGGGCGTTGAAGTACCAGTTGAAGTCGGATGTTGCGGTGGCACCAGTCGTGGTATTGCCTGTGTGGCGCTTCGAGGCCCACCAAGCGAGCGTCATGTTGATGGTCAAGTTGGCCCCTGAGTTTGCGGCCAAGGTGCCGGAATCTGGTGTCACTTTGCACAACTTTATCGTGTCTGTGTCCATTGCTGGGGCGCCCACCTCCTCCGCTTCCTCTAGACCACAGGGCTCGTTCAATAAGGAGAAGAGCAGGATTACCTGGAAGTATTCCGAGCCTCTCACGTTGTCTGCGACTAAGGAGGAGAGACTTGTCGCGCGCTTCATGACCGACGGCTTGACCCACGAGGGTGAACATGGCGTGCAGATCAAATTCAGTTTGAGCTCCGAGGACTCCCCAAACAGCTTGGGCGGAAACGTTCAAATGGCTAGCGCCGTCGTCACGGACCAGGGAGAGACCTCGTTCGCTGTCGTTCCAAGTTACACGTCCGTGTGTGCCGGTAGCTATAACGGATTTGCCTAGCTTTCTGGTCATCCTTTATAATTTGATTTCCATCTTTGCTTTATGATTGTTTATGTTTGATTTCCAGCCGGGTTTCCGCCTTTTGTATTACTCTGTTATTTTTTTAAAAAAGTAAAAATTAATTTCTCCTCGGTGATGTAGAGTCAAGGCTGTTTCCCTGTATCTGTTTGAAAGCTTTCCAGGAGATGGGGTTTTGCCAGTACGTGAAAGTAAAAAAAGGTTGAAGCCACTGTGCCACAGTCCAATGGCTTTACCGGAATTTAGCCTCTAGCCCGTGAGCAATATAACTAAACGCCAAGTGTAAGTGTATACGGCGATATATTGACACCCCACAAAAAGAGTATTGCAGTCTCTGATTTAAATACACAGGTCTTCCCTAACTCTTGTCAATCATTCTATTCTATATTCTGTCTTTTTCTTTGTTTTCTTACGGCATTTTTTAGATACCAATACAATCATTAAACACCGGTAGATGTGCTTAATGCGTGTATTTCTTACACAAACAGTATGCATATGCATCTCAATTCTAGGGCCTAACACAAAGGGAGTAATGAAGCCTCTATTCATCAAGTCGAGCCACCATATCGCCACTGCAGAAGATATAAAAATGGCAAGTTAAAAGCTCTGGTGCTGCTTTTATGTGCCAGCCCTCTCAACGATGGACTGAGCACCACTTTGCTATCTGATATTGCTCACCGTTTACTCAAAAGAAAAGAAATAGCAATGAGTAAGCATTCTATTCAATGCAGCAGAATTACGGAAACTAACACTTATAGTACAATGCTTTATAAATATACTACTCATGGGGAAGCATATCGTGGACTATTTTGTTCTTTACTTCCTTGGGTTACTCGGGGCGTGGTTGTTGCTTGACATCGTTGGGCTAGTTGCACCAAGGAAGATTGCGGGAATCCCCAGTATTCCGGGCTATCCTATCGTGGGAAATCTCTTTCAGCTACTTGAGAACGCTTCAAAGACATATACTGGTTGGTCGGAACGGTATGGAGACGTATATCAGGTGCGTATGGGAGCGCATCGTTTTTTGGTTATCAACTCATTCGAGGAGGTAAAGCAGTTTTGGATCAAGAATTCCTGTGAAAACAATTCTAGGCCTGTGTTGTACACTTTCCACAAGATTGTCTCCAAGACCCAGGGTTTTACCATCGGATCTACTCCCCAGGGACCCAGATACAAAGTGATGAAGAAAACAGTATCTACTGCGTTGAACAAGAGGAACGTGTCTATTCTAGCACCTGCGATAGATGACCAATCCCGTGCCGTCATCCGATTTATAGTCGAGACCATGAAACAGAAACAGCCCGTGGAAACCGATTTAATGAATTGTTTCCAGAACTTTGCCTTGAAGCTCAGTATCTACATGGCATATGGGATTGTTCTCGATACTGAAAACCGGGATCGGGAGTTGGCCCAGGAAATCATCAAGATAGAGAATAAAATCATCAACTTGCGAAGTCAGACCTCTAACTTGGAAGACTACCTCATCTTCTTGCGGTACATTCCACTTATCAGACTGACCGAAGCCGCTGCGAAGTACAGACACAGGCGGGATGTCTACATGGACAAGTTTCTCTTTGATTTGAAGCAAAGAATTCTCGCGGGGAACCAAACAGACTGTCTTGTATCTCAGATCCTAGGAAACCCCGTTTCCGGCATCACTGAATCTGAGTTAAAAAGTATCTGTCTTACTCTTGTCAGCGCGGGGTTGGATAACACGCCGTACACGTTGAACCACTGTATGGGCCACTTATCCCAGCCAGTTACGGGGGAAAAATTCCAAGCCTTGGCCATAAAAGAGCTAGAGAATACTTATGGTAACTTGAAAAAGGCTTGGGAACAGGCCCCCTACGGCGTTTCCTGCGACTACATCGTAGCCCTCTTGAACGAGACGTTAAGATATTTCACGGTGCTTCCACTTTCCCTCCCACGAGCCACATCTAAAGCTATCATATATAAAAACAGCGTTATTCCCGCAGGAACTTACTTGATCATGAACGCGTACCAGGCCAACCACGATCCCAACCAGTTTAGCGACCCCACCCAGTTCCAGCCCCTGCGTTTCTTGGATGGAGACAACAAATTGCACTTCCGAGAGAGCGAAGGAACACTCCATTTTACTTTTGGGGCTGGGTCACGGGGTTGCTCTGGGAAACACTTAGCCTTTCAGGAAATGTACACACTTCTTGTACGCGTGCTTATTGCCTTTAAGGTGACACCACCACAGAAGAGTGAGGAATTGATGTTGTTAGACCCCTTTGAGATGAACCAAAGAAAGGGAGCGGTTTCGTTTGAGCCTCGGCCGTTTAGATATGGCATACAAATACGGGATCCTGAGCTTTTACAGGGCTTGGTGAATCCCGAGCTGGAGTGAGCTCGAAACCGTCCTGAATTTGGTATTTACATATTAATTCACGAGAAGCCGCATGGTATAAGTCATGTAGGTGTGAGCGAAGAGTGAGACTGTGCATATACCTAGGCAGACATACCAATGGAATGAGCGACGAAGAATTACCTGGCCCAACTCTGAGACCAGGGAATATGAGCAAACAATCCGACAAAAGTTGTGGAAGTTAAGGCTAGTGGATCCTTGTTGGAGGGTAACCGTAAACTACAGCCACTGGGACGTTATCCAGACGAATATAATTCTCAATGCTTTCGGATACGGTTCAGCAAGGGGTAAATTATAGCATATAGCCTTACGAAATGCATTCTCGTAAGGAGCCAATCCCCATCCCGATTATGACACGGTTCCATAGAGTCTTAGGGGTGTCCATACAGATTTGATACCCTATATGGTTTCAATAGGCACACAGCCCCAAAAGGCCATTGAAAAAGGCTATCTTAGGCAAACTTGACGCTGACACGGCCTCATACGGCCTCTGCGGACGTTTATGATGTCACAACAACCAAATTCCAATACCAATCTCCCATAAAGGCCGTTTAGATCGCCCGATATATCTCAATAGGCCTCTGGTTACGCCTCTAGACGGGCTTTCGCCTTGGACTCGGCGGACGCATCTGCCATTTGCCGCTGGAACTCTATGGGCGTTCCCGGAGAGCGCACCGACACTCCAATTTTCTCCGCCCATTCCATCAACTGGAAGATGAGGCCCATGTTCGGGGCAATCAGCGGCGCGCTCACCTTCAACATATTGTAGCCTTCGTTGACGCCGATCTTCAAGTCGTACATCAAATACGCGACGATCAACGACGCGCTACGCGAAACACCACACTGGCAGTGGATCAACACCTTCTTCGAGGCCGCCTTCGCCCCTCGGCCTGCGAGCTGGGTGTCCAACGGATGGAGATACTGGGAAATCATGGCGGTCAAGTACACAAGATCCGGTACAAGCTTCGAGTTGTGCGACCACGGAATAAAGATGTACTTCGCATGGCAGCGGCTATCGCGCGCAATATCCTTTGACAAATCCTTCAACTCGCGCGCGACGTTGATAATCAAGTCGAATTCGCGCGCCTGCTCAAGCGTCGGCTCTGAGTAGAGGAACAAGTTGGGCTGCACCTCTAACGGACCATCAGGGTACGCATTCAAGCGACTTTCTTCCGCCGTGGGAAACTCACTAAGATTGAGTGCGCTGAAGTTGGTAAGGATTGTCTGTGGGTCGTTACGCGCGGCGAAGAGTTTGGCCGACGATTGGAGCACGGAGCTGCGTGTGTCGAAGTACGACTCTTCGAAGTTCACCACAGGCGTTAACACGCTGAGAGGGGGCGCGGAGTCCATCGTGGAGGGTGCAGACTTAGGAAGCATCGTCTCGGGTTCCTTCTCGCCCAGCTTCGGGATTGATAGCGTTAAGGTTGTTTTGCGTGTGAGCGGCGCCGGCCGCGGGTTTCCGTAAAGGCTCAGATTTTTGACCTGAAATGTGTCGCATGCGGGTGGAGCGTTAGGTGTGTCATGAGCAGGGGTAAGAATGGGAAACGTATTGCGGGTAGGGGTTTGGCTGCTAAATGTGTTCCGTGTGGGGGTTGGCACAATAAAATGGTTCCGTGTGGGAGTTGGCACCGGTATCGTTGGGGCTAAAGAGGGATAAAAGGGAGAAACAGAGCCAGCAATAGAAACGCTAGAAATGGTGATATCAACGGGGCTATTAGTGGGGATATGATTGGCAACAGAGCTAGAGGAATCAGCCGGATGGGGATTGGCCACTGAAGTAAAAGTGGTCGCGGCCGTCGCAGTGGCAACAGGAATATCAGGACTCTCACTGCCAAGTTTCAACGAAAGGTTCTTGGTGTTTCGGAACCTCCGAGGGGACACAGTTCGATTGGTCATGGCTGGGTATGGGAACATCTCTGGTGGTGGATCGTTAGCTTGCGATTTTTATTTTTCTGTGACTTAGCGTCTAAATTGAGGGTTAGGTGTGCGCGAAAGGCGGGCCGAGGAGAGAAAAAGAAAAACAGGGGAACCCTCCAGGCAAATAAGCCCAGTTTAAACTGATCTAGAGGAATCACAAAATGAAATAATTACTACGGTGGATTGCTAAATATAGGTGTTGACGGTTTGATGCGTGCATTAATGCGCATGTGTGACGTCTAGACAACGCGGCAGGATAGTAGAAGGGTTTACCATATGGTCTATAGGGCCACTATGTATGGAACTTGGCGGATGTGTCCTGAGAGAAGCCTATATCTTATTACTATAGAAGAGCAATAGACCCGACTCAAAAGTCCAGAGAAGACAGTAGAAGGGATCAACTGGAGAAAGTAACTTGAAGAGTATGGTCTGTTCGATGGAGAGTAAAGAATGTGTAGAGTATGGAGAAGGCGATTAAGTGTAATGAAAATGCTGTTCATACAACGTATAAAGATAACAGAAGAACAAAGGGTGTTTGCTTCACCTAAGGTTTCTTGCTACATTTGAATGCTTAAAAAATAACATTACTTGAAAGATACATAAAGGAAATAAATAATATGTGCAAATATTAATACTCGGAAGGAACCCCACATTTTTGAGAGCCAGGGAGAATATGGGAGGATACGACACATGATTAGAAGCAGAGTTCTAGAAAGAAAGAGGCGTGCTGGGGGGAAATGTTTCCAGCACATGCAACGGTGAGAGTCACGCTGGATGCGGTTTAAATAGGGGGTAGGGGACGGTTTAACGGTATGGAGCATCGGCATCCAACGCGTATTGGACCTCCTGTTCCCACTTGTCACCGTTAGCTAACAACTTTTCCTTGTTGTACAACAACTCTTCTCTGGTCTCAGTGGAGAACTCTGCGTTTGGGGTTTCGACAATGGCGTCGACTGGACAGGATTCCTGACAGTACCCGCAGTAGATACACTTGGTCATGTCGATATCGTACTTGTAGGTTCTTCTGGAGCCGTCGACACGCTCTTCGGCCTCGATGGTGATGGCCTGGGCTGGACAGACGGCCTCACATAACTTACACGCGATACATCTCTCTTCGCCGGATGGGTATCTTCTTAAAGCATGCTCACCTCTGAATCTTGGGGAGATTGGACCTTTTTCGAACGGGTAATAGATGGTGTATGGTGCCCTGAAGAACATTTCCAAGGTAATGTACATACCCCTCAACATCTCAGACAACAAGAACCACTTGGTGGCCTTCTCCAAGGCGGACTCACGGTCTTCTTCCCAAGTCCTCTGTCTTGGGACTCTGAACCCCTTAGGCCAGACGGCGGATGGGGTACCAGCGGTGGCCAAACTGTTGGTCAAGGTCGGCAACGAGGTCTGAAGGAAACGACGGCCGGTGATTGGCTTCAAAGTGCTCAATGCTAATGATCTGGCGAACATCTTTATATATGTGAATGTGGTGATAATTTAATATTCCAACACTGAACCCGGAGACCTGCGTATGATAAAGGGTGCTTGTTTTGATCAACCTTCGAAGCGCTGTATCGGTACTAGGCGTCGGCGCTCACATAGTAGACGTTCGAATTTTTTGCTAAGACGTACTGGATTACTATGTAACAAAAACGAGACGGTTATTGGTCAAAAGAAATATACCGCATTAGGCTGCATTCCCGATTTGGTTTTTGCACGAGCGAGAAGCAACACTCCGCGTGAGATTGAGCGGAGCGGCAAGTCTATGCCTTGACTTAGAATGCTGTCGAGTAAAACAATTTATTTCCAAATAGTTATGGCGACGTACGAAGAGATAGGGGTCTGATGACTCCGATTAGTGTTTAGGGCCATTGATCTCAATACCAGCTTTGCATACAGCGAAATCTTGTTGCGAGGGGACCCCATACGAAGCGTGAATAGCCATAGAAAACTGGGTTGCTTTTGAGCATTAGCTATTACCCGGGGAGTAGTGTCTCGTACTATATCATCAAGCTTTTTGCCCCATTATATAGTAGACCATCAACAGGAAAGATGTGCAACAAGCTACAATGGTAAGGTCAACAGTTATAGCACCATTGGTGGGCGGTGAGGCCTCCATAATATTTCCTACTGGTGTAAAGCACAACCAAAAGCCTTTGAAAGGTAGGCCAGCCTTCGAAAAGCACTTTTCCAGAGCCCTTCTGAGGGGAGAGTGTTAGAGTTTACTGGCTTACAGTCTTTCCTTTCGAACAAAATTCATAATACAGACATAACCTCGCTATTGGAGGCCAGCGACGAACCCAAAACCATTACCATAAATTGAAGCCCACGATTAAGACAACGCGGGTTTTTTAAAACTATAAGCCCAGAGAAAGAGAAAAAGTATAACATCATAAAATCGTAACTGATCATGGTTATGCAAATATCCTCTTCAATTTTTGGGTAAAGGTTCTCTTAAAGCCAGTCGAGACGCGTTGGGATTGCACTGGAGAAACAAACCCAGAGATGGAGGCCTTTCCAGCCACAGGCAATGTCGTTTCTTTATTAAGCTGTGAGTTGACAGTAACAGCGCGTTTAATGACATCAGGCTTTTTGGCCGGCGGATCGTGGACCGATTTGACGGGGGAAGAAACCACCACGGGGGAGTGTTTTGTTACGGGGATGGAGTTACCAAAGAAGATCCTCGATAATCTGCTGTTCTTCCGTTTTTTGGACTTGCTTCTCTTTAACTCAGCTACCGGAGCTATGGCAGGAGCCTCAGGGACAATTTCTGGTAAAGTTGATACTTTAACCGACTTCGCCAATTCTCCCAAGACCGGCACCGGGTCATTTTTATAGACAGCCATATACGAAAGTTTTGTCGGGCTTTCCATAATGGAATTATCATCCTCTTCATAGTCCTCCTTGTTGAGATCAGTCGTGGAAAGGTTCAATTGCGGAGTGGCTCTGACACCTTCCAACGCAACTAATTCGCTTAAGAAACAGTCGTAGTTTGTGATCAAGGCGTACACCAAGTAGTTGTGCAAGTTAATTTCCAGCTTGCTCAAGGTGGACGATTGGACCATACTGTTGGCAAAGATCATGCTCAAATTCAAAGCCGTCATTTTAGTTGTTTCGTGGTGCGTCGCCAATTGACTGAGGAAGTCCAACATAAGGAACAATGTGGACAACTTCTTGCCGTCTGAGTTGTCGAACGTGAATTGCGCAACCTTCTGGGTGAACACTCGGGCCATTTCGTCCAAGCGGTCTTCCTCCATACTGGCACCGTATTCCGACACGGCAAATCCGGGAGTCCTGGCTAAACTGGAGTCTTGATCCGCAGAAACGGTCGGCACGATGGATTCGGTAGCGGTGGTGGCAATGGATTCGGCATTGGGAATGGAATCCATGGCAGAGATATTGGTCGTGATTCTGGAAGCTGGGGACATGACGCTAACAATGCTTGCATTTACGTGATGTACAGAAAGTGTTGAGAGAGACACTGGGAGGTTGGCAGCCTGAAAGAGGGCAGCGTACGATTTGAGTAACGCTTTGTTCTCCTGAGAATTCAACACTTGCTGGATGTCGTTGTTCAACCCCGCAGAGATGATGGCATTGGTGCCGCTGGAATTCATCTCAATCAAGATCTTTTTGAAAAAGTGTGCCACATCGTGGATATTAAACTTGTCCTGCTGCTCTTCCGGGGTGTATGTGAACAATAGCGTCTTGAATCCCGCATAATCGGTGCGAGTGAGCTCCTGGTAGTTGCTGGTAATCTTGGCCGCCAAAATTCGAATTCGCTTGATCGACCCATTCACACGAAACAACCCTTCCACTACTTGACCTTGTTCCATCAAGTATTGTGTCAAGTAGAGCATCAACTTTGGTACGTCCCAGTATACCGTCGGCGCAAACTGGTGGGACACCGTCACCTCTGGACTAGGGTTGGTGTAGTACAAGTCGATAATCTGTGCTACACTAGTATTGATGCTGGAGAACTCGGAATTCGATCTGTGGAAGGAGGGAATTGTGGGAGTCAACTCAGCCTTGTCGCTGGCAGAGTTCTTTCTGGACTTCCGCATGTTGGATAACGATCTGGTTATGCTCATCTGGTGGGAATAGGGTTTATTGACATATACTGGCGTGAAATGACGGGGAAGCGTGGAAAAAGGGCAATGATAATGAAAAGCCTGGCGCGATTGTTTTCGCCCACTGTAACCCATTTCTTCACGATTTACGGGGACTTAGTCACTTGCCTCCAAGTCCTAGCTGAGGCGCATATGCGACCAGAGCTGCGTCAACGGTGCTCATGCCTCTGTGCCTCGTTTCGTAGTCTCGGCTGTGCGTCACCTGTGAGGGCCGACATGCAACGGAGCTTCCCAGAGCCTAGATCACACTAGCACTTCACTATTGGCAGGGATCATTTGGCCCTGCAACACTAGATTTGGAAATCAGGGGAGTGCTTACCCTGGATAAGTGTGATATTTAAGTGGTGGACGGTGGTATTTAAGATTCTGTCGTGCGTGAAGAGTGCCCAATTACGCGAGACTTCCAGCTAGTAGATCACCAGCTCTGTAGGGTTGCTACTTTTCCAGAAGAAATGAGGCTATAACATCGTACTCCGGATAAGGGGAATTCCAGTATTATGCCACCCAACACCTAGCTATTTGATGGGGAGTATGATGGGATGCGGGCTGGGGTCCTGCGTTTAGATCTAGCCCAGTGCCTCATTTAGCACAGATTACAGAGCCTAGACCGCCAGATCTTCCAAGATGCGGTAAGAGGATTTGCGGGCACTACATATATCGTACGCCAACTACATGCTTTACATACGCAGATATTATGCCCTCTTCGCGACTAGTAGCACAAAGAGAAAAAAAAAACTCCCTGGTGCTAGACATGATCTAACTTTTGGGAAATAAAAAATATCTATGGGAAGTTGCTTCTTCTTCCTTCAGGTGACTTTGCCCGCACAATTTTGGTCTCCACTCGATCAATCAGTTTAGAGGTCGACTTTCATGTTGCTGCATGCAGTTCATATATGCATTCTGCATGACTAGGGTACGGCAAAAGAATTATACCTAAAAGAGACATTTCGAGAACGCGTTGCCATGATATCTCCTTTCTGAGTTCAGACAAGAGAGTGATGAGAGTTACTGTCAGTAACCAATGTTGAATATTAGAGCACTTGTGACATTTGGTGACTTGTGACTCTTGCAAGGTAATGACCACACGCATGGGTTCTAGATCAGATGTACAGCGTTGTCTAGTTGTCCACTGGAATATCTCTACACCATTCGTAGTCCAGTGGTCTACCCTTACCACATTGTCAAGACATGCATGGGATATATGATTACACTCTCGGCCTCTTTAACGGGCCAAATATTACCAAAACCCGACGCGTGCATCAAATATACAAAGAAGCATCTGTGAGGCGAGGCATGCACGTTCAGGTTTTCCTATGTAGTTCTCCCCCGGCCCTGGTTTTACTGTTCGTACGCAGAAAGGCTTAATATTCATGTTACGAAGGGAAGAGTTTGGCCCGTTTAGGGGTAGCAGAATATTACCCCCCCCCTCTGAAAGAAGAGGCTGTGTAGCCACCAAAAACTGGTAATACACGGCCTCCTCCGGAGCCCTTGACCGATCAAGTTTAGGAATGTGAATGTGTGGATGACCGAGCCGAAATGCATCTACCAAAATCAGGCTAGTTACAAAGAGTCCACTGCTCCCTGCAGTGAGCTTCTTCTCAGTACCAAGAGGCTTAGGCTTGGTCGTATCAGGCTCACAATATATGCATCTAACCTTCAATTAAAGCTAAATGATTGTTGGACCCCTGATGTATGTGTCTCCCTCGTCATGTTCTATGTATGGGCTGACCGTATTAAATGCCTAAACATAATGCTGTAGGGAGAAATAAAGTCGTGAATCCTGGCGAACCTCAGGGCTACCACACTCTTGGAGAGTTACCATCTCGTCACAATAAGATTCGTTAGGTAGATGGAACGGTGCTTGATCACAAATCTCGGGGAAGCGCTCCATAGTCAATAAATTGGAGAAGTACGCGTATGCCTTAAGGCGAATGCGGAGAAGACTCCACGGGCTCCGGTCCCGAATTAAACAAATCTAATACTATACTTTCCAACTGCCAAGTGAGGGTTTTCAGGTTCAATTACCCGTATAGCATAAAGTGAGACCCCATTGTCCTGTGCCCCACCGCCAGATCCTGTGTGCCGGATGATGTGTTACGTCTCGAGTAAGTGGCGTTGCATTGGCAACCAGAGCCATCGCCAGAAGAAGCTAATGACACTCGATTGCTCAATATTCTATATCCACTACAGAAAGTTAGAGGTTACTTGTTAGGCTAGATTACATCGTATCCAATATGTTGGGACACTGTTCATTGTCACAACCTTTTGACAGTGTCTGTTTCAATCAGATATGGATGTAGTGTATATTGACTCATACCCTTTCATAAAAGACTACCAACTAAAAGTCCCCCCGGGGATAATAAATACTAAAATAAACCTGAATAATTTCAAGTCCACGAAGTCTGGCTTATTTCTTGACCGTGGAGGCTAGTTATTTTATCCAGATGCCCAACCTTACTCTGTTTAGTGGCGGTGCATGGTGGCGGTGCATAAGTCTTTCTTCTCTTTACTTTCCACCTCACCTTCTACGCACCCTCAATAAGCACCAAGTACTAGGACTAAGTTTTTTACCTGAGTAGCTTTCTGGTTAAACCAGAAGGCCCAAAATCGCTTTCTACCAAATACACTTACCCGTGCCATTGTTTCATTCGACTCATGACGTGTTATCTCATCCCGTGACTGACGCGCGCACTACCTCGGCCCTACTTTATCAGTATAAACACAACTCTGTGCGCTTCCCCATATGTTGACCTTCCCCCCACCAACAATGGAAAACCTACTCTTTGGCAAACAAAGCTCCGAACCGATTGCTTGGCCAAAGAAAATGCCGGCCGCTTCTTCTGGCCCGAAGCCAGAGACACCGCGGGAGAAGGCGCTCCGGCGACAAATCGTGGCGGCGTTTGTGCTTGTAGTGTTCCTTTTCGGACTTCCACTCTGGTACATCACCACACTGGTTCACAGGGCCGAGTTACCAGCTTCTCAAGTGCATAGCTTGCAGAAACGGTTGGAGCGGGAACTCCGGTTCGAAGTGCCGGTGTACATCGACCTCAGCAACGCCCAGCAGACTACTGTCAGCGAGGCGCAAAGCATGATCAACCAGGAAATCCAGGCGATTTATCCCGCTGGCTTGCCGTGGAACGTGGTTTTAAAACGCGGGAGAGGCGGTGCGACCGATTATAGCATCACGTTGAAGCGAGTACAAAAGGGCGAGTCCATCTACATTTCGCCCTACAGCCGCCACGTGGATGTGTACTTGTCTGACGATGTAATCGCGGAAAAGAAGGTGACGGAGCTCATTCTGAAGGTGGTGGTTCATGATTTATTCCGCTCTGAATTGGAAAAGTTTGGCCATATTGGGGAGAGGGCCGACATGAATGTAGTTCCGTACGCGCCGTCGTACCACTTGACTTTTTCCTTGTTGTACGAGGGCGGTCAGCCAGTTGCATGGGACATTCAAGAGACGTGGAACAGGTACATGAAGAACTTTTTGCAAGAGTTGCAGCCGTTTGCCAATTTTACCGTCGACTCTCAAATCCAGTACTACTCCAAGCTTGTCAGCTACCCTGCGTACAACCCCTCCTGCGATTGCTACCTCTTGACTGAAGCAGATCTTTCCACCTTTGTCAACTACGGTGACTGGAATTTGGACGCTGCCACCGCAAAACAGACGCTCAACTTTATCGTCTACATCCCTGCCAAAGACAAGCCATTCCGTATTCAAGACTCCACCACCAATACCTTTATTGTTCCCCGCTGGGGTGCCGTCAAAGTACTTAACAAAAATATCAGTGCCAGCTCCACGTTGCCCACCGAGGAATTGATCCCCATTATGGAAACTTTTGCGTCGTCTTTGCTCCAGCTACTCGGCGCCCCAAAGACTCCGTTAGCCCCGAAGATCCGCATCGACATCTTGACCCGCACTGCCATTCACCAAAACTTGCATCAGTCGGTCGCTAACATGTTCTCACTCTTAAAGCTCGTGGAGAAGCTCGACAGCATCTCCATCCCGAAGGTCACGTTGGTTCACATGCAGAACGCTATCAGTGCTGTTGAGCACAGTTTGCGTGCCGTCAAGGGTGGCGACTGGGTCCAGGCCAGCCGCTGGGCTGCGGAAGCCCTTGTGGCGTCCAATACAGCCTTCTTTGAAGAGAATATGGTTCAGCAGATGTACTTTCCAGATGAACATAAGTTTGCCGTGTACATGCCGTTGTGTGGGCCCGTGCTCATGGTGACCCTTTTGGGGGTATTTCGTGTTGTTCGCGAGCTCAAAGCGTGAAAGTTCTCAAGAGGCGGTTTAAGCATGCAATAAAATGTTTATGGTATATAATAAATTAAAAGAGCCTGAAACCAATAGTGATGGAGGTGTCTGCTGGAAGGTAATATTTTCACTGATTCGGCATAGAATTACAAGTCAAACGAAAGGCACATTGTATGATCGTTTTAGGCCTAGCCAGACCGCACTCCACGGCTAACACGGACAGAAATCAACAGATATAAGCAACCCAAAAATCAGATATGATTATATAACTCTGCAGCCCGAACTGGTAAATGTTGAGGTTAGCCATAACATGGAAATATACGTGTATCCTGCTCAGACAAGTGATACAAGGGAAATACAAAGTACCCAATTGATATCAATATCAATCACTAGTAAATTATAAGCCAAGGTGTATACTCATAAACCACTTGGTACAGAGACAGCAAGAATCTTGAACCAAAAAGGGCCGACATATGCCTACGAGAGAATCGCCAGAGATCATGCCACAGCCGTCATGTGTAGCTGTACTCACGATTTCTCTACGCGTTCGGCTTACATACTTAGATAAAACTACCAACATATCTTATGCCTTCCCTAGCGTCTTTGTGTACCTCGCCTCGGCCTCGGCCACGATCTTCTGTAACGCCACAATGATTACACGGTGCGTGACACTTGGAAACTCGCCCCTGTGGACCCCAAACCACTCCAACGGCGGCGTGGCATTACCCAACTCCTTCAACTGTGGCGAGTTAATGATTGGCGGCTCAAGCGCTTCGTAGACATATTTGACCCGGTCCAGGGTGGAGGTAGGCAAAGGGAGGTCTGGATCGGTAGTCGTTGGGGCCGGTATAAAACTCTCATCTCTAGACAAACTCAGATCCTTAGAATCAAAGTTTGTGGTGTAATCCCTTGCCATTCTCGACTCAATCGCCTTATAGTGTACCGCCCCCATTTCCCGGATAAAGTTCACTGACCCAAGGTTCCACCGGACGTCCACCTTCCCGTCAAACACACTTCTGAATAGATACCCCACTCTATTACTCTCCGGCGTCTGGAACGTGGTCATGGCCACTTCGACCGCGGGGAACACAAAAATCGTCCCGCCTTGAGCCCCCCGCGAGTGTTTAACAAACTCAGAAACGCTCAACCGGTTGATATCGTCCTCCGGACGCTGTTTCTTGAAGCTGGAAACCGCTACAGACACATCCAGAACCCGCAACGTCAACGTGTCCTTCATCCGGTTCTCATAGAACACTTGCTTGAACAACGCATTGGAGTCGGCGAGCTTCACTACAAGCACCTGGGGGTCGAGCAAGCTGCTGGGATATACCTGGAGCACCAATTGGTGCACCGACACCGCAAAGACAGTCTTGAGACGGAAGATCAGGGGGCCTTCAGGTTTGGCTATCTCTTCCTCCATGGGGGCGCTCGCAGAATCGCGCAACACCTCGGAGTAAGAGGTTTTGGAGTCACTGACGATTTGCTGAAGAGTATTCGTGATATCAAGAAGGTTCGAGGCTGCTAAAGCCGTAACATAGGCCTCAATCGTATCACAATTACCCACGACTGCGAGTCTATCGTCCATCATTCCGCTCCGTTGGTTGAACACGTGGATAGAAAGGTTTTCCACGTTTGCTATCAAAAACGAGTGGTAATCGAAGGCAGTTTTCACCTGCAATGAGCCCAAGCTAACGGAGAGTTTCACCAACGGAATATCGAGAATCTCTGTCCCAAGTGTCCACGAGATTGCCGAATGGACGCCAATGTCCTTTAAAACAACCCCTCCACTGAGACGGCCCTTCGATGCCAACGAAACAGACTGAACCCCAAGTTTCATGCTCTGTGACCAGTCGACCTTGCGTCGAGAAACAAGCCAGAATTGATCGAGCAAAAGCGTTACGATTCCAAGAGACTGCCCGAGATCCACCTCGACCAGCACATCCATTATGACAAAGTTGACCACCCAGGGAAACGTCTGGGTAGCGCTGACCTCGCGGAAGCGCAGTGCAAGTGTGCGCGACACGGTCTTGGGTGGGCCGTTTGGAGTGACTGGCATCCAGATATCCACAAAGAGGTGCACGTCCTGGAGTTGCTTAAAGTTTACATAGGTGCGGACGGCCGAGAGGCTCCCAGCAGTGGCGAAGCTCTGAATCCTGAGGCCCATGAGAGACGTCAAACTGAGTTGGTCGACGGAGATAAGAGCACTCACCTGGCGCGAGAAGATGTGCTGGAGCGACGCAGTGAGCGCGTTGATCTTGACCGATCCGCCCAATTGTGCGCCGTCGGGAGAGTTCATGACCTCGAGATTAATAAGGCCAATCCCAACAATTGCTTCCACCTTGGCTGTCGGTTCACAGCTGAGTGAGAGGCGTTGCGAAGCGATGCGGACGCCGAGATGGAAATCCGTGTCTTTGAGAAGGCGGATAATCTGACTCTGCGTGGAATTTCGGTCATCAGGATTTGGATTTCTAGTGTCTGGGAGCCCAGAAACACTGTCCACCGAGGAAGTGCCCAGAGGGCCAGAAAATTCAGAGGAGTCTAGAGGCGCGGGTATTGGGCGTGGAGTATTAGAGATTGGCTGCAAAGGTTCCGGCGGAATATTTTGGATGTGGCCATTCCCTGAGCCATTGCTTGTCTGGGTGGATCCAGACTTATACCCTAACGTCTCTCTAGAGGAACTCTTAGAGGCTCCCCTCGTAGTACTATTTGAGTCTCCATGGTTGCCGTTTGCCTTCTCTGACGTTTCCTTTTTTGGGTCTGAGCGTTTGTCGACCTCCTTGATCGATTCATGGGGCTTTACCGTCTGCTTTGCGACCAATTCACCCTCCGGTAGTTTGGTAATCAGCTCCATCTTTACCATCTCTATGGCATTCCGATAGATATCCATCAACACCGGAACGCAAGACGAATACACTGTGTTATCCGAAGACGACGCCAACACCTGCAAATTCACAACATGCTTCTTTATCCCTCCGCTCACCTTGTTATACAGCAACAAGATCTTCACCGGCGGTGATTGCAACGAAAGCGTCGGTGCTGTTTGCTCGTCCAGTGGAACATACAACAAGAACGTGCCTCCCGCAAAGCTCATCATGCACTGAATCGACGTAAACTTCGATCCCAACGCCTCCATGTAGTCTACCTCTTCGGAGCGAATTGGCATCGGTGCTGGTTTTGGCAAGAGGTCAGTGACCAAATCCGTGACTAGTGCTATCGATTTAAGCAAATTTTCAACCAACCTGATGGAAGTTGACGAAAACTTCACGTCTAATTTCTCGCCAGTAACCCGGATATTGATATCTCTGCCAATTCCGTCCTTCGTCCGCACCACCACCACCTGCACCTTCGGAAGAAACGCCCGGTTTAGGGCATCTAGCTCCGCCAGGATTGGGTAGAAATCGTCACTATGGGACCCTCGGGCGACAGACACATACGCCTTCATGAGCGTGAGTTTCCCCAAGCCTTTCTCAGTGACAGCAAACACCCGCTCGCACCCGAAATTGATCCCAGGATATGCCATCTCCGCTGCGTCACCGAACGACCAGCCAAAACAAAAGTTGTAGCACAAGATCTGGATGGCGTAAAAGCTCATGATGGTTTCTATCGCCATGAAATCGGAGCCGCTTTCAGCGAAAGAGCTGGCTGGTTCCTCCGCTGGTTTGGGGACGAGCGCCGCCATGCTTCCGCCCATCTCCACGAACAAAGCAACAATTATGGGGGAGAGGAACACCCGGCAGTGTTCGCTCTCTACCTGGAGCGTCTGGAGCGCTGACTCACTGCTCTGCACCGGATTCAACACCCGAAGATGGAAGCCCATATCGAGAACTGTCTGGGAGGAGGCAAACAATTTAGCCGCAAGGCTGAGACTGCCGTACACCGGGACGAGACTCTTGGTGGTGTGACTGCCATTGCTTGCCTGGAGATTAATCCTAGAGACCTCGAGCTTCACACGTTGATCCAGCGACTTTGTAGTGATTCCAATGTGGTTGTGGACTGCGTGGATGTTAAAAAGAACGGTGCTACCATGTTTCCCAGGGTTTGTGTTACCATGATTCCCTCCAAATGCCTTGATCGTCTCTCTTATCACTTCAGTCTGGCCTTTCAATGCAACCGCATCGGACTGGATTGAAAATAACGATTCGCCTAGCACCGTCGGGTGCGGGAAGAAGACTTCAAACGCGCCCGACTGGAGCAAAACGCGAAGCGATACCGTTTCCGCGATCGCCACACTGGCTAAGGTTTCAAAGTCCTTATTTTCTGACCGCCAGACGGTAGTTTCTGCTGAGAGGAGGCCAATTACCAAAACTTTAAACCTAGAACTGACCGCCACGGTTTCCTGGTCGAGTCTCACTTTGAGCGCAGCGTCAGATACGTAAACCTGGCCCAGGTGTGACACCATTTTGACCTTCGAGTTAAAGTGACGAATCCGTGAGGTGAAATCGATGATCCCGAGGTTAACCAAAAGGGAAGCGAGGGCTTCTGGCGCACGTTTTGACGTCGCTGGGATGAGCTGTGATGACTTCGACGCGAGCGTTGACTCTGAAGGGAGGTCTGACGGTTCTACCTTCTCACTCATAAAAGACATAATCACCTCCCTTTCGGCCTCGAGCAATTCCGTAATCAATTGGAGAAACGGGCCCACTCCACTGTCGCTTGACAAATCCACGTCCATCATCTCGATATCAACTAGCCTCGACCCTCCAATGAGCGGACCGACGTTCGCAACCACAAGCGTAGTGTCGGTCACCTTGGAGGAAAACATCCGCAAGCCACCGTATAAAAGACCTACGTCCGTAGAATCCACCTTCATGGAGAGAGTTATGGGAGAGGTGAGTGGTTCAATCCGGGCCTGAGAATTGATAGACCAGCCGCGCGTGGTGGCTGAGAGAACGGCTAGGCCACTTCCTAGATCGAGGTATTGTTCGCAGTTATCGACAAGGCAAGTGAAAGAAAGAGAAAGGGGCCGAGACGGAGACGATACAGACGCCAAAGGCACCTCCAAAGGGCCCAGTACCTCGGGGGTCACCTTTATATTATCTGTCTCTGGAACCGTTTTTGATTTATCCGGTTCAACTCTCGATCCATCGGTTCCAGCTTTCGCTATCTCCTCAATCAACTCCCTCACCACAACCAACATCGTACTGACCTTACTCCGGTACGACTCCAACTTCATCTCCACGCTCACCTCGATCATATCCTTCATCTCACCCGTCGTATACATGTCCCAGTATCCAAGATTCACAAAGTCATCCTCGGCGTTTTCCGACACCATCCGGATAGCAAAGTCCTCCACCGACGTGCTTACCCGCCAGTCAAGAGTTTCAGAGACCTTTCTGGTAAACACCGTTGGAAACACGTGCGAAAATACATAACTGTTGTTGATATCCACAAACTCCCAGCTACGCCAGTCTGCAAAGATCTCCAACACCCGCGCGGCAACGTCTGGCGGCGGAATCCAGGTATTTTCCTGGAGTGACTGGTTGACGGTGGCATGCCACGTGCGCGGTAATGTATGCAATACGTGGCGCAAGCGCGTAATCACGCGCCAGCTGTCGTTAGAGCGCACATGGTCCTTGGAAACACGGATTATGTAGGCTGGCTTTGTGATAACCGCAGAGTCGTGTACAACTGCACGACTGGCCGCCGCCACCTTCAGGAGAAGCTCCACCTCGCGGTCGTTGGAGCTCCGCAATGCGCGCCCTGCCTCACGCTGGAGCGCCGAGAGGTCTCCCATAAGGGCGTGGAGGAAGCTTCCCAACCACTTCATCCGATGCGACACAAGCAGGAGTTTACATGTGCGGAGTCTGATGGACGCAGCGATGGAGGGATTACGAGAAGGACTGGGGCGGATAGTTCGCCTAAAGGCATTGCCCAGCCTGGAGTTCAGCTGGAAGTTTAGCCCGGAGGTTTCCAGTCCGACTGAGGCTTCGTCTCTCCAGACCTCACCAGGATCAATTATGCCCGCTGTTTTGTCACACCAAAGCTCAAGATCTGCCACACGCAAAGCTACCGCCTTGGACCATTCGTCCGAGCCCTGAATTTCGACCAAAACCTCCTTCAAATGCACGGCACAGGTAAACTCGCTTGCCATGCTGTCAGGCGCGCCCATCGGCTTGTCTGGAATCCTAATGGTCTTAAAAGACGAGACAAGGGATGGGTTTTCAAGAAAGATGTAGACCCCCTCACCATTAGGTGAAGCTAGCGCCTCAGCCATGGTTGGGAAAGTAAACTCGCCAAGGCGAAGCAGCACCAGCGATGTAATGAAACGAGTATTTTTGACAGAGGAATTTACTTTCAAGAAGCTCTGGAGTCGCTTAATCACATCAATCTGGAGGTTATCCATGACGGACTCGATGTCATGGACCTCAAAGGCTTTAACAAGGTTGAGGAGCATGGGAAGGGACGAAATAGATATAAAGCCCAGCACCGCCCCAAGGTTTACCACCACACTATCATATTCATAAGCTGGGTCGGGTTTCGCAGCAGGGGAGAAGTCGTAGTCGAGGTAGTCATTGATTGGCGGGAGGTTCGAGCCGAACATGTGCGTCTTTGGGAAGAAGGATTGGCCGGAAAAAGATTCGTCTGATGTTTCACCGGAAGTAACTGAAGGCGCGCCAGAGGCTGCACCAGAGATTCCCTCTAACGCCTCATCAAGAAAATCGTCACTCGTCTCTTCGTTAAGCGGAATGCTAAGCTCTGGAAACGAAACCGAAGGCACAATCGACCCATATGCCGCGTTGTACCCCTCGTCGCGGTACATCTCTGCCAACACAAACGGACAGCGATGGAACGGCCCGTCGTGGAGTCGGACGTGCTGTTGCTGAAGATCTCGAGTTTTCTCAAACTCTCGTTTCTGGCAGAAGTTGCTCAAGTGGATAGATGTTTCGAGGCCTCCTATGATGTTTCCAGTAGCATCAATAACTTTGACAGCAATTGCAGGAACCTGGAGGTCCACCAAGTCAGAGTAGCGCGCGTTAGCGATATCGTTGAAGGTGAAGGCAAGCGGCTGGAGGGAAACAACAACGGCACCATTACCCTCAGGGTCTGCAAGAGAAATCTCCGCCTTGGGGCAGTTAAAAGAGACATATGTCATGTCGTGGATGGTGGCAAGGTCCAACACTAGCGAGTTCTCCGAGTCCTCGTAGCCAAAGGCCACGGCCGCTACGGAGTCAAGCAACCCCTTAAAGAAGCTAGGACGAGAATCGATCGCAATGGCACCGAAATCAAAGTCCCACTTGCAGAAGTAGGTGGGTTCTAGTGGAGGAAGGCCAAACATCCGATGGGCATGGATGGCGGCGCCAGCGATAGTCATTTCTGGGTGGAACAGTTCGTTGATCATGGCAAAAATAGCGAGCGGGTCGCACTGGACGAAGTGCGAGGTGATGGGGGAAAAGTCTGCCTGGAGATCCATGTAGTAGTTGGTGAAGCGGATGTCAATATCAAGGGAATCGAAGCGGAGGGCGACATGGGACGCGCAGTTGTATATAAAGCTGGGGAGGACAATACTACCACGGTTGACAGAGAAAGAGAACCAGACGTCGATTTCGTTTTCGACGCGTAGCGCCACAGGTGGCACCGCAGGTGGTACCACAGGGGCTCCAGGCAAGTCCTTGGGCAAGTTTCCGGGACCTCCGCTTTCAGGCCTCGCTGCCATACTCGTATGATATTCCTGAAGCGTCTTGAAATGTGTCGACGCACCAAAATAGTTCTCCATGATGATCATAAAGTACCGCACCAAAAAGCCATAGCAAACCAACGTGACCTCATCTCCGCAAAACGCAATCACAATTGTGTCCACCATGTTGATCTCCACGGCTGAGTGGTACGTGTAAGATCCGGAAATGCCAAAGTTGTGCGCCCTAGCGACTTTATTATCGCCCAAAAACCCGTTGATCGTGTTCCACGGCGGCGTGAGCAAACGCAAGTCAAACATGGGCGTATGTATATCGTACTCAATGGTTGTCGACTTTGCATACACCTGGTCCATCGGAAGCACCGCATCGAGGGTTATGGAAGATCCAGCAAAGAGTAAGAAACAGTTGTCTCCAAAATCAAGCGGATTGTTGATAATATTCCCGTCATTCACGTTCATATATATGCCGTAGCCGTTGACTATCGCCCAGCGAAGCTCGTACACAAACGGTCGGAACATTTCGTACGAGACAGGGTCACCACCAGCAAAATCGGAACTCATGTCGCTGAGGAGTGCTACGTGCTCGCGGAGCACAAAGATCTCCGCGTTGTGAGATTCGTTAGTGAAGGACCATTTAACATCTCCGTTCCACGCTAAGGGATACCCGCAATCCCCGGTGACCAAGTGCTTATCAGCTTTAAAGAGAATGTCATGATTGATGCTCGTACGGAGCTCAGGCTCACTGAGGGTTACCTGGAAGCGGTTCGCCCAGCCGGAAGCGGTTGGGATATAGCTGGTGTCGAAGGTCATGGTGGAAAACTCATCCACCTTAAGCTCGATCCAGCCAAATGGACGTGAAGGGGAGGCTGATACATCATCGCGCACGTTCGCGCGCTCTTTACTGGGTTCACGAAACGGTACACGGAAGATGAGCTCATCGTGCACCTCCATGAAGATCTTGAAGCCAGAGTATGTGCGCATGAGGGGTGTGGTGAGCTGAGTATCGCGGCAGACTGTGGGGAGAAGCATGGATTGAAGGGCGGCACGTTGCTTGTTAGCCCAGGGACCGTAGTTGACGGTGGCGCGGGAGAGGATGATATCGATTCCGGTAAGGGGGTCCAGGTCCGTGCCGAAGGCCGGGCCAGGATGACTAGCCTGGGCTGAGGGATTGGTTTTATCGGAGACATTTTCCTGGGCTGGGCGATTCGCCTGGCTACTAGCCTCGTCGCTCATCTGGGCAAAACCACTCCCCTGATCCTCTAGACCATTGGCGTGGCCAAAGGGTCCAGGTCCCGGTATATCATAATAATACACCACCTCACACATCTCTGCGGTTACCAAGTTCGACACCTTTGCGTACTCGTCTGCCCTACCCGCGGGTATATCCTGGCCTGGGGTATAGTCCCCCATCTCCATGTACTGCCGCAAGCCCCTCCACTTCTGGCCCGGTGCTGGCTGGACGGAAGCACGGAGAAACAACGCCCGCACCGGCGTTAGCCGGAAGAAGCTGCGAAGCGCACGTTTCATCTTGATGTTTCGTCTGACCGTGGCGCTGTGGATGGCGTTCGCTTTTTCGTGAAGCGGTTCGGAATTATATGTAGGGTTGGTCTTCATGAACGCATCGAAAGTGTGAAGCTTGTAGCTGAAGACAAAACGGTAGAGATCCAGAGGCGAATTGGCTGTCGCTATATCAATGTCTCCATCCGCTGTGAGGAAGGAAAGTGTAAGAAGCGTCGGAGTGGTGTGGTTTCCGAAAATGATGGCCCCCTTCTTTACCAAAACTTCGATTGGAAGACTGCGCAAGTGTTTTGCTAAGGGTGATACCTTTATCAATGGCGTTTGTGAGCTGACTTCAAACGATTCGCTGCTGTCTTCGCTGACCATGTCCAAGGCGGCCTCAAAGGCCATGGAGCGATTGAACACAAAGACTTCAAGCCCGTCGACTTCCACAACAAAGCGACTGGGAAGCGCGTTCTTCTTTCTAGGGCTGCGATGGTTGATGGTATTGCTATATTCGGAATCACGGGTGCGCACCAACCAATAGCGCCACTTGACCGAGCCCCTCGTAAGGCACAAGATGCCGTCCTGGGTCACGACGGTGAGGTTCCGGAACAGCACCTTTCCGCCGAGAAACGACACCTTGACCGATTGGACCGAAATTTTAACACGGTACATACGCCATACCACCACGTCGAGCATATACGTCACGAGGCAGCCCATCAAGCGGTTGAAGTAGAGAAGCACAAAGATGGTCAACATCAAGATGAGGATCCAGTACAACATGAACACCACTCTCAACTGCCCGCTCTGGTTCAGGTGGATTAAAATGTACTGTAAGGAGAGATCCATTGTGGGTATATGTTTGGTTAAGAAAGCGAGTTGGTGATAGAGCTCTGCCAGTGTTTTTAAGTACTGCGCAATGAGCGTCCTGTATAGAGCTGAGTCTATCATGGAAAGCTAAGAGATAGAAGTTCTTTAATTGTAGGATTTAGAAATAATCCAAACCAGCTTATTCCGAATAGATTGTCGTATAATCCAAAATGAAGTGTTTCAATTGAAATAATGGTATACTCTAATGAAACGGTTTAACGAAACAATACTTAGGATACGAGGGCCTGCGCCAAGAGAGTCCTCCTAGCTGATATGTCAGTTTCATGCATTCGAAAGGATAGGCCAGAGCAAAGTTGAAGGAAAGTATATATCAGAGTTATACGATTTAACATTCAAGAGGAGTTAAAGCCCCGTAAATCAAACTAGAATGGTTAATAAGTGATGTTTTTTTTTTTTTTGGGGCAGAGCTTGAGTCTAGGAAAAAGTTTATGAGCTAGCCATTGATGGGGAACAGACTAAACGAAAAAGTACTGAAGTAAGCACCTACTTACGAAGGGTTATGTAGAGTAGATTCTCAGAACGGATAACTTCGGGAAGTGGTACTCCTAAGAAGCAAGATAGGAGGACACTCAAGCTCAATAAAAGATTCTGGCCTTCATCTAGGAACGTTAGACAGGGGTACAAATCAATAAGACACCAATTCTGGCATGGACATCGATCAGTAGACTCCAGTTCTTTGCAATTGACGCAAGTGAATAATAGGAAGAAGCTCAAAAAGGAAAACATGTCCCCGATATATATGGGATTTTAACGACTAACGCTCGACCGCATAACTTGATAACAAAGACAAATCCGAGAAGCCGAGACACGATTAACGTAGTGGGCCCTGCGCAAATTGGACTACCTTTAGAATTCAGCCTTGGCCCGTGGTAATAATATAAACAGTGGATCTAATCCAATACGTACGAAAACTACCAATCCGAAAATAATTGAATATTGCTTATAATCATTTTCGAAAAATAAATATTCAGCAACCTCCTGGTACGATCAACCTGCATATATCCGTTTGACGTGACCTGCATGCACTTCGGGTACTTAACTTTTCACAATCACCTCACCTCCGGTTATACACATTGAAGTCGCACCATGAGCTATCCAATCCGCGCATTCCGAACCATCGTGAGAAAAACGAGTCAACTACCACTCGACCACAAAGCTGTGTCATACCTCCGAAAGTATGCAAAACACTCGTTCAAACAGCCACTCACAAAACGGAATTTCGAGGCCATCGACACCCACACCACCCTTCTAGACAGGGCATTGCGGCTCGACGTCAGTCCGCTTGAAACGCTTATCGAGTTAGCGTACAAACAAGGTGCAAAACCAGACAACTATAGAGATCGACCGCCGTGGTTGAAGCACTTCACGTCCACACGGGTAGGGAGCACCGATGTGGATGATTTGGTCTACCGGTGGCCGCAGATTCACTTGGCCGAAAGGCACAGTAAGAGCCAAGAATACCAAAAAACGTACCGTACCTCGTTAGAGGCTCAGAAAAGGGACTTCCAGCAGCGCTATGCGTTCAGTATCCACAACATAGAGGCCCTCGTGCTCTCTGAGAGCTTTAACATCTCCTCCGACACAGCCTGCCCTCCCCCAACAACTATCCCACTTACGGAACCATCAGTGGTGGAATCTCCCCTTGTTCGGCTAGATATCTCGCAGATTGAAGCGTTGTACAAGCTGGTTTGCCATACCACAAGCTTGATCACGCACTATAAGAAGGCGCTTCTCCCGTTCCAGGCCGAGGTCCCGCCTCACCAGTTGGGCCACCCGGTCGCCAACGTACGCATTAAAAACATCACAGCCAGGAAGATCGAGGCGCTCCAGGCATTCTTCAACAATGACTTCATGAACATGTCCTTAGAAAACTTGCGCCATCTCGAGGCCTTGGTCAAAACTGAGCAAAACTACAAGCTGTTCAACATGGAAAGGTATATTAAGCAAGGGAACTCACTATTCCCGGCTGAAAGGTTGCTCAGGAAGATAAAGAACCGGTACACTGGGTTTACCAGAAAGCAGTACGCGTTTGGGGAGGTATTGGGGGAGGATAGCAGGGCTCAGAAGACCAATGAGCTCGTCTTGCCGTCGGTTGTGATGTGGAAACTCAATAAAGAGCAGGAAATGTAATAATGCGAATGCTAAAAATATCAGACACCGAAGACTAAAAAATGGGAATTATTGGAAATTAAGCAGCTTAGTCAACTATACAACCTCTCGTTTAAGCAATTACTTCGAATAGCGAAGCTTTCTATCACTATTGTATCAGACTCAATCAGCAGTAACGTCCTCACCCCCATCGTCCGCATCCTCATCATCCAAGTCAAATATGATTATTTTCTGCCTCTCTTCGGAAACCACACAGCCTATTCTGCGCCCTTCGGCCCCGTTCACCGCGAGAAACTTTGGCTGGAAGCCATCTCCAAAGATTCGCTGTCTCAACCGCGGAACCGAGGTAAAATCAATGTCCTGTGTATCAGAATCTGGCGTAGAAAGTGTATAGGCCAAAGCTGTGTAGTCGATAGCAGAAATCATTCGAGTTCCTTCCTCTGCAAGCACAACCGCCTCAGTTACACCGGCAAACTCCCATGCTAAGAGATTGTCAAACCGTACAGCACTTCTGGAAATCTCTGTAAGGCTTTCGAATCGGAAAATGGCCAATTTTGTATTTTCATATACCGCAACGTATACCCAGGATCCGTTGACCACGATTTTTACCTTTTGTTCGTTCCACTGAGTGAGCACCACGGGTTCATGCAACCGGATCTGTGCCTTTATGGCTGTCTTGATGCTGTCAAAGATCACCAGACAGGAACCCTCTAGGACCAACACCTCTGCCTCAAAGCTCTCACTAAAGTCGCTTTTCGGACTCACATGATACCTAATGTAGCGGGATACGTCGCTAGTCTTGCCCGTAAACCCCCGGGTTTCGTCGCCCAACTCGCTGGCCACGCAAGCGAGCCACTCCAGAAAGACGTTGAACAAGCGCTGCTCCTCGTTGAGTCCCCATACAAAGGCGTGGACACGCTGAAGCAACACGCCAGAGGTGTTAATACACTTCTTGACATCCGCCGGTCTGATTCCAAAGAAGTCGGAGCGGTCCTCCCACTGCGCGTAGCCGTGGAGCCGCGAGAGTAACGCCACAAGAAGCTCCAAGGCGGGGATGAGGTGGTTGAACGACGAACGTCGGAGACTGTCATAGCCCAGGTTGGCCGTGCGTGCCTGCTTTTTGATTCCGCGGTCGCCGAGCTCATCGAGCCACGTGCGGAGCCCGGGCGACATCATTCCTGTGAGTAACATGTCATACAAGCAGGCAGTTGCGGCTTCTCCAGCAGATGTTGTGTCGCAGAATATTACCGCAGAGTGATCCCTCGCGATGAGCCCCTCTAGGGCTTCTAGGTTGTGGCGCTGAGAATCTGCGAGGGCGCGCGTCTCTGCGACTGCACCGCGCGCGCTGTCTCCGAGAAACGCGAGCGCCGCAAGAATCCGCGCACTTGTGAGCGTAATTTCCGGTAGAGATTCAAACCTTGTGAGAAATGACATATCGAGCTCACGGACTTCCAAGTTACTTTCCGTATGGGAAAAGAGAAAGTGGCTCTTTGGTGAAACTAGGTCGGTGATTTGAGTGGAAGCATCCACAGCTGCGACACCAGGCACGGTAAATAGTCCGTAGAGTGTGGCATCAAGGGTATGGGAGAGCCCCACAAAGAGAATATCCGTGTCGGCGCTGGGGTCAGGCATGAGCTTCGGAAAGGATTTTGTACAGTCCATTGCAAACATCGCGGCGAAAGGGTTGGTAGGAGGCACGGCACCTGCGCTCCAGCGTGCAAATGTAAACTTCTGTGTATTTGCACGATGCACAACTGCCACTAACTTGCCTGTGTTTGAGTCGTAAAGCCGGCAGTTTCCGTCCGCGGTCGAGAGCGCAAATGCCTTTCCGCCACGCTGCCACGCGAGACCCGTGACCCGCGACTGAGCGTTGATCGCGTAGACCCTCTGACCATTGAGACGGTACACCCAGAGAATGATGGCGTTAACCGAAACCACGAGAAGGTCCATCGTCGGGCACCAGCTAAGGACCGTACAGTCCACGGTGGGCAAGGTCTTTTCCAAGACGGTTTTGAATGACATGGGGGTGAAGTATTGTAGGGGGTTTAAGGGACGATACTAGTGCTAATTTGTAAGTTGAATCTGTGCAATCGGCAGTGAGCTTGAGAATCAGAGTTCAATAGATGAGAAGGTGTGTAGCTTCTGTTAGTGGTGGTTTGGTTGGTCTGTTGTATCAATTGGTAAGGATAGCAGCTGTGGTACACGAATTGGTGCGAGATACCTTACAAAAGGAAATGGAAGGGGGAGATGTAAGATAAAAGAATCAAATGCTGGAAGATCGTCCTTTATGGTGGTGGATTGGATGCAGCTCTGTGGTATATTAGTGGGCCTCAACGGCAGTGATGATGCGATAGTGATCCGAGATGGTGATTCGTAGAAGTATAATTGTGAAGCGACACTACGTCTATATTTCAAATAATAGAACGTATAAAGTTGACAGAACAGAACTTCCGCGCTTTCTATCACAGACCTGGCGGGTTTATGTTTTGCTTTTGCTTTACGCGCTGGCGATTTTGTATGCGCCGCGAGAGAGTCAGACGTTTTCATGCATTGGCTTAGGTTCCTCAGACTCGAAAGGGTCCTAATATGTGCTATGCGGGCTACACCATAGTTATATAGATTTAAGTATTACCAAGTTTTCAACTCTAGCACATAGTAAATTTAGTACGTTTATATTTTACTGAGTTGTGGGGATGAAGATTCGAAGCTCAGGTGACAAACTCGCAGGTTCAAAATGCACAGCACCAGGTAGGCGTTTTTGATGATGAATGTTAATAAATTTTCCTTGTAGCTTAAAATGTGAATAATACTCCTCTATATACATTTAGGCTCAACCAAAGTGGTTATTCTACTAGAGTTTAACAACTTTTGGGTCCCCGCTGGCCATAGGAAAGTCAAGAGTTCTCGATTATTGCTCTCTCCTTTGGCTTGTCCATAGTGCCAAAAAGGATTTGATACCTACTAGTTTTTATTCGCCTGATTTGGATAATTTTTTAGTCCGTAGAGTTAGAGCTCTCTGAATGAATCAAGAGCTCTCCTTCCTACAACTGGCCTTTTTTGTCTCAAACCTGGCTGCACGGCCAAAAACAAGAGTATACCTCATTGCTTAAAAACGGCCTAATACTCATCATACAAATCTGGGATATATTGTAGAGATCTTAAACCTTTGCGTATCTTTTAACCTACATAAAAGTGCAAAGCTTTAAATACTTTCTATAGTTTTACAGGATGTTAACTAATGTGGAAAATTCTGTGCGGCGCCTTGCCACGAAACAAGCACATGCATGAAAAAGTTGCCTCAATATCACTTTACCTCTTTCTATCTTTTTTCTATATAATGTTTAAAAAAGATCCAAACGTATGTGTATTCGATTGAGCCCATGGTGCTACCCTCTTGAGTACCATCATATCCCATGGCCTCTTCTATCCTAGCGTCCTTGTGTCGTGACTAACCTCCCAGGTGAAAGCTTCGGCGAATCTCAAGTCATCCGAAAGGCGCAAGCTTTTGGCATCTATCTGCGTGACTTACGGGATCCCGCAAGCTGATATCAGTGCCGAGACGGAAAAGCAGATCCTTCCTGCCGTCACCAAGCAGGCCGCCTTCAAATCCGAGCTTGGCCACACCGGCACTATCTACACCGACGAGACGCTGACGCCTACATGGTTCAAGACAAAGGACTCACAGATCATGCCCAGTATATACACGCTCTGGAATTGCCCGTTCATCTTGCCAATTGTGCTCACTCATCCCCATGTGATCAAGGTCTATGTGGGTAACGGTGCGGACTTGATGCTACCGGGTACGGTGCCGCCTTTCGACCACAGGGCTACCAAGGGCGCTGTGGTGGCGATTGCCGATACCGAAAATCCGACCGTTCCGATGGCTGTGGGCACGTGCAACCTTAACTTGCCGCAATTTGACAAAGTCGTTGGAAGGGTCGGTGTGGCAGTGGATGTGATTCACCACATTGGAGACGAATTGTGCCGACTCTGCAAGGATGATAAGGTTCCTCCAGCTGTGGGGTTGAGTGGAGAGATTCCAATTGAAAACGCTGAGAAAGATGCCAAAGACATTGATTCGAGCACTGAAGAAAAGGGCGACAAGAATGTAGAGTCCGTGGACGAAAACTCCAAAACCTCCATCGAATCCAATAGTGAAGAAACCAATTCTAAAGCCATTGAAACAAATTTAGAAGGCGGACCCTATGAGAGTTCCATCACCCCTGAAGATGTGGATCACATCTTCCAGCGAGCGCTTCTCCAGTCGCTCCACATGGAAATCATCCCAGTTCCGCTCAGCTCGTCCAACTTCATGGCCAACCACGTGCTCAAAAACATGCCAGATGTGGACGCCAGCGTTGCCAACATCAAGCGCACAACTTGGAAAAAGTCCGCAAAGTATCTTAAGGCAATGGAGAAACTTGGCTTCCTCAAATTGAAGGGTAAGGGAGACGATGTGACAGTTGTGAGTGTTGTTGGAAAAGAGAATGAAACCGTTAAAAATTTTGTGACATACAAGGTGAAGAAAGCAGGGGCCACTGCTCCGGCAGTGCAGAAGAACGAGCTCCGGACGATGCTTTTATACAAACCGACCCACAAATCCAAGGAATTTTTCTCCATTATCGATATGCCATTCTCTGTTTTGTATACTGCGACCGAATTAAAGGCATGTTTGAATCAGTTTATCGCAAAGCAGCAGCTTGTGGACCCTAAAAACCCCAAGAATATCATTCCAGATGGCCATATCTGCTTGATTTCCGGCTTGCCCCGTGGCTCTCTTGGAAGGGAAAAGGTTTTCCCCGCGTTTGTCAAAAACTTCACCGAACTTCACAAGATTGTGAAACCAGGCCAGGACGCAACTGAAGTGCCAACGGGGCGCGGTCCCGTGCCGAAGGTCCATATCATCACCGAGATGAAGATTGGGCGCAAGATCATCACGCGTATCTCCAACTTTGAGGAGTTTTACATCAAGCCAGAAGCATTTGCGGAAGAGTTGCGTGTAAAGTGTTCGGGTTCCACGACCATCGGCCCGTGCACCCATAATCCAAAGTTGACGGAAGTGACTGTCCAGGGGCCGCACGGAAAGCTTGTCACTGAGTTGTTAGTAAAAAGGGGAGTCAACAATGGGTATATTGTGTTTGAGGATAAGTTGAAGGCGAAGAAGAGAAAATAGTTAGATAATTGGCCAGGGGCATTTCCATGAAAAAAAAATTCCAAGCTTTTGCTGACCAATATTGACGGAGTCATTTCCTTTCTGTAATCAATTTTTGCGGCTGGCTATTCCATGTATTACCCATCTAGTTCTCTTTTGAGGAATTATACACTTCCAATTTAGTCAATTATGTTTTCTCGGTCTAGTTCTTTCCCAGGCTAATACTTTTGTTATGAGAATTTGACTTAACGGTTGCTTTCTAAGCCCTGCCTTGGATAAAGTATCCTCCTAGGCCCCGAGATCTACCAAAAAATCACCTAACTATGGTAACACCATCTGGTGTCTAACTCATTATCCACCCGAACTCCTTTTCCTCTAATAAAGTCATTATCAATCTATGACGGACATATATCCCACGGCTCAACTTCTCAAATCACATTATTTGTATTTATGACGAATTATTATATAGAATAGTCTAGTCCAAGCCACGTACCTCCTCTCTAGATCAACTTCTTAGCAAGCAAAATCTCAGCAATCAAAATCCCCGCACCAGCAGCACCAATAATCGTGTTGTGCGACAAAACAACCATCTTAAAGTCAAGAACTGGATCCTCTCTGATTCTTCCCACAGAAACACCGTACCCAGCATCTCTGTCCCTGTCCAATCTTGGCTGTGGTCTGTCTGCCTGTTCCAAAACATGAATGGTTTGCTTGGGGGCGGAGTGGCAGCCAAGCTTGGCGGCATCACAAACATAGTCTCTCAAGCACTGCTTGACTTGTTCGAGCGACGGTGGCGGGCGGTTGGCAAACTTCAAGGAAATACATTCGGTGTGGCCGTCGGAAACTGCGACACGGTTGCACTGGGCACTGACCTTCATCTGCTCGTGGGTCAACGGCACAAACTCGCTCCCGTCGGCACTGAAACCCCCCAAGATCTTCTTGGTCTCCCACTCCATCTTGTCTTCTTCGCCGCTAATGTATGGAACGATGTTGTCCAAGATGTCGATTCCGGGAATGCCCGGAGAAAACCCAGCTCCGGAGATCGCCTGGAGCGTGGTGGTAGTTAACATGTCAATTGGCCCAAACTTCTCAACTAGCGGCTTTAATGGAGCCACAAGACCGGCCGTGGAGCAATTCGAGATACAGATGATGTAGCCCGGCTTTTTTTCGCCCTTTGCCTGTGCATCGGTAAGCTTCTTTTCAACCACAGACACGTGTTCAGGGTTGACGATGGGCACGATCAACGGCACGTCCACGTTTCTTCTGTAATTCTTCGCGTTGGAAACGACTGCCAAGCCGGCCTCTACGAACTGCTTCTCGATCTCTCCCGCGTAATCCGCGTCCAAACCGGAAAAGACAATGTCACACCCGGCAAAAGCGGCAGCAGAGCACTCAGAAACCAAGATGTTCTTCGCAGACTCTGGTAACAACGAGGTCTGCTTCCAGGTGACCGCGTCCTCGTAGCGTCTTCCTGCGGAACGGGACGAGGCACCCAAAGCCTGGATCTCAAAGTCAGGATGTTCAGATAATAAGAGAATAAACCGTTGGCCCACACTTCCGGTGGCACCTAAGACACCAGCTTTCTTGACCATTGTGTATGTTTGTGTTGTTGAAGAAAGAAGTGGAAGAGAAGAAAGGTGAGCGTCAAAGCTGAAAAATAGCCAGACCATCACCCAGCCGATAATGCGCGTTGAGTCACCTTGCTACGGCGCACGGAATTCTGTAATGTCAGGTGAGGAAGGGTTGGGAAAGTGTGAGCTACAAATTCTCCACAAATAAAGTCTAGTATTTTAATATATAGTTAAATATTTGATAATAACGGGTTCCTTTTTTGTACGTGTTAAGGGAATGGTTGGGTGGGTGCTTAACGTCCCAGGCTCCAGGGTTTGCTCACGCCTGAAACGGCCCGACATTGGAAACACAGGGCAAGTACTGGCTCATTCGGAAGACAATATGCGCTTACAGTTTGCACGGGATTCGCATTAAAATACCCAAGTATCCACGGAGCGACAAGGTATTTTCCCTATTTGACAAAGCAAAGTTTGAGTTACTACCTAAGAAATCAATGGTTAATCCGAAAAACATTGGTGGATTTCAATATGACCCCTGATCGAGCCTAAAACTAAGACTCTGGGTGACTCGATCAATAACCATGTTTGCGCTAGTCTGCTGGACCAAGATCGCAGTAAGAGCGAGGGTTAGCATGGCCCTGTATATAGGACATTTGAACTGTATTATAATACTGACTGGAGTTGAAAGCTTGTACATCAAAATCGTAGGCAAGAAAAGCCTTTTACCTAAACATAAATAAAGTAGGGCTTCCAAAGCTATTACCCCAACGGGGTAAGTTAATCTGGCTTCGAACTTGTGTTTCGTAAACCACATCGTGGGATGAATTGTCTATCGAACGTAGAATAAATCCCCAATCGTCTCCATCTTCTTTTGCTGGTTCTCTACATACGGCTAAAATACATGATGAGATGCGTTAAATATTATACAAGCCATGGTTGTGGCTAAACAGGTAATCTGGATGAATGGTCAATGCGATGGGTGTGCGAGAGCCAGGAAAGGAGGGCTTTGTTGTGTTTATTCCTCGCTTTCCTTTTTCTTTTTTTCCTCCTTTCTGCGCTCCTTCTTCAATCTCTTACGTTCTTCCTTGTTGATAGTCCCGTTGGCGTAGAGCGGAACACCGGCTGGTGTGGCTTCAGCAACATCAGCGTCATGCATCTCGCCATCATCTTCAACATCTTCGTTGTTGTCGAATCTGATCTTCTTGTTCATTGTGTGTTCGGAGGCTGGGGCCATTTCTGGCAACATTGGAGGCAACCCTCTTAACTCCCTCTGCACTCTCTTCAACTGGCTCAAGTATGCAGCAGCGCCGGAACCGGCTGGATCGGCATTAGCTGTACTGAGACTGGCGCCCATGTCTAATGAGTTGATTTCCGTGTCTTCGAGGAAGGAGTCTAACGCTCTCTGGACGTCTTCCTTTTTGAGGGGAACGGAGTTGGTGATGTGGACGGTAGTTGGCGCAGTGACCGCAGACGGAGCAGGTCTGCGAGGACGGAAGCCGGTAGACATGGTGAAAAGTTGTGTAGTCGTATGGTATTAGCTAACTCTGAAAAGCATCGCTGAGCTATTTTTCACTTTTCTGTAATTTTTTTCTGAGATACATGTGCCGCATCGTGGGTTTGATATTTACTCTGATAGTGTAATTCACGGCACTAAATATACGTGACCTGAACCATAATTGCTATTAACGAGGTTTCTATCGTTGAGGACGTGCTGTCGGTATACTGTGACTTATTTTATATTAGTATCGATCATTGATTTCAATAAGAGTTTTAGAGCATAAGAAATACTCTAGTAGTGCTGTTTTAGCACTTTTTCGAAGTGAAATATGTCAATGTTTACCCCGCGTGGGGGAAACTAACAGAACAACTTGAGCTCTGGAGCAAACAGAGGAACCGACACAAAGATTACGGAGAAATTCTGTATATTGTTACGTCCTACTGCACTTATATGGCCAAGACTAGTGGTTTTGGTCATACTTTCAAATCCAACGAGAGGTTTAAACACTCCCTTCGCCAATGCAATGAAGCCCCCTCCCACCTTGGGCCGGTGGCCGTGAAATACACTAGTTTCAGAATCTTAGAAGTTTTCAATGCTGCCCTGGTCGAAACTATCGCTTCTCTGAGAACCAGTGACAATTAGCTTCTCCGAATTCGCACCGAATTTTAGAAACCATCTCAGAGGATTGGAGTCGAGTTCTTCCTGTTGTTGCAGTTGATCCATACTAATTCTGGTTCAAAGGCTGTCTGAGACAAGCAAAAGGCTATAACATCCTCCATTATAGCGCAATACTATGACAACGCTGCATTCAACAGTTTTGACAACTCTTTCTGGGGAACTTGCGAGAATATTTATAGAAATAAGCTCCGTACGCGTCTTATCAATGAAAGGAGGAAAGAACTGCTTCAGAAGCTTTGAAGAACCTCTAAGGTCTGTTGACCATGGAATAATCTGGAGTTAAAGCTGATAAGAATGCGGATTGGTGATTTTTCAGGGCAATAACGGTACGGTCCATCTCTCAGTGGTCTATCCGAAATCTGTTCAGATCCACTCATACCTTTAATATACAATCTCTATCCGCATAATATTCTACAAATTAAACTCTTTTCTGTATAAACTCATCCTAATCTCCTAGACACGTCTTGTCGCGACAATACTATTTTACATCCACTTCATTAAACATTGATTCTATTATATATACACGTCACCTGCGGACAGCATCCAGCTACTGCTCGTTGCAGGCTAAAACTTAACTCCGTTCCTTAATGGGACAAGTAGTATCTACCCTTGGCCTTTCTTCTCTCAATGATCTTTCTGCCAGACTTGGATCTCATTCTGGCCAAGAAGCCGCATCTTCTCTTGCGGAGAAGGGTACTTGGTTGGTACGAATTACCTCTAGCTTTGAATCTCTTTTGCATTAAACCACCGAGTAAAGAAGCGAGCGGGCTAGCTGGAACCGTGGTCATGGATGGAGCAAGAGGGGCCAAGAAGGATGGACGCATGGCCGGGGCGATGCCGGTTTGGGTCAAAATAGAAAACTGACGGGTAGAAGCACTGCAATGTTAGTATATTTCGGCATGTAGATAATGGCATTTCTAGTAAGGCCGTCTGATACCTCGTTATGGCTTCACTAACGGCATTATCGTTACGGTATTGTACGACATCGATCGTATCATCTCTGAAGTCCTCCCTGACAATACTTACATTACCACATTGGAAGCAGTTCTGAGTACGTTGGAGAATCTCAACATTGTGAATCGAGGCGGATGGATAAGTAACCTGCTATCAAACTATCCACCAACCCTAAACCCTTTTCAGTCCTTGTAACATACGGTGAAAAATTCACCAAAAGGCTGCTTATGTAAGCGGCGGAATTTTTCAGTTGACGCTGAACGTTCTGCAAAACGCATAAAATGATTTTGCTACGCCCAAAGATTTCACTCTCCATACAGTAGCTTAGCCCATAAGTATGTTGAGAACCACCGTGAACAGCTTGAAGGTAACTGTTGGGGCCTCCAGAGCCTTGTCCCTCTCCGGGGTCAAATTGGCGGACGACCCTAGGGCCGCGTTGTTGAAGAAGAAGAAGGCGGACGCAAAGGATGCCAAGAAGAAGATGGAAATCAAGGAATTCAACAAGTTAAAGATCAAAGCATCCACACCGATCGAGACACATCCGTTATATATGACCATTCCGGAGGCCATGAGATACTTGAGAGCGTTTGAGGTTGGCAAATCGTCCTACGACACCACCTTAACCTTGCAAGCCACCATCGTCGCCTCCAAGGGTGTTTTGCCGTTGCAAGGCTCGCTTGCGTTACCGCATCCTTTGAAGGAGACCAAAATTGCATTATTCACAACCGACCCAGAAAAGGCCGAGGAAGCAAAGAGATTGGGCTGCTCCGTCGTTGGGGGGCTCGAATTGATCCAGGCAGTCAAGGACGGTAAGGCTCTCGACGCCCAGCAGGCGTTTGCCACTCCAGAGATTGCCCAGCAGTTGAACCAAATTGCCCGTGTATTGGGGCCTAAGGGTTTGATGCCAAGTGCTAAGAAGGGCACCGTGATTTCTGATATCGCGGTCGCCATCGGCAGCGCTAAGGGCTCTATGCCTTTCAAGCAGAAGGAGCACTACTTGTGCTTCCCTATTGCCAATTGCAGCTTTTCTGATAAGCAGGTCTTGGAAAACATCACCTGTGCTAGTGCCGCTATCAGAGAGCTTACCGAGAAGACCGCCAGCAACAAGACCTGTGTCCTCAACAAGGTTATTTTGTCCTCAAAGTCTGGCCCCGGTATCGCCATCAATTTCTAGTTTAGCTGTCTCACGCTGAGCTCTTGTATATATATCAATACAAACGTGTAAAAAAGGCTAGTTTTAGGTCGATATACTGGGGGTACTCCACAATACGTAGCTACTTTTATATTAATTCTGATTTCTATTTTTTTTTTTTTTTTTTTTGATAATATTCACACGTCTGGGGATAGGTTTAGCTCCAGATTCCCTTCCCTTGGATGGCATAGGTCGTCTGTCTACCAGAGCACGCTACACAAAACACGCGCTTACAACTTCTTGATTCCCGTAAACAAACCGCCTCTTTACGCAATCTACTCACAATTTCACTTAGGGAGGTATCTAATGTCGCTTATTAGCTTCTCTGACCAGGAAAATAATACGGCTTCTCAGCCGAAGAAGCTCACATTCAAGACACCCTTGAAATCACACCACTTGGATAACAACAGGCGGCAGAAGCAGCTATCACAGAAAAAGCTCCAGCTTTCGAACCAGGAGAACAGGTCGAGAGTGCCGTTGGGTGGAAAAGATGGAAATACACAGCAGGCCTTGTTTCCTTCTAGGTCCAGTCCCAGCGAATCATCGAGCTTGCTCCTCAACCTCGAGAAAAGCTCAAACAGTTTGGCTAAGAAGATTTTCGTGCAGAAGGACCAGGACAGCGCCATAAAGGGATCTTCGACACAGCGGCGCCGACTCAAGTACCAGACGCCGCTCAAAGGCACGAACAAGAACCTTCTCTCAGAGTTTGACGATGTCATCTCGCTTTCGCCGGTCAAAAAGCAAGCCACGCGTCTGAACACGCTGTATTCGCGAAACCTATTATCTCTGCTTATGGACACTGAGGAGGTACAGCTGAGGGTATATACAGATGAAATTGAGATCGTGCCCACCGCCAGAGAGGAGGCACTCCCGTATGTGCCCGTGGATGCCTTTACGATTGACGACTTGGACATAGCGGCGATCAAGCTGAATGGGATACGCACCAGTTCCATGTCAACGGTTGATCGTGAGTGGGAGTTTCCTGAAACCGGCATGCCGAGCTCCGAATATACCGTGGATTTTGAGGGACTCTCATCATATTCGTCGCCCATCGGCAGTCCGGTGTTGGTCGCCTATGAGCATGCAATCACGCCACATAAATCCAGGACTCTGGGGGGCGATATAACTCCCGTAATCAGCCAGGTATTGTCAGATGACGAGTTTTGTATTGAAAATGCGCCACTACAGGAAATCGCTGCCGAAGAGTTGGACTTACTTCTTGATTTTTAAACGATCTGATATTTCGATTTGCATTTCTTGATTCCACTCTTTAAAGAGGAAAAAAATTATACTTTGTTTAAAGAGTCTAGTGCTGATATAGTGACTATACTGGAGCAACTATTTTATACGGCTTTAGTAACCAAGTGTACGGTGCTTTTTACTAGATGCTAATTACGTGATATGCCCTAAAATTACACTTTCTTCTGCTATCAAAATCGAGAACGAACTGCTATTTCAGGTATCCGGATATATCTTAACCCACGCTTTAACAGTCATGGGTCACTGACATTTACAATATGAGAGACAGAGCCGCTTGGAAGATTGTCCTGCACTTATGCTGGAGCGATGTTGAATTCATAATTACAAGCTTATCAGCCTTTCAACCTGTCGCTCATCCATAATTTTCCTCGATGACTGGCAGAGATCCCCCAAAACACCTTGAGAATGTACAGTCCCGAATCCGGACCACGATTTCCACTTCCTCCAACACGCTAAGGGTCCCAGTGCCTGGTCGCGTACCGCCCGGCGGCGTGTTTCCAGCCCTCAACTCGGCCCAGAGGGCTGCTACAACCCAAGGACCACGTTCCAAGGTGATATTAAAGCCGGGTCATTCTCCCTTAGATTGGGCTGCGCTAAAGAATTCCAGCGCGAATTTGCGTGGCATTCATCCGAGTGCGTTTCCGTTGCGTGTGACCAAGGAAGAGTTGAAGAAGCATAGAACCCACGAAGACAGCTGGACGACTATTAAGGGCAAAGTTTACAACATAACCCCCTATTTGGACTTCCACCCCGGGGGCAGAGAGGAGTTAATGAAGTGTGCCGGGAAGGAGGGCACTTTGTTGTTTAACAAGTACCACGCCTGGGTCAATGTGGAGCGCATGTTAGACAGCTGCATGGTGGGGGTGTACGTAGGCTAAGTATCGTTTTACTAGTTATATTTATTATAGAATTTTCATATCTTTCCGAAAATACAAGAATTGCAAGCACCTGAATTTATCATTAACGTAGGCATATGTCTGCGCAATTAGACCGTGGTCATGTTGAGATCTTACTCAATCTGGAATACGTAACAGACTGGTTTTGTTCCTAAGCTTAGTCTTTTGTTGAATAGGTGTTGTATCACTATGATGCGTTAGTATATAAGCGAGAGTCATACTATATGTACATAGACTCTAATATCAACGAAACGGGTCTGGCTGATTCGTAAGTTTCCAGGTTTTTTTAAAAAAAAATTACGGAAATTCATTGTCCTAAAAGTCGGTTTAGCTAACTGTTATGGTAGCTCTTGTCCGCTTTAAATTAGAGCTGGACTGGAGGCTGAGGACTTTTTCAGCAACATTCCCCTATCCACACATTGTTAGGGTAGATAATTAAAATATGACCTAAATCACGCCTGAGAGACATTGCCTAACATTATGCCGTATCCTCTATAAGGTTGGAATGATATACCTATGCCATAACCCTCACGAGATGAGCTGCAATTAATCAAAATATAGATTAAAATTGCCCTAGATGAATGATTCAGAATCGTATGTAACTCTCTGATACTGGTTCTGCATGCCCATGCCTGCTGTTATATCAACGCCTCGTATATTCCCTGATCCATCTCTGGGAACTTGGAACTGACGGCCCTTTGCCCAACCAAATCCCGGTACTCTTTACAAATTTTACGTATAATGTCCTCTATTCGGCCTTTTTTCCACCTTAATGGCATTACTATTTACATGTCCTTACTGGGCCTGGCATTGGGGCTCGGAACCGCCGTACTGCTCGTAGTACTGTTCATTGCCGTGATCCTCGTACTCCTCTTCAATGATATCCGGCAATTCACTCTCCTTGATTACCACAAAATCAACCTCCTGGGTGGCGGCATCGACAGCCTCTAGCTTCGGTCTTTTACTAAACAACGTCTCCGGTAACAAGTCGCTCATTCTATCCAAATCGTTCTTCTCCAAGAACCAATTATCTTGAGGAAACTCAATATCCAACAAAATGTACAAGTCGCCCCTGCCTCCGAAGTAACTGTCCTTGATCGGCATCCCCTCCTTCGGCACCTTCAACACGTGCCCCGGCCTCAAGACCTTGCCCTTAGGTGTGGTAATCTTCAAGGATCTACCGTCGAGATGCTTCAACACAACCTTGGAGAACCCACATAACGCCTCCGTCAACGTGATCTTAAGGTTGTAGAACAAATCGTCACCCTTGCGCGCAAACGTGTCGTGCGGCTTTTCCAACACGGTCAAGATGACGTCGCCGGCCTTTTTATTGAGCGCCTCATCTGATTCACCGTTCAAGACAACCGTCTCACCGTTCTTAGACCCCTTCTTTACCACAAACTCGAGAATTTTGGTTTCCTCAACCAATGCGTTCCCGTCGCACTTCTTGCACTTGTCCTTGGTTCTGAAGATCTTACCCGTCGCCTTGCAATTGACGCAATCGGAGTAGTGCCTCGACACCATACCCGGCCCGACGCGGACAATTTTCTCCACGCTACCCTTACCGGCACAGATGGAGCAGGTTTTGGTTTTGGCGTGAGACTTGGCACCGGTACCATGGCACTTGTCACAAATGATGTTTCTGGCGGATGTAATTTTGATGGTTTTGCCCTTGAACAAGTCTTCCAACGACACCTGTACATCCAACTCGGCATTTTCCGTCTTTGCGGAACGCTGTGGCGCTTGCCCCTGTGGCACGCTGCCGTTCATTCCGTTGAAAAAGTTGAAAAAGTCCTGGGGACCATAATCGTTAGGGGTATCGGAGCCGTGGCCGCCCTGACTGTAGTCGTGGTACGACCCACGGTTATCATAAGCATCGCGCTTTGCCTCATCGCTCAAGATTTCGTAAGCGCTAGAGATCTCCTTGAACTTCAACTCAGACTCCTCTCTCTCCCCCTCAGCGGCTTTGTCTGGATGGTATTGCAATGCTAGCTTCCGGTACGCTTTCTTGATTTCCGCCGCAGTGGCAGACGAATCAAGGCCCAAAATTTCATACAAATCGGTATCCATGTTGGCTCAATAATGGTAGTCTGACAATGGAAAGGAGACCGGAGCGAATCTGAAATAGTTTTGATGGTCCTGAAAAAGGAAAACGCCGCTGATAGATAAATTTGCTTTGGTGCAGGAGAGGCTAAGAATCTTCCGGAGAAGGTTTCAAATTTACGTATCCAACGGTATCTTGGTACCAGAATTTAACGAACCCTGTTTGAAAAACTATGGGTTTATTTGAATTCTGGATAAGGTTCTCGATAAATGATGGTTCTCGGTCCCATTCTTAGAGTGTTAAAATGGGCACGTGCACATGTATGTGACAGTTGACCAATAGCTCCAGACTTTGTTACTCTTATTCTCAGATGGGAGAGGTGTCACCTAAGGCAAGACCGAAGTGGATTAAAAATTAATCGAATTTCCATTGCTTAAAAGGTTAAAAGACTGTCCCAACCCGTAATTCTAAGATGGTCTAGATTGCTGTCAAATAGATTAATTATAGTCACTCCATAAGGGGTGAAAACTAGGAACAGTAGTAAGCATATCTGCGATCCATAAAGATGCATAAGCAGCTAAAAGAGTGCATCATAAATACGTCAGAGTCTAGATGGAGCCTTTCTCTTATCTGGTTAATCACTCTTCTGGTAGAACAACATGTACACGGAATTGGTCTCGGAGAGAACATCACTCTTGGAAACCTCGGTCACGTGGGAGTCGCTGATTCGCCAGTACGGGTACTTCACATAGGTGGCTAACTTCTTAAACTTGGCCTTTGGTGGCGGGTCAGAAGCTTCCTGAAGCGAAACACTGGTTGGATCCGTGGCCGAGGGACTGTTGCGGAGCATCGACCTTCCCAGAGACACGCTGGACCTTCTGGAAGAAAAAACGTTGGAAAGAGCTCTCAACCTGGAGCCATCCTCAGGTATCGGAGACCCAGAGAATGGAGAACTGAATGGCGTTTCGTAAATCGGTGTCTCAAGAGACGTCATGACCTTGTTAACTCTGAAGTTATTCAATGCCATACCCGAAAACGAGGGCCGGTTGTGTCTGGAGAAGCTACTATCGCTAGGATCAAGGAGTTTTAAGCTGGGAAACACGACCAAAGCACCGACCCCACTGGGGTCCTTCACAAAGATGGGTTTGTGTCTGAAGCACTCGTAATGACCCATGGAATGCGTGCCCTGGTGCTTTATGATGGACCTGAGACGGTAGCTGGACCGGGAGGACAGTAAATGGGTATCGTAGTCATTGTCACTGTCGCCTTCCGCGTCGGTTTCTCTATTCTGATCCTCCTCAATCGCATCTTCATCCTCAGAATCGTCCTCCACCTTGGCATTTTCGTCCGCGTCGTCTACCTTGGTATTTGCGTCAGTACCTTCCTCCGCCTCCTCTGTTAACACTTTAGCCTTCAACGCCTTCACCCTCAGCTCGTCTGCCCTATACTGCATCATCTGCTTGACAGAATTTCCGTTGATGTTGAAACTGAACCGTTCGTCAAAAGAGACTCTGCAGCTGTTTCGCACTAACTGGCCGGCACTGGTATACAAGGAACGGGACAAATGGAGGGCAAAGATCTTGGGAGCATCCACGATCTGGACCACACGCTTCACCGTGGTTTTAACTGACGCCAAGCGGAAATGGGGGGTCGTGTAAGCTTCCATGTACGCCACCAAGCGCTCCGGAATGTCAGCGTTCACATCAAGATCCTGGGTATGGAGCACATATAGCTGCTGTCTCTCCGGACAGGATTCGCCTTCCCTGTATGGCTCAGCCTTGAATAAGGCGTTCAATTGGCAGCGCAAGCAGCCGTATTCCTCGATCAACTCAACCTCGTTTCTTCGCATGATGTCATCAAGCGTCGTCAGTGACTCGTGTGGCGTGGGTAAAGAAAGAATCAGGAAGTGTTGGAACGTGGGCTTCGATTGGCCCAAGCAGCTCAAACAAGTTAGTTGGTTCATGAGGAGTCCAGCAAAGGGAAATGGAGGGATTGAGCCATCTGGAGCACTAATTGGCGAGCCATTTGAGGATCTACCATCTAGAATTGAGCCATCTAGAGAAGAGGGAAGCGGAGAACTATCCGAATGAGATGCATTTGAGGAGCCGTCTGTATGAGGTCCAGAAGAATCTGCCACCAATTTCTTTAGCGCCCCGTTTTCATTTTCAAGGGTTTCAAAAATGAGCTGCATCAACTCATGTGCATCATGTTGGTTGCGGGAGATCTTTGCTTTGAAAATGCGCTCTAAAACGTGTAATACCGACCACGCAGAGATGGTGGTGACCTTGGTGGTGACCTTCTGGAGTTCTGCCAAGAGCTTAGCAAGGGCCACATGCAACGGGATAACAGGGTCGTCCTTTTTGGTCTCCCGGTAGAGTTCGGCACGTTTAACGGGATTATCCGCTAAAAAGGCCTCGTAGGCCGTGGTCACCTCATTCAAATAGTCCACCAATCCGGATAAACTTACTAAAGCCTGGATGGTGCTGTTGGCAAAACAGTCGTTTCGGAGGTTGATGAAGCCGGTAGTGTTTTTGTCAACCCGCTTTTTTGACTGAAACATATCCTCTTCTTGCGAGATTTGCTGTTTTGACTTGTAGATGTGAGAAAGGGATGGAAGAATGATGTACAAGGAGGCAGAAGCAATAACGGCCACGGTGATGAGCATGTATCTCTTCTGTTGGGAGGACTTAGTAAGCCAGTGCCTATATATTTGCCCGTTAAGCCAAGGAGAAAACGTGGGGTACTGGTCGAGCGATTGCAAGAGCAACTGGTGCTTAGTTCTTCGGTAGAGCTGATGGTCGTTCTTTGCGGATTGGGTCACTAGGTCTCGTAGCTGGTCCAATATTATAGACATTCACGTAATGGTGAAGGAAATGATTATTTGCTGGAAGGTAAAGCGTTGAAGTGTAGCAATGTCTGGAAATGGTTACAAAGAGTGGGATGTAGTAAGAGACTACCTACTGGGTGGTCATGTAAAGGGTTCGTGACACTAGACACAGGAAAAATAAAAATGGACGAGTCAGGAGTCGAACCCGAGACCTTTCACATGCTAAGCGAACGCGCTACCAACTACGCCACACGCCCATAGAGATACAGAGAAAAGTATGCCTGTTTGACACATTCTTTTCTTACTTTTTTTTCATTCCTTTGCACTTGTTAATTTACCTCATCCCATCTGGTTAACCACTATTCTCCACTTACCTCCTTTTGCTTTTAATCCTTCCCTTACTTCTATAGCTAATCTTTATTTCATCTGCAATTGCTACGTGACATCGATATTACTTCTAAACCACCGTAACCTAACCTTGGGCCTACGATTGTTTCAATATTAGATATAGATTAGGTGCAGATAAATACAAATAAAACACCTGGCCCCATAGGGTAAAACCGAACAAACCCAAAATAAAAACCCACATAAAAAATAGACGATGGCTACTCATCGTCATCCACCATGTCACTCATACCCTTTGGCACCCATCTCTCGTTAGCCCATCCCTTGACAGTATATTGCACGCAGGTCTTACCCCTCCTGATACCCCACGGTCGGACCATGCTTTGTTTGCTCATGAAAATATCCTTGTTCTGGTAGGGAGCACGATTCTTCAAATCGTCGTCGTATGGCATTGGAGGTAGCGGATCGTCACGGGGTTGGAGGATGACATTGCTCCATAACTTTTCCTTAGACATCTCTGTCAACTTGTGGAGAAGCTCGCGCTTCTCGTCTTCCGTGTTGTTGATGTACATGTCAATTACTAACTTGTTCATCTCTGGAACCAAGAGATAGCCGTCACGCTTAGCGGCACGGTCGTGCGCGTAGACACGCAAGAATCTAGAGTTGACCCGCGGCTCACGGTTTTTTCTACTCCTCATTTTCTTGCCCTTGTCACCAGGTTTGCAGCAGGGTGATAGAAGAGGCGTCTCATCGAATTTCCAGGTGGTTAATTTGATCGATGGAAGCCTGTCATCAGTCATACGTGGTGTAAAGCCCAATAGCGCGTGGTCAGGTGATGTGCCCAGTGGAGCGGATACAAGAAGTTGCTGGCGAGCCTGGCTAGCCGTTAATGCGGCAGCAGCATCCGATAGCTTCTTGAAAGATTGGGACAAGAACGAGGAAACAATACTAGAAGGGGAAGCGGGGCGCTTTGTCTGTGGAACAAGTGACTCAAGGGTCTCGATGGTGGATAAAGATCTAGAGGAGGCACTGGAGAGAGAGGAGGACCGCGACAAGGATTTCACGGCTCCTTGGCGGTTACCATTCAGCAAGCTGAGAGACAACTTTGAAACGCGCTGATGGGCAGCAGTGCTCGCTTTAACGAACTCCAAGTCGGTGTTTGACCCCTCGGAGGCTAGTTTAGGCTGCGGGGAGAAAACCAGGAAATCAAACAGCGCATCGTCGTCACTGGCAGACTCATCGTCCGACTCGTGGTATGAAAGCGGGTGGGCATCAATGTCACATTCGAGGACGGACACGGAACAGCACAAAGATGTGGTGGATGCAGATTTGAAACTGGAAAAGGAAGAGAGAGATGACATAGACCTGGTTTCACAGAAGGATGAATGATCGCTCATGTGCAGCTGTAGTGAAAGATAAAGGTAATTCTCGTTGCTTCTAGAGAGAAGGGATGGGTTTGGGGTCGCGGTAGCTGAAAAGAAGGTAGTGGAAGGGCTGTGGAAGCCGCTACGCTTTGCCGATAGCGCTGACGATAACGCTGGGGTGCAAAAGGATGGACTGTATCGGCATCCTTTGGACGGAATGTCCAAGGTTCCACCTAAGTTGTCTGGCCGGCCGTCTTCAAGGTCGTCAAACAACCTAGTGGGGACAACCATCTATCTGTAATATGAAGGAAGCAGATCGACTGTGAGGAATATCAATCAGCGAAGACGCAATCGATTATAAGATTCAGTCAAATGAAAAAAGGGGGGAATGATATGTGTACAAATTAGTGGTGGGGCGTAGAGAAGTGTGCATTAGTTTTGGATAACGCCGTCTTTATAAACGGCGCTCGTTCCAGGCGTCTAGCTATTACGCTCGTGTGACCCGTTTAGCCGTCAGAAAAATTTACACTCCTGAATGCGCACTTATGTAAGCACAAAGATAACTGATCGGCTATCTCTCGGTCCGCATTAGGCAACTGTTTCCCTGACATATGGGGTAAACTGTTAGATCTCTGGCCTTTACACAAGACTCAGGTTTGAAAAACAAATAACACGGCTATCCTCATTTAAGAAACACTCTGTAAGTTTCACAATCGTCCCAATTAGGGTTTCAGTAACTAGCCCCCTGAACTCACTTTTTTTTTCTTTGGCTGTGGCACAAGCACAGATTTGTTAACACACAGCGATCCCCACCCCAAGCAATATCTATGTCTTACGAATAAAAGGTACGTTAGTAGGACAGATTTGCACTCTGACTCATAAAGGGGATGTTTAAATCCACTAGACTTGGATATTTTCCCACGCATCCTTGTCTCGATTTTGAGGTGGTCCACGGACAAAGAACCCTGGTATTTCGTCACTGCCAGCACGTGCAGATAAGGGGTCAATTTTACGTTTCATCCCCTAATTTGAAGCCAAATGAAATCACCGTAGGGCAAAATGTTGGAAACTAAATAACTGATATGATACAATTTCTAGTTATGGACTAAGAGTTAAAAGTAGACTTAGCTGAACCTACGAGCAAATCACACAGATATAATACGTGCTTAGGAGCGAAATCAGGTATGTTTCAGGTATTCAACCGAGTTTTAGCATCCTTGAAGCTAAGACTATTTTAGAAGAGTGTCCCGAACTTGGACTGCAAATCGCTGGTGTACGCCATCCACTTTTGCAAGCCGGTGGCCCAGATGACGTCGTTGGCGGTGATAAAATCGTCGATCTTTTTGGTCGAGGCGATCACGGCCTTAACGGCCTCCTCCTGCTTTTCCACCTGTTGCTTTGGTGAGTTTTCCTTCATCTTCTTGTTTACGATAGCCATATTCATGGCGGTAAACTTATCCATCGTGGTTACATTTCCCAAAAGCTCCAGCTGCTGGGGAATGATGCTAGCGATAATGGCACAGCTCAACATAATGATGTCGTGATCGTCCTTCAATCCCTTCTCGAGCACATTCTCCAAGAGCTCGTTATAGAAATCGAGATCGTGAGCACCCGACGCCTCCTCCAAGCGCGTGACGATGATGTGGAAACACTCGTATGCAAGCTTGCGGATCTCCAAGCCGTCGTCGATCTTAACCTTAAAGGGCCCCATCTGGATCGATCGGATGTATTCTGGGCGAGGGTCTAGCTCCTTGTAGATGAGCGGAAGCGCGTAGTCCAAAGTGGCCATCACCATATCGAACGAGCTGTGGGCGGTGGACACCAAGGTGTCAAGCACCGCTCTCTTGATTGCAATATTCTCCAGCTGGAGCGAATCCACAACGGTAATAAACGCCGCATTGATCACCCTGGTCATATCGTCATCACCCCGCGATACAAGTCGCTTGAACGCGGACACAAACGTGTATACCACTGATGGGGAGGCACCGGATGTCACGAGCTCTGTAAGTTCAGTGAACCGCTCCAGGTCACTAATAAGTGCAAGACACTCGCCCGCCAACGCAGCCTCGTCCAGAACATCCGTGACGGTCTGCTCAGTGCGGATAATGGCGGCCCAAATTAATGTAGTATGAGCATCGTTGACTGAGGTCAACTGAAGTTGGCATTTCACCGCGATAAGCACCAAGCGGCGGTAGTGAGCATCTTGGTTGTTCAAGGTGTCAAGTAAGATGGGAAGATAAGCGTCAGTGTCGCGTGAGACGTAGCAACCCACAGCCTTAGCGGCAGCGTTCCGAATGGCAGCGTCTTCATCATCAAATTTGCTCAAAAAGGCATCGATCCCAACGGACAACGCCACACTCTGGCTGACGTAGCCCAAGAACTGCGTGTTGAACAACACGTCCTGCCCCGCAGCCCATTCCATCTCTGACTGTTGGACTACCGCAGCTAGCTGTGCTTCTACGGCAATGGCGGCCAACACCTTTGAAACCACATCGGTCTTGTCGTTGGCGTCGGTAATCGCGGCATACAAGTCGGCTCCGCTGAACGTGCTCAATTTCTGGACCAACAAAACCACTGCTGCATCATCCAGCTGTGCCTGCAATGCGCGGTTGATGAGCGCTACGATCACTGCAAGATCCGTGGCGGGAGTCACGAGGCTGGTGATAATGGCGAAGGAAGCGGCAAGATTCTTCGCATCATCAACCAGCGCATTCTGAACAACTATCTCTACCACTACGGCATCCATGGCTGAGGCCTCCACAGCAGAGGCCTGCACGATCACCGCGATGGTTTCAAGCACAGTAGTCTTCAAGGATGCGGTAGCAGCCGCAAGGAGCTGGCACAAGGTGACAGCGGTGGTATTGAACCACGCATGGGGAATACTAGCCACAAGGTGCGAGTCCTGGCAGATCTTGCGGGTAGCGATGACCGCAGACTCGGTGATGGCTTCGTAGCCGAAGCATTCTGTCAAGATATCCAAAATGGGAAGGAGTGCAGAGCTGGAGACAGTGACCATACTGGCCAAGGCGAGAATTGCCTTATTACGCACGGTGCTGGGATAGGATTTGGACACCGCCTTTTCCAACAAAGACAGCTGAAGGGCGGTCAAATTGACACTCGCACCGCACTCAAACAAGTCCGATGCGGTTTTTAACGCCTCGAGGACGACGCTGTGGGAGGAACTCTGAAGACCGCTGGTAATCTCATCCGCAATCTTCTGTAACTGGTTCCCACACGCTGCCGCGGGGTTAGTCCTGAGAACGACTGAATAGAAGCTCAACACGTCCACAATGGTGCTCTGGGATTTACACGAGCCCACGGCCGCGAGCAAGCTCTCCACATTACCCAACCCGGTGACGGCGCTTAAACTCTTAAAGAAGGCGAGAAGCACGCCCAAACGCATGACAGTTATTAAAGGAGAGAGCTTGGCGGTTATCTCAGGCACGAGAGTCGTCAAAACGGTGTGTGGGTCACTCTCTAACCGCATGCTGGCATCTTCAGACTTGACCGCAGTGAAGGACTTTATCGCATAGTACGGTCCGTGGTGTGAGGTAGTTTCTACAATGACGCCCAACGCGGCAATGACCTCGTTAGATACGTTTTCATTGGAGTCATCAAGATGGCTGATAAGGGAATCCACAACTTCATAGACCAAGGGTAAGGTCAACGGATGGTGGGTGCAAACAATGCGAATAGTGGCAGCAGCCTGCTTGCGCAAGCGCCATGCAATATCGAAACTTTCTTCATCATCCTCCAGAAACTCGTCTGCAGAGAATTCATTCTCCTCGTCTTCCCCGTACGGGTCGTACGCGAGGAAGCGCAGACAGATTTCAAGCACACCGCGGGCATATGCCGCAAATATCGCGTGCGGCGCGGGCACCAATGAAATAAGCGCAGTAAAAGCGTGGTCTCTGAGCTCATCGAGCTTGATCTGGTCGTCGATATCGTCGACCACCTCAAGTTCGTCTACGCGCAAGCTCTCGACCACGACGGTAAATACGCTCTCGAAGTGGACAAGAAGCTTACTCTTTTCGGAGCCACTGAGCGCCGTGTAGATCGAAAGGCGCGTAATTTCGCCGTTCTGAGCATTGACCGCGGCAAGCAAGGCCAGAAACTGAGCCGCGGTAGCAAACTTCGACACAGAGCCAAGAGCGGCAATGGCCTTTCTGCTGAGGGATCCATCCGCGGCGTAGGCAATCAGCACCAAAACTTGAACCGTGGCGTCCAATTCGGCGGCGTTGAAGCTCCCGCCGAGATACGTGACCACGTCAGCCAACACCTCAATCGTGTCAAGCGAGGCTGCAGCGCCAACCAACGGCAATAAAGCCTCGACAATTTCGCGGGCCACGTTCTGCAGCACTGTCAAGCTCTTTAAACACGCCTTGAGTGCGACCGTGTGGATGGATGTCGTGATGGCGTTGGGGTTGGGCTGGGCGGCTAACCGTGCCAAGATCGCCACCACCTTGCCGTTCTGCAAGAGACGGATGAGAAGCGGGAAGCACCGGATCGCCTGGTTCTGCACGTCGGTATTGGAGTCTTCCAATCCGCTGAAGAGCACCGGAATGAGTTTGTCGATGGAGCGCTCGGTGAAGGCGGTGGCGCTGCTCTCCAAGAGCTTGCTGAAGTCGCTGAGCGCCATGTAGCGCAAGTCAGCATCTACATCGACAGCCTTGTCTAGAAGCAGGTCTACTGATTCGCTGGCCATTGTGTATGGAGTGTGAGGAAGAAGTGCGGAAAAAGTGGGTTTGATGGGGTGTCCAGAAGGGTTTTATAGTTAGGGGTTTTCGCGGGGTGTAGTTTTCGCGTAGGTGTGTGGAAAATTGTACCCTCGTTCTTCCTGTAAATGTTGGAGCATAGGGTAAGCTAGTAACGGGATTGTGTAACTGACGTGACGAAAAATTCTCCAAAAAAAAATGGATTGGAGTTTAATCCAATACCAGTCCAACCTATGGCTTTGAAAAAACATCAAGTCCACTGAGGCAGCAGAGAAGGTATGGGTAGCTGGTGTATGCAAGAAAGGCGATTAACATATAGCAAGAAGAGAAAGGAAAGTAATTTAGAGCTATAACATCAAGGATATCTGTATGGTTTATTTGAAGTAATACATGATGTGTTAAAGTCAAAATGAAACCAGATACAGGGTTACCTAAGTCAAGTCATCTTATATCCTTGCGATACCCAAACTAAAAACCCATCGAACCATGTATTTTATTGGTATAATAATATCCATAAACACTAAAAAGCATTTATATCCACCACTTTTATACTAATTTCTTTATATAACGCTTGTGTAAGACAAGCTTCAGCTCCTAGAGATTTGGTCTGTAAAATGAATCGAAGGTCCTTGGGTTTTTACCGTATTGGCGTTCAACCACTAGGATAAGTGGTGAATATTCCTTTTTGTGGATATTAGCGTATTTTTATTTATTTATATTTTTTGAATAATCGTAAATATTCTTGCTATATATAACCAGTGAAACATAGAACCTCGATCTATCCCCCCACAGTCTCGTAGCATGTATGCACGATGCAACATGGAAAATTACACAGTTGCTAACAAAACGGCTACTGTAATCCAATCTCCTGAAGCTTTCACACGCAACATGCATTCGCTCGTTCTAGACAGAATATTGGGGAAAATACGCCCACTAGAGTTCAGCACCGTGCTCACGGAAGCCCACTATACCAACCTTACACACACAAACAACCCAGAATTCCCAGTGCTGTCGCACCTCGGCGCTATCAACACCCTCTCGCTTGAACGCCTAGAGAACCGGTTTCTCCTCAGCGGCGGGGCAGATGCGGTAATTAAGATCTGGGATACCCGTAGCTGTGATCCTGTGAACTCCCCGTATGACAGTGACAAGGTGGTGACAGTGGCTCTGATTCCAAAGAAGGTGGCGCACACATTTGGGGTGTCCTGCGTAAAGTGGTGGCCCTTTGACAACGAGATGTTTGTATCTTCTTCGTTCGACCATACAGTAAAGATCTGGGATACCAACAGCATGGAGGCGGTACACGCGTTTGATCTAGAACACCGATTGTACCACATGGACCTCTCATCCACCGGCCAGCAGACACTCGTAGCCACCGCCAGCGATTTCCCCCTAATTCGACTCCTCGACTTGCGAACAACTTCTGCCTCCCACACGCTTCCAGGGCATAGAGGTAAGGTTCTAGCGGTGAAATGGTCACCCACGGATCCTAATATCCTCGTGTCTGGAGGCTCGGACGGAGAGTTAAAGCTCTGGGACATCCGGCGAAGCAACTGCTGTGTATGTCGCTTCGACATGTATCGTACCAGTGAGACCCATCCTATCGCCCCTACAGACAACCGAATAAGGTCTGAAAATGAGGGGAGAGCCGTGAAAGCGCACCTGGGCCCGTTGAACGGCATCGTGTGGATAGATAACGGGGCTGGGATTATAACCACTGGTAACGACGAGAAGGTACGGGTGTGGGATCTCGAGCCAAAGGGTGGGGTTAACAAGTTGACAAATTTTGGACCCCTAATTAGAAACAAATACCTCCAGAACCTCACGCCTTGTCTCAGCCCCGCCACAGAAACCGAGCTCCAATACTTGCTCTATCCATCAGATAACGGAGACATCTTCGTATACCGCGTTACCGACGGGAAGATGGTGAAAAGACTTAGCCGAGGCCCCAAAACCCCAAGGTCGTGTTGCATTGAGTACGCCGGCAACCATTCGGGGACATACTATACCGGGAATCTGGAAGGAGAGATCAGCACCTGGGGACCTGAGGCTGCCCACCCCATCATTGACAACCACGTGCACTATGATAATAACGAGGGAGGTGAGGATGTGTTGATCAGGATTCAAAACGAGATAGAGGCGCGGCGGATCCTTGCAGATTCAGAATTTTAGGTGAGGAAAATTAGTAGCTACTAGCTTATGTCCCTTTACTATTGATGTCACAAATTTCGATATATATACGAGTATTGATAAATATATGCTACTTCTTTTTTTTTCGATTTATGTGAGGGACATCATAAAGTTAGAGACAATCTGATTTATTTCAGCAAATTATTGGTGCGGTAAAAGTAATACCAAAACGTCCCCGTGGTAGATAAAGTTGAACCTGTAGCCACAATACAAAGACAGGGATTTTCCCACCTGTGAAAAATTACGTTATACTAGTTTAAAACCCAACATAAAATTGAGATAAATCGTATTACTATATATATATATCGTATTTGAATAAAATATTCTAAATCTACTTCCCAAGGGTAAACTTGGCCAACTTTTTGTAGCCAGCCACCGCTTCTAACAAATCCTCGATGGTCACAAACTCGTTAGCCGCGTGTGCAACATGAATGGTACCTGGCCCGTAGAGGTACCTCTTGAATGAACCCTTCAAGTATGGAATATCCGTGGCGTATGCCAACACAATAGACTCGAAACCAGGAACCTCGTAATCAAGGAATTGCTGGTCAACTCTCTGTATCAACTTCATCTCGATGTTTGGCTCGGAGGAAATCGCCTTCTGCACCATTTCTGCAATTTCTTCCAACCCGTCAGCGACTCTAATAAAAACCCTTGCCGACGCCTCCGCAGGAATGACGTTCGCAGCAATACCACCGTTTATCACACCCACATTGATGGTTGAAGGACCTAATAGATCGTGTTTCGGCAAGTCCAAGTCTAACAACCTATTCAACACTCTAATCAACTGGGTGTTGGCATTGACCCCTAACTCAGGGTAGCCAGAGTGGGATGCCTTGCCTTGGGAGTGCAAGGAGAAGTAGTAGTTGCCCTTGTGGCCTACCCCCAACTTCAACTCCGTTGGCTCACCAAAAATGACAGACTCCCAAGTGGTGTTCAATGCCCTCGAAACAGTAACCATCCCCGAACCATCAACCTCCTCACCCACTACAAACAACAAAGAAGCGTCCCCTTCTTGGAAGGTACCGTCCTTGACCAAGTCCAAGTAGGCCACGATCTGGGAAGCAACCGAGCCCTTGGCATCACACGTCCCACGGCCGTAGATCTTGTTGTCTTCAACATAATATGGGAGATATGGGGGAACCGTATCCATGTGGGAGGTGATACAGATTCGGTTATCCCTTTGGCTGCCCAAGTAAGCGTAGATGTTGGCTCTGTATGGCAACTGGGACACCACCTGTGTCTCCACAGTCAACCCCTTTGCCTTGAGATACTTCTTTAAGTAGGCACCAACCTCTTCTTCATATGGCGCAATGGAGTTGATTTCCACCATATCCTTGTGCAATTTGAGCAACTTTATGTCGGTATCGAAGGCAAACCCGCTGGATAACACCGTTTGGCCTGAGAGCATACCGAGCTTTGCATCCCAGACGTCAGAAATAGAGAGGGCCGTAGCCAATTGGAAGAGTCCAAACACAGATTGTAATTTCATCGTGGTTTGGGTCCGTAGTTTTTTTCACCCAAAATGTGGGAGTTGTAGGTGATTGTAAAACAGAGGTAAACTCGGAAGATGGAGTGCGTCAGAGGGGGTTGAGCACGTGTTATAGCACGTGACTACTTTCGAACGTGTCGAAGAAAAATAAAATTTCACTACACATATAAACGACGACATCCACCTCTTAGTATTGCCAGCTCTATCACCAAGATGCTTTCCCAGATACGGCCAGCGGCCTCCCGCATGTTCTCCTCCGCGAGTGCAATGAGAATTTCCGCAAGCAAGTTAAAGAACATCAAACCAGCGTCGGTCACCGGCGGCTATGCGCCCAAGGTCATTGCCAACCACGATTTGCTCGCCAAGGACCTTGATTTGAGCATTGCTGCTGACGAGAAGGATGCTGCTTTGGCATCTAAGCCGGTTCCGTTAGCTGTGGAACTCACATACTACAAGCCGATGAAGTGGCCGGTCCACCACAACCACTTGACCGGTGACATTACCGTCAGATCATACGGTATCTACAACGTGGAACTCTTTTCAGACTTTATTTTGAGAGTAGGATACTACTTAGGGATTCCAATGACCGGCCCTACCCCTTTGCCGCTCAAGATCGAAAGCTGGACCACCATCAGAGGTCCATTCATCCACGCAAAATCCAAGGACAACTGGGAAAGAAAGACCAGAAGCAGACTGATTAAGTGCTGGGATTGCACCCCAGAGGTGTTTGAATTGATGATGAGCGTTGTGGAGAAGTACGGGATTCCTAACTTGGGAGTCAAGTCACAACTCTACGTCGACCATTCGTTGGAGTCCATCAAGAAGGACTTGAACATGGTCGACTCTGTTGCCTTGAAGACTGTTTCTAAGGAGGAGGATGCCGTGCTTGCAAGAGTTAGAGAGTTGTTGGCCGATCCAGCCTTTAAGAGGCACTTAGACGCTGATGCTGAGAGAGTCAAGACCGAGGCCACCCAGGAGCATAAGAGGCTCGAATCTGAGGTCGACGCCGAAGTCACTGCCCAGGTCTAAAGCAAACAATAATTAAGTGGGAGAGACAGGTATAATGTCGCCCAATTTATCTGTATATAAATCATGACATTCATTGGAATTTTTTGTAGGAGACTTGTTGCCTACGAGAGAAGGCTAATGTTCTAGTGGATTCAAACATTCAATCAGTTTGCAATATTTGATCCCTTTCCCACTCATTTTGGTATTTTCCGTGTCCCCTAGCAAAGGAAACGAGCAGTAAATTGAAAGGATAACGTTCCAGTTGTATGATAAATTGTCTGAGATTATATTTTAGAAAAAGTTGTGGTGGGGGCAGTCATTATGTTTGAACCTTACCGACAAATCATAAAATTATATTGACACCTGAAGAGTTGAATACGGTTCAGTCAATACTTTGGCTAAAGATAAATTGGATTTCTGAATCATTGAAAAGATTTGACCAGTATCTAAATTTTATTCTCCTCAAAGACTGCGAGCCGTGGTGTAACAGACCGTAGCTGAAGTTCAATTAGGTGAGTGGCACCAAGTACACTGATTAACCTGGATCATTAGACACTATCAGTCCTTTAACAATGTACTATTTTTTTATTGGGCATTGAAGGTAGCCAAACCCCGGGTGGCTAGTTAGGACCCGAGTGACGTTGAGGACCTCCATTCAGCAATTACTCTCAGTGTCATAGCTGTGATTAAATAGCACGAGGGACTTAAGAATCTAAATTATTTGTAGTGTTTATGCTAATGATTCTCCATAAAGGATCACAATGACACTTCCTTAATATGAACTTGGGGTGCATTAAGACAACTACACATCACTCAACGCTAATCACGCTTATATGACGTTACAAATCTATGTTTATCCACATCCTCCCTTTCGCATAGACATCACTCCTAGAAATATCAAAACCGACGTTTCCTTCTCGTGACTCAGAACATTGCCCAGTTTAACCATTTGCATACTTTTCTCTTGGGCTATATTACGCCCCTTGCCTGTTTAGTCCTCTCGCCTTGGGCTACAAATCCCGCCATCAACCATACATCTCCCAGTCCTCCTCCTCTTCCTCGCTCTCATAATTCTTGGCAATTTCCAACTTCTTCTTGACCGTCACGTCGCTTCGGCACAACGGGCACGTCTTATTGAACTTCAACCACGGACCAATACACTCGAGATCAAACACGTGCTTGCAGGTTGGTAAGGCAACAAGCAAAGGATACTGATCGTTCCCGAAATCATTCGTGCAAATAGCACACGTATCGGTGGCAGTCTTGATCAACTTCAAATCCTTCACACTGACCCTCTCCATATCGTCGATGAACGCATCTGAGACACCCTTGTCGCCGGTAAAGTCACTACTGTTGTTTTCCAACTGCTCCATCAATTCATGGGCTAAGGTAGACCCAGCCTCCGAGCTGAGCACCCGGAGCGAATTTCTCAATGCGTCCACAGCAGCCGAATCGGCACCACTGATGGCTGAAAAATCATGCGATCCATCAGCTGCGGCAGGTTGAGGAGCCCGTGTCATAAAGGAGTTTAGCACACTGAATAATGATTGGTGTTCTCTGCCCGAGTCCTCGGCTCCTTGTCTCTGTGGGGCTAACGTGATGTTGTGGTCGTCTGGAGTGTTAGTCTTTAAGCTACGATACTAAAAAAGGATTCAATAAACTTCAGCTACTTACCCTCGTATGTGGCCATTATTTCTACCTTAGAGTACAAGCGTGATGGAGGAATAGAGCCTACCTTTATGGTCAGAGGTCTGTGTGGCGACCTCCAAACTTCAATCTCTGTGGGGCAAAGCTGGATGCCGGATATTCTCAATACAGAGGCGCAGATATTTGCAGGATGCATGGCCTCTGTATAAGTACGGGAAAGACTCGTCATCAAGCGTCCTCTAGTTATCTCTTCCGTATCCTATCATCATGTCGATAAACTGGGTAATGTTAAACGGGGGCTCGAATCCTCCGTTTGTGCTCCTTGAAAACGAAGCCATCAGATGCAAAACACCTTCCAACCGCACCATATTGGAGATTCATCCCATGGGTAATTCAGCCTCATCTCGCGTGTTGGCTGCCTCCGGTAACGTTTACTTGTCAAACAAGCGGCTTGTGATGATCTGCTCTTCTGCTGAAAGTAATGATTTTAAATCATTCCAGGTTTTGTATCCGCAGGTAAAGTCATTCAAGTTAGAGAGCCCGTGGTTTGGTGTGAACAAGTGGCGGGGGTTGTTTAGCTGTCTGGACCATGAGACTGGGTTGTTGAAAGGGACAGATTACGAGATCGTTATCAAGTTTACTGAAGGAGGGGTGGTGGACTTCACTACCGTGTTCAATAAGGCATGGAATGACCATGTCGTGAACAAGGATATCGACGATGACTTGCCAAGATATTCAGTGGTATAGGCCATATCCCTGCTATGTAACCCCCCGTGAGGAATTATAGCTGTTCGATGCTGGTAAAAAGTTGGTAGTGCTGATGATAGGGTGTCTCGTTCATGCCCCATATCTTTCCAGACGCACCTTACGAGTGGCGTGACAGGAACGTAGAGGGCGGCAAAAAGAGATATAAGAGCTCTCTGAACTTGATCACCCCCGGTGGGTAAGCCTCCCTGTAAGACATTGGTTCATTTCAGGTGTTTCAGTATCTGTGATTATAAAAAAATTGACCTATGAGATTTAACTCTTAGACGGGGTAATATTTCAAGAACGGCTGGGATACCTACCCCTACCTTAGTTAAACTGAAATATTTAGTTACTATTACACACAGTCGAGGAATTATTCAAACAACAAGGCCTGTTTTCCAGACTTGTCACCAACAACCCGAAGCATGGTCTCCAAAAACGTTGAACCCTTGGCATCATCCTCTGCAAGCTTATACAGCACCTTCTTAAACGGAGGAGACACCACCAACCCCTTCTCATAATACTTGCAAATCTCGTCCAAGGTGTCAATCTTCAGCTGGGGGTTGGCGGCAATATTGGCAGTCAACCAGTAGCCGGTGGAGGTGATCTGTTTAAACACGTAGTCTGTGATGGAGATGTTGATGTTCAAATCCGACTGGTCCATCAATCCATAGGTGACCACGAACCCGCCCTTAGAAAGCTTCTTCACAAGGGCACTGGCAGACTTGCCACTAACACAATTCAACGCCAATCTGACCTTAGAATCACCTACCCATTCAGAGATGGTAGCCTGGAACGATTCATCATAATTCTGCTCATCGGTGATGACTTTTGTAGCTCCGAGAGCGGTCAATTCCTCCACAAGCTCAGTCAAGTTGTCGCGGTTTCTCACTACTGAGATCGAATTGATGCCCTTGACCCTGGCAATTTGGGTCACAAGCTTGCCCACGGCAGAGTTCCCCGCGTTCTGAATCACCCAGTCGCCTTTTTTCAAGTAGACAAATTGCGTGAGGAGCTGATACGCGGTCAAAGGGTTGACACCAATGGTGGCAGCCTGATCCAAGCTGAGGAAGGATGGAAGCGGAATAACGTCGTGGGAGTCACAGAGAATGTGACTTCTCCAGGTCCCCAAACCCGGTACACGCGGAATACACCAATCTCCGGTCTTGAAGTGTTTAACGGCGGAGCCCACCTTCAATACCTTGAACAACCCTTCGTTACCCCCCACTGCCGAAGGCTTGGCAGTGCCAAGCTTGGTGTTTTTTTCTGGTCTGGCGGGGTAGGTTCCAATTACTTGTAAGATGTCTGCGGGATTCACTGGCGCCACGACCGTTAGGATCAAAACTTCGTTACTCTGGGGATCAGCAAGGGTATAGGAGTGGGTGTGGAGGACATCCGAGACTTGTCCGTGTTCGGAATACACAATGGCTTTAGCAGAAGTCATTAAGTTGTTTTCGCTTTGTCAAGCCAATTGGGAATAATTAAAGTCTGAGAGACCACAGTGATGGATACGTGCTGACGTGGTGGAAATAAGTACAGCACGGAGCTTTGCGGAACGTGTAATTGCTGTGGGGATATTTGCCAAAATTAGTAAGCACAAAGTATATGCACTCGGGGCTTATGACCCTCACATTTCCAGCATCCCGTGAAAAGGGAGTTCATTTTGATGACTAATGGGAGTTTTCGATAATTATATTATGAGGGAAGATTGACGGAAGATTTAGACGTAAATTTTACCGTTATCAAGTATGCGAAGGATTCTGAGCAAGGTTGGTCTATATTCCCTCAGCATCAGATTTCCTATTTAGATTGCCCCCCTCCCCATCCATATATTATCCATATATTCCCCACTGTCTTGAGACATGCAAAGAACGGCGCAGTAACGTGAAAATTCAAGAACCTGAATCATACAGTTTAGAATAAGCACTTATGAGACGGAATTCCGAAAATGGGATGGAGCTAGTTTACGAGGATTTTCGTTTCAGAGAATCATAAAAGCCGCAACTATTTCGAGAATAGCGGATTCTGGGTTTACGACGCCCCCCTCGTCTTTTGACCTCAGAAATGACTTGTATTTATCCGGTGGCGCCGTGATCCGGATCTGCCGGAAAGAGGTTAAAAACGCACCCGGAAGAAAAGGTGCGTGAATACAACGGCCCGCCAAGCTCTATCGGCGAAACTTCAACATGCAGCTGACCCTTGAATTCATATTCCAGCGTATATCCATCGCAACGTTTATCGTTATACTTGAGTTCGGACTAATAGGCCCTAGCTCGGCGGATGTGAACGCACTATCGTTGGGTATGTACCGCCGACATTCGCTTCGTCCACTCTCATATTATCACTTTGTTACCACAGGTACGTTTGATCTCCTATATTTAGCCGCTCAAAAAATCCTGGCTGCACAATTTCCATTCCCTGTTTGCTGTTTCGCCGTAAAGGGGGGACCCTAAGGACTGGACGGCGGCTGCGTACGTTTTCGGCCGGCAGAAGCGCATGTTGCCAATTCCCGTGGTGAAAAAATTGTTTACGGAAAGGAGTCGGCGCAATTTCAGTGTCCCCTATCTGTTTTACGTGCATAGAACGCTGAGCTGTCAACTATCGCAAAGGCTTAGTTGGTGACGCAGCACGATGTAATTTAGCAGGAAATGTCGTAACTACTCCAACGAAAAATAGGAGACACCAGTCACATTTGCTATGGGTGATGGAAATTTGACATTAGAAATACGTTTACAAATATATGGTCAAACCGAAATTCCCGTCAACCATGTCAACTCGAATGTCTATTCGGGGAAAGCATTGAATCTAGACTAATTTATAGATCGTCACTGTAACCCCACGGGCCATTGGATTGCTGCCTGCTTCTGCATAGTTGAATGAGTTGGGCAAGAGATGGCAAGCGTATAACCATACGGCTTTTTTTTCGTAGAATATGACTTATTCGTATGTAGATTGATACATACCCAGTATAGTCAAAAAGAGTACATAGACTCATATACATCCTTGTACGACGACTATGGCTAACATGAAACCAGCTGCTGGGATAATAACGTCCAGGACACGCAGGGATTACTTTTTTCTACAGGCGTCACAGGACATACCCAGTACCTAAGAATCCAAAATGTAAACGTATAAGCGCAAATATACACTCGCATATAAAGGATGGTGAAGGTGCTTTATCTTTAGATTAAGAGTTTTTGGAAAAGGCATCCAACAGAAACGTAGAGGGGGGTCGAGCATTCTTCTGGGGAACCGGATAATACCAATTTTACGAGGCAAAAAGTCTGGGCGTTTTCAGGGCAGCTCCCGCAGCAATGGAGTCTAGGACCCTCCTGCAGTCTAAAACTAATCGAGAGCATGAAAAAGTTACGTAAAAGTTACGTGCATGGCAGACGAGAGGAAGGGGCGCAGCCAGTCGAGCAATCACGCGATACGAGTGGCCGGCAACAATACCATCTTGCAAAACCTATGCTAGTCTCTATTTTGTCATGATTAATTTAAGCGATACTTTCAACAGTGTTAGGTGTTATTCTCAGGCTTGGATACCCCTCCCGATAGATTATGGCTCGAAAATCACGCAACCTGCGCACAGATCGCCCCAGCGGGGTTACGAAAAAGCAATGCAAGTTTGTGAACCCTGTGCGGGCACTAGTCGCTGGTCCAAGGAAAATCTCAAACAACCTAATATATCGTGCATGCCCAACGTGGGCAAACTTGAGACGACGGAGATATCAAAGGGAATTTCACAGAGGAGGTTTTCTTGATTAGCTCATTGTGACCGCAGTGTGTGATTCTAAAAAGATAAATCTTCGGCAACTTCTTCCAAGATGACCACTAATCCGATAGAAACGAGTTTAACAGTGGGATGGTTTTGCAGCGGGGAGTTTTGCAACCCATAGGCTCCGCACATATTATCACCGGTTGGACGCCAAGCATCTACACCTCTGATGATTGGATGATCCAAGGGTTCTATAACGTGGAACCTATACGAGTATACCTACGCCTTATTTTCGCTCTTTCTAAATATAAACGAATACCCTCTGGCCTTGAAGCTCATTTTTGCCGACCTTGTGTTGCAAGTGTAGTAGGCATTTATTTTCAAATAATCATTTCTGGGTGTCTAAGTGCATACTTGTTGAGAAAATCCCATAAGCGCATAGGGAGACGCAAGTTAACAGTAAGCACGCAATATGCGCGTGCGACTCCAGGTCTCAGTAGCACTAACCAAAAAAGTAGTGAAGCCTAGAACCTGCATCGCCAGTTTCCCCACCACTTTTTTTCTGTTTTTCGTCGACTTATTAGCTGCACAATGTGCACAGTAGGGTCTTCGACAAGCGATAGGATGTCCTAGATTTTCAGCCGTGGGTGGGAAGAATCCCTCAATTTCGATAAACAGGATCAGTAAATATTTGAAGCTCGTCAGGGTCCAGTATCCTTATATTGGATGAATAACAGCATCCGACTACTTCCACACGGTTTAATGTGTACACTAGGATATGTGGGCCAGCACTTTCCATGGACTTGTCTCCATTGAAGTCAGGGTATCTCTAGCCCTAGGCATATATTATTGAAACCCCTGCTGGTAGCAGCTACCCTTTACTTGCTCCCTAAATCGCGTCTGGTACCAGTAACTGCGGCCCTGCCACTCGACCGGGAACGTGGTGAAATTTATCGATTGCCATTGTTCTTTCGTCCAGGTCTGATCATCCAGCGGCATCTCTCCCAGTATTCCCATTTAGATACCCTGCCGCCTCCAGTTCCAGTCTACGGGTCTACACGGTACATCAGGACACAGGCCTTGCATTATTTGCATACCCGGCTTTGGAAAGGGATGACGGCTGCAGGAAACATAAAACTTAGATTTTTAACCTGCATGGCTCCTCATACAAGCTTTTTTGAAACCCCTGCCGTTATCGGCCGTTTAGGTTAGCCCCTTCGCGAATTCATCCCGACGAGATTCGCAATCGCACATACGTAAGTTGCGAGAGAGCGGTGGAGATAAAATCGCGCAAGCTCAAAAATCATAGGCCCTAGAAACGACCCAAAGGACTGGGTATACGTTCAGCGAAAGCTATGGCACATATACAGGGTTACACTGAACGATTGAACTGTTATGACAATTAACACGTATATAACCTTAGCAACAGTAGGCGGAATTAATATTCGTCAGTTTGGGATAACCAGCTTTCTGGTTTAGCACCGACTACGTTCAGATGACAAGTGTACACCCCATCTACATTTTCAATACTTTTTATCCATTTATTTTTGCTTTTGCTAAAGACCATAGACGAAACTGTAACCAAAAAACGCGCACCGAGAAACCATAAAAACCATTGAAAAAAAAAAGTATGCAGAGGTTATCCCAAGACGGGGTGGTGGCGAGGAGGGGATACCACGTCGGAGTCAGACAAGACGCTCCCCTCGGTCACCCTCTTGGTTCTTCTCTTGCCCAAATGGGTTTTGAAGTGCTGCATACAGTTATCGTGGCGCGAGAAGCGGGCGTTACAGCCGTCAAACGGACACACGTGCTTTCTCTCACCGGTGTGGATGCGCGAGTGGCGGGCCAAATGTCCGGATGTCGTGAAAGACTTCAAGCAGGCCTTGCACTGGTACTTGCGGACGCGCGCGGCCGCCAAAGCAGAGTTGGACGAGACGCCGTTGGTCGGGGAGCTGGATCGGGAGGACACAGGAGACTTAGGGTGGGTGGAAAGCTTGGGGTGCTCGTGGTAAGGATAGTGGTTCTGGCTGTATGCAACGTTCGCAACCACGTTGAGGTTATCGGTGTTGTACGACGGTGGGGGAGAAGGAGTCATGTGGCGTCCGTGGTTCATGAGCGAAGTGTAGGACGATGGTGATGAGAAGGTGTGGTGGCCGCTGTGGAACGGCTGTTGTTGTTCCAATGGCTGACAGATTTGAGCAGGAATCAACGCTGGCAAACCTTGAGAAACACCCCGTGGGTACGGGGAGGGCGCAACCTGATGGGACGAGATGATGTTGTGAAACTTGGTTTCGTTGGGCAACGGAATGTCGTTGAGCAACGATTTTAAAGAGGGCAAGACCACGGTAGAAGGGCCGGTAGCAGGGTAGTACATGTTGTGATTGAAGGTTGGTGCTGTGTGTAGAAGGGTCGTCATGAGGGGTGGTCTATCAAGTAGAGCGTGTGTGAGGGTAAGAGGGGAAAAGAATGGGAATGAAGGAAGATGACCGAGGGAGGGGAGAGAAAGAGTTGAGAATCGCCTGTTTATATATTGCTGGGAAGCAAGTCTAAATTACAAATCACCTAAGGCTGTACGGTGGGCTAGAAAGAGACGAATGTAAAACGTAGACTCTGGACGCAAGGTGCCCACAGGTCTCGTAAAAAATTGGAGATACCAAGACCTGACGTGTGTATTGCCGAGTTTCATAATTTTATCTCCTCTCTCCGGTGGACGAAAACAGGAAATAATCGAGGTGCAGAGTGCGTGACGCACGTAGATCGTGAATCGAGGCGCTGTGGGGCCAGAGAGATAGCAGACTAAATTCGGCTCTTCTTCTGAATTGCTAACGCAAGTTGGCAGGGGTTTATCACCGATGTACGTGTCTGCACGTATTATATTCCCATGAACCCCTCTTTACACCGTCTGAGGTGCATGACCACGACTTTTTTTTGGCGTGCATGAGATCGATATTGCCTAAAGCGGAATATGAGGGTTGTATATATGGTTTCTTTTTTCCATGCCGAGCTTTAAGGCGTCCCGCGTGAAACACGTTGACCTTGGCTGGTGGAACTATTTCCATTGGTCGGATCTGTTGGATCGCCGTGGCTTCCACGATAATGCAATCCATGACGTCTCATTGCGCCTTTAAAGCTGGGAAGTGGCTTGGGCAGCAGAACACGTGGCCACACTTTCTCTTTCAGCTGCAATAACGGAAAGGCTTCCATCGTGTGTGTTTCAAAATTATGAGTTAAGGACGAAATCTAGGTTATGTTTTGATCAGTTCTGTGTGGACGCATCAAGTAACTGAGACTCCACAGCGCTGTGTATCTAAAGAGCAGTTTGACGAACTCTGGGTGCAGATAGTGGAGTACCTGAGAGTGTAAACTCAAGTACAGATAGAGTACATGCAGTCTAAGTCTCTGAGCTCAGGTGCATATAGGGACACCGTACACCCTTGCGTCTGACTCGTCGAAAGCTTCATGCCAAGGGTGAGATTCGTACAGTTCGTATTTTATCATGATAATGAAATTATAGAGCGAAACACAGTTTTGCAACAAGCCGGCACAGAAATGAAGAGTTCCAAAATATAGTTCTGCGTGCATAATGTTCACTAAGTCCAGGATAAAACAAGCTTTTTCGACTTTTGAGTTACAGCCCTGCGCCTACGCCTGCGCCTTGCTCTGGAATCTACACTATGGCATCATCACCCAGAATACGCATGTGGCCGCAGTAATTGAATATCTTACCTCCAATGGCTATTTATAGGATTGCCATCACGCTGGTTAATAACAGGCCGCTCTAGTATGCGCATTTGCGGAATTTGGCCGGTCGCATGTGATAGGTTACTCTAACCAGGTTTCTTGTATCACGTAGTCTAGAGGAACTACTATAGGCCAGACGCAACGGAGGATGAAATCCACAGAGCATGAAATTCCCAGAGTATAAAACCCCCCAGAGCTTGAGGGGTAAAATTACTTCCCTGGTTTAGTTTGATTCAATGTATCTCGCTTTTGGCCACTACTCGACAACTTTGTGTCGTTGTTGTCTGTGCGGCTACGACAATACCTTTGTACTTTGTGCTTAGTACCCCGACCTCCCCCGCCGTATTGTCTTCTTTCCAAAATGGGATTCTGTTCTAGAAATGCATAGGGGCCATGCGATACCGGAGGTTGGACTATTTAAATTAGTTGACCATACGTTTTTTCCTCCTTCAGGGCGGCTCAAAAAGCGCCGTCCAAAATCAATAGTGACCGTCGCAATAGCTAATCCTTGGCCAATCTTTTGCAATTTCGTCAGCCAGCACAAACGTAGATTTCTACACTTCCATTAATCCCTGTTATGGCACGGATATCTCGTTCCCTGCGTTTTAGCACTGCTCCTGTTGGTTTGGATGTATACGTCATCGGGCATTGGCTCGCAAGTATTGGCACACATGAAACCAAAGTCTATAGTCCTATTCCGGCCAAAGATTCACATAGTACAGGGGTCACTGGTGTAAATACACCCCCCGGCTCTTCTGATTTGGCCGAAAGTGGTTACAGGCGTCGGGACAATGCCGTAGGCTTCAACGACAAGTCCTATGAGGGCCACGGGAAATCCGGATTTAGTGCTGTACAACAATCCAAGAAAGTGAGCTTTAGGACACTAACAAAAGAAGGTACATCCTCATTTGTCGATCTAAATCAAATTACCGACACCTTGAGGAGGTTTCGATTCATCCTGCCCGAAAATAATCTGTTAAGGACATGTAAGAGCTCGCCATCGTTGAATCGGTACCATTTTATCCACGGGGAAGATAAAGAGAACGCTCATCGAAGACTGATATTCGGGAGAAGCCACACGGCCGGATACCCGCACAATAGAGTACCGTCTTGTGCGAGAATCGAAACAAGCACCGAGCCGAAGCCACAGGAATCACTTGAATCATATCGTCTGTCTTGGGAGTCTCCTAGGGCTCACTTGATCTCCAAAGACATCTATAATCACACCTGCTCCAAGGTTCTGGAGCAGAGAAAGCCTCAGAAGACTGCGATTCTTGACGACTACGTACTACCGTCCTCTATTTCTCTTCCTCCTTCCTTGGACAGTCCGATTACAGGGAGAAGCTCCTACTACCTGTTGGGCGATCTTCTTGAAAACCGTGTGTTGAACCCTAGAATACGTCCTCTTGACTCTCGTATTACGCTAAAGAAACTCAAGCTTGATAGACAAACATTTAAATATTTTCGCAGGGCAACAAGCCGTCACCGAAGCTTCTATGATATGCCGAAGAACCGAACAGGCGGCAAGGTTTCTAAGAAACGGTTTGGACCCTCGTATCACGTTTTTCGGCAAAGATATACCGCGGTAGAACAAAGAGAAGTTTTGTGCCCATACTGTCCAGGCTATAATCGTTGGTTTAAAGACAACCACTCGCTGTTTCAGCGTCACCTCACTTTGGCCCATGGTATCACGAAGGTCGGCAAAACAATCCATCTCTTGCCGTTGCCAAAGGCGATATTTGAAATACGACCACGAGGATATATCAACACGTATGCTCAGTGTCCCACGTGCCACGATTGGATACGTTTGGGATTCCCTGAATGTTTTAGCGTAAGTTCAAAGGCTGAAAACGTTCAAGGATCTGGGAAGGAGCCCAGAATGGAAGGCTTATTTGAAAACTTCTTTGTCCACCAGGTAAAGTGCATCGATAGTTTTCTAGCTGGAAGACAATAGGCATATAGACACATGGTTTTTATGGCTTTAAAGATATTTTTGAGATATGACCTATAAAATAGTTTTTGTGGGGGCCATGGCTGCTGTGCCCAAACGCCTTTTTCTTAGTCATGCACCTCCATCTTCGAAGTTTCTACATGTACTCGATACTTCTCATATCTGTGTAGCTAGCTCCAATTAGTGCTGTTTATTAATTAATAACATGATATACTCACAGAATTCCATTATGTGAAAAGGGATAGACCAGTATATGGGCAAAATTAAAGGATTTTTCTATATATTTTCCACAGTCCGAAACTTAATTACAATGCACCTAAGTAAAATACATCGTAACTCCCATCTTGCGTGCAGATACGCGAAAAAGTAATATCGGGCAAGTGAATTCAAAAGATGGGAAAATAAACCAAATCAAAACAAGCTATTTAGCTTAACCCATATTTTGGATTAGGTACAGATCTCTCTAGTTTTTCCTAGCACAGTTTTACATGCCAGCTCATGGATATAAAACCTGCTCAGACGTTCACAAACAAACGATATGATTAATAATATTATTTAATTTAAAGCAACATGTATGTACAAAATCGAAAAAGTAAACGAAAAGGGAGAAAGTGAGTCATTAAAGAGTATTCATAAGGGTAGAAATAAGAGCAAGTGAGTCTTAATTCTTAAGTTGAGTTGGCAATACCACCGGCAAAGGCCAAACACCATGTCAAACTTTGACCGTTATCAAGGTAGGTGTTTTTGTTGAAGTTTGCGGCAGAGAAGTAGCTATAAGAATCTGAAGCATCGAAGAGAGCTTGATTTAATCTCAAGATACCGGCCCAACCACTCTCAAGGCTACCAACAAAAGAGGAGAGCTTCTGGCTCCATTCCTGACTCACAAAAGTTGGACCTCTGATTAACGAAGAGACAGGAGTGATTGGCAACATATGGATACCATGAATGTATTCATCATTAGTACCAAACCAAGTGGTGTGGTCGACCTTGTTCTCAAACAAAATGCCAGAGACCTTGTTAGCAATAAATTCAGATGGCTGGATCTTGTTGTCATCAGCGTAGAGGAAGTAGGAGTTCATGGATCTGGACATGATAGAGAGCATCAAGCTCCCCCTGGCCTCCATGGACTGGTCACCAACAACTCTGCCCCACATCTTCATACCGTAAGCAAAATTGTAGTCTTCAGAGGTGGACTCTTCATTCTTACCATCGGAAAAGGAAAACAAACCGGCGGCCCAGGAGTGGCCAGCGAACCAATCGAAGGATCTGAAAACAGGGAAGTAGGCATCTTCAGAGGAGGGGTTGGCCACGTCTCTGATCAAGGAGTTCACCCACTCCTTGTTGTCCTGAGCCCAGGTACCGCAGTACTTGGCATCGACGTAACCAATGATAGAGGCCGCGTGAATCCAGTAGCCATAGTGGAAATGGTGATCGTTGTAGTAGCCAGCACCGTAGTCAGCAGAAGTATCACCGCCTTGAGAAGCTGTGGTAGTCACACCACCGTAGGTGGTATCGTACATCAATGGAACCGCCTGTTCGTTGGCGACAAAGATCGCAAAGGCAGCCTTCAACTGTTTCAAGGCAGCTTTGGTGGCATCGTCATCCTCGATGATTTCACTCACCACAAGCAAGATGTAGGCGTACTTGTCGATGATCTTTCCACCAGTGTACATGGAGTCAATACCACTCATAGTGTCAGCGATATTGACTGCCAACTCGTCATTGGCGGTAGCAGCCAATAATTGTAACTGTTCAGCAGTGTAGGACAACTTGGAGCCCATGTTGGAGGTCCACGGCAAAAATTGAATGTCGTTGTTCAACGTTTCTTCCATAGTCAAAACGCTTGTGAGGTAAGCGTACATGGTACCCTTGGTGGTGGATTGCATAGAAACACCGGTAGCCTTTTGGGCAGTAGCCGCAGACAACGAATCAACGTGGTGGGGCAAGGCAAAGACAATTGGGTTACCACAGGCGGAGGCACCGACGGTGGAGTAGGTGATCTGATAAGAAGCTGCAGAGCCACCAGAGACAGAGCCCCCAACCACGGCATCGGTCACATACATACCAGCTGCCTGGTCGTAGTAAGCATCGCCGGTGGAGTCGGTTGGAGCGACAGCAACTTGAACGATCAAGCCGTCGATAGAAGCAGAACCGGTAACGGAGTTATTGTCAGTGACGGTAAGCTTGAACGACGAGGTGGACTGACCCGAAGGCAAGGTGACGTAGACCAACCACGAGATACCGTTGAATAAGGTAGCACGGTACTTTAAAACCCCGTCCGCCAAGGCCGTAGAGGTTTCTTGGACCAAGGTCAGAAAACCGACACCAGAGTTTAACAAGACGGTCAAATCTCCAGAATACACTGCCGTGTTGAAACCCATGCCCTGGACCAATGGAATCGCGACCGACCCGGAGGAAGACTGGGACAAGGTGACAAGAGCGCTCATAGCCTTCATTTCGGTGACGGACATATCAATGCTGCTGGTGAAACCAGTAGCGGAAAAGATGACTGAGGCAACACCCAACGGATTGAAGTAGTAGGAAGCGGCACCGTCGCTGTCAGTAGGACCATAGACGTACTGATCAGCAGTGGTGTGCTGGATAGCGAAACCGTAGTAGGAAGTGGTGTAGTACCAACCACTGTAAGGGTAGGTCCAGACCGGGTCGGATTGATCGCCAATCATTAAGTTGGTGTAGAACTTGTTGGTTTCGTATATACCATCGGCGTTGAGAACTCCATCGAGGAGCGGCAAGTTGTTCGCTTCATGTGGGAAAACAGAGTCTGGAATGTCGGCGGAAATGATGTTGAACAAGTTACCGGAGTAGCCAGTGCCTGCAGCCGGAATACCACAAGTAACAGTGGTCACAATGGCGGTGGTGGCCACAACAGTGGTTGCACTTGACGAAGACAAAGCCGAGGACGAAGAAGAAGCCAAAGACAAAGAAGAAGAAGAAGAAGAAGAAGAAGAAGAAGAAGAGGAGGAAGAGCTCTTACTGCTACTAAGAGTGGACATTGTCGATGGTGCCAAAATAGACGTGAGGGTACTGGTAGAGGTGGCAACAACAGTAAAGTTTGAAGCGGTAGAGGCAGTTAAAATATGCAGCTGGCCAACCACCAAGTGGGAGGCGGCATCAAGAGTGGTGGAGGTCAAAATGGTTTTATTTTGAAAGTTCGAAGTGTCAGTCACGTTCCAGACAAGGACCTTGGAAGTGGAGGTAACGAGAGTGGCAGCTTCTATCAAGGTGGTGCTGTTATGGTAAACTGGAAGAGCGGTGGAGGAATTATCGCTGGTGTTTTCGAACTGAGTAGGGGAAATCGTATTGTTACTGTAACCAGTAGAGGTGGTGGTGATGTTTTGCGATATAACAACCACGTTGAAGGTGGAGGTCTGCAGCTCAATTGTCTTGGCATTGGTCAAGCTGGAGGTGTCGATAGTTTGCGTCACTGAAGAGGAGATGACGGAAATTGAGATCAACGGGTTTTTGCTGGTGTTAATGGTAATCTCCGCGTTGGTTGAAACAGGCACAGGAGAGCTTGGGGTCTTGGAAGCGGAAAATACAGTGGAGGTTCTGGTAACAGCAGAGGTGGTGATTGGAACCACGGCGGTCATAGCGAGAGTAGTAGGTGGGACCGAGGCCGAAGCCGAGGCTGTAAAACCTTCTGATAACAGAGAGTCTTCTGCTTCAGCGGTAGATGTCAAAGAAGTGATCTCTATGACATCAGTAGAGTGTCTTTCAACACCCTTGTTGGCTAAGGTATGGTTGACATAACCGGCAGAAGAGCTTTCCAAGCCACTGAATCGAGAAGAGGCAATGGAGGAAGCATCGATATCCTCGACAGAGCTGAAACTAGTCGTCACCGAGCTAGAACTGGTCTTTGGAAAACTAGAGCCAACCTTCCCAGAGCTGGGTTTGGGGCTCACCGAGTTGGAACTCACCGAGCTGAAACTCACCAAGATGGAATTCACCGAGCTGGAACTCACAGATCTGGATTTGGTGCCCACTGAACTAGACACGGCCTTGCTAGAAGCGGAGTCATAAGCGGTGGCCAACCAGGCTGGATCAGTGGTAGGACAGTATGTTGTGTAAGAAGTGTGCATGTTAACGCGGGTAACAGTGACCGGGGCCGTTTCACCATTAACCTGAGCGAGACAGGAGGCTAAAACCCCCACCATGAGAGTTTTGTTTAGGTTGAATATCATTATATAGACAGTAAATAACTGTATATAGACCAAAAATGGATGGATATAGGCTGAATTTGGAAGTAAGGACTAAAAACTTGAAGTGAATGGATGGTTATACAGAGCTGGAATCATTTTCAGAGAAAACCAGGGATTCATTATCTTTATATATGACACCATGTATCGCCCATTGATGCCAGAGATCCGAGATCTCTACCATTAGATCCTGCACCAGCCTTCGAATTAAAATACAATAACACCTTACCTGCGATTATTCATATATATATTAAGCCTCTGTGCTGCCATTGTAATGTGGTGGTTGGGTTTTATGCATCTGGTACAAAATATCCTAGTCGCGCATATAAACGCAGACGCTGCATGACAGCTTCCAGCCACCTGTGAAATGTATGCGCGACACCTGGAGCGATGCCATTTGCAACTCGGAATATCAGTACTTCCTGGTGGTTATTTTTAGCCGATAACACGCAGAGGTCGATCTGTTGCAGCTAGACGGTAGTCATAGAGTCCCAACTGGTCCAGATCGTAAAAAGGTGATTTCCTGGGGCTGGATATGACGCAACATCCGTCGATAGCGTGAAGTTGTCACATTGCATAGCCTTGATAAGCATCTCCTCATCTATTTCTGGTAATATTATGCTAGTATCATCTGCCTATCTATAATATACTGTATTTGCTTTCGTCTGTAAGGTATTGGGGGTTGTAAGAACCGACGTAGCGTTCACCGTTCGACAATGCTCAATTTTGGGCGATTTTCTGTCCGCTTGAAAAAAAAAAAGGAGCGAGTCCCGAGGAACTGTCTGGCAGCGGTCAGACTGGCCCTACATCTGCGTAAGCCCACCCTAAACAATAAATCGACATTTGATATGGTATATATCAAACCGGTAATTCACTGATATGTAGTGGGTGTACTACGTTTTAGAACCAGTTAGGGCAGTGTTAGAGCACTGCAATCCATTACTTTTAGCTTGAGACGCACTAAGGAGAAGCCAAAGTCTGTGCGACTTACTCATCAAAAGATTCATAAACGCATCCATATAAAAGATGCTACAGGATACAAAGTCGGCTGTGTAAGTTGCCAGTGGCTGTTCTCGCCAAAGCCCGTGAAATTGGCTCGTTCTTACGATCAGACTTGTTTTTCCTCGTGAACGTGCGCCACGCTCACCGATTACGCCCAGCCTTGAACGTGCGGGCGTAGCAGTGGCTGGCTGACGTTATCGAATCTGGCGTGCACGTGCGACCGAATTGTGTTGCGTTTATGGCATCTATTATTCTGGCTAATATCAAAGACTAACGCAACTATATACCGGTTTTGTTTAAAATAGAATTGAATGTGCTCAGCTGTCGTTGCCATTTACATCCGTATATATACTATACGAATGGCCAAGAGCTGCTATATACTCTGTGTATGCGGGTTACATTGTAACACAGGGTGAGACCAGCTTAATTCTAGAGCTTGGATAGCGATTATCCCCGCACTGTAGTATATCTGCACAGGTAATAAGATAACCGTGTAGAATTGATTGATCGATAAATATGAACAAGATATGCAAAGAGGTGGTCAGTCTTCAGACTTACACGCATGGTGGACTACACCATCGGGAACCAGGGATTAAAGATATTAACGCGAGTGGCACAATTGTGCCTCACTACCCGAATTCTTCCCTTACCCCTCATATTCTCCTTCGTCAAACTCTTATTTTTTTTAGCTAATAAATAACCTATAACACTCTCCCTCAAATTACTCTCACTATTTCTTACAATGTTGCGGTCAAATCCTCCCGGACATATACCGCCTTCAAACGGTTGAGAAACTCGTCTCTGCCGATGTACGCACCGCACATTCTTCTCTCCCCGGTAAACTCCGTTCTGGAATGCAAAACGCGCCAGTTATCAAACATCAAACATTGACCTGGCTGCAACTGAAGGAACCACTCGTTCTCTGGACTGCTGATTAACGCCGTCCACTTGCGCAAGGCCTCGTAAAACACTGGAACGTCCTTTGGGTCCAACTTGGAAAAGGTGGCGGCAGAGGAAAGGGTCGATCTATCAGACTGGTTCCATCTAACTTGGATCAACTCACCCAGATAGTCATGAATGAACACCGGATGGTCGTAGGATGGCTGGATACAGACATCCGCCTCGCCCGCCAGGTGGCAAGTGAGGGGAACAGTAGACAACATCTCGTACAAGTACGGTTCCTGAAGCTTGAACTGTTTGGCACACTGGAAGGCATCCACAAGCGAGGTACCACCTCCATGGCCCTCGTGTTTCAACAAATGGAAGAGCTGCAAGCCTGGCGCCTCGGTCCAGTAAGTTCCATCAGTGTGTGACGGGATTGCAATGGTGGTATAGGCAGTGTCATTTACCGCTAAGTTGGAGGTAAAGTCCCAGAAGCCACCGTAGTGAGTAGGGCGGATGTAGTTGAGTCTGCAAATGAGCTTTTCGGTGGCTATAGGGTCGATAGGCGTGTTTTCCACAAAACAGAAGCCATACTGCCAGATTTTGATTACCCAGTCATCCACGCCCGCTTCAGAGTCCATAACATCCTTAAAGTTAACCAGTGGTGGCGCTGCATATATTTCTTTCACGTCCCAGAGTTTGAGCGTGGCATGTTCCGTGGCAGAAGGGATCTTGCTAGTCTCAAGGATCGGGTTGTACGAGTGCAACCAAAGAAAATCAGCGAGGAAAACCGAAATATGGCCATCGTTCCAGGTAATTGAGAGAGATTTGGCGTTATCTAAGGAAGCACTGGTGATAGATAAGTCCTCTGGGATGTCTATGATGTTTAATAAACGCTGCTTGGTGACTGAGTGGTAGCATTGCTCGCAGTGGCAGTGGTCTCTCAACCAAATCAAGTGGTAGGCGGAGGAAGTATCAGCCCACTGGAGAGTGATTTCTGCGGCATCATGAGTGAATGAAGTGATTGGTTGGGTCATAGTTTATAAGATTGTTGCGGGAGCGAGAAGGATGTGTGTAACAAATTGAGGATCGTGTCGCATTTATAGTTTTTCACGTACCCCACAAAGACCGAATACCAAAACTGCGGCACCAAGTCCCCTTATCTGCCTGACTTTTTCTCGGTGGTTCTCGGCCTGAGTAACCATACGCTGTCAACGGTCATGTTCAGGTACGTCTTTCAAGGGCCTAGAATGTAAACCAACAACCATAAGATCGGCAATTTAATTGGCCGATAGAAGGGATAAGGCCTAAAATGGGCTGAAAAGAGGGGCCCCAGTTCAGGCAGATAAGATGTTAGGCAGTGACGTGTGACGCTTACTTCAGACCAGCTGTGTGATAATAGCCCGAAAGTCTCGGAGAATTACAGCCTGATATATAAGTTACGGTATTTAGAATCATTTTAACTCACATTAGACAGCATTTATTAGACAGGTTAGTCATTTTCCAGCCCTGAAAAGTCGTGTGGGAATGAATAATTTGGGTTAGGCGGGCTTGATCAACGACGGGCCGTGGTAGACGCTTTAAAATCTGACTCAACATCAACACTGTTCCCTACATTGTGTGGGTAATCAGAATTAGCAATCGTCAAAGGTTCATGCTCAATTGTGAGCTACGGTGTCATGAATTTAAGGATGGTTTTTAACATCGGCTGGGGCTCCCTTATACATATGTGATAAGAAATTGAGAAGCCGCATTGCGCAGAATAGATGATCTATTCTCACGGTCCAGTGCAGTACCATGAATAATAAACAAATAAGCTTCATAACCGTGATTCGAGATACAATTATTGGTATAATACGCGAACAGATCATATTGAATAAACGAATAATAAAATGGAAGATCCAATAAAAAAAAAGTCGGCATACAGCCGTGTTTTTCAGTTAGGCAGTGGGACTTCGGGACGAGGAATCAAAAATAGACTCTGAATGACTAGTGGGGCCCTCTGAGCTCCCACTATAACTGCCAGAGCGTTTGGCTGACCCGTTTAAATCATGCACCCGGTAGTTATCACTGAAGATGCCACACGAATCGTTCTGCGAGTCGTGACGAGCTTCTTGACTGGACATCCGACGGAAAAGAGGCGGTTGTGGTACTGCCTCCTGAATCTCTGCTTCTCTGTACGCTTCTCTGAACTCCACGCGATCGGACTTTCGAGGGCCACTTAGGGAGGTCTGGCTCAAGTGCTTTTGGATGGGCTCCACAAATGGATCTGTCTCCTCCTCAAGTCTTTTTGCGTTGTGAGTATAACCCACGGATTGGTACTGGGGTAGGATGGAATACATATCTGGAGTGCGAGCGGGCGGTGGTGCTTCCTCCAACTTTAACATATCAGAGGAACGCATCTGCTGCGGGCGAGAGATCCCCAAAGTGGAATAGTCCACAGATTGGGTGGTGTGTGGGGTTGGATGTTTGATGTGAGACATGGTTATAGATGAATGAGGAAGTAATCAAGGAGCAATGGGGTTGCAAAATAGCGCTGTGTGCTTATATAGGCCATCGCCATGTTTCGTACACTCACAGCAAGCGAGCAGGAATTTGGGCCAATTTAGCCTTTAGCTAAAAGTTTAATCCGCTTTTAAATGTCCGAAGGATCTAGAAGCGTCACCATACAGGTGAGCTGGTAGAGGATCGTCCTGGGTGGTAGCACTACTACATGAGGAATACAGAGGGAAACTCTCCTGCATTTCCTTGGCCGGAACGAGGGGGCGCCCTCCAGAATTTGCGTGTGCTCTGAGAAGCTGCGAGATACATCACTCCACTTGTGCATACAGGAGTCTCACAAGCGATCTCGATGGTATGATTTATTCTGCAGCAATGCCTAAACACACACAGAGAGAGATCCCTGATATCAGGTCACATAATTTGAGCACCTGATGTCAATCGTCTAGAATAAGCCAAAGTAAAAGGACTAAAGTAGAAAACGGGGTTCGACTTTTTAGCTGGAGCAAGGAATATACCGTGTGAGTTGCTTCGACATGGGAAAAGAGTATTGACCATGGTGCTTTTATTTGCGAGGATCCATAAAATGGAAATACACACGAGTATTACCAACTACAATAGAAAGAGATGACTTGGCGATCTATGCTGACCATGTTTTGTAATTTCACACTAATACTTTCTCCATTATATATTGTTCCTTGGCGATGACGATACTAGGAGCAAGGGTCTGAGATTAATATAGTTATTCACCATAAACGAAAAAGAGACACTAGTTGTGTATTTGTTACACAATTATCAGCTAGGAGCGAAAAGAACCGTACTAGAATGTTGGAGATAATACGGAAATATCGGCATGGGGCTATTGTGAGTTGGGGGCCTGGTCCTATCTACTGAGCTCCCACACCATCCCACCTTATACCACTTTAATCTCCCCCTTCTTGATCGCTGAGGCTAGTTTTGCAAGGCCAATATTGCGTTCCGAACGGACTCGCTCGAACATCTGAGCGATCTCAACCTGGGGTTTACCAGTCTCACGAGCGACCTTCACAATTTCCTCGATAACCACTTTCCGGCGCAAGAAAAACGTTTTATTCTGGGGACCCTTTCGCCATGCCTTCGAGCCACGCTCTAAGGTTTCCACACACAAACCATCCGCACCGGGAATGAACCACTCCCTATAGAGATCAATCACCGAGACTATCTCTCTGTCCATCTGAAATATCATAGGTGGGGGTTTTGTGTGAATATAAGCGGAAGAAATTAAATTATGCCCACCGGATTGGCGTTTAGAAGTTGAAAACGAACTAATCGGTACCTCAACGTACGGACGATCCAACTGTCTGTAATGTTCGTCATGAATACAAGTTTTGTCAGTATTTGAACAAGAGTCATTACCATATAACCTGGTTTGCAGAGGCAATACAAGTGAGTCTGCTTGTCCGATGGAAGAACTGTCTTTAAAAGAGACAATTTTCAAAGGCTGCGTTGAGAGGTGATGAGAGGGTGTAGTCAGTTCAAAGGCTGCGGTAACCGCATTTAGACCAGGGCCCAAAAGCCCACCTTCATAGGAGTTTACCTCATGAGAGCTAGCTCTAAGGGGTATAGATGAGTGTGTGGGACTTCCTGCAGAGTGACCTGCAGTGTACTGATGATCCACTGCGTCTGCCTGACCCAAGAATTGATCCCCAGAGAGTCTTCCCCTACCAGTAACCTTCGTAGTTTTCTCATCCGGCTGGAATCCCATAGAAGGCACACCTAACCTCAAACACAACATCTTCATCAAACCTGTGTCGTACTGCACGGTTGCTTCGGTTTGGATTGAACCCTGTGTTACCTTCTTCTCTAATGCCGCAAACTTCTCGCTCATCATCATTTCAATGCGTTGGAACAACATTTCATTGATGTGATCTGATGCATGGATCAATGCTGAACCATCACGTGAAACAACAGAACAAAGTGTTTTGTCTGACTTTGCACGTTTAAAGAAATGGTATGGGGGCGCCGAACGCCGCTTGGTTTCATAGGTCATTGAGGCTAAACTAGTTTCAATTCTAGCTGGGTGTGATAAAAACGGAAATACAGTCCAAGGAAATCAAAGAAATATTAACTAAAAAAATAGAGAATCAAAGTAACGGTATGTTATAATGGATTTGGTATGAGAATCTGAGGTGCATGCAAAACGCGTCCATTTTGCCAGGTGCGATTTTGCTGTGTCATAACGCGGCTGAGTTTAATTTCATCAAGGCCCTGAGACGCTAAGATCTTTAGGTGATATTATAATTGAAGAAGGTAGCAGATGTGTATGGTGGCACTAAAACCACTAAAATATCTAATATTTAAATACAACGATTAGGAATTATAAGCAAAACACGAATGTGGTTGAGTAAGTAGCGCTGATTAATTAATCATCAGGAGTTATAAATTATGTCAAAATAACCACATACTTGTTGTACCCTCATTTAATTTGGACGGAAAAACACACTGTAAATCCTGACGAAACATATTAAGCCATTAGGCATCCAATATGGAGTGTATTGTACCGGGCTCTAAAGTGCAGTTCACTATTCAGATTTCTATAAGTGCAGTATTTGAAATTATAGATTAATAAAAGTATAAGTACTCTAGGTCACTGACTCTGCAGGTGTCTTATTTTGGAGTTACTACCCTGAATGGCTCTGAGATACGTATGTTATTGAAGAGAAGATTCAAAACTTCGGTAAGGTATCATACTTGTGTTAGGTGTACCAACAGGGCTTCCACTGTAGTGATGTTGGCAATACCATTGATTTAGTTCTAATAAAAATGCTGCATAGCTATATCTATAGTTTAGATGAAAAAAGCCTATGGCATGAGTAGTCAGAGTTCGGGTTTCTATAGCCGCATATCGGCTCATTTGGCAAAAATGATGCCGACGCAATGCACTGCCGGGCAGATTTGCCCCCGGTCCCATGAGAAATGCAACCAACTTTGCTTAATATCTCAGACCTGCACTTAGAGGTCGGCTGCAATCAATGCCGATGCCGATGCCTTAAAACGACGTGTCAGTTTCATCAAGTGATGCCAAAGAAATAGGCCGTTCCATAGCAAAATAGTGTTATATATCATGGAAACCCGTAGAAAAGACTACGGGGGCCCCGTCTATGTTGTCGCTCTATTACTTGTAAGCCAACTACAGGTATTTCGTTTCCACGAAACTCAGCTGTAAACAAGCACTATGGTAGGCACAAAAACGAGTCCAGCTTCTTCCATATGTGGATCAGAAACCTTCCTCAGGTTTATACCAGAAGCCTAGTTCCAGAATCCCTATCTGCTGTTTTCCTAACCTCTCTGAATACGCATGGATCCTCACCATTGTGCACGGCTTGCGAGGTTTCCAGTGCGCAAAAAAATAGAGCAAATATAGAAAATGCCGGCGCCTACTGCATGTACGCGGGTAATTCCAGCCGTGCGTGCATACCCTGCCATGTACATACACAGTTGTAACCAAGGGAGTTATTATAGCTCAGCTAACCACATTTCCACGACTCTAAAATATCCCAAACATAGTCCCTTCTCATCTATAAAAGGACCCCTCACCCGCTTTATTTTCCTCCTCTCATTCACTACTCCTAAGTACATACACATCACTTTCTACTTATTACACCTGCATATATTCATTCACCATGAGTTCCAACATTGATGAGGTTGATATCGCAAGCATCAATTCTGATATCTCCAGATTTTCTCCAGCGGTTGCAGAACAACCAGAGCACCAAAATTCTCTTAAAATTATGAGAACCATCTCAAACATTCGCCAGCAAGAACAAGCCGACCACAACAACTTAGAACGGTTAATTTCCAACAACGCTGGTGTCTCAAGGGTCGTTACCCGTCTTGAGGAACGTGCCGGGGCCTTGGGTCCCCTAGAAGTGCCCCTTGATTTGGAAAAACCGGCTACCAAACACTCCATCATTGAGGACTACAACCCTACCGAGCAGGATGAATGGCAATACCCAATTGACCAAGAAACCGGTTTAAGGCTAGTCGAGTTCCTTGAGGGCGATAACGACGATCCAAGAAATATCAGTGACTCGAAGAAGTGGTATTACACCATAGTCTTGGGGTTGGTTTGTTTCACGGTTGCGTTTGGTTCTGCCGTTGTTACTGGTGACATCGCCGGGCCGGCTAAAGAGTTCAACGTTTCAGTAGAGGTTGTCATTTTAACCGTCACTTTATTCGTCTTGGGCTTCGGGTTCGGTCCATTGGTGTTTGCCCCATTGTCCGAAGAATTGGGCCGTTATCCGATCTATGGAGTTACGTTATTCCTCGCAGTAATCTTTGTCATCCCGTGTGCACTTGCTAAAAACATTGGTACCTTGTTGGTTTGTCGTCTTATCGATGGGTTGGCCTTTTCTGCTCCCATGTGTCTTATCGGTGGCTCTTTGGCGGACATCTGGCCTGCTGAAAAGAGGGGTGTGGCTATGGCCATCTTCTCTGCTGCTCCGTTCATGGGACCTATTATTGGTCCTTTAGTTGGTGGCTTCATCGGTGATAACACTTCCTGGAGATGGATCTACTGGACTTTGCTTATTTTTTCCGGTGTTATCTACGTAATTTTCATGACCAGTGTCCCTGAAACCCACCACGCCACCATTTTGAAAAAGAGGGCCAAGAAATTGAGACGCGTGACCGGCGATGACAGATACCGTTCCTTGACTGAGTTGAAGATTAGAAACATTGCCGAGACTGCCAAGGTTTCACTCCTCAGACCTTTTTTGTTATTGTCAGAATTGATTGTGTTCTTGATAACCATTTACATGTCTGTTATCTATGGTTTACTTTACATGTTCTTTTTTGCTTACCCGGTTGTTTACGGAGACAAGGGCTGGTCCGACTCTAAGATCGGTTTGATGTTTATTCCTATCTTGGTTGGTGTTTTTATTGCCACTTCGTTCGCCCCATGGATCAACAGAGATTATAACCGTCGTGCGCAACCATACCGTGACAGGGGCGAAATGCCACCCCCAGAGTTGAGATTGATCCCGATGATGATTGGGTGCTGGTTTGTGCCTGTAAGTCTTTTCTGTTTTGCCTGGACCTCCTACGAGTGGGTCCACTGGGCTGGTCCTTGTATTTCAGGTCTCGGTGCCGGTATTGGTTTCGCTGTCTTGTACAACCCTGCCAACAACTACATTGTCGATTCGTACCAGCACTACGCTGCCTCTGCTTTGGCTGCTAAGACTTTTGTCAGATCAATCTGGGGCGCCTGTTGTCCATTGTTCACCATTCAAATGTACCACCGTTTGGGTAACGAATGGGCTACCTCCTTGATGGCTTTCATTAGCTTGGCTTGTTGCATGATTCCGTTCTTGTTCTACAGATACGGTGCTGTTATCAGAGAAAAGTCCAAGTACGCATACGCTCCAGAATCTGGCGAGGCCAAAACTGATGATGCTGAAAAGCATTTGAATAGTTCTAGAAGTTCTGTCAGCGAGTAAACCCCGTCAGATATCCCATATTTTTCTCTCATATTTTATTCTTAAGCCTAATAGCTGCCTTTTAATCTACACCATACTTGTAGTATTTATTGCCTGCGGAGAAACATTGGTATCCGCATATGTATATGGCTATTGGGAACTTTGCAAAGTGGCTGTCATTGCAGCCAATCAATTACCACACTCTACATATCAGAGAAAGATAAGAAATGGTTCTAAGAAACCGCTATTGCGACTCACTAAATTTAATCCTCATGCTATCTTTCTGAATCATCGAATATTTCAACCAACAATAAACATTTACATCCCAGTTATTTAGTCAAAGATCCTACAAAAAGTCCAATTTCTAGGCTTACCTGATACTTTTTCCGACCTTTTCACAAGGGGCTAATCAAGTTGTCTATCAACATATCTTACCGCTTCCGCCCACGTGACCATTAAAAAACTAACCGTTACAGCGATGCGGCACTTGACGCGTTTTGCTTTTCACGTATTAGTTTCACGCGTCTTTTCGCTTACACGTTGCTATTTTTCGTCCCCATTTAGCGCCCCTTTACAAACACTTCTTCCTTACACTTTCCTCTTAAACCACAATGCACATCAAAAAGGTATGCTACCATTTTCGCCCCATATATCTCCATACTAACATCACAGATCGTCATCCAGGGGTTCAAGACCTACAAAAACACGACCATCATCGACCGCTTCTCGCCCACACACAACGTCGTGGTGGGGCGTAACGGGTCGGGGAAGTCCAACTTTTTTGCTGCCATCCGCTTTGTACTTTCCGATGCCTACACTCACATGACTCGCGAGGAGCGCCAAGGGTTGATCCACGAAGGCTCCGGGACGGTGATGTCCGCGTATGTGGAGATTGTATTTGACAACGCGGATCGGCGGTTTCCGATCGCAAAGGATGAGGTGGTTATTCGGCGCACAATCGGGTTGAAAAAGGACGATTATTCGCTTGATGCGCGCGCGTCGTCTCGTGCGGACGTGATGAATTTGTTAGAAAGTGCGGGCTTCTCGCGCTCTAACCCGTACTATATCGTACCCCAGGGGCGTATTACGTCGCTTACGAACTCCAAGGACGCTGAGCGCCTCCAGCTATTGAAGGAGGTTTCTGGGGCAAACATCTTTGAGGTGCGGTTGAAGGAATCCACCAAGGAGATGGGCAGCTCGAACAAACGCCGCGCAAAAATTGACGAGATGTTGAGTTTCATTGAGGAGCGCTTGCAGGACTTACAGGTGGAGAAGAACGAGTTGAAGAGCTTCCAAGCGTTGGAAAAGGACAAAAAGGTGCACGAGTTTGCGCTCTTCGACCGCGAGTTCTCCGAGTTGAACAACAACATCGAGGCTCTTGAGATCAACTACGACGAATTGTTGCAGGCGTCGACTCAGGACTTGTCTGAGCTTGAAAAGAGGGAGGTTCTTGTGCAAAAGTTGGCGGAAGATATTTCTGCCTCGAAGCTCAAACAAAATGTGCTAAACGTGGACAAGGAGCAGGCGGACGCAGATATTAACCAACTTCTCCAGACGATCGCCGAGAAGGGCGTTGCCGAGAACGAGATGCAGCGCGCGGTGGCGGCCGATGAGCGCGACACGCGCATGGCACAGTCGAGCCTCTCTCAGTTGGAAACCTTAATCAACGCGCGTGAGACCGCGTTGGCGCAGCAGAAGCCCGAATTCTCCGCCCTCACCGCTGAGGAGCGCGTGACTTCCCTGCAACTTTCCCTCCTCAAATCACGTCAGCGGGCGCTTTACTCAAAACAGAGCCGTTTCTCCAACTTCAAAACCAAGGCCGAGCGGGACCAGTGGTTGGAAAGCAAAATCAGCGTGGTCAATGAAAAGATTGCCGTTCGTGAGGAACATATCGCGAAGCTAACTGCTAACCAGGCCGCCGCGAAGGCAGAACTTGCCCAAGTAGAGGCCAAGACAGAAGAGCTCGATCAGGCGCTCAACGGCAGCGACACGCGGCAAGAGATTACCGCGCTCCAGCAGCGAGTCTCGGCATTGAAACAGGAGTATACCGTGTTAGTGGATGCGCGCAAGGCTTTGTGGCGTGAGGAGGTGCGCGAGAAATCAATTTGTGAGTCACTCACTACAGAGGCGAAAAAGGCGCAGCAGCTGGTAGCACAGACGATGGACCGTGCACAGGCCGCGGGGCTCGCTGCGGTGAAGCGTATCGCATCACGTCTCAACCTTGCGGACGCAGTGTACGGCCCCCTTGGCGAGTTGATCGAGGTAAACGAGAAGTACAAGACGGCAGTGGAGGTGGTTGCGGGAAACTCGCTTTTCCATATGGTGGTTGACTCGGATAAAACCGCACAGATTCTTATGGACGAGTTGGTGCGAGAGCACGCGGGGCGTGTGACATTTATGCCGTTGAACCGACTCCGGGCGCAGGCTACGGAGTTTCCGCCATCGAGTGAGGCGGTGCCGTTGATCCGCAAGCTCGGCTATGTGCCCGCGGTGGCACGCGCCGTGGAACAGGTGTTTGGCAAGACGGTCGTGTGTGTGTCACTAGAGACTGGTGCCGAGCTTGCGCGCGCACACAAACTCAGTGCGATCACGTTGGACGGTGATCGTGCCGACAAGAAGGGGGTATTGAGCGGGGGGTTCCGCGATCACCGGCGCTCGCGCATCGACGCGTTGCGTACCCAGACACGGCGCAACACCGAGCTTGAGACGTGCCGTGCGCGGCTTGCGGAACTTGCAACGCAGATCACCACGAGTGATTCGCAGATCACGCGTGCGAGTAGTGAGTTACAGGCGCAGGAGCAGATCTTGAACGAAAAGATCGCCGCGCGTGAGCCACTCGCCGCGCGTATCCGTGCGGCCAAGAACACCAAGAACACGCTCCACGCGGACTTGGACGCGCTCGCGGTGCGCTTGGAGGCGTTCGCGACTGCCAAGGCAGTGTTGGTAGAACAGGTGCGCCAGCACATGGAGGAGCGCACGTCGCCGTTCCAGACCGCACTCACGGAGGCGGAGCGCGCGCAGCTCGTGGAGACCAGCAGTGAGATTGCGCGCCTTGAGGCAAACCTCGACGGTGTTGTTACGAAGCTAGCAACTTTGGAGGCACTGGTGTCAGAGGCAGAGTCGGAGTTGCACGATAACTTGCTTCCACGACGTGACGAGTTGGTGGCCAAGCTCGTTCGTACAGGTGCCCAGCCGGCGCACGTTGCAACGGAATTGGCACACGAGTTACAGATGCTTCATGCGCGCGTCGAGGAATTACAGCAGGCGGCAGCCGAGATGGCGCAAGGGTTGGAGGACACCACCCGTGCGGTCACCGAGCGCGAGAGCCAGTTGGCGCGTGCGAACGACCAGCAAGCGCTCATTCTCACGAAGCTCGAGAAGTTCCAGAAAACGTCCGAGCACACGTTGGCCAAAAAGTCGCTCTTGACCGCGCGCCGCGACGAGCTCCAGAAGAAGATCCGCGAGTTGGGGGTCCTTCCGGAGGAGGCGTTCCAGCGCCATAGCCAAATGGACGCAGATAGCTTATTGCATAAGTTACACGCCATCAATCAGGAGCTTGGAAAATATAGCCATGTGAATAAGAAGGCGTTGGAGCAATTTCTCAACTTTACGAAACAGCGCGACACGTTGGTAGAACGGCGAGCGGAATTGGAGACATCTAATGCAGCGATTGAGGACTTGATTCACGTTTTAGAGCAGCGCAAGGGTGCGGCGATCGCACGCACGTTTGCGCTGGTGTCTCAGAGCTTTTCGGAGATTTTCGAGAAATTGGTCCCAGCGGGTACCGGGAAGCTTATAATGCAGCGCGAGGACGATGAGAGCGACACGGTCGATTCGTATACCGGAGTGGCCATTTCTGTGTCGTTTAATTCGAAGAGCGACGAGCAGCAGCGGATTGAGCAGTTATCGGGGGGGCAAAAGTCGTTGTGCGCGATTGCGTTGATTCTTGCGATCCAAAAGTGCGACCCTGCGCCGTTCTACCTTTTTGATGAGATTGATGCGAATCTTGACACACAGTATAGAACGGCCGTTGCAGCATTGATTCATGAGTTGTCTGCAAACGCACAGTTTATTTGCACCACTTTCCGCCCGGAAATGTTGCAGGTCGCGGATAAATTTTATGGAGTGATGTTTAACAACAAGGTGTCCACGGTGTCGGAGATTGTCAAGGAGGAGGCGATGACGTTTATTGATGGACAGCAACAAAAATAAGCCGAGATGCTGTGCGCTTCAATTTATAATTAAATGAAGGATCGATTTTTTTTTTTGGTTTTTTTTCTTCTTAAAATCTACAAGAGATTAGGTAATTGGTAATAAAGACTTTAAAGATAAAATTGACACCCTAATTCTCTGACGCTTCAGTAACGGTATTATGTTTATGCTCTAAACACTTGTCCTTGACTATTTAAGAGTGAAAACCAGATTAGCTCACCCCGCAGTCAATAATTAAGAGCTTACAAGAATTGGTATCCGAAAGCTGCACGTAGAAATTTACCTACTTCGAGTCCAGTTAATCCCTTCCACCTTTAAGCCTTAGTTGTGCAATTCCTTCTGACCCTGTTGCCTCTCCTACTTACCACTCATTCGCCCTACATTGTTTACTTTATTTCGTAATATTAATAGTAGCTTTACATATACAATACAGCGCTAGGTTACTTCTTGGCATCCTTCATCAAGTCGAAGAAGCCGCTTTTTCTTCTCTTCTCTTTCACATTGCCAACCAAGCTCTTGGCCTTCTTCGGGTCAATATATCTGGCGGCACCGGTCTCAATGGCCTCATCCTCGCTCGAATCGGAATCCGTGTCGGAGTCAGACGAGGAATCAGAAGAGGTATCAGAATCCGAGGAGGATTCAGCAGACATGTCTGGAGCCAATGGCGTTCGTAAGCTCACTTCCTTGACTTCGGGCACGCCGCGCGCGGCCAAGTCGGTCAAAGACACTAAAGACTGTCTCTTGAGTCTAGAGGCGACTGAAACACGGGCCACCGACGTCGCTGATGCTGGTTTCGGCGTTTCGATAAACGAAACGGTTTTCTTCGGGTCTACGACAGAGGTGGTGGATGTGTTCTTGGGGGTATTGACCACGCGTGGTCGCTTCTGCAGGGTGTCTACCTCGACCGAAGAGTCCGAGTCCGAGTCCGAATCATCCTCAGACTCACTGGATGAGGAATTTTCGGAGGTGGCAGTCACTGGAGCACGCAACGGCGTGGCGTGGACAATTGGCACAATCGGCTTGGCCTCCGGGGAGGCTGGGGCCACCGGGTTCGCGATCACAGTCGGCGATGAAACCAAAGGCTTCGCAACAGGTACTGAAGGGGTCATTTCTACCGGCATCACAGTCTTCATTGGGGTCTTGATTAGCGGCTTAGTAGGCAGTTGGGCGTCAGAAATTGTGACATCCACCATGGAGTCGTCTACCATGGAGCACTCCTGAGACTGCGACTCTTTCTTCTTCAAGTAAGACTCACGCCTTCTGTGCTTCGTAATGACCTGCTTGATTTCCGCTTCCTGCTCCTTCGTCAACGAGTCTAACCCATCGATGCGCATCTTGTGCGCGCACAACTCGGCAAAGCGTTTGGCGGTGTCCCGCTTGGTGGCTGCAGCCTTTTCGGCTCTGATAGCGGCAAGGGCCGCCTTCTTCTCCTTTTCTGTTGCCTCAATTTCCTGGAGCTGCTTCTGCTTTACCTGCTGAGTGCGGTTCACTGACTCGGTGTACATCTCGTGGCGCTTCTGCAAGTCCGCAGCGAGTTGAGCAGCGGTGACCTCAGCCGCGGCAGTCTGCTCCAGTGTGATTACTGCCTGTTCGGTCGCCTTTTGTTTCGAAGCTTCCTCTGTCACCTTCGCAGCGTCTTCTTTCTTCTTTATTGCTGCAGCCTTTTTAGCGGCGGCAATTTCAGCCTTCTTCGCCGCAGCGGCGGCAGCCTTAGAAGTCTTAGCAGCTTCAGCTTCCTTCTGTTTCAAAGCGTCCATCTCCTTTTGTCTCAAGATGGCGACATCAAGCTCTTTAAGCCTCAAAATAGCAGCCTCTTTTTGCTTGACAGCTTCAGCGGCAGCTTCATTTTCCATTCGTTGCTCTTCAGTGGCTTCTCTTTGTTTCTGAGCAGCGCTAGCTTCTTCAGCTAATCTCTGCTCAGCAGCTTCAGTTTCCTTTTGCTTCAAAGCTTCAGCTTCCTTTTGTTTTTTAGTAGCCTCAGCCTTGGCAGCGGCCTCAGCCTGTGTTTCAGCCCTGGAAATAGCTTCAGCTTCGGCCTTGGCTGCTGCCAAGGCTTCTTGTTGTTTCAACAGCGCTGCCTCCTGTATCAACTTGGCCATTTCTAATTGTTTCGCCGCCTCCACTTCTCTATGCTTCTGAGCCTCAGCTAACGCCTCTGCTTCGGCTTTCTTAGTCTTGGCTAGACTCTCAGCGAGCTTTCGCTTGGCCTCCTCCTTTTCAACTCTGAGCGCCTCTGCGAGCTTCTTCTTCTCTTCCTCACGCTTGCGCTTGGCCTCTTCGCGCTTGGCCTTTTCCTCCTCCACCTTCTTCTTTCTCTCCTCCTGCTTTCTCAATCTCTCCTCCTCTCTCTTCTTCTTTTCCTCTTCCTTTCTGCGACGCTCCTCCTCACGCTTCTTAATAGACTGTTCCTTTGCCTTGAGGAGCTCGTCGCGCACGGCAGACAGCGCGGGGATCTCAACTGGTATACCGTCGGAAACGGTCGCGGATTCGCCCGAGGGAGTGACCTCGGCCGACTCCTCTGGAATGGTAGTGGCCGTGAGGGCAGGGATCTGGACATTAGCCACCTCAGATGGCTCCACGTGGTCAGACTTGGAAATTGGTGTAGAAGTAGCAAACGCATGGGCACCGATTAATCTCTGTGGGCTTTCAAACGCAGCGCCAAGTTTGGTGCCACTTGGGTTGATTGGATTGAGTACCGGAGCCTTGGAGAGACCATTATTGGAAGTAGCCTCGGCCCTTATTTCAGCAATACCGGTGGACTTTTCCACGGTATTCCAGTCCTTGATCTTCGAAACAGCCTTCTCCGCGGCCGCGCGCTTCCCCTTAACTGGCTGCTGGTTCAACAACGTTGTAGAAAGCTCTGTCGCAATCTTGCCACCCTTGCGCATCTTGCCTGGAATCCGCATCCCGTTCTTAAACATGCGCATGATCTCTTCTTTCGTGAGAATCTCGGACTCTTCCTCCACGGCCTCGGGCAGCTCTTGGTGCTCCGACTGGGCCGGTTTACCAACTCGCTTCTGCGTCTTTGGCGTAGGTGTCACTTGTTCAGTGGTCTTTGGTGGGGTTTTCGTCTTTGGTGAGGACTTGGTAATCTTGGCCTTGGCATTTTCGGGGATTTCAAGCGTCCCAGACACGTTACGGGCTGGTCTCACCGCTGTGGCCTTCTTAGGATCAGCAGTCAAGGCTTTGGCCTCTGGCGGAGGTAATGAGATGTGCGATGCGTCATAATCGGAATCGGAGTCCGAAGTAGACGCGGAGAAATCAGATTCAGAAACCGCCGAGGCCTCAATTTCGTCCATAGATTGCATCTTGGACAACGAAGACGGTTTGGAGGCGGTTTCAGGCACCTCGTATATCGGGGCGCCTGGCAGACTGACCTGACGTTTGCTTCCCCAGATAGATGGAAGCGAGTAGCGGTGCTTCTTAGACGGAATGCGCGACGCCGTGCCAAAGTACTCGCTCTGACGCTTCCTCTTACCGTTTGGCGCTAACATTGGCGTCAGCTGGTCGCTCAAGTTGAAAGAAACGCCCGTGGAGTTGGGCAGCGCATGCAGTTGGGGCTCGGGCTGCGGCTCGTCCCAATCACTGTCCAAGATCACGCGTACAACGTTGTCTTTCGGGTCGAAAACGTGTCCCACTATGTAATCCGGGTCCAAGTCATTCTCGTTGCTGTCTTGTAAGCGTGAAATTTCGAGCAACGCCTCGTGCGGGTATAAGCGGTGGAACCGCGCTGAGATCTCATCACACACTTCCATCATGGTCTTGGTGCTCAGCGTGATGTGAAGAAACCGGCGCGCGGAGGCGATTGTGGTGTTGAAGGTGGCAGTCAGATTTGCCGTCTGCGGCAAAAAAGGCCCTGGGGGAACAAGCACTACCTGGAGTTTGAGCATTGGTGGATGAAGAGAGAAAGAGTTGTGGTGAAGTATATGTGAAATTTTATGCTCAAATTTTTCGCACATGCAGGACTGACTGCTAGCCAGGGCAGCTATTGGGAGAAGATGACGGAAGGAGGGTTACGGAAGATCTTAGGGGTTTGAATTTAACTGCACTAATTCAATACATAATAAATGGCTGAAATCAATGATACATGGAACCAGTGGATATATCGTAGGGACTTGGATTATTGGGAGGGGAGGGGTAAATGCGAGGTCTCCCACCACTCACTCGCACACGTGTCACGTGTGCGAGAGCGGCTGAGGCTCAAGCTAAAGGCAGGGGTTTAGATGCTCGGAAAGGTTTGATATATAAATGCTCTGAATCAAGGCAAAGTAGGGAGCAGGAAAAAAATGGTGTTGAAATAAATAACTAGTCCTATTGATAAAGGTACATTATGGCGAGTTAGGAGGCAGCCGGTTTACAGGAGCACTTGGCCGAGTTTTAGGTCTTGTAAAGTCGTTATTCCCTCTATGTGGTATATCTCTACCTCAAGGGTAGAATATCTACTTATAGAAATAAGTAATACTGGTTACCTATATAACGTATATAGGATAAAGGAGGGAGGGATCGACCTCCTTATATAGAATATTGATCCCTACCACGAGACAGCTACACGCTTACTACACTCTAACTTGTTGACATTAATAACAAATCTGACGGCACAAGACGGGTTTATGGGGTTGAAACCTCAACTAAGGCTCATTATTGTGGATAACACCGCTCGTATTTAGTTTTGTAGCCCTTTAGACTTGGCCATTAACAAAAAATCTTTGTTTATATCGTCCATATCCTGAGTATGACATAGGGACAGTACCGCTAAGATTACGCAGCCGTCACTACTAATTCCCCCTCTATGCTTGTGCCTAGAATACGAGCTAGATTCTAAACCTTCGATCAATAGGAATAGGAAACAGGTTTAGATTCAAATGTTAAAAATGAGATCTATAGCTGGAAATGCAAATTTCGGAGACGTTAATGGATACTGGAACTTAGCTAGAGATGAAAGTACACAGCTTAATCATTTATTAAAGTACCGAAAGATGTAGATTTTACAGATTAGAACACAGAGATGTAGTTGTTGAGCTTCTCGCGCTGGTTCTGGGCGATACACTCTGCGATCCAGGTGATGTTGCGAATCTCCTGCTCCTTGGCCCGCAACCACGAGTACACGACCGACACGGAAAACTGCTGAGTGAAAGAGTTTCTGCAGTAGTCCATCTCAAGCTTGTAGAAAAAGTCTTCCAAGTTGGTGGAAGTGCCAGCATCAGTGTCGTCGCTATCAAAACAGCCTCTATAGGAACTGATGCTCTCAACCACGCTACGAATCTGATCGACATCCTCCGCCGCGGCCAATTGGTCCTGGGCAAAACCTGCAAGGGCACCGAAGTCTGGGAACATCTTCTTCTTCTCAGCCTTTTCCAACTCAGAAATACCGAACGAGTTGAGCGCGATGTTTATCACCCGTCTATCGGCCTCGAGTTCGAGGAAACGGGTCATAATCGTCGCCGCGGGGTCCGCCAAGCCATTGCAGAACGCGTGGAACAGTTCAAGATAGTTCTTGTACAACGTGTTTCGGATAACTTCCACATTCAACTCATCCAAATCAGAGATGGAAAGGCAGCCCTTGAAGAACGGCGCAAGCGGCGTATCAACAAGTACAGTGCTGTACAACGACTCCATATCGGTAGCGATGCTTAACGCTGGCAAGGTGTCGAACCAGCCAAGTGGGTTGCAACGCGGGAGAATTTCCGCCAAATCGCGCTCATGGAGCGTCCCGGTGATCAAAAGCACCACGTTGTCGATCATGTAGCCATACGAGATGTAGTCCATAAACGACGCCATCGGTTCCACCGCCTGTTGTCTGAGGTACTCCCACTGCTTAAACAACGTCTCATTGGTCTTGCTCTGGATGTTCGCGGTCGTAAGCTGCCCGGGCACGTTGTTCAAGCCGGCGGCGTAGTCAGACGCTGAGAGCTGCAACTTCAAGTCGTCGAGGTTGTCGCACTGCGTCAAGTTGATGTACTGGGACGAGGTCATAAGGCCATTGCGGTAGCCACGGACGACTCCCTCGAGATAGCCAAAGTCGATGTTGAATAAAACGCCCTCCATTGTTGTGTGTTATAGAGTGAGGAATGGTTGTGGTGGTGATTAAGGTGCTTATAGATAGTGATAAGCGAGGAGGCGGGACTGCATGTACGTGCAAGAACAGGATGCGTAATCAAGAGCACGTAGGGACTCAGCCAGAATTGCCATGGCAGGACTTCGAGTTCTAATAGAGCAGATTTAGGGAATGGACTTGACGCAACAAAAATAGAATACCTACAAAATAAGAAAGATTGTTTGCTAGCCTGTTAATTATATTAGACTTTAATGCTAGTTGGTTCAAAACATGCCATCGTGGCTGAACAGATATAGCCTTGGTTGAATGAATTTAATAGCACGCACGTGCACCCAACTTGACATAGAGGGAAAGTATGCTCTATGTGTACGTGTCAGCTCAACCATACGACTGTGCCGTAAACTGAGAGTTGGTCTCAACAGGCTATGGAATATCAAGAGATAAAACTGACTATGTAAAGTCTCGAGCTTCAGGGGTTGGTTGGAATGAATGTTAGCCAGTCTCAACACCAAGTTTGATAACAAAACACGCAATGGATTTTACGAGGCAGCTTTTGGACTGTTGGCCCGCAATTGGCCATAGAATAAGCTACAGCCACAAATTTTGGCAGGATAGATTAGTGTATCTCAGTGTCTTTCATTCTTGATCTAGATCTATGATAATTGGAAGTTTTATCCCAATCCAAGAATGAACTAGACCAATAATTAAAGTCAAAAGTATGCCTTGAAGCTGCAACAAGGCAGGGCTTAATATTAAGAGAACAGAGGGCTCTATGGACTCTCCGTTGCTTCCGACTTCTACACGCTGTAAGACCACGTTTAGACGGTCCAATATGTGCATTTGCGTCTTATTTATTGGTTCATTCTATAAATAGGGTTACGTCCCATGCGGTGGGAGTAACGATCCAGTTATCAGGGATGCATCACTTCACATATTCAAGGGCATGGAATCACTGGCTAGCTATATTTAGCTTAGTGATGTACCGAAAAAATGCATCGCTCGCCTAGTTCCTCCGTGGCCGGGTATGAGCGATAATGGCTAATGACTACCCAATGGTTTCACCCCCGGTTCGCCAGAACGCTTAGACTTGTTCAGTCCAATCGCTTAGCCATCTGAATTAGTTACTGTAATTCAGCTCAGTCGCTTTGTAACAAGACCTTGCTATTGCTGTTCACCCTCCGGGTTCAAAAACAAATTGCTCCCTTCCGTCTGGTATTTCTTCGCATAATCCACCTTCGCATCCTCTTCATGCACCCTTAAATGCTCCTGGATCATCTGTCTCACCTTATCATCCCGCGGATCGTCATTCAGAAGATATTGCTCGCTCAACAAGTAGCTCTGCATCTGTTGCGGAAGCAAATGTGCGCTGGCAATTAATTGCTGCGCCTGCTGTTGCAGCGCCGAGTTCAAAATCGCCGCGGCCGCGTCTGCCTCCGACTGTTGCAACTGGTGCTGCTGTAACTGACGCTGGAGATGTACCTGCAGCGACATTTGTCCGTGGATATGCGTCTGGACATAGCCTGGACCAGGAGATGGGACCTTCTTCTTGCGGTTTCGACACCGGTAGCATACCTTGTGGCTGGCCAAATCATCGTCTGATAAACGTGCGGTACATCGGTTGCATGCCCCTTGCTTCTCTAGATTCGTCCGCCGGATCTTATCATTCGTACGACACCGCGAACATACCTTGAAGTCTTCGTTGATCGAGTCGTTTGGCCCTGAACAGTGCACACACTTACCATTGGCCGCACGCAGGGCCTTCCTGGACCGGAGATTGAGGCGACAGGGCGCACAGAGCACAAAGTTTTCCTCCGTCGGCGGGATCATTGCCCCGCATCGGCGACAGGCGCCTGGCTTCTCCTTCGTGCGCTGCTGCCACCGCTTGGACCGCTGTCTCTGCAAGTCACGACAGTGCGGACAGAGCTTAAAAGTGCGCCCACGGCCAACTGGCTGGTTGAAGTCCTTCTTGCACCGTGTGCACTCCTGGGCCAAGAACGGGACGTCCAACGCAGCTGGCGCGTGTTCGTGCACAATCTCATGGTGATTGTTTCCCTGGAGGTCCAAGTTCGAGTTGCTCTCAAGCACGTCCTGGAGCAATTCATCGTGCATGTGCATGTGCATCTGGTCATAGGAAGAGGTTTGGAGCTCATGGTTCAGGTTAAGCTGGGGGTCAAGCACATCCGCCTGGAGGTCGGAAATGTGGCTGTGCGACATTTGTTTGGCGGCGTTTATCGCCGATGCTGCGGCAGCCGCAGTGGCAGCCATAACGGAATCCATAATAAAGTGTGATGAATAAAAAAAGAGAGTTGGAGCGAAAAAAAAAATTGAGGTTAGAGTGGTTTTGAGATAGAGAGGAGATTGAAAGTCTGCGTCGATCCCAATTTTCTTTGCGATTTCTAATTTAATTGAAATGGCAAGATTGTGGCTAAGTCTGAGTTGGAGTCTGAAATCTAAGAGATGTTGATATCTGAGATCGATAAGCTTTATCGTAGCCAGTGGCTCATAACAAATCGAATGTGGTTGGTTTTGGGCGATGGGAAAATTTGCGAGGAGGCAAATTTTTGTTGCACGTGAATTGTGCAGGAACGACCAAGTGTGGCAAAATGTGGCGTAAACCACATTTGGCAACACACGCAATCGTGCTGAGGCTTGAAAGGGTATAGAAATGATACATGGGATCATAGGCTAGTATATAGCTACGCACAACATTCCTTAAGCTTCAAGCTGTCTTGTATTTATTATCATCTGATGACTCCACTGACTCGGCTATACTCTGCTCATGTCTTCTAAGCGATCCAATGACGCATATTTGGGCATCCCATTTGTTTGGATCCTGGTTGGCTATGGTACACTGGCGCGCCCATAGAGATTTCTGAAGGGTCCAGATTACGCGAATTTATACGCTTCTTCTAAAGGTAAGAGTTCGATCAATCCCACCCTTTGGTACCTTTAAGCTGAAGCCTTACGGGTTGAGCGTGCTCGAAATATAAAAATGTAGCTAACCCCTAGTCCATCACTACGACCCCCTACTTAGACTCGTTCGTTGCGTTTGGTTGTTTATGCCCTTTAAAAGATAAAACCAATAAGAGTTGAAGCTCTTGCTTGAATCATCAGCTTCTTCTATCGACTCTTATCACAAACAATGATCTCTTCTCCGCCTTTAATATTTTGACAGTTACATACAAGTCACATTCTAAGTCACACCTAATATATTTATCGTTTATTCCTATGTTAAGGTGCAGTCAATACTCCTTACAATCTGGACTTGATGATGTCAATAAACTCTGGCTTGAGAGAGGCACCACCGACCAAGAACCCGTCAACATCAACCTTGTCCTTGAACTGGTTAGCGTTGGCACCGTTGACGGAGCCACCGTACAAGATTCTAACACCTTCGGCCTGGGCGCCGACGGTGGCAGCCAAGTGGGCTCTGATGGCCTTGTGGGTATCCTGGGCATCCTGTGGGGTAGCAGCCAAACCAGTACCGATAGCCCAGACTGGCTCGTAGGCAACCACGACGTTGGTCCAGTCCTTGACGACGGCAGCAACAGCGTCCAACTGTCTGGCACAGACGTCCAAGGTGACACCAGCGTTCTTCTCCTCAAGGGTTTCACCGATACACAAGATGACCTTGATACCGTTGTCTAAGGCGAACTTGGTCTTGGAAGCGATAAACTCGTCGGACTCCTTGATGATGGTACGTCTCTCAGAGTGGCCCAAGATAGCCCAGTTGACTCCGAGGTCCTTCAAGGCTTCAACAGAAATCTCACCGGTGTAGGCACCGGAAGCCTTGTCGAAGACGTTCTGGGCAGCCACAGAGACAGTCTTCTGCTTGTTGGCCTCGACGGTAGCGGCAAGGTATGGGGCTGGCGGGGAAATGACAACTTCCACGTTGTTTGGGAGTTCAGCCGCGTTGAGGGAGGTATTGATAGCGGCGATGGAGGCCTTAGAGCCATTCATCTTGAAGTTACCACCGACGAAGAAAGTACGAGACTAGAGGTTAGTTCTGACGTCAAATTCATTGGCAAGCTTCAAGTCTCACACTTTCAATTGCTTATTTGCACATACCATTATATATGAGATTGTGTTTTGAAAACAGTTGGGAAGAGGAGACTGAAAGAGCGGTGTACCTTTTGGGGAATTTTTCAAGTAGCCCCAGCCAAAAGAGGGGCGCGCGTTTTCCGCATCACCGGGTCCCGAGCGCTTCAGGGGACATCACATGATTCCCCAGATCCGAGCCCACTCCAACCCCACGTGACGACCTCACTCTCCGTTTTCTAAGAGGTACAAAAATGAGCTAATATTTACCAACTATGGTTGCATGTCCATAATTACGGATAAACTTTATAAACTGTAGTTTCCAATTCCTTGTGATGAATATGTTTTCCAGCTATGGTGGTGTGGCGGTGCCTGTCCTACGAAGGACTAGAAAGTGAAAATGTTCCGCTCTGGGGGAAGACGACGTACGTCGGAAGATCATGGAGACGGGTGAGACCGGAGGCCGATTCTGGGGAATTGAGGCTGTCATCCCGGGACAGCCTCCAACCACAAGAATGACATATTGGTATGTCAAGCAGTTTGTTCGAATCTGGTAAAATCAACAATATACTCGTGCAAAAGGCTCCGACAAAATAACCTCTGCCTTGTTGACCGTCTAATCCAAGAAGATTCAATCAGGTGAGCTAATATTTGCTACGTGACATACTTCTAGTGCCTAGAGTTAACATGGCCCTTTTAGCTGAATATCAGTGCATTATGAGTTGAGATTAGAAGTGCACACCGAATATAAGCCATTTTGAGCGATAGGTCATAGCTTGCGTACAGTAATACGATCAAATTTATTGGTTTGGCCTGCTCGCTTCCCAGACCGGTTTATCCGAATCAATTAAAACTCAGCTTACCTAGCATAATGTGCTATGTAAACTATCTCTGCCCTAAAGAAAAATATAAATGGAACCCTGCAGCTATATATAGCCCATCTAATCGATGGATAAAACAGTATCCGCCAAGTAAAAGGCACAGTCGAAAGCAAATGAAACCTTGCTCAAGGGGAACAAGTTCCTTACTCGCAGTTACTGTTAACCCGATTACGGTATTTCTCATATTCCTTTTTGATCTCCCTGCCTTTCTCTCTTTGTGACTTTTTGGCGGATTTCTCCGCGTTCAACACGTTTGTCAACGACTCATCGTCCAACTTACCCTTCGAGTTGAACTTTAGTTCCGCAAGCAACGCGCGATCATTATCCATTTCCAAATCAATCTCGTCGTCCAGCACGTCATCCCACTTCAACAACTGTGTCTTTAGCTCGTAACGGCCCAGTTCATCCTCACGCTCCATATTCAAGAACTGGCAGTGCGGGATGTTTCGTAACGATTCAAACTCCTCGTACGTCCATCGAAACCATTTCATCAAGAAGACTCGCGCCCAGATCCCGTGTGTGACGAGAACCAATACACTTGGGAAGTCCGGCTGCTGGAACTGTCGGAACAAAGTCTCGTTGAAGCCCGCCACTCTATCATAAACGTCGGCCGCAGACTCACCGTCGGGGATACGGTAGAAAAAGTGCCCGTAATGCGCTCTTTCCTTCCAGATCATTTCCATTTCCAGAGAAGAAGACTGAAAGTTCCCGAAATCTTGCTCTCGCATCCGCGGCTCTTCTGCCACCTCGTATGGATAGTGTCCCTCAATCCCGTTTATGAGGCCTGTGCACGTCTGTCTGGCACGCAAGTAAGGGGAGGTGTAGAAGAGAATTTTATCATCCTCTTTGAGCTCGTTTCGGAGGCGAATCCCTGCGAGTGCAGCCTGCTGGTGGCCTGTGGCGGTGAGCCGTATCTTTTGGTTTGCGATATGGCAGTTCACCGATTTGTCGCAGTTACCTTCAGATTCCCCATGGCGAACCAATATGATTAACTGGTTGTTAGTATCTTGTATCTCCGAGTAGTTTGAAGGTAAAAAAAGGGGGGGGTGCTATGCTTCAATGAGAAAGACAGGCTGAGACCAGAGAGGTGTAGTTGAACTGCTGGCTGGCTCGGGAAGTCACCGGTGGGACGTTTTCATCGCTTCATTAAGGAATCGTGCAGTTCTTTAGTTTAGCACTAGCTCATCACACCCCAGTCAATACAGAGGTCATTTCAAACACTCTATCATAGACATCAACTGTGGAGCCTCGACTCGTACCACACTCGTCTCATCCAGTTCATAGATACGTACTCTTGGCCTCCCCATTTTCTATCTGGGTAATATGCTGCGATGGCTTTAGTTGTGTATTTTGCGATCCTTGGATGCTTGTATTTTGTGTAACTGGATAAAACCTGGTGTTATATGCTTAGCTTAGTAATGCCATTGCCAAGAAGCGCATTAAGATCTTTTTTTTTATTAGTGCTAGACCTGGGCTAGCCCTGCGGCTGACAACTCCCAACCCGCAGATGACGATTGGCTGTGCCACACAACGTTGCGATTTGAGGGACCATACGTGGCGGTTGATCTGGTGCGCCACGCGAGGGGCACCATCTGCCCCACCTCGCTAAACCACCTTTCGGCCTGGGGGGTTGCCAGATACTACACCAGGACCATTGGGAAATGGACATTGGGAAATGGAACATGAGATGTTAGCGGTTTTATTCGTTTCACTATGGTAGTCTCGCTATTGGACGAATAAACCAGCCATGTTCAGCGTATACGGAGGATTTGAGTGCGGATGACTCGCACCCATTATGCTAGCATGGAGACAGAATCGGCGTCGGTAGTTCCAAGCGTTTCTGCGATACGAGAAGATATTTCCAAAGTCAAGAAGCGCTCCTTCTGCATCAAGTTATAATCACCACAAAAGAGTAAGCTCCTTTGTGACGATTTCACCTACGTACAGCCGTTTTTTTTTACCGTGGACACTGGTATCTTTGTGGACTTTTACTTCCGCCTATGGGTGTAGAGCATGTGATTGAGTGTGTCGATTAGGCATGTAGTCACACGACAAGTCATTTTCGTGTATATGAGTGATATTTACGGTGCCTCTAAGCGTATAGCTAGACTAAACTCGGCCTCGCCAATAACACGTTACCCCAGACAGCAATATAGCTGTACTGTTTCAGCAGTTAGTGACCCAAATTTACTTACCTTTAAAGGATCATCCGTTTCACGGCAGTATTCCTGCTAATCCTCTAAGGAATTTGAACCCATGGTGCTCAGAAAGTCAGCACAAGCCTCATCAAGCCATGCGTCGCCTTGAATCACTTCAACAAAATGGCCTTTAGTCCTATAACCCATTATTTAGTGATATCCCATTAAGATTCCCTTGTGCATCTTTTTGTTAGGGATAATGTAGCAGACAAAGTAGGTATGGGGTATCTCCCTTACCGATCCGCAATTTGTTTTCGAGGATTAGGTTGGGGTTGAGAAATCCCTGAGACGGCCCACTCGTAGCTCTGTCTACTCGCCTTAAGCCCCATTAGATCTAATTCGCAATATGACACGCGTTCATATAAATCTTTGGAAGACAGCGAAGTCTAGGGATACTACGATACAGCATTAATTCTCGGTATTGGAAAAGATTACTGAAAGCTACACAGACAAAGAGGGTGTGCATTGTTAAGGTCATGCCGAACTTCATCGGCAGTACGCGGCATATTTATCATTGGGGTGGGGGCTCGATCTATGCATCAGACATGCATACGCATTCTGAAGTAGGTGTAAATCTGCAATTTTACCTAGGAAACTTGGCAGAGAACGTAGTCGTAAGTTCGGACATTCTATATTGCTTGATTCCCCCACAAGTGACGTTTAAAAACATATCGGAAGGCTTAATTGAGCGGGTCATGCATACCTGCCAAAACCTTAAATCAAAGGTGCATGCGCACACCCCACAGCAATTTAAGCAACTCCACCATGAGTTCCCCATTTCTCGTCTAGCTACTCCTTATGAAATATTTCACAGCTCATAATATAATAGCCTTTTAGGACCCAAATCATCGAACCCATGAGCGGGGCGCAATAGAATTATATTTACTATGATTACACCTGAGTTCCGAGTCGCCAACCAGTTCGTACACATTTCAAGTGAATAGCTCAGGATGTATATATTTCAAGGCATTTAGACTATTCATGACTTCTTTTAAACTATCTTAACTTATTATGTCCGATGACCTATGTGTCGCATGCATACGACGTATACATCGTAAGCTAGACACCGAGATAGGGTTGTAGTTCGGTATATGTCCAGTTCCGAGCCATTAATCGGCCGAGTGATTAAGGTGCGGTTTTTATTTGACAGTACTAATACTTTGATAACCTCGTACCCAAGCGTATAAATACTACTTCTCTTCGCTACCTTCCAATTTAATATTCACCTCCCCAAAACTTTGTTTCCCACGTATATCACACAGTATGGCTTCACCTACAGAACCACCAACAAAACAAGCCAGCAACGTTGATATAGCCCCCAGAGAATCGGGATCTTCGAGCTCCTCTCACTTAAAGGGCCAAGGAAATACCAAGCCCGGTACAAAATGGTCACGGTTCCGTGATTCCTTCAGGAAAATGGAGGAACTTGATCCCCTGGCCAATAAAGATATGACAGATTTGGAAAAGGCAGTCGCCGCCACCTCTAACGCTCACCTTAGCCGCTCCTTAAAAACCCGGCACTTACAAATGATCGCCATTGGGGGAGCTATTGGTACGGGGTTGTTTGTCGGAAGTGGTTCTGCTCTTAGAACTGGAGGACCGGCGGCTTTGCTTATCGGCTGGATTCTCGTCGGGACGATGATCTACTGTACGGT